TGCTTATGTAAGGTTATTTTTATATTTCGTTATTTGAGGATGTTTTCATTTGTTTGTGTTTTGCATACGAGCCCGATTGCTTCTAAATTCTGTATTTTCTGTCAGCAATTATTTTTGCTGTTATTCTTAAGCACGTTTTTAGGTCTTGCTAAGCTCTCTGTAGGTGCACGTTTTTTTTCTTTGGCTATCATTCCAGGCGTAGTCTGTACAACTCTTTTCTACTTTAGATTTTCTTATTATCTGCTCTTTGTATTTTATTTTTTTTGTATTCGCAAATACTCGTATTTTTTAGCCCTGGTTGGCTTTGAAAAACAGCTTTTGCTGATGCATTCCGCCAGGTAAAATAAAGGCCATTTATTATTGAAGTAGAAAGAATAAAAAAATTGATATCACTCAGAAAAACAGAAAAGTGGCGTCAAGTAGGTTGACTAACCCAACGTCGTCTTCAACTCGTTTAGGATTTCTTAGCACAAAAAAAAAGAAAAAAGTTAGTTATAAAAATGTACAATCTATCTTGAAAAGGGTTAAAGTGTTGGGTTATGCTACTCTCTCATAGATCGCGCTACAGTCTTGGTGACTATCATCAGGTATACGTCAATAAACAATTTTAAACCTGGGCGAATTACTTCATATAAATCCAAGATCATCGCGTCAACTTTTTATAAATTCATGATGACATCAAAAATTGAAACAACGTAAGCGCTAACCAGTCAATCAATTATAATTACGATATAATTAATACCAAATCAATGCATGAGGTATCATGTCTCGTCTCGTTTGAAAAAAGCCCGCTGTCATATTCTTGTTAGGCTGACTGCACACTGAGGCTGAGGACACATTTTGTATTGTTGCTGCTTGAAAAAATGAAATTTTTTAATTTGATTTTATGATTCAATCTGTGCATAAATTGCAGTAAGATTCAGCATAGCTCAAACTTCATTTGATTTCCCTTGAAGCTTTCGTACAGGGCAGTCCGACTGATAGATGATTTTTCTCTAACGGACAGTCTCGGGACCCTCCTTATAGCGGACGCGGTGACCCGGTATTTAGGCTTGTGCCCACAGCTTTGTTTCATCCTCAAAAGGTGTCATAGTAAAAACCACGTCTCATTACCCCCAGATATTAATTACTATGTTAAACATGAACCTATAGTTTATGCGTGACTCGTTTGTTTTCCGAGATACATACAAGAAATTTGGCCATATGACAGTGTAGTGCTGTACTGCCATAATAGATGACCATCAAATATCTGGCCACTAACTGAGATGACGTCACGGATGCTTCGAGGATGAAAGTCCAGTTTTGAGTTGCCTTCTTTCAAGATTGTAATAAAAATAAATAAATAAATAGCGTGCATTGCCCAAAAGTTGAGAAAACCCTTTAGGAGAAGATAAATCAAACTAACAAAAATAGAAAACATACAAAAAGCAGGTGATTCTATCTGAAGGATAAAAAGCAAAAAACGTATTTCACTAAAGTAAGAAACATTTCATAAATTGTTTAAGTAATTCCTAGCTATTCCCAGGATGATATTCAAACTATCATGTCCTCCTGTGGTATCTCATTCCAGGCAACCACCAACTCCTCTCGAAGTGCTTCTAGAGTCTGAGGAGGACGTTGCAAATTGAGCAATCTCCTACCCATCATATCCCACACGTGCTCAATTGGGGATAAGTCGGGAGATCTTGGTGGCCATGGTAACAATGTGACATCATTATGTTGAAAGAAGTCTATTGTGACTCTTGCAACATGTGTTCGGGCATTATCTTGTTGGAAAGTTGGATCTGCCAGGGTGTCAAGATAGGGTAACAGATGGGGTTCTAGAACTTTGTGGATATAACGCTGCGCGTTCATGTTACCTCTGATGAAGATTAAAGGTGACCTGGAACCATAAGCTATAGCACCCCAAACCATAACTCCAACAGTGTGATGAACATGTCTTTCAACAAAAAACTGTGGATTATTCCTTTCACCACGTCGCCTTCTAACCCTAGCACGACCATCGTGCATGCCTAAACAAAATCGAGACTCGTCACTAAAGACAATACTGTTCCATTCCTGATCCCAGAGTGACCGTTGTCTGCAGCACTCAAGGCGATTACGTCGGTGTTCTCGAGTTAAAGGGAGGACCCAGTGGGGCCGGTATGAAAACAAGCCAAACACTTCGCATGCCAATAGGTCTTCCGTGTTCTGCAAACCATTCATTTGCAACGGACCTGGTAGTGGAGAAACGGTCCCTTAAGGCCAATAATCTTAGGCGGCGATCTTCACGGTCTGTTGTTCTACGGCGGCGTCCAGTGCCCCTTGCTCTTTGCGTACGGCCTTCTCGAAGCCATGCCTGACAACACCTAACCACAGTGTCTACACTTCTTTGCACTCTAACTGCAATTGCCCGAAAAGAAAGTCCAGCTTCCTGAAGTCCCACTATACGGCCCCTATCAAACTCACTAAGTTCACGAAATCGTACAGGTCTCCGTACTCTAGGCAGCGTAACCGATCGTAAAGGATGTCAAGAACCAAAATCCGCCAACGTTGATTCTTTACTGCGGCTGAAATATTCATTTTTAGAGCGTTAGTGAATTAAAAAAAGCAGTATAAAAACCGGAATGTCCAACTGATAAGGCTGAACATTTTTTCACTTGTTATTTACAGTAAGATAAATACATACACCAACTTTTATTAAAATAAAACCATTTAAACTGGGTGTTAATATTCATTGTTAATATTTTAAACCTATAACACCCTGCTAAATTTTTGTTATTTGTGTTTTATAAGAAAAAAACTAAGATTTCAATAGTTGGGCCAACTGAAGTGGGAAGAGGCTCGTACCCTGGGCGAACTGTATTTATTGTTGAACCTGCTTAGTTATTTGTTGCTAAGGGAAAGAAAGAATTTAATTTGCTGTCAGTTATCTTTGTGACAATCTTGGGATAGTGAAAATTAATTCATTGATGCAGATAGATCTGTTGCCAATAAAAAACGTAATCATCGGAGAGTTTTGGATGAAGCCGCTCAAGTTGAAGTTATGTGTCATTTTGGAATAAATCCTAATACTTCATTACGCAAAATCGTTGCTGTGACTGGCATATCATTAATGATAATACCATTCATGTAAAGAATATCTGCTTCAGCGATGAATGCACTTGTTATCTAAATGGATTTGTTAATAAGCACAACTGCAAGTATTGGAGCAATGAAAATCCTCATGCTTTTGTAGAAGGGCGTACCCAGTACCCCCAAAAAATTAATGTATGGGCATTCATTTCAGGAAGCAAAGGGTATTGGCCCATTGTTTATTAATGGAAATTTGAATGGGGACATTTATTTGGATATGTATAGGCCATACAATGCCCTGCTGGATCTCCTGATTTGACGCCATTAGACTTTTTCTATGGGACCACTTGAAATCTATTGTGTTTACTCCCCAACCTGAAAGTTTGGATGAATTTCGTCAACCCATCATCGAAAGCTACCATGGTATCCCGCGACATGTTTTTGAAAATGTCAGTCAGGAATTCAAACATCGCCTATATCATTGTTTGGCCAATAATGAGCAACATTCTGAACAATTATTGAAATAAAAAGTGATATTTTCGTGTGTTTTTGTTTTCTATCTGAACAAATTAAGATAAGTGAAGATTTTTCTAATTTTCTTGAAAACGAATCGACCGATTTCAAAAAATCAAACCGCAGAATAAGGACCTTTCAAACAAGGTATTACTGAATACCGCTTGTCATTTAGAATTTTTGTGTCTCGGCGTTTTTTCTTTTATTCAGTGGTTTTTGATAAATCCGTGGTGGGAAGTTTTTGAATGCAGAATACAAAACCAGCTATGACTCTGGGCGACTGAAGCTTTTGCAGTTTCTCACGATAAAACCGTACGCCAGTGAAGCTTCACTCACCTTATTGAACAACATTCTATCACATATTTTCAATCATCCAAATCAATCTGGACCCGAAAAATATAAAAGACGACCCTGTATGAAAATCTTCATACCAACTGACCAAATTACAGCAAGCCGAAAACCACACCGCAACATTTCCATTTTACAAACAAATTCTGAATCGTCGAGGATATTTTTTTGCTTCACGTGCCAATTGAATATTTGTGGCTTGATTTTGTATCGGTTTAAGTATTTGGCAACGCAACCAAAAATGTGCGTAGTTTAGCAATGGATTGTTTGTAAAGGGGTATTGGCTTTTATGCTATATTAACTTTATCAGATCTTTAGATTTCCATTAATAAGTGTATCATTCAAGTTTTGCAAATGCATGCAAGTACAACAAAGTTACGTTACCACGACTTCGACTTTCACATAAAAATATATTGTTCGACTTAGAAATCTTTTTATACATGTCATATTAGTTATTTTTGTGTTATGTACTACAACGTTTTGATGGTACTGGCAAATTCCAAGCATCAATGAGTAATATGTAGGTATCATTGACGTATATCCTGATTTTGGGGATTTTCTAAAGTTATACATTCATTTTTCTAGGATATACAGGGTGATTCAAAGTCGCTTAGCGTTGCCATTCTGAAACGAATCTGCAATTAAAAAAATGATGTAGATACGTTTTCAATTTTTTCGCGATATTTTCATTCACATCAGCGATATTTCCCAGAGTATTACAAGTATCTTTGTTTTTGGCATACCCCCAGAAATGATCGATGTGTGTCAAATCTGTAAATCGCGGTGGCCATGCAATGTCATCAAAACAAATAATCCTGTCACTTTCTTTGAAAATGTTAAAGTTGTAACGATAAATGGTGCATAGCACATGCTGTAGATAGGCACAAAACAGCGTAAACGCATGGAATAACATAATTAATTGGTAATAAAAGTAGTAGATTCGGTGGTCTGTGGCAACGTACACCCTGTATTTAAGACCTACACAAAAACTTGTCAACTAGCCCATTGCTGCTACAATACCTCAAGTGACAGATCTAGCATACATTCAGCCGGAGACACTTCACAAATGACATCTGTTATGAAAAATGCCTATATCGCCGAGATGGTCCTACATCTCCAACGTTTCCGATGTATCCGGTTACAGTGGTACGTCAGTGTACATCAGGGGAGAAGAAGAAGCCCTCTTAGTGAACAAAGCCTTCCAAAATGTCACGAACTACGTCTACAGGAAACCGAATCCATACCCGCAAGACACCAAGCGATTGGGCATCATTGTCCTGATATTCTGCATCGCCATTCCAGTGGTCAAGATCATAATTGGTATCACGCATAGGAATGAATGTGATACTAACAAGCACATACCTACCCTTCTGTACATCACTGGGTTTCTGCAGGTATGTTTTGCAGTGACTTTTATAGTCAAGTTCCTGTCGAAGATGATTTTCCAGCTCATACTCGGAGTGGGTTGTGTTACGATGTTCCTCATTGGATCAGTGGGTACCTTCATTGAGTACCAGCCAGACTATTACAAAGGATCTTGGAGGTACTGTGATTACAATTTGTACATGTTCGCCTTTTTCTGTTACATTGCAGAGTACTTGATGCTAGCTGTTGTTGTTTTGTATGTTTGTATTATGTTTGCTTTTTATATTCCGGACGAGTAAATGTTACACTGTGTTACTGTTGTTTTTAAGTATAAGTATACAAGTATACAAGTATACAAGTATACAAGTATAAGTATATAAGTATATAAGTATATAAGTATAAGTATATAAGTATACAAGTATGAGTATATAAGTATACAAGTATAAGTATATAAGTATACAAGTATAAGTATATAAGTATACAAGTATAAGTATATAAGTATACAAATATAAGTATATAAGTATACAAGTATATAAGTTTACAAGTATAAGTACATATAAGTATAGGTATAAAGTATACGTATAGGTATAAGTGTAAGTATAAGCCTTTATAGCAGCCGCGGTGCCCCAGTGTTTAGGCCTCTGAATCTCCATATATACAGAGTGTTCGAAAAGTACAGTGATCGACCTTGACAGTGACTGATCTACCTTGCCTTATCGAGGTCAAAGACATATCCAAACTTAGAAATCTACCCTCTTTCGATTTCCGTCTAAAATATAGGGTCGTCTGTAAGAAAATTGAGTTAACCTTGAAATGACATTCAAGGTCGCGGTCATATCCAAACTTAACATTTTTGCGAGCTTGGATTTCCGGCGCCAAAAGTATACGGGTTCCGTTCAAGAAAATCGGGTTGACCTTGAAATGACCTTCAAGTTTAAGGTCATGATCAATGACATACAAAAACTTCCCCTCTTCCAATTTTCAAGGTCGAAAGTATAGGGTCCCATATAAGAAATTCTCTTTGTCCTTGAAATGATTTTCAAGGTCAAATTCAATGTTAAGTAGACTCCTACGATTTTTAAATTTTTTTTCTCCAGTCAGTATTTTCTGAGATTTTTTATATGCAAAGGAAGTTTTCTAAATAAGAGTTGTTATCAAGTACAAAATGAATCTCTAGCGTCCAAAAAAAACACAACAAAATACGGATCTGTCTACCTGGAGTTGACTGATCTCTCAGCACTAATTATATGTCACTTGTCGATACGGAGAGTTTCGAAATATCACTAGATAATCGATTGTTAGTCTACCGCAATATATGTTCATGAAAAATATCGTGCATATACGTGTTGCATTTCGTCTCGTTGGGTAGTACGATAGTAATCCATATTTTGCGTTGAAAGTGCATCCACGCCCATGGTTTTATTGTATAATTACATGCTTGTGATTGATAAATGCGTTTCAGCAATAACCGAACCGATTTAAATAGTGTATCGAGCGTGAAACATGCAGTATTTGCAACACGTTCGACGCTCGGTCAACAAACTCGCGCATTTTTCTCGGGTTATTTTCGACTGAATGCAAAACAATCCCAGCACCGCAAATCCGTAAACATGAAATCATTGAAATCTTTTCAAGGCGAGATATCCGAAAAATTTCGCGAGCTTTATTCGTATTCCCCCGGCGAGCCGCGATCGCGAGTTTAGTAACCACCTAGAGACCGCTGGATATACACTTCTGTGGTTGGTGTGTACTTCATTGCAAATATGCAACTTGGTATTGTTTCGGTAAGTGTTCTTTTTTCTTATTTTTATTTTGCTCATGCGTTTTTAAACGATACGGCTTTTTTCTTACAAGTATCCAAGTATAAAACGACAAGTTTAAATTTCTTATTTTCCTTTTCGAGTTTTTGTTTCTAGGCGAACAATTTAAAAAAAAAACTGTTGAAACATACTTCGTGCGGCATTAAGAAACAACTGAGGTACGGATGATCTCGAAATTTGCAGTTTTAAAATAATTTAGGGCCATATTTGTTGGTCTGTGAGGTACGGCGCAATCTGTGCACTTTTTTGACATGAATGTGGTAGGTTTAAATGTCTAGCTGTACTGTAAATGTCCAGAAAGAAAATATGTAGTTGTGCTTACATACCTATAAGCGTTCCCAAGCGTATCAGCTGTTTTATTCTAAAATGTCCTCCCCTGAGCCGCCGCTAGTGCATTTGAGGTTATGTGGGGATTTGTAATTCATAGTTTTAACGGATTTTCATTATATACGAGTATATATAGGGTGGCCAATCCATGTGTGGACGGAATACTAGTCATAAACAAATACTTTTTAGGAAAATCTATTTATGGCATGTTATACATGATATTTGAGGGCACATTTATAAAGTATTGGTAATTATACAGGGTGTCCCAATTTTGACCTACATATCGCAGTTGTGATTTTTTTGAAAGAATGCCTCAAATTTTATTGCATATTTGGATAAACTAATTCAAAAGAAGAAGATTGATATAACATACTATGGGGTTTAGGTAATTAGCTACTGAGATGTAAGGTGTTTTGTCCAGAAAAACCGTTCAGTTCGGCAACCCCTCAATCCGCCATTTTGAAATTTGGAGTTCTGTATTTTGTAACAAAAAACTTACACACCTCAGCTTTTATCTTATTTGTTACTTTTTCGAATTTTCATTTTTGCTCGTACAGGGTGATCAAAAACGCGAATTGTACTTTTTCTCAAAAATTTCAAATGTATCACCCTGTATGTTTGTGCAAGTTTGCATTCAATTTTTTATAAGCTTTTTTGTATAAGGTTTGATTCAGATGAAATCACTAAATTTTGAGTTATTAAGCTTTTAATAGAACACACCAAAATTAAAGAAAAAAATCGCATCATCCATGGAAACAAAAGACAAACAGTGGGCTAGTTCCATATTGCCACTAAGAGTACGGATTTGACGTAAAAACTAATAACAATCAGAACAGCATAAATCAGCCTCAAGCGTAATAGAGAAAAACAACTATAACTACAACATAAACAATCAACTATCACTATTCAAGTTAGAATCAGAATCGTGAACGAACACCAGGAATCCACTGCGATGATGGGATGGGAATCCTGAACGAATCGGGATTGCGATGCCGGAATTGGAATCATGAACGAATCGAAGGATTTGATTCCAAGGCCGGTGTCGGAATCATAAACGAAGTGATCGAGTCCGATGCCGGAATCGGAATAATGACGAGGCTGGATTCGGGTTCGTAAATGTTTCGAAGGATTCCATCCCGATACCGGAATCGTGAACGGATCGATTCCAATGCTGCAACGTTAATCTTGAACGAATCAAACAAATCGATTCCGATGTCCGGAATCGGAATCGTCAACGAAGGAATCATTTCCCAGGCGGGAATAGGAATTGTGAACGATTCGAAATAATCTATACCCGAACCAGAATCGGAATCGTAAAAGAATCGGAGGGACCGATTCCGCGGCCAGATTCAGAATCGTGAACGAATCGAAGAAATCGATTCCGTTGCCGGAATCGGAATCGTGAGTGAATCTGAGGATTCGATTCCGATGCCGGAATCAGAATCGTGAGTGAATCTGAGGATTCGATTCCGAGGTCGGAATTGAAATCGTGAATGTATCGAAGGAATCAATTTCCAGGCTGGAATCGGAATCGAGAACGAATAGAAAGAATCGACTCCGATGCCGGAATCAGAATCGTGAGTGTGAGTGAATCTGAGGATTCGATTCCGATGTCGGAATTGGAATCGTGAACGTATCGAAGGAATCGGTTTTCAGGTTGGAATCGGAATCGAGATGGAATAGAAAGAATCGACTCCGATGCCGGAATCGGAATCGTGAGTGAATCTGAGGATTCGATTTCAAGGTCGGAATTGGAATCGTGAACGTATCGAAGGAAACGATTTCCAGGCTGGAATCGGAATCGAGAACGAATAGAAGGAATCGACTCCGATACCGGAATCAGAATCGTGAGTGAATCTGAGGATTCGATTCCGAGGTTGGAATTGAAATCGTGAATGTATCGAAGGAATCAATTTCCAGGCTGGAATCGGAATCGAGAACGAATAGAAAGAATCGACTCCGATGCCGGAATCGGAATCGTGAGTGAATCTGAGGATTCGATTTCGAGGTCGGAATTGGAATCGGGGACGTATCGAAGGAATCGATTTCCAGGCTGGAATCGGAATCGAGATGGAATAGAAAGAATCGACTCCGATGCCGGAATCGGAGTCGTGAGTGAATCTGAGGATTCGATTCCGATGTCGGAATTGGAATCGTGAACGTATCGAAGGAATCGATTTCCAGGCTGTAATCGGAATCGAGATCGAATAGAAAGAATCGACTCCGATGCCGGAATCGGAATCGTGAGTGAATCTGAGGATTCGATTTCAAGGTCGGAATTGGAATCGGGGACGTATCGAAGGAATCGATTTTCAGGCTGGAATCGGAATCGAGATGGAATAGAAAGAATCGACTCCGATGCCGGAATCGGAGTCGTGAGTGAATCTGAGGATTCGATTCCGATGTCGGAATTGGAATCGTGAACGTATCGAAGGAATCGATTTCCAGGCTGTAATCGGAATCGAGATCGAATAGAAAGAATCGACTCCGATGCCGGAATCGGAATCGTGAGTGAATCTGAGGATTCGATTCCGATGTCGGAATTGGAATCGTGAACGTATCGAAGGAATCGATTTCCAGGCTGTAATCGGAATCGAGAACGAATAGAAAGAATCGACTCCGATGCCGGAATCGGAATCGTGAGTGAATCTGAGGATTCGATTTCGAGGTCGGAATTGGAATCGGGGACGTATCGAAGGAATCGATTTCCAGGCTGGAATCGGAATCGAGATCGAATAGAAAGAATCGACTCCGATGCCGGAATCGGAATCGTGAGTGAATCTGAGGATTCGATTCCGATGTCGGAATTGGAATCGTGAACGTATCGAAGGAATCGATTTCCAGGCTGTAATCGGAATCGAGAACGAATAGAAAGAATCGACTCCGATGCCGGAATCGGAATCGTGAGTGAATCTGAGGATTCGATTTCAAGGTCGGAATTGGAATCGTGAACGTATCGAAGGAAACGATTTCCAGGCTGGAATCGGAATCGAGAACGAATAGAAGGAATCGACTCCGATACCGGAATCAGAATCGTGAGTGAATCTGAGGATTCGATTCCGAGGTTGGAATTGAAATCGTGAATGTATCGAAGGAATCAATTTCCAGGCTGGAATCGGAATCGAGAACGAATAGAAAGAATCGACTCCGATGCCGGAATCGGAATCGTGAATGAATCTGAGGATTCGATTCCGATGTCGGAATTGGAATCGTGAACGTATCGAAGGAATCGATTTCCAGGCTGGAATCGGAATCGAGAACGAATAGAAAGAATCGACTCCGATGCCGGAATCGGAATCGTGAGTGAATCTGAGGATTCGATTTCGAGGTCGGAATTGGAATCGTGAACGTATCGAAGGAATCGATTTCCAGGCTGGAATCGGATTCGTGATCGAATAGAAAGAATCGACTCCGATGCCAGAATCGGAAAGGTGAGCGAATCGAAAGATCCGATTTCCAGGCTAGAATCGGAATCGAGAACGAATAGAAAGAAACGACTCCGATGCCGGAATCGGAATCGTGAGCGAATCGAAAGATTCGATTTCCAGGCTCCAATCGGAATTGTGAGCGAGTCAGACGAATCGATTCCGGTACCAGAATCGAAGGAATCGATTCCGAGGCCAGATTCAGAATTGTGAACGAATCGAAGAAATCTATTCCGAGGCGGGAATCGTAATCGTGAACAAATCGAGGGAATCGATTTTAATGCCAGAATCAGAATTTTGAACGAATCAAGGGGATCGATTCCGGTGCTGGAATCGGAATCATGAACGAATTTGATAATTTGATTCCGAGGCTGGAATTGGAATCGTGAACGTATCGAAGGAATCAGTTCCCAGGCTGGAATCGGGATCGTAAGCGAATCAAGAGGAACGATCCCGAGGCAGGAATCAGGATCGTGAACGAATCTGATAATTTGATTCGGAGGTTGGAATTAGAATCGTGAACGTATCGAAGGATTCGATTCCCAGGATGAAATCGGAATCGTAATCAAGCGAATCAAGAGGAGCGATCCCGAGGCAGGATTCGGGATCGTGAACAAATCGAAAAAATTCTGAGTTCGGAATCGGAACTGTGAACGAATCGAGTCCGACGCTGGAGTCGAAACACCAAGAGGAACCCAGCTCTAGCCAGCTGCAGTTTTTTATTTTCTACGCCGCTTGGCCCGTTAAATTTGTCTATTATTCATTCTCGTTACAGTTTTTCTCAGAGGGTTTAACTTGAACTCTGGACTTCTTTATGAATGCAGAGTCAATCTACATAACGCCATTTTTTAATAAGATTATGCAAAAATAACTAGCCCCAATATGGCTCCATGAAAGGCTTTGGCGGCCATCATCCAATGTTATTTGGTTAATTTTTTGATAGTTAAATTATTTTCCGAGAAGTCTGGAAAATATTCCTGGACTATAATCTGACAGCCGACAGTGTTTGCTCCAAAACTATATAAGAGTAGAGTGGCACCCGTCGCAAGATGACAAGCTAAGTAACACCTAAGCTAACTTGATAGCTCGTCTGACGCTATCAAATTCTCGGAGTGTTAAAAATGGTGACTGCAAGACATTTTTGCGACGTTAAAAAAAAAGATTGGCATCAAATACTTCAGATGCAAACAAGAAATAGAATAAATATAGATTAAGTCCTTAATCAAATAAAAAACCAAATAAAGTGACATGACGCAGAATTTATAGAGTTTTTTTGATGCATAAAAAACACAGTGGCAACATTTTTTGAGCAGACGGTGAGAGAATGATTGTGTATTGTGTGTTTGTATGTGTTTCTCAATTCTGTGAATACAATTGTAACATCATTTGTTTTAGTAAAGATTATTTAAGGAATAACAGCACGGACTAAAAAGTGTTTTTTGTCATGCCAATCATAGTAAATTAAAGAGTATTCAAAAATGCAGCCATGTTCGCGACGCACATGGAATTTGAAACGCTCTGCAAATTTGGAACTATAAAAAGGAAAAAAGAACAACTTATTACTCATGTTTATAACTAAACAAATACGTAGAGTATTATAAGAATATTGATTATTTTCATTCAAAGATAGTGTGAAAAATTTGAAAGAAAAGAAAGTTTGTTTGAGTTTATGCTACGTGTCGTTTACAAAAAAACAATGCTGCGGTTCAATTCTTTAATCTTTAGATATTTTTCTTTTTTGTAACATTAATTATATGCTTAACAGCTTCCTCGACTATCATTATTTTTTTACCATTTATTCCACTAAACAAATGACAAATTAAAAGATTTTTAGGCTATTACAGATTTGTTAGCCCTTTAAATACATATTACTACTGTTATTTGAAACACAATGAATTAGTTAGCTTGTACTATTTCTTCTGCATGTTTTGGAAGAGGGACGGCACCTTTATAACTTTCGGCATCGTTATCACAATTATTTGAGATCAATACTTGTTACTTCCCAATAAGCATAGTGACTTTTCCCTATAGTTGGTTTATTTATTTATTCCATAACTCCTTGCTCCTCTCGTTGCAAGCCGGTAGGACCTTTTCTTCTAGGTAAATAGGTTTTCCAAGGACCTCTTTCACTCATCAAAATTTAACCACATTTTTTTTGTTTTATTTTCCATTCGACACTAAAAAAATATATAGGATTCGTCAGTCCAAAAAATACAAACATACAAATATATGCAAAATATAAAAAAACAAAATTCACATTAACATATATAGAAACAAACAAGCAAGCATTTATATACATATAAAATTATCGACAGAATACTGAGAGATTTTCCACTTGACCTTGAAGACGTTTAAGCTTTTTATATTCCAAGGTCACTGGGAAATTTATTAAAGATTTAGGGCACAGGATTTCATAAAAGGTCGTTGATACCATGTACGTCTTTATTTAAATAAAGGATTCTTTGTTGAGAAAAATGTAGAATCCCATTTAGTAAATAGACGGCCCAGTTAATGTAAGAATTATTTTTTTAATAGCTTCTAACATCTATGTGTAGTGTCAACTCCCACCATACATCAAATGACCCTCTTTTGTCTCAAAAATACTTGTTAGGCGTTAGCTGAAGAGCCCCAAAAGCATGAGGCTTAGCGCAGACGAAACTCAATTTGTGCAGAATATATCAAGAATTGTTTTCATTAAGAACTAATTTTTCATCTGAAGCAATCCAAGTTCTGACGAGAAACGATTTTCCGCTCAGCACTCTGCAAAAAGCAGGGTGTCAAATTAATTATGGAGAAGAAAGAAATTCAACACATCGTTGGGCATCTAAAACGATGACAGATAATCAGACAGCGCGGTAAAATCAATCAGGTTCCATGGCACTGGTTAAAGATACGCTGCAAAGCACATGTGCATCGAGAACTGGGACAAGCGAGAATTTGTCACAGGTGATCCGTGATGCTTAGCAAACACAGAACGGAACTTCAACGTTTATCTTATTGCGCAAAGGTTATAGCTTTTGTGAAATAGATGTTTGTACTTCGCCTTACCAATAGACATTCAACCTCTCCTCCACAGAGGGCAATGAGCCGGCTATTGAACAAAAATCAAAACTGGCTGAATTTTCCCTGACCCACCCAAATATATCTACATCAGTACATCTTTTGTGGCATCTGTCAGGTGAACGCCTAAAAAGAAATTAATCATTAGTCCCTCTATAAGTTGGACGGTTGGGATTTTGATAAAATTTTGAAAGGTCTGTCTAGTAGTACCAGTATTATGACTAAAAAATATAGCTCCCTCAAATTTAATTTCGTCTTTTTTTTATTTCTGATGATTCCAGAACAATCAAAAACTTCTTTAGAGGCGGAATCCAAAAACGATAAAACTTGGTTTTTTGATATTTTCAATACGTAGTCAAGAATGAAGGATTCAAAGTTTGATTTTAGTATACCTGTCAGAACTCATCCGAATAACACCTTTGGTAAAAATTTGGTTGGAAGAGGTGGACCAATTCACTCGCTACCTCGCTCCCCTAACTGAAATCCAATAGATTTTTATTTATCGGGACACCTTAAGGCGGCTTCCACGCAGTGAGTTTCAAACCATTTACAAGGGTTCAGCTGCTTCAAAACTGACACTCCATTTTTCAATATTTTTGAATGAAATTCATACAGTATGTTGAGAAGATAATTGCCCAGGGTCCTATAGGAGCACTTTTTGAAATTTTGTTTCTGCACAAGTTTCTTGATGGGTTGAAGTGCGTACTTTTTCTGTTCAACTTCGCGATTTTTTTAAAAATAACCTAGTTTAAAAAATGAAAAAGTGGCCCTATAGCACCCTGTGGGGTTTTGCTTTCAGCACTCTGTGAAAATTTCATCCAAAAATATCAAAAAATAAAGCGGCAATTTCGAAGCGCGCAAAGCTTTACAAATCGTATTTTGGGCGAATTTTGTCTAGTGTTTCGTGCTGCCAACCCAAGCGTTGCGGCGCAATGTACGGACTATTCAGATAATTTGGTGGCCCTATTTCATATATCGCGTAGATAAGTCGTTCTGCAAATAGGAACTCATGATCGCGATCGCTGATACTCCTCGATTTTAAAGCCGTTTTACTTCCCACGTCATTGGAGAGGAAGTATTGTAATCGCGAAAAATTTCTAAAATGAGATGTTATGTTTTTTGAGTCATATGACATCTACATCACGAAAAACTGTATCACTCATCAACTTGGAAATAACCGCTCGGATTCTTATGAAATTTCCACACGGAGTTACTAGTATGCCAAAGCTTAGTAGTTTTAGTCCAGTGGCAACGGTGCTATAGGCAAAAAAGAAAAAGTAACAATTGCTGAAACTCCGTTTTTGACGTTACAGGGGTTCCTTATCATTGACAGAAAAAAATTGTACTGCTTAAGAAGTGGGGGTTGGGGGAAGGTGATTCTGAATGTTGCATCTTTGATATCAGTGAAATACGTTCAATTATTAAGAAGCTTCTGATGCCAGTGATTACAGGAACTTTAAGTAACGAAAATCCGACGAATAATGTGCTCACGATTTGAAAAAATCGGTACCTGCTCTATAGGTTTGACACCAAGAGCCAACAGATCTATCTGCAACTGCCGACAGTAGGGAAGAACGAATATAAAATACAACATCTGCCCTACTTAATCTGCAAGACAATATTTTAAGTACCTTAGATAAGAAAATGGCACTAGCCTTAATCTCTATAGACTATTCGAAAGCCTTTGACATCATCAATCATAAATTATTACTTGCTAAATTAAATTATATAGGTCTTGACAGTGTATCCCTTTCATTTTTCGACAGTTACCTTCATCAAAGAACTCAGTGTGTTTTTCTCAATCAAGAAATGTCTCAAGTGACAATAATTCCCTCAGGCGTACCTCAGGGCTCTGTATTGGGGCCGCTTCTGTTCCTCAAATATACGTTCGACTTAAGCAAAAGTATTGATAATTCTCATGTCCAGTCATTTGCAGACGATACGCAATTGCTTCATTATTTTAACCCAGATAATGTCAATAATACTACTCAAATTTTACAAAACGATGTTAATAAATTAATTAAATACTCTTTAGATCACAATCTACTTATTAATCCACAAAAATCTAAATTGTTATTATTTTGCGCACAAAGAAAAACATACAATGTGCAATTTTCTGATTCTGCAAAAATTCTTGGTGTTGTTTTTGATACAAAATTAAGGTTTACTGAACATGTTAAAAGTCTCTCTCAGAAAACCTACCTACGGCTGCGCACTCTTATAGCAAACAGGTATTTACTAAATTTTAAGTTGCGTAAAAAACTATGTGAAGCATTGGTCATATCTATACTAAATTATTGTAATATCGTATACTATACTTGTTTAGACAATTTCACTAAAAACGTTATTCAAGTTATTCAAAACAATTGTATACGATTCTTTTTGGCTTACGTAAATTTGATCATGTATCAGCGAAATATCCCGTTCTAAACTGGTTAAAAATTAATGACATAGTCAAGTATCACTATTCAGTTTTTGTTCACAAGTTGCTGCTCACGTCTAAACCTTATTACTTGAAGGAAAAAATTTCATTTAATAATGATGTTCACTGTAGAACTCTCACAGAAAATAATATTAGAATACCCCTGCATACGTCTACACTTTTTAAACGCAGTTTTTCTTACAATGTTGCTATTATTTATAATGACCTTCCTAAAGTATATAAAGAATTTTCATTACCTGTCTTTCGACAAAAAGTTAAAACATTATTACTCAACCCTCCAAACATATAATTTACGTAATCATTCATTTCTTTTTTATTCCATCTTTAATTCAGATTAATAATTTTTTGGTGCATCTGGGTTTGGAAAGTATGCCTTTTTCTCTTTTTTTTTAAATTTTACTTTCGACGTAATTAACCAAATCTGTTTGTGGATAGTGTATTCTTTTGAACATCTGCTAGAGACTATATGGTTAAGTGTAAGAGTAGCAGCATGCTAAACTTCGCCATGTAAGTCTGACATTTGGCTATACTACAATGTAATTGTGGACAAATAAAGACGTCTATTATTATTATTAATTTGGATATCACTCCAGTCAAGTATAGTGGAATTTAGCGTGGAACTTTAAAATTATCGATAGGTTAAGGAAATATGTTTTTGATAACGACAATTTGGTAGATTTTATACCTGCATTTTCATTTGAATTTCATGATCCGTGAAATGTACCCATTTCGCCGTTACGTTCAATTTGTGTTCTGCAGTTTGTGATGTTTTTCTGGATATAAGCAGGACATAATTGCCTAAGGTGCTATCAGAGCGTTTTACAAAATTTTGTCTTTGCGCAAGAATTATGGTGGGTTGTAATGCTTACTACGTATTTGTTCTCAACTTCTTGATATTTTAAAAAGATCCTAGTGGAAAAAATCGACAAAGTGGATCATTAGCACCACTTTATTTTTAGCACGCTGCAAGAGTTTCACTTGGAAATAATAAAAAATGAAACGTAATCTGTGAAGTGCAAATCGGTTTTTGAGCGAAATTCGTCTACTGTTTCGTCCTGCCAGTCCAAGCGACGCGACGGTGCGTTACGACTAAGAAAAGATGTATTCAAATAATTTGATATATTTCCTAAAATAAATTCAAGAACTTAAATTAAAATTCGTTTATTCATGTCAGTAAACACAATTATGTTTACAAGGGTCATGTGGTACATGGTAACAATTGAATGAGAGTCATAAAAATATTTTATGCCGGCAAAATAAGAGAAAACATTTAAGTAGTTTTTGCAAAGCAATAAACAGGTAGGCTTATACCTGAATTAAGTACATTTCTTGTCTACTGTAATAGGTAGATGGAGGCGATGCTGCCAGAGATGGATTTGTGCGATCAATAAACAAACCACAAGATTGAACTACCGTGTCCAATGATTTTTGTATTGCCTTTTTTACTGCGTTACTAGAAAACTCTGTTGGGTATATGATGGAGTTTACTAGAACTTTACAGCTTGTTGTCTGCCTTCTTCTACAAACTTCACCAAATCGAGACGCTGTCAACCTTATCCTCCGATGAAGGCGCGACAAAGTACAGTCCTGTGATTTGGTGACTTGTTCGATCTGCAAAATCTCGTCGTCACTTTTTTCAAGTTTCCCTAAAAATGTTCGCTTAGCAACCTCCAAATCAATGTAGTTAATGTCAGGTTTTTGATTGAATTCGCCATAAAACTATTCATTTTCTTTGGAATTGCTATCCGAATTGTTAGTTATTTTTATATCAGCTTTATTTGGTCTGAGTTTCTTTTTAAGATTCTTGCGTTTGAGTCTTTGTTCCATCTTAGCGATAAGCGAGGTTGGACTAAGCTTAGAACGCAAATGTATTTAGACCACATATACAGGCCGCTGGGTATTGTGGTTCAATGATTCGTCGAGTGAGAAGGTGTACGGGAACGGATGGTGAACATTTCCAACATTTATTTATAGTGTACTTTATGTCATGGTACCTATTGGAAGGTTGCGATAACACTCTTTCCAAGATCTTTTTTTTTGTTTTTTGTTTTTCAATGCACTTGTGATGCTTTTTGAAAAATTTATAAACCAATTTCGTCCAGTAACATGCAATAAAATGGTTTTTTCTCGGAAACGAAGTAAGATACGAAAAAAATACGAGAGATAAAGAAGTTGTATTTTTAGATGCCTGATTAAACAACAAATATTAAAGTTACAAAAAAGGCAGCGGCGTACATTTTTTTGCCAATAATACTCGCTAAGGTACCTCGCGGGACGCCACTGGACCTAATAATTTCAAGCTATCCAGGGATAAATTAGCCTCTTAATATTGCAAATCATATCGCCAAATTTCAACAGAATCGAATAAATATTTTTAAGATGTTTTTTTTAATTTTCTTTGTAAACTCTGCATTTCCAGAGTCATGTTCATAGAAACCTTTTTCAATATTTTTTGACAATGAAATATCTCTGACTATTTTTCGCACACCCTGTATAATCGCATTTTTCCAAAATCTTTTTATTGCTGTCTTTATTCAATGTCGTATAATATCCAAAAACATATCTCACTTTCGATTTTCTTTTTCGCGATTACAGTACGTGAAAAGTAAAATATTGTTCTGATTGGTCTAGATTCTGCGGTCAAGTGTTTATGCTTTCCCAATAAATTCTAGAACAACCGATACAAAATTTTCACCTACTCTACATAAAACTTCCTCAATAATTTCGATTGCATAATACCAATTTATGGTGGATATCGGAACGAATCGGAGCAATTTGAAGCACGAAATATCGGAAAATCGAGCTAATTGAAACTATTTTATTAGAATTAAGACGTACTAAATACCGCATTCAATCAGAGTCGACCAGATTATTAGGTTTACAGTGCTTTCCAAGGAGCCGCAGCCAATTTACTTCATGATTGGGTCAGCATAAGAATCTAATATCATCATGAGCCTTGTCAAAATAGATGTATATGTATTGAAAACCTTAACTACCCAAAACTATTTTAAACGTATTCTGACAGCTGTGATTAATAAAAACAATTGTCATGGCTTTTATGTTTCACAGCCACCTATGCGTTATAGACTTATTTTGCATTGAAATGAAAATAGGTTGATATGCTGTAATTGCAACATGTGTTATTTTTATGCTGCAAATTTGATTAGTGAGTGATAAAGTTGGTCTTTTCTATTATATATTATCAAAATATTCATTGTTAATATTTTAAACCTATAACACCCTGCTACATTTTTATTATTTGTGTTTGATAAGAAAAAAACTAAGATTTCAATAGTTGGGCCAACTGAAGTGGGAAGGGGCTCGTATTGTCGTTTTTACCATATCCCCGACGCATATATTTTCCTGATGCGTTATTTTTCAGTTTTCAGGGTTCATATTGCTCACCATATGCACATTGGCGGAAAGTTATTACTGGGATTGGGATGATTCAGACACATCACCCTCGAAGAAATCGTATGAAAACTCTGATCACAGTGAGCACCACCACTCGAAAGGCGGCAAGGAAGGGGGAGGACATGAAAAACACAGTAAGTTTTGCGCGACTCGTACTACACCCCATTCGTAGTACCGTTTTCGTCCACAAAAAACACAACATGAGATTGTACAGGTCCATATGTTCTTCAACGGTCTTGGAATAATCCAACAAAATAAATGATAATTTTTATGGAAAGAAGTGCACATACATTTTTGCCAATTCTTTATTCGCTGGAAATATACTAAGTGACATATAAATCCGAACACCCAGTTTAAATGGTTTTATTTTAATAAAATTTTGTATAAGTACTTAATAAAGCATAATAAGTAAATGATAAAAATTTCAAAATGATTGCACTGCTTAAAGCCCTTTGACCTTTAATAATGTGTGGATACACCCTGATGTGCTACGCATTCTCCAACGCGCCTAGGCATGCTTCTGATCAGGTGGTCAATGCCCTCCTGTGGTATGTCATTCCAGGCAACCACCAACTCCTCTCGAAGTGCTTCTAGAGTCTGAGGAGGACGTTGCAAATGGAGCAATCTCCTACCCATCATATCCCACACGTGCTCAATTGGGGATAAGTCGGGAGATCTTGGTGGTCATGGTAACAATGTCACATCATTATGTTGAAAGAAGTCTATTGTGCTCTTGCAACATGTGGTCGGGCATTATCTTGTTGGAAAGTTGGATCTGCCAGGGTGGATATAACGCTGCGCGTTCATGTTACCTCTGATGGAGATTAAAGATGACCTGGAACCATAAGCTATAGCACCCAAAACCATAACTCCAACAGTGTGATGAACATGTCTTTCAACAAAAAACTGTGGATTCCTCCTTTCACCACGTCGCCTTCTAACCCTGGCACGACCATCGTGCATGCCTAAACAAAATCGAGACTCGTCACTAAAGACAATACTGTTCCATTCCTGATCCCAGAGTGACCGTTGTCTGCACCACTCAAGGCGATTACGTCGGTGTTCTCGAGTTAAAGGGAGGACCCAGTGTGGCCGGTATGAAAACAAGCAAAAACTTCTCATTCGTCGGTAGACACTTCGCATTCCGTGTTCTGCAAACCATTCATTTGCAATGGACCTGGTAGTGGAGAAACGGTCCCTTAAGGCCAATAATTTTAGGCGGCGATCTTCACGGTCTGTTGTTCTACGGCGGCGTCCAGTGCCCCTTGCTCTTTGCGTACGGCCTTCTCGAAGCCATGCCTGACAACACCTAATCACAGTGTCTACACTTCTTTGCACTCTAACTGCAATTGCCCGAAAAGAAAGTCCAGCTTCCCGAAGTCCCACTATACGGCCCCTATCAAACTCACTAAGTTGACGAAATCGTACAGGTCTCCGTACTCTAGGCATCGTAACCGATCGTAAAGGATGTCAAGAACCAAAATCCGCCAACGTTGATTCTTTACTGCGGCTGAAATATTCATTTTTAGAGCGTTAGTGAATTAAAAAAAAGCAGTATAGAAACCGGAATGTCCAACTGATAAGGCTGAAAATTTTTTCACTTGTCATTTACAGTAAGATAAATACATTCACCAACTTTTATTAAAATAAAACCATTTAAACTGGGTGTTCGGATTTATATGTCACGGATGCAATATTTCCAATGGTTTGCCGTCACTCCGTCACACCACCGTTTATTGTTTGGAGCCACATAGTTTTTTATATTTCACTGGGACTTCGCAGTCTTATTTTAGTTTTTAGCCACTCCGTCAATAACATCATGATTATATTTACATTTGTGCTGCCAGACTAGATGGATAAGTTCTGCCTTGACCATATTTTCATTGAAACTAACGTCTTTTGATAGGAGCCATTGTTGAATTTCTGCCTTTCTTGCGGACATTGTGGGAATTTTTTCTAGTTTTCAAAGTGGATTTCCAATTATTGCGGGGAAGCGAAGCTTTTTTTGCACGCCGGAATATAGTATTAAGTTTTGGCATAGACAGTAAAGTTAACAGGCCACAGATACTGAAAAATACTCTGACTAACGTTTCGGCTGCCACTGCAGGTTATTCTCGAATACAAACCTTAGTTGATAAGTGGTTTGGCTTTAATGTTAATAAAACGTTAATATATTTTTAGGTAGTCATTACGACAAAGAAAAAGGCAAAACTAAGAGTGGAAATGTAAAAGTGCACGACGAAGAAGAAGCAAAGAAAGGTTCAGATTTAGAATGGATTCATGCCCACGACGAAGCAGAGGAAGGTGGGAAAAAACATAAACACCATGGGAAGAAGTATCACGAATCTTATGAAGACGAAAATGGTGAAGACGGATTTGGCGGGAAGTATGAAGATTCTCAGAAGCACAAGAAGCTAAATTACAGAAAGGTAACGTCTTCAAAAAACACAAATTTTAACCGTAGCCGACTTTTGCGGGAAGATTCAAATTGTCAGCTTGAAACTGCATCCTGTTCAAGTAAATTGATTTATTTAGATTTTTTCATATCCTCGAAAATACTTGGAAGACTTTAAAAAGAAAGCAAAATACATCGCATCTACCCTAATATTATCAAATATCTGACTGTATCTTGATTTTAGGGTTATAGAGAAAAGTACCACAAGGACGAGGCTGAAAAACATGACAGATTCTTCAGCAACGCAGACAAAAGCGGCGAATACGAAATATATGGAAAAGGGCATGCCAAACATTCAAGCAACAAGCATTATAGAGCGAAAGAGAACAACCATAAGGTATCTCATACCGTTCGTTCGTTATTCTTATAGTTACAAGGTTATAATTCGGTTCTCTTGGCGGTGAATTGTAAGGTTTATTGTACGCTCCCGTTCGCAAATGAACTTTACTACGGCATTTCCCACGAAACGCTATTATCAGCTCATAAAGGATCCCATTTGACCCGCGAGAGCAACGGTGCCTCCCCTCTCCCCTAAGAATCCAGTTCGACCTGATTATTTACATACTTAGCATGTTTTTCTGTAAAATTCTGCAGATTTTTAGGATTTGCCGTTGCCCTTAAAAAAATATGCTGCTCTGCTCTGCAAAAAGTTTTTGGGCAGGTAACCCTTCAACAAAAAATTATCCTTTCTGCGGGCAGCCATAAACGTTGCTATGACTACCCTCGCCGCTCGTCAGCTGCTACACCACCGCAGTTTATGCTCAAAAACTTGGCCCATTAATTTTTTCAAACATTCTACCATTTGCAACAAGGATAAAATTAAACTTTTCAGGGTATTTTTAACTGTAAAAGACATATGAAGCATCAGGAATTTCATGAAAACTTGAAATTTAGCCGTTGACGTTGTGAAAATCTATAAATTGCACTTTTTTTCATGTCTGTTCAAATGGATGACAAGGATAAAAATATTTCATTTAATTCGCAGCAGGCTTTTGTAGAGGTTTTTTTTAGGTTTTCAGAACTGGCCCTTTTTGATTTAAAGTTTGATATCTCGGCTAAAAAAGATCGTACCGGGGTTTTAAAAACAGCAAATTGAAGCTGAATAAACAGGCTATCCGGTCCATATCATGGCTTAATAAAATAATTTTCGTGGAAAACTGAAATTTTCAAGGTTTCTTCTACATGGATTGAAATAGTTTTTACAATAAAATGAATAATGATTTTTTGCGTTGATTTCTAATAAGCTCTGCTAAAAAGTGACATAACCTTTGCTAAAACTAACCATTTAGCTCATCTCAGAAAAAAATCACAGCCCTAAACCCAATGGTTTAGTTGTAATTGCGATTGAAATTGCGTTATCCCGTTTTTTCGAAATTTCACAAAATTGCAGATATTTCCTGAACTATTAAATTTTGGACCACACATATAGGGCTCCATTCGATGTTTTCACCTGTAGATGCACTACTAACTTTACACCCTGTATAAAATCAAAGTATTATAAATGAATTTTGGTGTAAAATACGTCATTTAAAATATATATGACAAAAGCCACAAGAACTTTCCGAATAACCTAATACTAATTATAAATTTTGCAGGAGAAAACCGACAAGAAGAAATATGGCAAGAAAAGCAAAGGGGAAAAGGGCCATCACGACTCTGACAGGAAGGTGCACCAATCCTCAGGAGGGAAAGAAACGCATCACAACCACCATGATTCTTGGGGCAAAAAGCACAAACACAAAGGTGGAAACAAGTACCAGTACAACAGTTAATGTGAAGAGAAATTGGGATTGTTTATTTATTATTTTTATACTCGCTTGCTGTACCTTGAATCAGTATTAATAAAGTAGGTTTTATCAGTATAAAGGATTTTTAGATTTTACATGTTTAGGAATGGTGTATTCCTAAAATCTTACTTAAATAACGAAAATAGGTTGTTTACATCCATCTTTCAACAAATTCTTTGAGGACAAACATACAATGCTGTGACAAGTAGAGGCGACCCTTCACTCGTTCATCCAAGGCTTTTGTCTGTTAATAAAAAAAATTATTTTCTACTATTTCGATGAAAAAAGTCCATTAACATCATGGACAATTATGGTATATTGAATCATGTTATAGTATATAAATATTAGGTGACAAGAGTACAAACTATCATCTATCCTTAGCACCGAATCACCATCTGAGCTAAAAATTTCATCACTCAAGTAAATGTGCCAGCTGCAACCAATGTCCAGGATAAGATAGCGGGCCATGCCGTTACCTCCGAGAATACAAGTCCAAACAACTGGGCTCTGAACAGCCTGTGACGTCACGCAGAGTAGGCCTATGCATGTTCTTATGCAGTTTCGCGATGCCTGGCTGGCAAGAGAAGCGCGCCACCATTTCTCTGCGGTGTTGTCATATCTAGATTTGATATGGCAGTATCGAAATCTCTACTACTATGTATCTAACGAAGCTACAAAGTAATCGTAAACAGTGGTTGATTCGTGATCAACGCGTGATTGGTAGCCATGGCGCTCTGTCGGCCTCTTCCTGATTGGCTTGTAGCGACGAGCCTCCAGACAAAGTCGCACGGTTGCCACGCTCGGCGAGTTTTCGCCAGAGTGGTTGATCACATTCGCATGGATCACAAATAAATCTGTTGGTGCAATACGTGCAATAACGGTTGTAAAGGACATTATATAACAATAAATGGCATCACAAAGGTATATTCCCATTTGATCTGCAGCAAATTATGAACGGCATATACGGAGATGCGAAAACAAGCTCAAAAAGGTGAAGAAAATTTTTGTGCAATCTTTATAGTTAAATTTTTCCTAAGACATAGCATCAGTGAGGGATTTTTTTCTATTGTCTTATTTTTCATATTAATGCGATGTCGAGGTATGTGGCCCTATCGCAATTGAAAATAAGGTTTCGATAATCCTTCCATAAAGTTTCGATGAGTACATCTGAAATAACCTTGAGATATTCTTCAGGGAAATACAAAAATCTCCTTTTGTGTTTTTTTGTGCAGATTTATCTATTAAAATCCTATCCGCAATCTATTTTCCGTGCACACACCTTCAACCGAATGTATGCCATATATGATATTACCGTTTCCAACTATCACCAAGGTTAATAGGAACCATAACAGCTCCCTACCCTTCCCCCCTATAAGAATATCGATTTGTAGCCTCACATTTCAAGGTTAGACTTCTTGTAATGTTTCTGTTCAACATTCGGCGATTTCTGACAATTTTCCCAATTAATCATGATCATTGTGACATTAAGCCTGGCAACGCTGCATAGTAAAGGGAACTCTCAGCGTCACGTTGATGGTTCGTCACCACGCACAGGATTGTAATCAATTACGGATACCCGTTTATGAGCGCAAACGTTTTATGCACGTCTTGACTTGATTTTTCTTGGGGAAATTTAATATTAGTCTAAAATGTCTGACACAGATACAGCTGATGAAGTGGTTGAAATCAGCTTAACGCCACCCAGCAAAAGGGCTGAAAAGCTTCATCTTAGCGCAGGTGAAAAACAAATTATTCTAAAAATCTACAAGAACCAGATGCAAGAGAATAGTGGATTGGCTATAGAAAATATCGTATGTAAGGTTGTTGAAATTTCTGGAGTAGGTCGATCAAGTGTTTACAAAATCTTGAAGGAATATAGACAAAATCACTCACTATCTGAGCCAAAAACATATCCAGCGAAAAAAAAATCATCGAAAAAATAGATGACTTTGACAAAAGTGCCATTAGAAGAAAAGTACATCACTTTTTCTTCAGGAATGAAATACCTACAATAGATAAAATATTGAAGCAAGTGAATGATGATGAGGACCTGCCAAATTTTAAAAGATCTACGTTCCATAAGCTGTTGAAAGAACTAGACTTTCGATTTTTGAAAAGAGGAAGGAATAGTTTATTGATAGAAAAGGAGGAAATTGTAATCTGGAGGAGAGAATACCTTAGAAAAATTAGGCAATTCCGCGCTGAAGGAAGAAAAATTTATTATTTAGACGAAACATGGGTGAACGCGGGGCATACGCAGGGAAAGGTTTGGGTAGACAGATCTGTGAGGTCCTCAAGGCAGGCTTTTTTAGATGGCCTTTCGACGGGATTGAAAAATCCTGCAGGTAAGTTTCGAAGTATATGAACTTTTTTGGATGCAGATAATTCATTTTCTGATCGAATCAATGATTTGGAAGCTCCGAACTCAGTTTTGCTATCTCATCCAAGTTTCTGCGTATTTCCTTCACCCAAAAACTAATCTAAGACCCTATCCTACACTAACCTAAAAAGAGTAAGTTGCTTAATTTCGTCATTTAGTGCGCTCGCTGAGAAGTAAAATAACTAATTACTTTCAGGCAAGGGAAAACGCCTGATCATTTGCCACATAGGTAGCGTAGATGGATTTGTTCCTGAAGCATTGTGGGCATTTGAATCCAAAAAAACTGGAGACTATCACGAAGAAATGGATGGTAACTCATTTGAAAATTGGTTCAAAAAAATTTTGCCGACACTTGATGATAACGCAATTATTGTGATGGATAATGCCCCGTACCACTCCAGAAAATTGGAAAAAATTCCAACAATGGCCACCAAAAAGGCAGACATTCAACAGTGGCTTGTCTCAAAGAAGATCGACTTCGACCAAACAATGGTCAAAGCTGAGCTGATAAATATAGTCAAGCGACATAAGTATAAATATGATTTAAAAATTGTTGACGAAATGGCCAATAACCAAAATAAAACGATTCTCAGGCTGCCTCCCTATCACTGCGAACTGAATCCTATCGAGTTGATTTGGGCCGACATCAAGCAATACGTGTGGCGTCAAATAACAGCACTTTTAAGTTTTCTGACCTTAAAAAACTGTTTGATGTTGCTGTCGATAGAATTACGCCAGCAAAATGGTGAACATGTATTGACCATGTCCAAGAGAAGGTTGAAACCAAAATGTGGGATATGGACAATATCACTGACACCCAAGTTGAACCCCTTATAATTGACATCAACAATTCTGATGATTCAAGCTCCTCAGAATACAGCATATAAATCGAGTGATGCCATTAAGACTGGCAGTTTAACGGGCTTTTTGGCAAGACAGGTAAGTTCATTATAGACTGCAATCAAAGTGTAAGTTTCTAGTTATTAATGTGGAAATTCCAAATTTATAATTACACAAAATTAGGGTTAATTTAGGAGTTCCAAAGCATAATAGTGCCATTTTGACCTTCTTCCTATTTCTCATGTAAATTTTAATAGCAATCAAACTAACAAACTTTATGAAACTTTATGAAATTGGAATATGTGGCAACCTTGGTAACACCGCTAACATCCAACAGCTGTCCAAGAGCCAACTAACCTCACATTCTGAGCCTCTATTATGTATCTTTCTATGCTATGTAAACTGAAAATTATTGATGTTTTAAACTTATATTTGTGTCTCGCGATTGTTTAGCTAAGTTTTCAAAATGCCTTACAAGTGCTGCGTTCCTAATTGTGCCGGTAATTACAGGAAGGGTCCGAAGGTACACGTATTTTCGTTTCCATTGAATGAAAACTGTCGTGAAAGATGGCTCAATGCAATCCCTCGTAGTGATTTAGTGGTTACAAAAACACACCCGAGTATGCAATTTGCACTTTGCTGAGGACAGCATCATTTGGGAATCCACCTTCCATGACGAAAAGACAGGTAAGACCATTACTGTGCCCCTTAAGTATCCAAAATTAAAGGCAGATGTAATTCCAAGTATCTTTGCAAATCGTCCAAAATACCTTTGAAACGACAGAAGAAGCCGAGATGAGAAATTGACGGACAAGGAACAAGAACAACTACTTAAAGCACTGCAAAGTAGCATTGATGATTATTCCTCCTATCAAAAATCAACAAGTTTTTAAAATTATTTAGACTTTCTCACAGTTTTCAGTGCATGGCAATGTCGATATGGGTGGCATAAAATTGATCAGGATAAAGTTACTTTCTTTAAGTTAGAATATAGACCAGCACCCATCATAACTCACTCTGTAATTGTTGATATTCATTGATATTATATGGAAGTGGTGGAGAATTGTCAATGTAACAAGTCCATTGAAAGGAAAGCGGTTAAATGACCTTTATGCAGAGCCTATTGCTTGCTCCAACAGTGATGACAGTAAGCTGACATTCTTGCAAAAAATGCTAGATTGGCTAGAAGACTGGAATGATCCAGCAAAATTTTCAAAAAGACTAACTAGTCAGACTTACACTGCACTACATCATACAGTATATGATCTTGTACAATCATATATTCACCTATATTAAATGAAATGTTTTCATATAGAATCATAGGCACCCTAATGTGTAACCCTGTTTTAGACTAATGAAGATTTACCTCTTCACTGATGATAATGAATCTCCAGAATCGCCAACTACTCCACTAACTTTGTCAGCATCTGATTATAATGATGAAGCCTTGCCATCCACCTCTTCAGCTAGCAGCGGCTTTAGCACAATAAATAAATCTTGTCGACAGTCTTCAATTACGGAAGCTTTTTAAACCATTAGATCATTTGCAGGTAATTTTAAAAGGCTCATAATTATAAAAAATGTAACAGTATATCCAATTTTTAATGTAAATTAAAACCTGAAACAGATTATCTGGTGATCGAATGTCAAAACTATTATTCTTACATTCGCTGAGTGCTGAAGAATGGTATTTTTAAGATTTCGAACTTCGAGTTATTTGTAGTATTGTTTTCAATACCCTATGTTTATATATTTTATGTTAATAATAAATAAATAAATAATCGTTTTGTAGTGAATTTCTTAGTATTTATTTTTTTACCTATTTTTTGTGAACTTATTCGACAATCGTCATGCAGTTGAAAAAAGTGACGTTATTTAGATGGTTTTAAAAAAAGCTACATCGATTTTCGGCAGTGTATAGTGTATGCTCCGTATCGATACTAGTGGGATCGATATTTTTATTCCGATATTTTAATGGTTCGATATTCCATTAAACGGTAATTGGTATCGATATTTTACGTGGATCGGAACATCCCTGCGTCGGCGTGCCGGCGATACCCCGAGCCTGAATCCTATCCTGTCGAATCCTGCACTTGATCGTAGTTTTATAGCCGGATGACCAATAGCTATTGCAACGCTCAGGCGGCTGCCGCCTTGCCGTATCTTTGTTGTGCCGGGGCGTAACTGGACTACGAATAGGGTATACAGTATATTCAGATAAGAGATAGACCGGATGTAAACAAAAGGTTCGGGTGATTTTCACGCTAACGCCGCCGTCTCGACGTAAAACAGGAGCCCTCATTGGTCAATTCGCAATTAAATGCCTATGCCGAGCGGCAGAGCAGTCGTATCAAGGCAGAGTCACATTCAGGTTCAGCCGTGTTACGTATGTCGTGTGCATCATTGCAATTTGATATTTCTTTGGACGTTTTCGTTTGTTATCTTATTAAGTTGTTGAGTTTGTCGTTGTTATTGTTATACCTTGTTATTGATTGTTATTGTTATCAACTGCTTGCGCAAAATGCCCAGTAGTACAGATACTGCCGATGAAGTTGTAAACTCCTGTAGTCCACCTAGGAAACGCTCTAAAAAAAGACACCTGAGTGCAGAAATGAAAGAGGTCATTTTGAATATATGTATATAAGATCGAGCGCGAGGAGAACGAGGCATCAACCATCAAAGAAATTGTTGTGAAGGTTTCTCACAAAGTTGGGGTGTGTCGCGCATCAGTGTTTAATGTGTTAAGACAATACAAAAAAAATTACACCTTTTCTGAGCCAATGACCAGTAAACATCGCAAAAGTATTGTTAAATCATTGGATGAAGCTGATAAGCATGCGATTAGGAGGAAAGTGCATGAATTCTTCTTTAGGAATGAAATACCTACTATAGATAAAGTACTGCAAGAGGTAAATGGAGATACAACGTTGCCAAATTTCAAACGATCAACTTTCCATGCGTTACTGAAGCATTTAAATTTCAAATGGAAAAAACGGGGTCGTAATAGTTTACTACTGGATAGAGAACAAATTGTGCTATGGAGGAGGGATTATTTAACAAAAATTGGGAAATATAGAAATCAAAACAGGAAGATTTATTACCTTGATGAAACGTGGGTAAACGCAGGACACACTACAAGTAAAGTATGGGTTGATGATTCTGTAACTTCATTCAGGAGGGCCTTTCTAGATGGACTGTCCACCGGATTAAAAAATCCAGCAGGTAAATACGAGTAATAGACAACAATCGGATGTTTTTCAAACCTTGGGAACAAGGTTCTAAACATTAATTCCAGGGGGCAGATAAAACATATTACAAGTAACAAAACTTTTATAACTTTCGATAAAATGCGTGGATGTTTTATTGTCATTTTCATTTGTTAGAACTTTTTTAAGCCATGTTTTTATGTGTTTTCGATATTTCAATAATTTTTTAATATAATCTTAAAATATGTCGAATATTATAAACTTAAAAAAAGTTACTAAGTTTTATATTGTATACCGTTCGTAATATTTCTAATCATTTTAATTCATACTTTAAGCTTTATAAAGTTATAATTTGTTAATATTAATATTTGCGCGTATTTCAGGTTCCTGATCATTCATTTTTTAAAGGTTTATAACATTAAATTAAATTGTAAAGCGCTGAGTAATCATACGACGTTCAATATTCTTTCTTTCAATATGACTAAATAATCCCAATTATAGCAATCTGATACTCATGTCTCAATGTTTTTTCGCTGAATGTGATGAAAACATTTGAAAAAGGTTCGCTTATTGAAATAAATCTACACCAGTTAGTACTTCGATTTCCAGGTAAAGGGAAAAGGCTCATTATCTGGCATATTGGCAGTGAGGATGGATTTGTTGTTGACGGTCTGTGGTGCTTTGAGTTTAAGAAAACTGGAGATTACCACGAGGAAATGAATGGCGAATCGTTTGAACAGTAGTTTTCAAAAATTTTACCGAACTTAGAGGAAAACGCAGTAATTGTGTTGGATAATGCGCCTTATTATTCTCGAAGAATGGAGAAGGTCCCAACAACGGCTTCAAGGAAAGTTGATGTTCAAAATTGGCTCCGCTCGAAAAATATCAACTTTGAAGAAGCAATGCTGAAAGTACAATTATTAAGAATTGTCAAGGATCACAAGGCGGAATATCAAAAATACGCCATTGACGAAATGGCAGCAAGTCAAAATAAAACTGTGCTCCGTTTACCTCCATACCATTGCGAGCTCAATCCCATTGAGCTCATATGGGCAGAGGTTAAAAATTATATAGCTAAGCACAATACAACTTTTAAATTTTGTGACCTCAAAGGACTTTTCAAATAGCACTAGAATTAATAACAGCGCAAAAATGGGAAAACTGTATTAAGCACGTGAAAGACAAAGTTGAAAAGAGAATGTGGGAACTGGACAATATTTTAGAGGAACAAGTCGAGTCATTCATTATTGACGTTGGTACTTCAGGCAGTAGCGATGATGAAAGCTCATCAAGCTCATCTTTCCAATAAAAGATGTCGTTCATCAAATTCGGTAAGTTATAAGTAATTATAAAGCTACTGTATTTTTTAATTAATTATTGACATTTTTGAACCCATTTTGGCAAAACCTATTCAAGAATCTACTTTCTGACAATGTTCAACCATGCACATTTTTTTACGTTTTGAACGTTTTAATTTGGTTACATATTTACCTAGAAATCAAAAAATGTACTAATCAATATTCTAAAAGCAATTTTAAGAGATATACGATTATTTTTAATTTAGGCTAATTTAAACGCCATTTTGAGATTGTATTCGACTGTATTTCACCAAACAGCAGGCGGCATCCGAAGCTGGAAATCGAAGCGAAAATTTTGAAACCCTTATGTATATTTACATCATTATATATTTGTTACCCCACCCCCACATGATCCTATATCCATCACCAATCGTATACACATCGAATTGTGCTAATTTACTACAAAGTTACGCAAAGCAGCATCTACTATCTAAAATATGTACTGCGTGACTCTTAATACGTCCCTGCCGAATGTTACAGCGTTCGATGATCACGTGGTCTTGTTTATGTCCGGTCTATCTCTTATCTGAATATACTGTAGTTAGTCAGTCGAGCTAGGAATTTTTTAGATAACGTTGCCGTTACACTGTCAAATTTTACGCTCGAGCTTGTCATTCATAGAAATGAGACAAAACATAAAATATATTTTTCTGAAAATACTGATATTGTGTTGAAATAAAAATGTTGGAAAACACTACGTTACACAAAAATAAACCTATGCAATAAATACGTAAAGTTTTATTAAAAAAAAATACCAAGTTTTCACAGCCATTATCCAATATCTATTTTATTTTATTAAGCTTACAGATAACCTAATATAATACAAAATACAATATTAGATAGTTGAATGCTGAATATAAGGCAAACATTGAGAATTCTTATATTAATCATCAATTTTAATCTGTAAATCGAGCTTATTCTGCTGTGATTGAAGTTAAAATAGAGCCGACAGCTTTTGTTTTGGAGCTTCATACTCAACAACAGGTCAACGAACACAACAATACTGATGGAGACTGGACAATTTCTTATAACCCTTCCTTTTCTGTCACCTTTTAATAGATCTAGTTTTTTCTTGTATTTCTCGGGTCATCTGACATGAACATTCTGTGTGGTTGATGAAGTACCTGTATCGCAATCTTCCTAAATAGTAGTAGGACATGTTCACCTCTTCAGTATTCAGCGGCAAACAGATGAGGGTTTTGTCATTACAACAACCACTGTTGTCACACCTGAAACACAAGACACAAAACGTAAAACTCTTAAGCTCTCTGTCTGTTGGTTTGTCCGCTAATATTTGGCCCGCCTACAACTTGGACGGTACTATTAAAATTATTACGGTACTGTTGCGACTTGTAGAACTTCTGATTTCACTGTTTTTTCACTTGAAACTTATACAGGGTGTTTCAGTTTATTGTTGCATAACTTTAAGATTCGATAGAACTTTTAAAATTAATGCATAAAGTCTATATAAACATGGGTCGAAAAATGCGTGGCTTCCGAAATACAGGGTAGGGTGTTTAAATTTACTTTCTAAAATAGTTTCTTTTAAATATTTCGAACAATATTTGATGTATAACAGTGACAATTGGTATACAAGGGTTTTTTGGTACGACAAAACGAACCATGGCCATAGTTTTACTGTACCCGCTAGAGGGCGCTCTCTACTGTACCTGTAGTGTATTGAAATGACCGAAAAAAATTTCTTAGTGCAATTTTTTGCTTTTTGAATAAAAAAACTGATTCTTCGCACTTTTCAACATAAAAAAGCTCTCTTGTGAATTTTCGTTATAGTTAACCGTTTTTGAGATATTTCGAGGTTTAAGGTTCGATGCATTTTTAATTATTTATGATAAAATAACGTTAAAAGTCAGTATCTCGATAATTTTTAGAAGTAGGCTGTGCCTGCAAATATTTTTGAAATTGAAAGCAGAATAAGGTTAAACGTCAATTAGTTGACAGTTAGTTTTGTTGTCTGTTGAAATCTGAAACGTTTTTTTGCAATTGTGAATGCACGAAATTTAGTTTCTTTTACCTGTTTTTTTTTTGTAAATTTTATAAAAATGCCATTTTTATTCTCCAATCAAGAGTTAGCGGACATTCATTTTGTGTATGGCTTTGTAAATGGAAACGCAGCAGAAGCAGCCAGAGAATACGCACGAAGATTTCCAAACAGACGACATCCAACTCGCTCAGTATTTTAAGAGTGCATCGCCAAATAATTGAAAATGGTTTTGGAAATCTCCAAAGGGATCAAAACATAAATGTTCGTCACCGCAGATTTACCCATATGATTCTGCGTGATCCGACCACAAGTGTTAGGAGAGTTTCTGGTGCCTTGCGAATTTCAGCAAGCCATAGTCACCGTGTTCTTAGAAATGACCATAGACGTCCTTACCATTTGCAACCTGTGCAAGGACTACAGCCAGGAGACGGAGAACGAAGAATCACATTTTGTCAGTGGATTCTTGATAGAACTGATAATAATAGGGAGTTTTTAAGTAACGTTTTATGCACCGATGAGTCATGCTTCACTAGACGTGGAGTGGTAAATTTTCATAATCAACATATTTGGTCGCATGAAAATTCGCATGCAGTTCGGGAAAGAAATTTTCAGCATGAATTTAGTGTGAACGTGTGGATTGGTATCTACCGTAATCGACTATTTGGACCCTACCTTTTGCCTGCAAGGTTAAATGCTGCGACCTTCTTGGAATTTTTAAAGGCTGAACATGCAAATATGTGGGATGATGTTATGTTAGATTTAAGAAGATTGGCCTTGTTCCAGCTTGATGGTTGTCCAGCTCATTATTCGAGTATAGTTAGAAACTGGCTGGACAAAAATTATCCAGAAAGATGGATCGGCCGTGGAGGACCAGTCGCCTGGCCTCCACGATCCCCTGACTTAAATCCATCAGATTTCTTTGTGTGGGGATTTCTAAAAGAAAAAGTGGACCAGACTCCCGTAACCACAAGAGATATGCTAATAGGCAGAATCAGGAATGCATGTGATGAAATAAGGCCTTATTTGAATAATGCTATACCACGTTCGATCATTCGTAGATGTGAATTGTGTAGTGAACAATTGGGTTTACATTTCGAGCAACTACTTTAGATTTTGTATGTTTGTCCTAACTATCCAATAGCATTTTAGTTGTAAATAATTAATTTATTTTGTTAAAAATAATATTGGAAAATTAAACAAATTGATATTCTGTTTTTTATGTTTATTTGGAGTTAGGAATTATTGCTGTGTTTAAAAAATATTATTTTCCCATAAATAATTAAAAATGCATCGAACCTTAAAAATCGAAATATCTCAAAACCGGCTAACTATAACGGAAACTCATAGGAGAGCTTTTTTATGTAGAAAAGTGCGAAGAATCATTTTTTTATTCAAAAAGCAAAAAATTGCACTAAGAAAAAACTTGCGGTCATTTTAATACACTGTAGGTACAGTAGAGAGCGCCCTCTAGCGGCTACAGTAAAACTATGCCCATGGATCGTTTTGTCGTACCAAAAAACCCTTGTATACCAATTTTCACTGTTATACATCAAATATTGTTCGAAATATTTAAAAAAAACTATTTTAAAAAGTAAATTTAAACACCTTGTATTTCGGAAGCCACGCATTTTTCGACCCATGTTTATATAGACTTTATGCATTAATTTTAAGTTCTATCGAATCTTAAAGTTATGCAACAATAAACTGAAACACCCTGTATAGGGTAGTCTGATAGATTATGTTAAAACAAAAAAAGTGTCGATGAAGGACGTCAAAAACGTACAAAACCTGAAAAAAATATGCAAGAAAATTGATTATTTTGTGCATTTCCACCATTCAAAAACTAGTTTGTGGAGTTGTACTTTTTTGTGCTAATTCTACAGCTAACTCTGTTTTCTACAAAATGAAACCAAATTTCTTCTACGTTAAGTAGTAACTGCTATCTAACATGACATAAAAATGACAAATAAAAGTTTCTTATAAATAGTTTGGAGATGTTTAATGTTACAGAAGCTGTTCAAAATGTCGATTGGTTTAAACTTGAATGGATCACTAGAATGAATAGTGATTCTTTTCATAATGATCAATCTTCTCTGTGCATGAACAAATGGCGTTATTAAAATTGTAACAGAAATAACTATTCAGTAGGGTTCTTTAAATGTAGAGGAATATCGGTATTTTGTGACTGTTGGATGCTCATTGATTTTAAGGATTAATAAATATGCTGTTTTTTCATATCTAATTTGACTTAACGTTGAATTTCTGAGCTCTTTGTAGCGATACCAGGAATATTCTGTCTTATTAATTTTAAACCGATTTAAAGCTCTGTCTCTCTCTTTGGTCATACGTTTAAGCTGGGATGATGATAATGTTTCGTACAAAATCCAAAAAAACTGCGATTGCAACTGAGAGCGCGGGAAGTAAAATTGAGTCGAAATAAATATGTTTTGTGTCGTTGGTAGCTGCTGTAACGCAAAACAGGACCTATTTACCTAGTTTCAATTCATAGTTATGAGCAAACTGATTTATGAATTTCTCATTTCATTAAAAATAGTTGGAGAAACGGTTGACAGCATGACAGTAATTAGTCTATTTTCATTGAAGATGCTTTCAAGTACTTGGCAATAAATTCTGAATTCTGTAAGGTGTCACACCTGTAGATAAATGGCGTTTTCTTTTGGAAAATTAACTAAAAATAAAAGTAAAGTCGTTCCAGAAGTAGACATCTTCTGTAACAAACTTTTCTTGCTCTATCCTGTTATCGGTACTTGTAGATATCTTGATAATTTCACTAACCTCATATATGAACTGTATCATCGTCTGTGCCAGATTCGTTTTTTGTTCCATACCATGAAAAATCAATTCGCCATAAGAAATATTTGGCAACAAATGTAGGACTTGATTTACCACCATCATTATTAATAACGATTTTATTATTACATCATGTAATCGAAAAACTTTCGACCATACCCGCAATATCTATGACACAGAAAATATTAAGGTAATTTGACTGAGGCTTAAATAATCATGTTTTTGATCCGTCTATCTGATTTAATTGAATCTCATACTAAATCCGAAAATATACGACTTAAGCCTTTAAGGTGATACAGGAGAGGAAGGCAACTTCTCCGTCCCAAATTCACAAGTTAGGGTTTGGTTTCCAGCAAATGAGCAATGACAAAGAATTTATTCTGATAAATGTAATGTCAGTTTTTCCGAAAAAAAGTACACCCTGCATCTGGTCTGAATTCAACGATCTGTAACATGTTACATTTTCTTAAGTATAAGGAAAATTGTTTAATTTTTTCATAGTTATAAGAGGATAATATTAATAATTTCAGTTTTTGATAATCAAACGGAATTGTAAAAAATGAAATAAAAACATGTTTTCATTACTTTGCTTGAAATTATATTTTTTTATTTTGATCACATCGCCACCTTGACAGTCTAAAATATTTTTGACTGATAAACAATATGGCGGATTCTAGGTTATTCCTTTATAGCGCCGCCATTTTAAAACGAAAATGCCACTTGTGGCATATCGTCGAAAAGGAAATTTTACGTAAAGTACGATTATGGAAGAAAATATACAGGTTTCTATTTGAAAAACGAAAGTCAAGGTCACGTCCGGTTAAGCTGGAAGGGAGCGATAAACCACTCAACTTTCCAGAAATGCCTCTGAATGACTAACCAAACATGTCCCAATCTTTGAGCGATATCTTTATTTGCAAAAAAAAATATAGGGTGTTTCCAATTTCCATTGTCACCTGGTATAGCGTTTTAAACATTTTTTGAAGACCGAAATAATCTTTTCCGACACGTCGGCAATTTTATAACAGAAAACTATGTTTCTTTAGACCCTAAATTCCAATTAATTATAAGACACTTAAAGAAAAATGGATATGTATAGAAGAATAATTTTCTATACTCCATTTGCTTTTTAGTACAATTAAGCGCTATTCTTTTTCGTTACCTGTGCAGTATTACCATGTTAGGCTTAAAGCTGACCAGCTGGTCTCTGCCAAGCAGCTCGCTGATCCTGTATGCCCTAGGTTGAGGTGCCTTACAAGGCATGACAGCCTCACAATCGAACTGTATCTCTCTACGGCCTTCCTTGACACACACGAATACAAACAAACAGATGAATATTAACGCCGCTCTCAATCGCCGAATCATCTCAACTGCAATCGCGAAATCGCCGAGCTTTCCGATGTTTTTTGTGATATGCATGCCGCAGCAGAGGCGGACGTGGGAAATCAGCGGAATTAACTCGAATTGTCGAAGATTTTTGGGATGCAAAGTAACTGAGAAGATGACCTCTGACGGCAGAAACCTGTAGATGTATCGATATCAACAGAGCCACTGCCGACGATGTCAAATCCTTCTAAGTTGATGATGGTTTTCTCTTGTGAGGTATTTAATACCACCCAATGACAGCCCTTCGGTCAGTAGTCTATCAAGTACCATTTACGCGACGATATTGGCCAAAAAGTTGACAACTGACTAGATGCGGCACGCGGGCTTCTTCTATAAACTTATTCAAAAGGGTTTTCCTTTTTGGCTCCCAAAACTAGTGAAATCCTTCCTTGAAGGAAGAAAGTTTAGGCTCAGAATTAACAATGTTTTGTCAACAACACGGCCAATGCGGGCCGGTGTTCCTCAGGGCTCGGTACTAGGACCAATAGTTTACTCGCTTTTGATCCACGATGTCGCTTGTCCTAGCAACTGTGAAGTCCTACGCTATGCTGACGACACTACACTTGTCGTGCACGTGATGGGTTGCAAGGTGTGGTGGAGGCACTACTAGAATGGGCGGAACAGTGTCTGGTCAAAGTTAATCATTCTAAAATGCAGGGTATTTCGGTATACCATGAAAAAATTCTACCAAGTATCTCGGTGTCACCCTTGATAAAGGCATGATTTGGCAGAAACACACACCATCGTTGAAAACAAAATTATAATTGCGTTTCGGCAACTATTTTCAAAATAGTGACACTCCCAGAATCAGATACTGACTTGCTTAATATAAATGGAACACCCTGTATATTATTGAATTTTTAGCTTCTATGGGGCATTCTAAGCACTTTTTGTTTATATCGTCCTTACCTGAGTATGACCGTTTTTTAGATGTGTCGAACTTTACGTAAAAAAAGACAAATGCAGGCCAATGATTTATAACAATGTTTTAATCCTTGTCATACGATTTTCATATAGCAGGGAACCTACTTTAGTGGATTTTACTTATGATTTGAATTACAAATAGTACAAGGTGGTCAAAGAGTAGAATGAAGGTTTGATTTTAAAACACTCAATAAATCATTTTTGACAATATCAGCCTTTTCTAGATACGCCACTGTTCGGTGTATTTTTAGTGCCACTTGTGGATTATCCGTTTGATTAAATTTAGAATTTGATGTGGCGGACGCTAGACGCCAGACAGACGTTTTTACTCGGAAGATAGAAATTTGAAGAAAGTACCACATTTAATCTTTTTAGGGGTCATGGAACTGCTGGCGCGTGTACAGTCCTGGCTATACTTAAGTTATGATGCAGATAGGGATGCACGTAAAAGAAGAAAATGCTGAGGAAAGCATCCAAGCCCGAGATGATAAATAGAGGTTCTTGATGCTTTCCGCAAATTCCTCGTTTTCTCGTCGTATTATATACTTTATCCATTGTAAAATATCCCAAGTTATATTGTAGTCAGTCTTGTAAAATAAAAATAAAATTTATCAAAAACCTGAACGGCCAGTTCGGCAACAGTCATCCAGTAGGATTCAACGCAGTTTTCCGAAAATTCGCGGCATTGTGACCGGTGTTGTGAAAACGTGGGTATCGACCAACAGCAACGAACGAAGAATCCACAGCTCAATAGCGAGAAGTTGGCCCCTTGCTTCTGCCTGTCGCCTTCCAAGAAGATAGGAGTATAAGGTAAGAACCAAAATTCCTTTTCGGCCCATCCAGATTGATTTCGCTGTATAGGAGATCCTATTTTGAAAAGTTGTGATTTTATGTCATTATCAGACATTATCAGTGAGTTAAATATAGTCAGAATCACGAAAGATGACCTTTACGTCATACCATAAATTGTACTGAAGTAATCAATGGACGTACGTACGTCGATGATAAAAATCACGATGTCAGGAATGATGACCACAAATTTATATTATGATTTTGCGAAGTTAGGTTATTTCACTGATGATTTTTATTTTCATTTTATTTCATGGTTTTGAGTAATAATAATCTTAGTACGGAGTTTTGAAAAAAACAGTTATGACTAGAATAGCTTAAGAGAGAGAAACACCAAAGACCAAAGTATTATTCGAAAACAACCTAACCTGCTTTAACATAACCTAACTATTCATCTTTCAAATATGATCGAACATGCAACATAAAAACATCGTCTATCTTTGTCGGGTACATGCATATTAGCAATACAGTTTGTTTAGGCAATAAAATTCTGTTTGTCTCTGTCTAGCATATCTGAAACTTCATTAAAAATATTCACAAATCGCTGTCGTTTGTCTTTACTACAGACTAAAATGACGTAATCGTCATATTTCGTGATTTCGACTATAACTACCAAGCCTCATTTCATCATGACATTATCTATTCGACACATTCAACACTTCTGAAGAAACGATCTAGAGATATTTATTGAGAATGGTTCAGACTAAATTAGTTTGGTAGGGCTCAACTTTTGGCTGGCTGTAAAACAAAATTAAATAGCTGGTCTTTAATAAAAGATGCTTTAGAGCAGTGTTTTGGTGATAATAGAAGTTTAGAATGCTTGGAACAAGATCTATTTCTAGCCTCACAATATATGTATATACTACTAGCCTATAGATATGACATTTAACATTCAAAAGCATAATATCTCATTTTCGCGATTAGAATACTTCCTGGCCGGTAGGCCTGGGAAGTAAATCGTAACGTAAACTAGGACACCAGGTATAAACTATTACACTAATTTTTATGCTGACATCTTGTTCGGTCTTGATAGTGAAATAACATCTGGCTCTTGACTGGGGAATCACCTGTGCGTACGCCTACCAAATAATATTGCATTGTCTACAATATTGGTCAAAATACAGCAATGACTCGATAAAAAGCTTCTACTTAGTAGAATATTCGATAACACATTCCATTCAAAATGCTGGTGACCATGAGTTATAAGCAATGTTTTGTCTTCAATTCTTCTCGATAAATAAGTATACGTCTCCGGTGAGGAATGTTGCAAAACATTATTCATCACAATTAAAGGCGGCGACTTATCAGAAGCTTCATCAGCACTTTTGAGTCGTTTCAGTAAGTGAACGTAGCCAGAAAAAAGCTCCTACGTCATCAAAAGTATGTAAATGTATTTAAAATGTTTCTTAACTAGAGTCTTGGGGCCGTAGAAATATAGGACGCCTTTATGGCCTACTTGATTTTCATAGTATTTTCTCTCCTTCAAAAAGACTGGGGTATTTCTTGATTTCTACTGTTCCGTGTCAGCATCAGCGCTCTCCTGTTGTGGGGTTATGTTTTCTTTTTGAATTGCAGGAAATTTCAAGCTGATAGAACATATAATATAAATCAAAAGCCTGAACAATTTGATGCAAACAGATCTTTGTAACATAACCTCAAAATAGAGCGCTGACACGGGCAGTAGAAAACTACAAAAATCAAGGAGGCCATGAAGGCGTCCTACGATTGTAGGAACAAAGAATCAGGAATTCATAGACTAACTCTGACAGTTGTTGACATTTCACATGAACTTCGTATTTTTGTGCGTAATCATATAAAGTGCATGGGTTCGATACAGTTTCCGAGAATGATGAAGGTTTCTGTTGGATGCAAAAATCGTTTAAACCGGATAATAGATCGATAAGTGTGATATTATAGTCATCGACGTTGCAAGCGGAAATGCACGTGACTTTTACCAGAAAAGTTGTGAGGAAATGTGATTTATTTGAGTTCACTTCTTGTTTCTTTCAATTCTAAGTCCAAATCTATTGTATAGCTAACAACAAGATGAGGTAGTATTGGAGGCAAACCGAATTTTATTCGCGGATACTGAAAAGGTCCAAGCGGAAACCTTGAGTCTCTCTCTCAAAAAACGTATTTTCAAAAATATGAATATCTACCGATATACAGCCAACAGACTGTGACACATTTGTCTGGTGTTTGGGAAATATACAACCATGAATACTCATTATCATACAGGAGACATTAAAATTTGAACACAAGCTGGCAGACATGATTGCACATAAATTAATACGCAAATTCGTATGCTAATTTTTTAATAACTGTTGCAGACCTAGCCGGGGAACCACAGACAAAACATATACTAATTTGCATACTACAATGTATATACCTATGCATTTTTATTTCAACAATTAGATACCAAAAAATTTTTTTTAGTTTTTTTAAACAAGGTATAATTTATTTTCTAAATTTCTAGTTTCAAAACTATAATAAAAGTACTTATAATCAACAGATTCGCTTTTTTATTTTTTCGAATTTCGAATAATTTTGAAGATTTTTCAACGTATAATAATTTTCCAAATTTTCAAATACTATTCTTTCCAAATTTCAAATTTCGTTTTTCTTAATTTTCAATTTAATTTTTTTCCAAGCTTATTCTACTGTTATCTGTCATTGACCTCTGTGCAAGTTTTCAAATCAATCAGACTCATTCTGATTGGTGAAAATTAGGTTGAAATCCAATAAAAACATGTTAAAAAAGTCAAAAACATCTGCTTATCCGTGATCTAAGCATACATAGGTATAGGAAATATAGTAAAAGTACTCTCATCTCATTCTTCGTGAATTTGACAATTTTAAGGTGAACAATTTCTTCCTAATGACAGACGCAAAAGAGTCCAAAAATATTGTGATATCGGCTGATCTGTAGCTTATTTATTCATCTCAAAAATTTGCGCTTCTGTTTTAGTTTTTTAACGCTGATGAAGTACTTGTGAGGGCTTCAAAAGTGGGCTTCATTTTTACCTTTGTTCTCGCTTTGCGATTAAACATCGATATTCGTTACAAATTCTGTGTACGATTCTTTTCAAACCAGTGAATGGTAGCCTCAAAAATATTCATTTCTTATCAACTCTCCTCCAATATTTTTTTAATCACGTTTCTAAAAAACCCTGAAAGTATACGAAAGCATGTTTACCCTGCAGAATAAAATTTAACGTACTTTCTACGCAAAATCATTCCTATGCTAATTTCTTTAAGGGGTGAACAACTCTATTTTTTTAAATCCACCAATTAAGGCCTAAAGAGATCCATAAAAATGTATTTTCCATACACCCTCCCCCGCAGCTCACAAACCTCAACCGGCAAATTTCAACGTCTTCACTCTGCATTCTGAAAATATAAAACTATGTAAATTTCCTCATTTTTCATCTATTTGTCCTGACAAATATGCCACTATGCATCTAAACGAATGCGCAATTAACTTGAGCGCGATGTGTCTAGCGTAATATAAAGACTACCTCAATCTAGTCACCATTGGCTGTCATCGTCGACTCTCATCATATTATGCTTCATTTGTTTCATCACACATCGATATGCCATCGCGCGGTGCGCTGCTCTCCATAGCGATCGTAGTGTGCTTTGGAGAGATGACAGTGACCGAAAAAGGGTGCTCAGTTTTGAAGCACGGTTCGGAGCTTGAAAGGCAGTTTAGGAGACATTATAGGGACAGTGAGGTGCAGTTTAAGTGTGGTGCGCCCAGGCTAAGGGCGGTTTCTACGGAGGATATTGTCGAGGAGAATGGTTTTGTGGAGTGTTTGAACGATTATAAGGTGAGAAAGCTTTGGATAGCCGAAGATGTTATCGTAATTTGAACAATGCGGAAACAACTGTTCTGCTAGAAATACAGACACCCATTGATATCAATTTATCCATGAATTCAAATTTTAGACATTTTTAGAACAATAATTCCACTAACCCCCTGTATCTCCGCCACTGGTGCACGTTAATTTTAAGTAAAGACTTATGAATACTTAGGTTAATCCACATACCAAATTTGAGTTCATTCCATTTGACGGTTTTGAAGATATTAAAAAAATGTTACGTAGAAGATCCCCATTAAAACAATAAGTTTCCCAAGTCATTCTGTTTCCATAAGGTTGCCAAAAAATCTGTTGCGAAGAGTTTCTCATTTATTAAAACTAATGCTGTATGGGCTGATGGAATCTCACTCATTATGATAAAATACATTTTCACTTTGCTCTTAGACCATATTACATTTGTCATCAATCACGCAATATCAACATCCTGTTTCCCTAATGCTTGGAAGCAGGTTATCGTCATACGTATTCCTAAAGTAGCGATTCCCACGTCTGTAACAAGTGACCAGTCAGCTTACTTCCCGCATTTTCGAAGCTTTTGGAACGGGAAATGAAGATAGAAATATCGCAGTATATTTTCAGTAATGAAATAGTTCCATCAATGCAGTATGGATTCAGGGAAAACCATAGTACAACAACTGCTCTAGCCAATGTCATTGATGATGTTATAAGAGGCCTTGATCAAGGAAATATCACTTGTTTAGTTCTGCTGGATTGCACAAAAGTTTTCGATATGATAGACCATGAAACTCTGCTACTTAAGCTGTCTTACTATGGTTTTACTGACGTTGCAGTCAGTTTGATAAACTGCTATGTGTCAAATAGAAATCAAAAGGTGCTAACAGCTTCGAAAATGCCTCAGTCAACTGCTATAAAGTTTGGTGTTCCTCAAGGTTCCATATTGGGACCTTTACTTTTCTCTCTATATACAGGGTGACTTCGAAGTTGAGTCATTTATTTTAACAGTGAGTAGATCTGATCAAAAGAAATGTTTTTTTCCTTTACCATTTTTCTGGTAAAATTAAAGTAACAAAGTTATAGCCCTTTGGAAGTTTGAGTACCGCCCTGTCTCAATAATGATATTATGTTCTCGTGTTTGGCAACAACAGATATAATCCGCCTTATCCGTTCATCGCATCGGAAACAAAAAAGCGAAAGAATTTGGAACGATCTTTTTACAATTATTTTCTTCAGTTGTATACAGTCAGTATCAGTCGGTAGTCGGTAACGCGTAAGTGAATAATCGTGTCTGTTGCGAGGCTCAAATCAAAAATGGCACATGTTTACGAAAATGATGAACTTGTGGACATGGTTCTTATTTACGGGGAGTCTTTACAAAATGCTGCCGCGGCATCACGGTTCTATGCGGATCGGTTTCCCAATCGAGTGCAACCAACCCCTCGTGCCTTTGTTAATGTAGTGCAAAGAGCTCGTGAATCAGGTGACTTAAGACCTCACAGAGGAGATCATGCCGGTGCTCCAAGACCACACGATCAAATAGAACTAGAAGAACAAATTTTAGAATTAGTAAGTGATGATCCAACAGTAAGCACCCGACAAATTTCAACTCAATTGGCGATTAGTCAGTATAAAACTTGGAAAACTCTACGTGAAAATCAGTTCTATCCGTTTCACATACAAAAAGTGCAGGCCTTACAACCGGAAGATCATGAACAAAGGGTTGACTTTTGCAATTGGCTTTTAAATAAACATCAAAATGATGACAATTTTTTAAATCAAATTTTAGTGAGTGATGAAGCCCTCTTTACTAGAAACGGAATTATTAATTCACGTAATTCTCACGTTTGGGCTATTGAAAATGCCCATGAAATAAGGGAAACCAATTTTCAACAGCGATTTGAACCAATCAACCTGTTGGCGGGAATTGTTAATGGAATTTTAGTGGGGCCTTTTGAATTACCAAATCGCTTAACTGGTGAAAATTATTTTGATTTCTTGCAACACAATTTGCCTGGTTTACTGGAAGATGTGCCTTTAAATATTAGACAAAACATGTGGTTTTTACAAGATGGGGCACCACCCCATTATGCAAGAAATGTGCGTGAATTTTTAAATAGACAATTTAATAATCGTTGGATCGGCCGTGGCGGTTTTGTACCTTGGCCGCCAAGGTCTCCGGACTTAAATCCTTTAGACTTTTGTTTGTGGGGTTGGCTAAAAACTCTAGTGTATAAAACACCGGTTAATACACGCGAAGAATTACGTGCTCGAATTGAGGAAATGAGTACAGTGATCAGAAATCAACCAGTGATTTTATTGCGTGCTTGTAAAGAGACATGGCTAAGACGCGCCCAGCTGTGCGTCGAGCAAAACGGAAATCATTTCGAACAGTTTTTGTGACATGCTTTTGGGCGCACAGGTCCGCACTGAAATACTTGTCGGGAGGATACTTTATAAAACAAGGTAACATTTTTTTTTTAATTTTTTTTTATTTTTACACACATATTTTGGTTTATCTTCCTTCTACAATCATTATCTGAAAATTAATGACTCAACTTCAAAGTCACCCTGTATATATATATATATATATATATATATAAATATATCGGATTTTCATCAATATGTCCATAATTGCGCAATCCATCACTATGCCGATGATACTCAAATTTATTTTACTTTTCAACACAAAGATTTTAAAATAGCAGAAGCATTGCTCAACGAAGACTTAACAAGGCTAGTAGACGTCTCGTGCTCGCATAACCTAAAAATTAATCCATCTAAATCTTCAGTTATGGTTTTCTGCTCAGAAAACAAAATAAGATTGATCGAAACGGAAATTAACCTTAAAATCTATGATTGCCGGCTTCCTATAATGAATGGGTGTAAAAACCTGGGACTGGATTGACACAGAACTAAAAGACAAAAAACACGTAAATTCGTTAAATATGTAGTGCATCATACTGCATTTTGAAGCAGTTTTATCCACATAGGCAAATAATATCTACTTCCGTAAAGCTGAAACTGTGTGATACATTAATTATATCAAAGATCAGTTATAGTGACAGTATATATGGCCCCGCTCTATCATATAGTGAATAAAGCAAATTTCAGCGTATTCAGAATTCGTGCGTCAGATTTTCTTGCGGAATACGAAAGTTTGATCATATTTCTTATAAATTTAAGGAACTTGGTAGTCTGCAGATTAAAGGCATGCAAAAACTTCACGTATATTGACACTCACACATAAGGTCTTAGCTACCAAACAACCACAATATTTGCATAATAAGTTAACACGATGTAGTGACATAAATCAACTGAATACAGGGAATAGAAATATGTTAGTGATACCTTTACATTCTAAGGCTGTCTTCCAAAAATCATTCAGCTACAACGCTATTAAATTATATAATGATCTGCCTGTTGCATTCCAAAACTATACATTATTTAATTTTAAAAAGAGGCTTAAACTAAAGCTACACGTCGAGGTCTGATGATGAATACAAAATGCTAGAAATATGGACTATTCTTGTAATTGTTCTGTTTTTTTTGTGTTGTTAATTATTTAGTAATTATTGAGCATTATGGATACACTTTTATTGGTGGAATGTTTTATTATATTTTTTTTTTTGTTCTTTCAAAGGTTAAGTTGAAAAACGCTAATCTTAGCGACACTTCGCCTTTTTTGTAATTTTACTTAGGTACGAAATATAGCCCATTTATTATTATATAAACTGCGGTCCTGTGTATGTTGTTCCATTTTTGGTCACGACTCGTGTTTACAGGTGGAACCTTCCTGGACGATGCTGTACCGATGCGAATACTCGGGCTGCTGTGCGAACAACATGCAGTGTGTTAGCGACAAAGAAGACGAAAAAGTGCCTATAGTATTCAGGATTCGACCACGAAGTTACAAGACCAAGCAAAGACATCCCATGTTCATCAAACTGATGGCAAAAAATGACTCTAGCTGTATTTGTGATGATATAATTACCAAATAAAAGTTCGCTTATCCTCAATTTCTGTTTCCAGAAGTATAATTTATTATTGCATACAAATAGGGATACCGCGCCACCTTTCGGGCTGTGTTGTAAGGTCTATCTTAGCGCAGGTCAAACAATCGAACAGATGGCACTGGCGTCGCAGAGCCCCCAATGGTAGGCAACCCATATAGCTCTTGCAAACCACGAATTTGCTGCCTGAGAAATCCGTAAAGCTGACCGCTTCGTAACACAAATATATTTGATATGTCACGAGGAAGCCAAATAATCCTCTAAAAACTGCGATCTAGTGCGAAAACATAAAAAAAGCATCAGACATCGCCGGCACGCAAAGCCCGCACGCCACTGGTTCGAACAAAACAGCTGTAATATGACATTAGACATTGACAGTAGTTCTGTGTCAATACTTGTCAATGTTACGGACTTCTCTGTTGTTTGTTCTGTAGGAGTTTTTCCAGTTTTTCTTTTTTATGTTATTTCTAACCTTAATCTGGAAATCGGGAAATCATACCGCACGTGTGCATTTAGATTTTTCGTTCTCAATCGCGAAATTTAGAAATAATTGCATTTATAGCTCGAAATGCTGAATTGTCATTCCCAGAGCCTGCTCGAAGAATACTTGTAACAAAAGAAGCTATGATTTTTCAGAACTTCAAAATTATCCATCAAAATTAACTATCATTTTCGTCGTTTCACCTTTCCATTGCATTGTTTCTACAAATGTTCAATTAACCTTCCATATCTTCTAAAAACTATCCTAATGTTGTTTAAAAAGCGTTCAAAATGCTGAGGATAGCCAAAATACACCATATCACCAGACTGCTCAATGCTCCAGTTATTCGCACTAGTCTTGTAAACATAGCAAATGATGGATACGATAGTCGTTTGGGTAAGTAGATCGCAAATTACGTGGATGCTATATTGATCTAACAATTCTATATTTGTTTCAGGATGTAAGATTGCATTTATAAACAGAAATTATTGTAGTAGCAGGAAAGGAGATGGAGAAAAGGTAGGCGATGAATCTATCAAATCCCATCCTCAATCCAAACCCTGTGAGTCCCAAGACCCTGTGAAGCTTAAAGAGTGTCAACCTGTTAGTATCCATCCATGCAAACCACCCCCTCCAGGATTCCCCACGGTATTAATTTGTAAAACAGTGCTCAAAAAATGTATGCTAATATCTCGATATTATTTTAGAAAATTCCATCTGTCAAACAATGCTCTACACCTAATATGATGAGCGAAATGCCTGAACCTACTTGTCCATTCGATGAAGAAGATGGAAAACGTAGAGCTAGTTATAGGAAGTTATTTTTATTAGGGTTATTGTTTACAGCCATCACTCTGGGTACAGTAAGTAATTTAGTATTATGACTATATCTTACTGTTAATTATATAATGTTATAAATTGCCTTAAATTTTTGTTTTTGTAAAGAGTTGAAATTTATTTATTTATTTAAGGTATGGAACTTGGGGATGTTTGACTATCATGAAGAAAACATCAGAAACAAGAAGGAGAAACCAAAATCAGATAATAAAAGTAAGAAATGAAGATTTGTATCTGACAAGTTACTCAATTACTTGCTATTTTTTAGGAAAACAAAGACAAAAAAGAGCCATTATCAAAGACCCACCTACCTCGAAAGAAATCCCATCAAACGTTCCATACCTCCTCATTGGCGGAGGCACTGCATCTTTCGCTGCATTCCGAGCAATCAAATCATCTGATCCTACAGCCAAGGTATCTACAGTTTCTTTTATCCACCCATTAGTTTTTTATTCTTTAAAATACACTATTCAATATCATCTACTGAATGTATGTTTTTTATTTTATACAATGGAAAAATAATAAACCATAAACGCAAGATTTCATTCATGGAAACATCTATATTTTTATTTAAATGCTCAAAATTGCAACAATGATGTTGATTTAAACTCGCTTCACAGTCAGGTCACTGTCCCCTACATGTCATTTGATTTTTGTTTTTGTTATCTGTCAAGCTTTTGACATAAATCAAATTCAAGCGGATAACCAAATGGGAATGGTATTTACCATTTTGGGTTGGTATTTACCAATCCGTTCAAGCGAGTGTAGTTATCAGTTTGGTTATAAGATCCGTGACGTCACGAATCAGCTGTTATATGTCATAGTTATCACCGCAAAATTGTGTCAAGAGTAGTTTTATATTTCTGGTTATTATTTGAAATGTGACAAGTTAGAATTTTGTCGGGTATTGGATAGTGTTATTGTAATTCAGCTTCATTTTTGAGAAAAATGATACAGGCTGACTTCAGTTTTACCATAAAGTGGAGCACCTTATTAGTTATACTCATTACGGTTGTTGGGGACACTTTAAATGTAGTTCCTATGCTTAACAAAGTATCCTGTGTAGCCATATACCACAAGAATATTAAAATATGGCTATATAAACTCACTAGATGATATCCACCTGTATACGGTTTTGCTAATTTCTTTTTTCATCATTTCTGCTGAATCAATAAATGTTTTCTTTGACATGCGGAAAAATTTAGAGAATTGAAAGTTATCATAGTTACAAAGCCATGGTTCCATCATTAAAAAAAAAATCTGAAAAAAACATTTCTCCCATGAATATTATGAAAGGTTTCTTATTTAAACTTTCCATATACAGTTGTAGACGGAAAAGCACCGATTATTAAGTGATAATAAAAATAATCAGAGGTTATATACGCGCTTTTTTTTATACTCCAACTACCACGAAGGCCTAAGGCCTAAACACCCACTGGATACCGTGGGGATACTGGGGAAAGGGGGAACGCCACATGGACTACGAGATCCGCCGGGTGGTACCTCCACGTTCGACAGTCAGAGACCGTCTACCACCTACGGACAATCACAACATCCATAGCCAAGAAAAAAATTTCTCCTGGGACGGGACTCGAACCCGCACAGCGCACGGCGACTGATCAGGAGACCGAAGAGTCTACTACTCCGGCCACCGCTGCTGCCTGCAGTCTTTCCAATGGTTTGCCGTCACTCTGTTGACAGCTTCATAAAACGAATTTTTCACGTCAGAAAATTTGAATGTTTTATTTTTTTATACCAAAGCAGCCCCTCAGGATTATTGAGCTATAATAAGAATAATCAGAAATTATATACGCACTTTTCTAAAATAAACAACTTGCAACAAAACCGCGGTTAAAACCAACGCGTTCAAGCGATTCGTGTAACTGACGTCATCAACCCGTGTGTCATCTTGAACCATATTATAACCGCGGCACATAACACAGAAATTTTGGTTATTCGCTTGGATTTGATTATACTGTTTGTAAGATGTATAGGTTATGTTTATTACTACAAATTACATACAAGAGCTGACAGGTTGACAATAAAAATAAAGTAAAATTTGAATCACATGGGACGAATTACAATCTTCTAGATGTTTTTGATTTTTATTAAATTTTATATTCCATAAATAAATAAATTTGCAGGTCTTAGTGGTTACAAATGAATCATTCTTTCCATACATGAGACCACCATTGTCTAAGGAAATATGGTTCAATGATGATCCTGAAGCTGTAAAAAAGTTGATCTTCAAACAGTGGAATGGCTCTGAAAGGAGGTAAAAGTTCATTTTTTAGTCAAAAATCTGATCTGTACAATCAAAATTATGGTATCCTAATATGACCCATTTATGTCACACTAATGCAATTATGGTATTATAGGTTTGAAAGCAGTGACAATTTAAAAATTTTTAGTTGACACTAAATTTTATTTTTGATCCAAATTGTTTCATCAGCCTTAAAAAGATTTCCAGTAAAAAAAATAAAAGTACTTTATTTCATAAGCAATCTCTTTGTTTCTTTTAAAAAACTACAACAATTACATAACATACAAATATTTAGAAAAACTAAACTTGCATCTCCAAGAATTTTTACTGTCCATCACTGTTCCTTTAATTTTCTTTTAAACAGTTTCAAATCACAAGTAGGAATCATTATTTAGTTTATTAGATGTTGAAATACCGATTTGCTAGTTATTGCAATTTTGTAAATGGAAATCTATATTTCTTTAGTTGAACAATATCGTGAATGCAGCAGAATAATTATTGTATTATAAACTATTTTTTGGCAATTTTTTAAATAATGTATTCATAGTGATCCTCAAACTTTAGTTTACTATCAATATATTATACTTAAATATTCACTTGATTCAACTTCTTCATTAATTTCACCATTTATCCTAACTGTGATAGTATTTTCATGTATGTATTTCCCTATTAGCATTCATTTTGTTTTAGAAGCGTTAAATTTTAGTTTTTTTACATTTAAAGCTGTGTCTATATTTTCATCTGATATGTACAGGATTTGTCCGGAAAGTAATAGGACTTATTTTCTTCCGCCATGACTGTATTCGGTAAATCTGCGACAGAGACGTTTGATATGATCAAGCAGGCTTACCCAGGTGTTGCTTTAGCAAGAAGTGGTGTGTTTCGGTGGCACCAGGCCTTTTTGGAGGGCCGGGAAGAGGTCGCTGATGAAGACCTTCGACTTCGACAAAGACCGATAATGTGACTCGTGTGCGCAAAGTTTTGAACTCAGACCGTCGACTAAGTATTCGTTTAATTGCCCAGATGTTAAATTTACCAAAATCTGTGGTTCATGACATTGTGAACATGCGCAAGGTGTGCGCGAAGATGGTCCCAAAAGTGCTCACTGACGATCAGAAATTGCGGCGAGTGGAAGTGTGCCAAGAAAATTTGAACATGTGTGAAAGTGACCCCCAATTTTTGAATAACGTAATCACAGGTGACGAGTCGTGGATCTTTGAGTATGATCCCGAGACAAAGAGGCAATCTTCCGAGTGGCACACGACGGCGTCTCCTCGCCCAAAAAAGGGAAGAATGAGCAAATCCAAAGTGAAAACGATGCTCATTATCTTTTTCGACATCAAAGGCATCGTCCACCATGAATTTGTTCTTCCTGGACAAACCGTCAACGCCAAGTTTTACGTGCTCAGGAGACTCAAACGAAGGGTCAGTCGGGTCCGACAAGACATCGCAGCCGACTGGAAGTTGCACCACGACAACGCCCCGGGTCACACCGCCTTTGTTGTGAACAGATACCTGACCAAGGCCGGCATCCCAACGCTTCCGCAGCCGCTCTACAGCCCAGATGTGGCCCCCCGGACTTTTTTTTGTTTCCTCTCCTGAAAAGGCCGATGAAAGGCAAGCGTTTTGAGACGACAGAGGGGATCCAAGCAGCATGCACCGCGGCTCTCAAGGCTATTCCGGAGAATGCCTTCCGTGACGCCGTCAATGCTTGGAAATCGCGCTGGCAGCGCTGCATCGTCGCAGAAGGAGCCTATTTTGAAAGTTTTTAAAGAATTGTAACGATTGGCTCAATAATTTTTTTTAAATCGACTCAGTCCTATTACTTTCCGGACAAACCCTGTATATGAATGTATCATCTACAAATATCTGAATTTTACAATAATCTAAAACATCATAAATGTCATTAGTGTATAAAATAAATAGTAGTGGACCTAGTTTGCTACCTTGAGGAACCCTAACAGAAATATTTTTAGAACTTGATGATGTAGATCCAATTTTGGTTGTTTGACTTCTGTCAGGTTAGTAGGAATAACTACTTAAATATTTTGCAGTTTATTCTATGAGCCAGATGATTTCTACACAAAATGTCAAGAACTCATGGAAAACCCAAATGGAGGTGTAGCAGTAGCAAGGGGTTGGCAAGTGATAGAAGTTGATGTTATTGCGAAAAAGGCAATTTTGGAAGATGGTTATGCTATCCATTATGATAAGTGCCTACTGGCTACAGGCAAGTTTACCCCTATTTTTTTCTAAAACTTTGCGATTTTGTAAATATTGTATAGCCTCATTTCTTAAAAGAACTTTAATTAAAGATATATTGTTGTTTCCAGGTGCTACTCCAAGATTGTCACCCATCTTTGAAGTAGCTGTAGCAGATGAGAAGATAGCCGAAAAAGTTAAATTGTTTAGGAATATTTATGATTTTGAAGAATGTATGGAAGCCTATAATCAGTCCAAAACCATTGCCATAGTCGGTGGCGGATTTTTGGGTAGTGAATTAGCTTGTGCCATGGCTAGAAGAGGTATATTTTATTGAAAATATCTTAGGAATGATTAACGTCAATTTTTTTAAATCAAATTTCAGATAAGAAGAAAACTAAAACCATATATCAACTGTTTAGAGAAGGTGGAAACATGGGAAAGATCCTGCCAGAATACTTGAGTTATTGGACCACAGAGAAGGTTAAAGCAGAAGGGGTTACTGTAAGTATGATATATATTTTTTTAATAATCTGCTGGAAACAGCACTGAAAACGTAAAAAAATGCAAGGAAAATACTCACTAATAATTGTACCCAAAAGCATGCTTGATATACAAATTTTAATTGTATGAGCCTGTTTGACTGACTTGGTCCATTTAATTTTTTGTTATACGTGTGCATAGCTAACTTTTCCCCAGACAGCATTGCATGGAAAGTACAGAGTTACAAAATATTGATATGATGAAATAAAAATTGTTGCAAATGCCCCATTGCAGGGCTTATGGTTACTTTTTTTGACAGTAAAAGGAAAAGACAGCGTACATAGTAAAACATTAAGACATTCTCTTGAATTTTTTTCGGCTTTTCGTAAATTGAAATCTTGAATCCCTATTAAAATATGATTTCGTTAGGTTTCTATCAGATTTTTTGCTGTAGGTGATGCCAAAAACTGAAGTGATAGGGGTTAAAAACGACGGAAAAGGTCTGGAGTTAGAGTTGAGCAACAATAAGAAACTTCATGTAGATTTTGTGTTGGTAGCAATTGGCGTAGAACCGAACACAGAGTTAGCAGAAAAGTCAGATTTGGAAGTAGACCCTGAATTAGGCGGATATCTTGTGAATACGGAGTTACAAGCTAGGAGTGATCTCTACATTGTGAGTATAACATCTACTACCATCTATAGTTCTTATACCATGGAAGTAAGCTTGAAATTATACAGGATTTTTCTATTTTAATCTCCCCACTTGAATAGTTTGAAAACTGCTCATTCTTGAAAAAGAAGTTTCAACGAGGCCTTGACATTGAAATTGGTCACGATATTCAGTGACACGTAAATAATTTTCAAATGAAACCCCACCTTTTTACTTTTTTCTCGTTTAAAAATTGTTCTTACAGACACGTTTGTTAAAAAAAATGTACATAGAATAAATGTTCAGTTTTCACTACTTTTTACTGAACTCCAAGTAAAAAATGTACCTACGTTTTTCACAATTCTCCAAGCTACTTAACTCTGAGGAAATAGGTTCGGTAGAAACATCATCATTGTCGGTATCAGAACTATCTGATATATGATTTTTTTTTTTCTGATAACCATTTTTTTAAGTTTTAATTTTTAATATATTTTATCTTCGCGCCAGCTTTGGTATCAGTCTCCTTAAAATATTTCCACACGGGATCCTTTCTCCCTGTTATTTCCCTTTTTTTGCCGATCTTCAATGCACAAAAAACAAAACACCCCACCACGCTACGACTTCGCAGATCTTAACTCGAAAAATTACCCAAAGGCAAACGGTACTTCAGCTAAATTTGAATGATTTAAACAAAAAAAAACATGATTTTTTTTTTTTTAAACATGTTTTTTTTCAACCCTGATTTATTGGCACTTGGCACATTTTTCACCGGCGACGTTATGGCGATTGACAAGCGCGTACTCTGTTGGATTTTCTTTAATAATAATAATAGATTTTCTTTAATAATAATAGCCATGGCACTTAGCGCTTTATCTATGTGGTTGGTTATTTCACAAGTATAAAATGAAAATCCATTTTTTGCACTTTATTTACTTAAAGTCCTCATATAATCGGTTAGAACTGCATATTCTCCTTAGGCTACGCCACTGGAATGATCGGATGGTTGTCATGTTAACAGAGCGGTAAGGGGTGTGGAGATATACACCAATGGCAATCATCCACTGACCGACTCCTGGCAGGGTTGTCATGTTGTTATTATTGTCGGCAATCCTATGTTCGAGACTACCAAACCGTTTTACCAATTCCTTGCCTGTAGTCAGTCAGTGTAGAAAATATTCATAATCCTACTACTGTTTGTACATCTGAATATACGTTTCTTAGTTCTTACTAGTTTTAAGTCACGCATAGGTTTTTTAATCGGATAGGTAAATTTATTTTCGAAATCTGGCAACCGCGGTTTTTCAGCAGCACAGATGAACCACTGCCGAGAATTTCGTACTCGGACTGTAGGCAGAATTGTACTTGACATCGCACATTTTTCTGAACCTAATATCTTTGTATACTTTATACAGGGTGTAAACGTTATGATAGTCATTATTTAAATGGGTGATAGAGGGGGTTAAAAAGCAAAAAGTTTCATATAACATGGAGGTAAAAACGGAATTTTTCTCGAGAAAAGCGACTTTATAGTAAAATAAAATCTGACAACACCGCAATGCCAGACGCAAATTAAGAAGGATCTGCATTGATTTCCTCGATATTTAAAATTTGTTCCTCCTGCTCTACAGTAACCTGTCTTTCACGAGTGGGCTGAACACTTCCTGTATCTCGAAGTCTTTGGTACACTTGCACAAATGTCCTGTCTGGGTGTACCCGTTGGCGAAAAATCTGTCGCGATAAATTTGAGCTGCAAGATTTGAAATCTGACGAGCTTCACCGTAAACTAACATGTCGGCGAACTCTTGATTCGTGAACATTGTCAGTAAACACGACGACGTACGTGAACAATAACTAACCACTGTTACCGTTTGCGATCGATTGCCGGTTCGATAAGAGCGATGATGACCGACGCGCTGTTGTCATGTGTATTTTAAATATTCATTTTAATGAAACTTACGTACTGACTACAAATGTTGAACTTAATGCCATTTGTTTGTTAATCACCAGATTTAAAAACGTTTTAGATTAGATTATAAAAATTAGTAAGATTGTGGTTGATATAAAGCACGTAAAGTTGTAAACTATCAAGCCATTTAGACAAATATCTATTGACTTTTGGACCATGGGTCATATGAACTTTTTGACTTGTTTTGACTCCCCCTATAACCCATTTCAATAATGACTACCATAACCCTGTATTACTAGGAAATTGTAAAAGAAAGTCCCAACTTTAAGTGGATAATCTTTATTTAAACGCTCATTCTGGTAGGCTGGCGACGCAGCCTGCTTCTACGACGCGCGACTAGGCAGAAGGCGCGTCGAACATCACGATCACGCTGTGGTAACTGGCCGCTTGGCTGGCGAGAATATGACCGGCGGCCGGAAGCCGTACCTCCATCAAAGCATGTTCTGGAGCGACCTGGGGCCGGACGTAGGGTTCGAGGCGATAGGAGTGGTGGATTCTTCATTGCCTACCGTCGCGGTGTTCGCCAAGGCTACGGGTAGGGACCACCCGCAAGCGGTGGTTACGCAAGAGAAAGAGGGGCTCAGGTCGAATACGGAAGAGGTGAGTTTGTTTATTTATACGTAATTGCCTAACAGAGTGATTCAATTACAGGGCAATATAATCGTAACTTAACTATCGGTGTGCATACAAGAACCACTTGAAAAAAATTAGCTGTTGTAATAGTCTCTGAAGTTTGCTAAGATTTTACTGATATAATCAAAATTAAGTTCAGAACTGTCTGCTATTTTTTATATCGAAGCAGCCGCGCAGGCAGAAGCCTAAATGCCGGAACACCGCGGCTACTATGATGATCCCAAAGAAATTTTGTTAATACGATTTTTTTACTCTACAGTATTCAGCCTCCATCTCCCGGCCGCCGAGTTATATATATACTAAGTGACATATAAATCCGAACACCCAGTTTAAATGGTTTTATTTTAATAAAAGTTGGTGAATGTATTTATCTTACTGTAAATAACAAGTGAAAAAATGTTCAGCCTTATCAGTTGGACATTCCGGTTTTTATACTGCTTTTTTTTAATTCACTAACGCTCCAAAAATGAATATTTCAGCCGCAGTAAAGAATCAACGTTGGCGGATTTTGGTTCTTGACATCCTTTGCGATCGGTTACGATGCCTAGAGTACGGAGACCTGTACGATTTCTTCAACTTAGTGAGTATGATAGGGACCGTATAGTGGGACTTCGGGAAGCTGAACTTTCTTTTCGGGCAATTGCAGTTAGAGAGCAAAGAAGTGTAGACACTGTGGTTAGGTGTAGACCGTGAAGATCGCCGCCTAAGATTATTGGCCTTAAGGGACCGTTTCTCCACTACCACGTCCATTGCAAATGAATGGTTTGCAGAACACGGAAGACCTATTGGCATGCGAAGTGTTTACCGACGAATGAGAAGTTTTGGCTTGTTTTCATACCGGCCACACTGGGTCTTCCCTTTAACTCGAGAACACCGACGTAATCGCCTTGAGTGGTGCAGACAACGGTCACTCTGGGATCAGGAATGGAACAGTATTGTCTTTAGTGACGAGTCTCGATTTTGTTTAGGCATGCACGATGGTCGTGCCAGGGTTAGAAGGCGACGTGGTAAAAGGAGGAATCCACAGTTTTTTGTTGAAAGACATGTTCATCACACTGTTGGAGTTATGGTTTGGAGTGCTATAGCTTATGGTTTCAGGTCACCTTTAATCTTCATCAGAGGTAACATGAACGCGCAGCGTTATATCCACGTAGTTCTAGAACCCCATCTTTTGCCCTATCTTGACACCCTGGCAGATCCAACTTTCCACCAAGATAATGGCCGACCACATGTTGCAAGAGTCACAATAGACTTCTTTCAACATAATGATGTCACATTGTTACCATGGCCACCAAGATCTCCCGACTTATCCCCAATTGAGCAGGTGTGAGATATGATGGGTAGGAGATTGCTCAATTTGCAACGTCCTCCTCAGACTCTAGAAGCACTTCGAGAGGAGTTGGTGGTTGCCTGGAATGAGATACCACAGGAGGACATTGACCACCTGATCAGAAGCATGCCTAGGCGCGTTGGAGAATGCGTAGCACATCAGGGTGCATCCACACATTATTAAAGGTCAAAGGGCTTTAAAGCAGTGCAATCATTTTAAAATTTGTATCATTTACTTATTATGCTTCATTAAGTATACAAAATTTTATTAAAATAAAACCATTTAAACTGGGTGTTCGGATTTATGTCACTTAGTATAGTCCCAATTGCTGCTTCGAGAAAGGCCTGGTGAACTACAAAGCGACATCTAGAATATTGGAGGTCACTTCGCGTCGATCTACGAGTAGAAGGCGATCCACTCTCACGGTCCTCACAGACGCCGCCAAGCTGCTTGTGCGGGTCTTAAATCAGAGATCGGCCATTAAGCTCTGGCGAGTAGGAGACTCGCCCAACAGATGGAGCTATTTGTCCCAATATGCTTGACGCTGTTTATTGTTCCCAAAATCGTGATGCTTCAATGCGCGTGAATCATCAATTTTTACTTGTTCTCAGATACCTCAAGAGTGTGATAAGTACGCGTCCGAAGAAAAACGGACGGAGCTAGAAGAGGCCAGAAAGCAGAGTAGCGAACCTAACAAAGCCGAGGGCGAGGATTTCGGAAAAGGTGTCATTTTCTACTTGCGCAACGATATCGTAGTGGGCATAGTGTTGTGGAACGTTTTCAACAGGATGTCCGTGGCCAGGCAGGTGCTGAAAGACCAACGGAAGTACGAGGACTTGAACGAGGTTGCGAAACTGTTCAATATACACGAGGATGATATGAGTGAGGCTGCGGCCAGCGAGTAATACGGGCACGTGGTTCGGTCCGTCGGTTTTTTTTAGCATTCTGTAATTTGTAATCGTTAAGTATTATATTGAAGTTGTTTTTCAAAAGATTGTGTTTTATTTTTGACTTCCCTGCCCCAAATATACTTGATACTCGCGACGTCCGTACCACGGTTACAAGCCCTTTTTCATTGAAGTTGGCCTAACCCCACAAAAACTTGATATTTGTGAATTCATTATCAAAATATAATATTTTTGGTTTTTTAAATGTCTATGGAAAGACATACTGAGTGACAAGAAAAGGTAAACACATACGCACGTTTATCCGATTTTAATAATTTTTGGCATATATGTTCAGTGTCCCTTTACTAGTAAGTTGATTAAATTTTCAGCTTGATTCGTCAACTGACTGCAGAAGTTTGTTCAATGAGCCGTATTCATAAAAGAGAAGCATGAGGTAAAAGTATAAGGTCTTGCTTCGGAGAAAAAGGTACAAGCATATCCTTGTTTTCATATTCATTTTTTTTATACTCCAACTACCACGAAGGCCTAAGGTCTCAACACCCATTGGGTACCGTGGGGCTATAGGGGGATACAGGGGAAAAGGGGGGACGCCACACGGACTCTGGCTCCGCCTACGAGATCCGCCGGGTGATACCTCCGCGTTCGACAGTCGGAGACCGTCTACCACCTACGGACAATCACAACATCCATAGCCAAGAGAAAAATTTCTCCTGGGACGGGACTCGAACCCGCACAGCGCATATCAAATTAATAAGCATGTCATCCTCAAGTGATGAGGAAACTATAGAAAATAATGGCAACGACCTGCAGTTCATCGCAGATGAAATTGCCATTGCTCCCATTATTTTGCAAAAGTCATAAGTTCCAAAAATAAAAATGAGAAAGGACGATGCCTTGTTGAAAAAATACGAATCAACATTAGGTAAACCATTATATACTAAAGGCTTATTAAAAAAATCAACAACATGAAATCAAGATTGAAGAAAAAACAGATCTAAAAAAACCGGTAATAAAGCAATTAAATTGTTAGATTGGGAAATAAAGTTGCTGAAAGCTACGGAAGGTGACTGTAATCCTACAATTGGGAAAATTAGAGGTGCCATTCAGGTTGGTAGTGTTCAAGAAGGAAGTGAAGTATATACCGACCGCAGTGAGCAAACAGTATTACAGAAGGCATTGCCATCAAAAAGAAAATTAGCAACAGAGAAATACGAAACTGAGGAAACCAAAGGCTTAACTACAAAAGAACTGCAACGTCTAGTGCTATTACAGCAGTACCAAACAAGTATTTTACAACAGTATTATAAACCGAAATTATAAATGATGCAGCGTCAGAAGCCACCTGTAACTTATGATGTTCGCGAAAATAAAACTTATTATAACTTCTAAATACACTTTAATCAGTAAAACTATTTATTATAATACTCAAGTTTCTTATTTGATGACTTAGTTGGCGGAGAGGAAGTTCGTCATTCTCATGATTTCCTTCATCTTAATCTGGGTCTTGTTCAATTAACTCAAAGTCACGATCGCCCAAGCTCTTCGCAACATTATGGAGTACAATACAAGCAATAATTATGTTCCCCACATTTTCCAACTTTACTCGGCAAACATACTGTGAGATAGGAAACCGGCGTTTCAGTTGGCCGAAACAGCGTTCAATTATAACTCCTTGTTTTAAAAGCTTATTATAATTTATTTCTGCACCTGGAGTAGGATTTCTGAAGGGAGTCATAAGACATTGCTCAATACCATAACCGTCATCGCCAAGCAGTACATTTGCTTTATTTATTAGTTGTGATGTAGTCTGTGTATTTTCCATATTCTGTAATCATGCACTGATCCAGGTCAACTGACATCAACACTTGTGAACATCTCTCTGGCATCACAAGTGGCTTGCACATTTAAAGTAGGTTTCCCTTTTCAGTTGATATTCTCATCTCGACGGCGATTTGGATTCAGGATTCCTATATGTGTACAATTGCTGTCGGAAATTTATACATGCTTTACCATATCCGCTTGGCCTCCATCAGTTCATGGTTGGTAGTTGGAAACTTGATCCATTCGTTCGACTGTGCAACTATGCTGTTCACAACTCTATCCACAGTCCGAGATACCGCTGCTTGACTAACACCAAGTTCCTGACCAGTACCTTGTTGATATCCAGGGTCACCGAGATAGCGTAGACATATCTTCATTTTATGGATACATGAAAGTGCTCCTCCTCGAGTTTTCTCATTCTCAACTAAAAATCTGTCCGCAAGCCATTGTACATTTGCTTCGTCGAACCGATATATAATTTTGACGTCACGACCAAGAGAAGGTAAACGAGGTTTGCACTTTTTAACATCCCTAACATCCACAATTTGTACCATCATCTTTTGACCACCTTTCATTACGAAGTTGAGTCTGCTACTGACCACACTCAGAATTTTTGAAGAATATGCTTCCTATGCCAAGTATAAGGTGAAGATTATGAATATCCTTTTACTTATGTCACTGCTTTGAAGGATATGCTTATACCCAAAAAGCAAAAGCATTTACCTCAAATTATTATAAATACCATCTGGAGGATTTCCTTCAAAATTTGCAAGTACAAGGATATCCTTTGTTTTATGAATACGGCTCAATAATGTTGAGCATCCACGATTTCTTACGACACGCCTGGGCATCGTGCTGATAAGGTGGTCGGTATCCTGTTGGGGTATCTCATTCCAGGCTACTACAACTTCCTAAGAGCTGCTAAAGTCTGTGGAGTGTGTCGCAAATTCAAGAGCTTGCGACCTATCGTGTCCGAGACATGTTCAATTGGAGATAGGTCAGGTGATCGTGGTGACCAAGATAAACGGTTCATGCGATTTTGATCCATGAAGGCTAACGATGCACTGACAACATGCGGTGCGGCATTGTCTTGCTGAAAAATCGGGTCTTGCATGGTGTTTAGGGATGGAATAATATGAGGCTCCACTACTTCCTGAATATAGCGTCGGGCTGCCATATTGCCTCTGATGAAAATTAGTGGTGAAAAATCGGTATGTAAAAAATTATTGAATTCTAATAAACATACGTAGGTGTTTACCTTTTTGTCACTCAGTATATATATATATATATATATATATATATACAGGGTTATCCAAATTAAGTGTCCACCATTAGTAACTTTGTTATTAGTGAAAATACAAAGTTGTTTGAATTAGCAAACTAGTAGCATTTTTAACGCTGGTAAAAATGAGAAATAAAAAAAAACAATTGAGAGTCGTTATTTTGATTTTTTTCAGTAAAATAACATTTTTTTAAATGGAAACCCCTGTATATTATATTTTTTTCTGTTAAAGCATCAAATTTTAAACAAAAAAGTTCATAATGACTTTTCCGCTAAAGTCAAAAATAAAGTCAAAATAACGATAAATATTTTTAATTATTTGCAGTATTATAATATTAAGACGGCTATGAAAACAACATGGCGTTCGCGATTTGACAGCATTCAGATAAGCGACAAATTGTTAAACTGGACATACTCGCAACTAGAAGGCTTTGGAAAACAATGATAAAATCAAATAATGTCAAACATTAGTGTAAATACTTGTTTATAAGCTTTATTGTGTCATTAATTTAAAGAAAAATGTTCTCCCATGAAGAAAAGTGTGATATGTTAGAATGCTATTTAGTGTGCAGAAAATCCTCCTTGAGAGCAAGAGAATACTACAGTGAATTATATCCCGCTCGCATTCAACCGTATGAACGACATTTTCTGAGACTTTATCGAAAATTTAGGGGCAACGAAAATGTTTTTGCTAAAACAAGGGCAAAAAAAGAATTCATAATAAGCGAGGCCACGGAAATTGCAGTTATTGGATATTTTGAAGCTTATCGTGAGAATTCAATAGCAGATATTCTCAAGGACTCTAATTTCAGTTATGGTACTGTTCAAAGGATTTTAAAAAAATACAAATTTATTCCGTATAAGTACCGACCAGTTCAAACGCTTTTGGCAGGGGATCCAGAGAGAAGACTTGTTTTTTGCCATTGGTATCTTAGCTTCTGTCGCCAAAATGTAAATAACTTTCGTTACCTTTTATGGACAGATGAATCAAATTTTTCAAATTCTGGAATGTTTAATAGAAAAAACCACCATTATTGGTCAAGAGAAAATCTTTTGTTAGTACATCCAAGAGGCCCACAAGTCCGTTTCAGTTTCAACGTTTGGTGCGGTATAATTGGTTCAAAAATTGTTGGCCCGTTCTTTTATGAGGGAACCCTAACTGGTGAAAGATATGTGGAATTTATGTCAGAAATTCTGACTAATTTCTTAGACGAATTGGATCTTATAAGTAGACATCATCTGCATTTTCAGCAAGATGGCGCACCTGCCCACAACTCCAGAGGTACTTATCATTTTCTAAGTACTACTTTTAATGATCAGTGGATAGGAATGGCCCAATACAGTGGCCTCCCAGATCACCAGATCTAAACCCACTTGATTACTTCTTGTGGGGTTACTTAAAGAACCAAATTTACAAGCGAAGGTACGATAACCTTGACGCGTTAAAGACTGCAGTTAGGGAAAAGATAACCCAGATAGATGGTAGGACCATACTTAAGACAGTTCGAGCAGTTGAAAAACGTGCCCAAAAATGTATTGAAGAACAAGGTGGTGTTTTCGAGCATCTTCTTTAAAAAAAATTGTTATTGTATTTTGTAAGATTATAAGTTGATGTTGAAAATAAAGTTTGTCGATACAATTTAATTGTTTCAGATTGGAGGCCATAGCTTCAACAATTTGTAACCTAGGAGAAAAGTTATTGTAAGCTTTTTTGTTTAAAATTTGATGCTTTAACAGAAAAAAATATAATATACAGGGGTTTCCATTTAAAAAAATGTTATTTTACTGAAAAAAATCAAAATAACGACTCTCAATTGTTTTTTTTATTTCTCATTTTTACCAGCGTTAAAAATGCTACTAGTTTGCTAATTCAAACAACTTTGTATTTTCACTAATAACAAAGTTACTAATGGTGGACACTTAATTTGGATAACCCTGTATATTACTTAGTAATATATATATCGTACATTTTTTGATCGGTCATCGCGTACTGATATACCATAAAAACTAGTCACATTTTAGATATTTTGATACCAAGCAGCATCTACAGATTGTTTTAACACTGGTCTTCCATGTTTCCAGTTTTGGTTCTGGTTAATTTTTGAACAAATTCATCAACCTTCTCTGACAATTTTTGGCATTCGTGCTCAATTTTGCTAGACAATTTTCTTAAATATAGTGCCTTTAACAATAATTCGACCAACTCGTTTCTCTGTCGGTCATTTCCGTCGGTCTATCTGTCAACTAATCTTATAACCGGGTATAACTTGAGAACAGCTGGGATTTCGATGAAATTTTTAGTTACTACTACGCCAAAACAAAAAAAAATGCTGAAAGTTTAACGTTTCAGACGATCCTGATCATTTTAGGAAAAATTTTTACAGGGGTTAAAAATTGTGGTTAGAGGTATCTCAATTTTTTGATATATTGATACGCCTCCAACCCCGGTAATTGCGACGTGCGCTCCCCCGATGGACAAGCGTCGTCGTCGGTGGTCGTACGCCACAGTCGGCAATCGTCACTCACACAGGATTAATTATCGCAACTGATTCTTTTCAAAGGACGAGAGTCATTTATTCTTTTATCGAATATGTTCTTTCTTAAAAAACTTCACATTTTAGAACTGTTTCATTTATATCTTGGTCTTGTTTTTAAGGCATAAAAATCTCCAATCACGCAATATTTTAATACTTTTGGCCATGAGCATCGATCAGCAATTCCAAATATGTAGACTAAATTATTGTCATACTGGAAGACTAAGTTGGGACTTTATTTTTATTTTTTGATATATTGATACGCCTCCAACCCCGGTAATTGCGACGTGCGCTCCCCGCTAATACTTTTGGCCATGACCATCGATCAGCAATTCCAAATATGTAGACTAAATTATTGTCATACTGGAAGACTAAGTTGGGACTTTATTAGACAATTTGAAATCCTTGTAATTACATGCAAGATAAATTTACACTTTGCAAATTCAAGGAAAATTTCATGACAAAAGGGAATTTTTTATCGAACTCGTGGATTGACAATAATGTCAGTCCATGGATGACGTCCCCCTGCCAACACACTTTTACCCTCATTATTGAATTTTATCCCTCAGTGTCGTTTGATCAGATTAAGGTGAAATTGCGGATTAATAAAAACAGTTCAGTGGAAATATTAAACATTTATTTCAAGGAAAACGTATTTGAAGTATCACAATCTGCAGTAATTCATCTACAAAACAAAAAAGCTTCAAGTCACAAACTGCAAAAGACATTAAGCTTTTTCTCATGGCAACATAAAATTGTGGTGTCTTGAATAGTAGAACCTGAAACAAATTAAAAAAAATTGAAACACATGATCACATCTGAAATCAAAAAGAAAGTAATACTGTGTGATCAGACAAGGGTTTGGCTTTTATCTTCACTTTAATATAGGAGTGGTGCATGCCAATTCATCATGTAGAATAAAAATATCATGAAAAGGTTTAAAATTAGATATTTTTAGATGTAACTTATTGTACAAGTATTGGGATTATCAATGGTTGAATGACAGCATTTATGCCTTGAAAACCAGATGAAAATGAGGCTACAGTCTCAACCTAGACATTTCCAGGAAGTTAACTAGCAAATCTTACCTTATTAGTAAAACACCAAAGCAGTCAAGTACCTACCCCCAAAAACCTAGAAACGAAAATAAACCCGTCAATATACTGTAAAGTGTAAAGACAACTCTTTTAAAACACTGTATTTGTCAGATAGGAGCGAAAGACAAAAATTCAGTTGTAATCATAAATTTCATCTGAACTATGCATTCATCATATGGAACATAAATATGGTTATATAGAATAAAAGAAATAGTTTTTCTACTGGCAATGCTGTTTTTGGAAAGCCTTATTGAAAGCTGCTACTATTTTTCATTTTCTAATTTAATAAATGAAATAAAGTAAAATAAAAATATTTGACAAGTAAAATACTTCTATACAAAAAAAAAATCAACTTACCATTAAAACAGCTGTTTGCCAGTTCATTTGCAATCTCAGTCCATTTTATTTCAATCATAATTCTTGTTATCCATTGATTCCAACTGAAACAAAAAAAAAACTCAAATTAACTAATGTGGACTTAAATATAAAACTAAATTTAAAATTGTGAGTTTTCAGAATTAAGAATAATCATGGGATTCATAAACTCCAGTCTGGCATGACAATTTTAAATATCATCATTAAAGATGTGAAGTGGTCCTGATTTTTTACTTTTTTAATTCAGGACTTGTGAATTCTGGAAAAAACCAAATTCAATTTACAACACATCAACTCACCAGTAGAACAGCTCCACTCTTCAAAAAAACACCTTCAATTTTCTTGTTGGGCATTTTTGCTGTAAAGAAAAATCAAATTTCAAAAGAGGAATTTGGATCAGATTTATGGTATTCACAAAATGTATAATTTCAGAATTATAAATAATCACAGAATTCATAAACTCCAGTCTGGCATGACAAATTTAAATATCATCATTTAGAATGAGATATGGTCCTCATTTTATAAATTCAGGACTTGTGAATTCTCGACAAAAAATAAATACAATTTACAACAAATCAACTCACCAGTAGAACAGCTCCACTCTTCAAAAAAACACCTTCAATTTTCTTGTTAGGCATTTTAACTGTAAGAAAAAACAATTTCAAAAGAGGAATTTGGATCAGAATTGTTATTCACAAAATGTATAATTTCAGAATTATAAATAATCACAGAATTCATAAACTCCAGTCTGGCATGACATTTATAATATCATCATTTAAGATGTGAGACTAGTACTAAAAAAAATGATTTTCATATTTTTCAGAAACCAAAAATAAACTGAATCAATTATAGAATTCACAATATTGGAACTGTTAACCTAAAATTAAAGAATGGACTTATGAGATCAACAAACCTTTCTGTTTTTTTTGCAGTTTGATGTTCAATACAGCTGGAATTAACAAGTCCATACCCTGAAAACAATACACCAAATTAACAAATCAAAATATAAGAAAGCAAATAATGTTAATTCTTAAGAGAAATCAGATAGGAGCGAAAGACAATTATACAATATTGTAATCATAAAGTTTCATTTGAACTATGCAGTCATCATATGAAGTTATAAAAAAATGACATATTTCATGTAATAAGACAATATGTATTTAAAGAACAGATTTAAAGTGAGCAATACTATATTAAGAAGAAACTCACCATCTAACATCCATGTCTATCCTAACTCAGAGCACAGCTTTATTGGTATACTGGAACAAGAAATAAAAAACTCAGGACAAAAGTAATACAAGCAAAAATAAATCATAAGCATAAAATTAAATCAGTTGGTAGTGCATGTAAAATATAATCATTTACACTCATGTCTTGGTGATAAATTGATCATCATGATATTTATATTAAAATATATTTGAGATTGTAGCAATAACTTCATTTTTTATAAAATTATTCAGTCAAAAATTAACTTACATTTCTTTGCACATCTGAATGTCTTCATAACTCATTGTTCTCTCTTCTTGAGTAATAGCTAACAGCAGATCCAGCTTACAAAAAATAAGAAAAATTATTAATCACAGCCCTTCAGAGTGAGAATAATTTTAAATATAAAGTTTTATCAGTTGGTAGTGCATGTTAAAAAAATAATCAATACATTTCATAGCAAACGGTTTGAGATTCTCATCATTATTCAAATTGATATAAAGTTTTTCTAATATAACCCAAAAGAATAAGATATTCACCTCTTATCCATGCCTCTGTATTTGTCCAACCAAAATGAGTCTGAAATGAAAGGATAATTAAACAACTTATTTTATGACTGAAGTGTTTGATTTATAATTTTCAATTTCTCAGACATCCAAGGAAGTGAAAATTCTTCACATAAATGGTTCAGATATATAATGATTTTCATCATAAAAACTAAGTCAGAATATAAATAGGTATTGTGCAAAACATGTTTATGTGTTGAAAAGGCACTTACATCATAATTCACATATAAAGATAGTTCCAACATAATTTTCTTATGCACCAGATTCCAGATATTTCTTCACTATTCTGAAATTAAACATAAAATATATCAACTATCTCTAACATAAAACCCCAGTTTTGATATATTTGCAAATCAGTTAGAGCTAATAGAACAATCATACAATATTTGTCATTGAATTGAGATCATCATATAGTTTGAAACTATAATTAAAAAAACATTTAAAATCCCTCAAATTTGTGATTTATTGTAGATAACTTACATCAACAAGGTTTCTTTGCCTTTGCTTGTACAAATATTCTTGGCACATCAACATTCTCTTTCTTGTTGATAGTTCTTCTATGAACATAACAGTTGACCAATATTTCAAATCCTGCTTCTATAAGCAACTGTTTCAAGTATTCCACAGAAAAATAATATGCTCTTGTACCATCCTGTCTCATATAGAAATTCTCATCAATCTTATTACCTGCCTAAAACAAGAGAAAACATAACATCTCAAACCTATCATGTATCAATTGTCCTCAAAGGAGGTCACTTTAAGTCTAAAACATTGTATGATAAAGAGGTGATTTAATTCAACCAGACAAACAATGGGGGGGTTTTATCAAGGCTGTAAATATTTTAGGTATTTAAAATTATTCTAATGATGCTAAAGATTGTTTACATATAAAATTAAGGATAAAATTATGTTCATGTGATATATTTAGAATCAAGAGAATCATTACCGAATATTACAGCAATCTGAATTTGGATGCAACAGAAAATTCAGACAATTTTTAATCAAAATTTTACCTTAAACCTTAGCTGAGCCATATCATGTAATCCATAATCTCTAAATAGTAGAAGACCTCCAGGCTTTAGAAGTTCATAAATTCTTCTCAAAGTTGGAACAAACTTGTCAGGATGTATTGCAGAAAGCACAAAGATTAAGGTACAAATATCTACTGTGCCTAGTTCTACTTCTTTAAAAACATCCTCAGTTGTAATGTCACATTGGAATACATGGATCTGGCTTTGTGAATATGCTAGAAAGATTACTCAATTTCAAAATCATTATATGAAACCTTATACCAATCTGAGAAATTATCATATCTCCTCTTTGCAATAATTAGAAGTATACTTTCAAAAGGTCAATGTCTCTGTAAGTATATGCTACTGCAGCATCTATGAGGCAGTAATATTTTATAATATAAATATAATTTAAAGGATCTATATTCAGAATTCTACAAAACTATTTTATTGACAGAAGTCAAAAAACTAAAACTGGATCTACATTATCAAAATCAAAAAATATTTCTGTTGGTATACCACAAGGTAGTAAACTAGGTCGACTACTATTTATTTTATACATTAATGACATTTGTAATATTTTGGATTACAGTAAAGTCCAGATATTTGCCGATGATACATTAATATACATATCAGATGGAAATATGGACACTGCTTTAAAAATGCTAAATTCTGAACTGGCAAAAATCATAAATTGGTTAAATGTAAAAAAACTAAAATTAAATACCTCTAAAACAAAATGTATGCTAGTAGAGAAATACCTAAATGAAAATATTATCACAGTTAGGCTAAATAGTGAAATAATTAAAAATGTTGAATCTATTAAATATTTAGACATATACAGGATGTAAAGTTAGTAATGGATCAATGGAAGTCAGAACCTATCGAATGAACCACTATTTATTTGTGGTCCGAAATTTTATAGTTCAGGAGGTATTTGCAAAACATGGCATTGTTTTTTTTTTGTTTTACTACTTTTTATCTTACTGCCGTTTGTTATTTTTTGATTTTTATAATTACATGGAATTGCAACGCCGCAGACAAGCGATTCTCATATATGACATATCCACAAACGTCAGCGTCATATGATAGATGGCGGTGGAAATAACTGCTAAAAAATAGTGTTTTGGGAAAAAAAATTCACTAAAAGCATTCTTCATCCACACATTTTATGATTTAAAATAATCTATAAGACTACCCTCTACAAGTTTCAAGTGAAAAAACAGTGAAATCCGAAGTTCTACAAGATGCAACAGTACTCTATTTCAATCGATGTAGAATAAACCAGATCCAGAAGCAAAAATTTGATTATTACCTGGGTTGCTTTTCACGATTTCCACAGCACGTGGCGACAGATCGCACGCGATCACGTGGAAATTCAGCTTTTCTACGATCAAAGGAAATATGAAATTACCGACTCCGCATCCGATTTCGAAAAGAGTCCTTTGTCCATCCACGTGGTGGTTCAAGAGTTCCTCAAACTCACGTGTGGTCCAATGCCTGTCTTTGAAAAACCTAGTCTCATTGCGTTTGTAGAAAAGATCCCAGTTCTTTTTCGCTTCTTTTTCTAGCAAACCAGCTTTGAATTCGCTCACTTTTCTTGTGTTTTGCAACGACAATCGAAATATGTTATCACCCGTTAATCTTATAGTGGTGTCCCTAAATTCTTCATTTTCCTCGCACATTGTTGAAAACTATCCACAGCGCCTGAAGGGATAGTACTTAGAGACTCTTTTCCGAAGAAGCAGATTAACAACATCTAGACGATTACTTTGAAAAATGTTGATCAATTGTCACTCACCCAACATTACCACGCGGCATACAAAACGAAAATGAAAAAATAAAAATTGAAGTCGCAAAGTTAAGGTTACCGATTTGACAGGTGCAGATGGCGCTGCAGCATGCTAGAGATGTGCGCAACAAGTTCGATCTTGAAATAACGATGAATTCAAACTCTAATAAGGATGGGATAAGCGATTCGTTTAGCTCTTGAATCACAATCTTGTAGATCTGGCAAAGTTGGTGAGATGTCAACGTCATTTTAGTATAATCATATTAGTATTTAAAACATGGACGCATAAAATGGTTACACCAATTTTTGTGGGGAAACTTTTTATTCGACAACAAACACGAGTTTACCTTGCCGGCATGAATCACAAACAATTCCGAAAGATAATTGTTATTTTTATGCGAGAAACGAAGGGGTTAAACGATTAGAAATTCTCAAAAACTACTTGATCAATCGACTCCAATTTTGGTGTCGTTATCTAGAAGTATAAAGTCTACGAATTTGAAGAATTTCAAGTATCTGCGTGAAACTATCATCGCATCACCAACAAGTACTAAATCATCTTCCCTCGGATTTCGGCCATAACTTTTTTACTATTAGTCGGAGCTTTTTAGGTGTGCACTCATTCTTTGGGTCTCATAAATACCTGAAAATCTTATTTGAAGGGTTTTTTCGTTCTTGCCAACACTTTCGATTGAATCCCAAAAAACACGTTTTCTTATTCTTTGTTGTCGAATAAAAAGCTTTCCGACAAAAATTGGTATACCCATTTCATGCGTCCATGTTTTGAATACCCCCTAGTTCAGTAAAACGAGACTTTACAATTATTTCGCAAACCAGGGGTATTTTCGTCTAATATGATTAGACTAAATGCTTGTCAGGCAATTACGCCAACGGCTGTTGTTTATTTTCGTACTTTTTGTCTCAATATTTGCATTGTTATTTTATAAAAACAGTTTTAGTTGAAATTTTGATTACTGCAGATCAAAAGTATTTTGACAACCGGATGATCACTTATTACAATCAGTCATATTGTATGTTTTTGGGGGTAATCATTAATACTTTGTAGCGTATCATTTCGCTTTTATAACAGCTTCACAACGTGTCGGCATCGATTCAGATAATTTTTGCAAGTGATCAATTGGAATTCGGCTCAATTCATTACTTAGTGCTTCATACAAAGCTTCCTCATTAGTGTAATTACATCTTACGCGGCGATCTAGCTCCTCCCAAAAATGAGCGCAAACATAAAATTTCTGAAATATTTTACTATATAATAAATAGGTTTGTATTGAATGTTTGTTTTCAATGACTGCGCGATGTTGCCAGATTTCATTACTTCATAGGTTTTCGTGCTGATGGATATTCTTAATAATTAAATTTGTATGTATCACTTCGAACTCCACACAACCTTACATAACGTATAGTGTCCAACAACAACAAATTCTAAATTAAAAGGAGAGCTGCTACGCGCGGAAATGAGTATTTTCGTTAATTTTCTCATATTTCTTCAATGTGGCAACATTGCGTTATGTATAGGATCCGTTCCATTCTGCAATTGTCGTGATTAAGAAGGTGTTTATACCTTTTAAAACCCAGATAATATCAACAATATTCTTCCACTAACCCATTTGCGGGCATTTTTAATCAAATTTCCATCATTTACAACCCAAACCTAGTACCTGTTCGGGCAGAGAAATACCCACCCACAATGTCAACAAACAAGTCGCTACATTTTCTCGCAATACGTGTAGCTACAACGTAAGGTAACAATAACAGAAACCGTATCTATTTACAAACACGTAAGAGTAAGTTAATAAGTTAAGTCAAAATAATTTTGAGCGCTACTGTAACTGGTTTGATTCAGTGAATATACTGTACTTTAATAATATCACCGACGTATTTTGTTACAATCTGAAATACTGCAAAAAATGTGGCGTGAGCTCAACCATTCTTATAATACGTTTTTTGTGTCGCAAAAAATCTCCAGCTCTGGGAGATTGTTTTCTAGATAAATCGGGTGTTTATATTCTGAATTAGATGTCAAATCAGTTCTATTTAGTATTCACTTCCAATTTTTCACCCCAATTCGGGTCCGATGGCACTTTAAAATTGTTTTCACTATGATACTTATACAGAGTGATTCACAAGTCGTGACCAAAAATGAAATATCATACACAGAACTGCATTTTGAGGGGGGTCTTCTATGTAATATATTTTCCTTGAGGAAAAAGATACGGGGTGTTGAAGTTTAAGAATAAAAAACATTTTTTTTAATATTAATTTAAAAGTGTTTACTTGAAGATAACGTGCACCAGTGGCGGAGATACAGGGGATTAGTGGCATTATTTTTTCAAGACTAAAGAGAGTTTTGACTTGACTTTTACAAAAAAAAAATATTAGTAGTAACGATAACAACCGTAAAATACATAACTTAGACAAACTATCTTCGAAGAAACGTCAAGATTTGAAACTAATTGTATTTCGGCTCATCATGATCTAATTTTTTTTTAACAAAAACAATGCACTGTAGGAAAAAACACAATAGTAATTATTTGTAGCAAATTAAAGGTAAAATTTGAAAAATTTCATGGAAAAAAAACAAAGATTTACTAAATAAATATATTTAATATCTATGTGATCTAAAATTACATGATTATTAATAGGAGAACTATGAGTTTCATTTTCTCTACTACATATTTATTAGGGGAACACGGTTTTTTGGTGACTGCATTCACACTTGGGCGAGGGAAACCCCTAAAAATTCTGGGTTCATTTGTACAATCGAAAATGTATAATCCACCACCATGCCACAGTTATTAACCTGAAAAAAAAGTGGCATTGAAGTAACGGTTTCTACGAGGGTCATGTTTTAAGCAAGAACCGTTTTGTATACGAGTCTCATTGTGTTAGTTTCCCAAATGTGTCGCCTAATTTCTTGTTAATTTCTTCAAAAGTTGTATGAACATTTTTAGAAGCCTTTACTTGGAGCCTGACTGTATTTCGTAAAACTTCTTCAATATATTGACAGCAGACTATACTAAATACTATTATCTACAGATTTATCTACAAAGAGAGTTCACATAAGTATTCACATTTAAATAACACCTCTGCCTATTTTGAAACATCAAGTAAGTTGACTCTGTATTTATTTATTTAAGTATAGTTTGAGTGGAGGGCTTTTTGTCTTCTTAGGGTAAGTTAAGAAAATATATCTCTTGGGAACGTTTCCAAGATCCTTAACAGTTATATCTATACTTCAGAGGTTCGTGAAGTTCAAAAACAACCTTCTTGATGCCATACCCTCCAATGCTTACCCTGTAAAAATTTTTATGTTGGTTTGGTTGCTGTTTCCATATATTGCAGCATACTATATGTCGGGACTTTTATCATTATTAACATGTTTCTATTGTTCCTATTCAACCTCTATGTTTACCCGACTCTTGTATGCCCAATTCATCTAGCTATCCAGGCAGAACATTTTTTGAAACAGCTGCCTATACAAATCGTTATCATCAATATTCGTTATCTCACGTTTATCACGCTCGGGAGTGTCTATACCGTCTGCCATTCCTGAAATTGGGGGTGTCCCCCCTCCAAGTCTTGATAAAAGTATTTGAGCTATGATTCTGAAAGAAAACCTGAAAGTTTTTGAACAGCAGTTCTGTGAAACACGTAAAAATAAGAAATGTGCAATCACATCTTAGCTAAAAATAGGTATGTTCGTAAAATATGCACCTAAAAAAAAGTAAATACCAAATGTGACTTAAAATTAAAATTATAATAACTACATCATTATCATCAATATTTATCATAGCTCATCACACTTCCTGAAATACGGAATGTTCTCACTCTCTCCTAAAAGCTGAAACAAACTAAGAATAACACTTGCACTACGATTTTAAAGCATAAAAAATACCTAAGAATAAGAACCATTTTACTTGTAAATATATTTTCTCAATAAATCATCCAGCTGTTGATAGTGAAATAGAAATAATGAATACCAAATATTTGTAAGTATTACCAGAACTACTACTAATACTACTACTACTACCACTGCTACTACTACCTTCTTATCTAGTTACTTATCATCTACGGACACATTTATGAAACCTGAACTTTTCACATATCTCATCCCTCAGAAACACTTGATGATTTTACGTCAGCCATGTGTTTTCCAAGACTCTCCGAAAATGATTAACCACATGTCTCGCGTAACATTTCTTCACAAAAAAGTAATAATTGTTTTTAAATACAGTAGCTGGAGTGTATCGTGTATCCTGTGACCATACTTGCGTGTACTTAAATTTACACCATATTAATACCTAGCGATGTTCTTTTAAATCCTGGATCCCTGTTTAACAGCTCGGCCATGGACCCAGAGGAATTTCTTCCTTCACTTTTCCCTCTTCTTGACGGACTTTTGCACTGTGCAATTGTTGAAGTTTATCACAGCTTTGCTAGTTGAACGCAATAGCCAAGCCCAATAGTATTTTAGAAAAAAGTACGAGAAAACCTAAAACATAGAAGTCATGTATAAAATATAAAAACATCTTTACCGCTGATGATGCGTAAGGGAATGTTGGAGGGTTGACTGAGTCCCTTATTGTGCCTCCACATCGCAGAATTCCTAACCAAAAAGGGGCACCATGTCTGGTCGAAGAAAATCCTAAATGCACTTTCATTTCAGCAAACTGCTATAGTCTCTGTAAAAAGTATAAACAGCAGTACTACGTTATTACAACTCCCACTATCACAGTTTGGACAGAAAAAGCGTCTCCGCATTCGAACGGCTATAAAGTTTTGTTCTATCTAAAAAAAAAGTTACGCTGGTATTATTTTCGTAGTTTAATTGCTTCCATTGTATTGTACTCATGTTTTCTAATATCTGGTTAAACAAGTAAATATACACAAAATAGTTCGCTTTAATATACTGACTTCTGTTATAAAACCTGGTTCTCACGCGCCTGGAAAATATCGCTTGCACGCCTCGCAGCACGAAAAAAAATGTCGTTAAATTGTCAAAATATATTACACAGAAGTCCTATTAATGAAAATACATTTACCTCGAATGTACCCCCGCATGCGCAAGGGCATCTGCATCCATCCATGTGACCCTGAATAAATTAACAAGAGCATGTTGTCTGTATCCCTCGATGTGCCCCCACATAGCAGAGTGCCCAAATAAAATTCCCTAACATTTCCGTAACCTCTCGCTACTACCGACCACTTATTTGGATTTTCTGAAGCGTACGTTTCATATGATTCTTCCAATTCTCTCTACTTTCAAAGTTTCCAACCGTGTGATAGCGTTTTGTAATTATCTTTCCTGACTTTTCTACTGAACTGACGGCTTTTCTTAGTGATTCCTAAATATCTAAATGGGGCACCCTGTCGTGGCGAGGGCAGAGGAAGAGTCGTCAACCAGTAGGTTTTACAACCTCGCAGCTCTCTTTCGAAGTCGCCGACACCAATAATAAAACCCTAAATGCACTTACCTTTCAGCAAACTGCTCTAGTCCCTGGAACAAGAAGAAACTGCATGAGTATACAAGTACTGCGTTTTTAAAACTATAACTCTTACATTTTGGAAAGGCCAGGCGGATGGAATAATTGAAGGGTACAGGGGAAAATATGAATAATCCTTCGGCTTCTTCCATATAATATGTAAGAGTAAAAAAATGTTTCAAAATTTATCGCCGTATCTTGAAAACCCGGACCCATCTTTATAGAAACTTTTTTCATATTTTTTAACAAGGAATCACTCTCTAAGATATATCCCTCTATTTTTCGAACACCCTGCATAGACATCCCACAGGACTTGGGGAAAGAACTCCCCTTCTCTAGTTCGTACTTTTATGTAAGCTCTTATAAAGATACATAAATATAGTTCAATTAATGGAAAATCATCCTCTTGAAAATATCTATTGTATGGTGGTATTTATTTCTTAGCAAAAAACGTAAACAACTTTTTTTACGAGAGATAAGATCAACACGAATACAATCAGTATTTACGTGCACGAATCTGGATTTCTTGTCTTTTTAAACAATTACAAACGACAAAAAATAGTTTTTTCCGCCACTTTGTCTTTAAGCTTTTTGGAACATTGCAAATAAAAAAAGTTTCGTACCTAGCTTGCCGTAAAGACTTTCTTTTCCCAGAAAGACACAATATCCAACGTGAAAATGCACTACTCGCCTTTCATGAACATCCACAACACATTTTCACGACACAATTATCACAAAATCACTTAAACTACCATCACGACACGACGACACTGCGGGGAATCGCCGACAAAGCCTTCTCTGGACACCACATACCACAATAACAAGTCGAACAGAAGCCGAGTGTTACACGGAGGTCTCGACGAAGCAACCTCCAGTCTCGCCAACGGCCAACCGACAACTAAAGTGAAAACTGCGCGGTAGTTCGCAGCGTACGGCGTCGGTACGGCTATTGTCATCGTTCTGCGTCGTCATTGGTTGGAATTTAGCAACGCCTCCTTCCAGCTCCCAATCTTTGTTGGGGCAGGGTTGCCAACCCTACAGTTTTAACGGTAGATTTACTTTTTTAAAAACCTTCCAAGTTTTCAGTTCATGCCTGAAAATCTACAGTTTCTCGTTTAAGATGTTCGCGCCATCTATTTTGTTTACTTAACCGAGTGCTGCTCAAGCGAAGTGCCTCCCTCTTCAATTTTCTACCACCGGCAACTTGCTGATCATGCATGCAAAAAGCAAATTCTTTTTGAGCGATTGTCTGGTTGGCCTTGAGTGAACATGGAAAAATTAGAATGGACATTCTGTCGCTGTCACTCAAGGTCAATCAAAACCACAATCGCTCAAAAGGAATTTGCTTAAGCAACATATATATATATACTCGAAAAAATACTGTAAATGGAAGGCTGTAGATTTACAATTTTTTAAATAGTATTCTACAGTTTTTTCAAGCTCATATACAGTGTTTCTCTCGGATGGGTTGACGACGCTGCTTGGGAGTCAAGCGTCGGATTACACTTGTGAATTATACTATGAGAGTAATCCCAAAGGTACTGTCGTTTGAAAAGTACAAAAATTATTAGCTTCAAATAACTGATACATCATTAAACATTCGTTCTATTTTGCTTTTTTTTAATATCCGTGTTATACCAGATCTCCGGCAGGTTCTTGATAAAGCAGTGAACCTCATCGATCACTTCAGTGTCTGAACAGGTACTGTGAAACAGTGGAGAAACTCCGTCGCGCAATCTAGAAACCAGAAAAAGTTATTTTGAATAAGTGTTTAACGATTCTCAAGCAATTTGGATGGGGAGATCTTCACCCACCAACCGTATAGTGCGAACTTGGCACCGTGTGATTCCCATCTGCTCACTGAGTTGAAAATGCATTTGTCAAGACATTTCAGGTTTGACGAATAGGTAAAAAATGTGGTTCAATGCTTTCTTATGGACCTGGCGGTGAGCTGGAGTGATATGGAAAAAAAACTGTACCTGTTCAGAAAAAACAAACGTAACTACTTTATACAGGGTGACTTTGAAGTTGAGTCAATAATTTTCAGATAATGATTGTAGAAGGAAGATAAACCAAAATATGTGTGTAAAAATAAAAAAAAATTTAACCTTGTTTTATAAAGTATCCTCCCGACAAGTATTTCAGTGCGGACCTGTATTTGATCGTGAGGTCTTGGAGCACCGGCATGCCGTCCATATGTGAGGTCTTAAGTCAAATGATTCACGAACCCGTTGTACTACATTAACAAAGGAACGAGGGGTTGGTTGCACTCGATTGGGAAACCGATACGCATAAACATGTCCCATTTTTTATTTCGTTTGAGCCACGCAACAGACACCACTATTCACTCACGCGTTACCGACTGACACTGACTGTATACAACTGAATAAAATAATTGTAAAAACATCGTTCCAAATTCTTTCGCTTTTTTGTTTCCGATGCGATAAGGCGGATTATATCCGTTGTCGCCAAACACGAGCACATAATATTATTATTGAGACAGGGCGGTACTCAAACTTCCAAAGGCCTATAACTTTGTTACTTTAATTTTACCAGAAAAATGGTAAAGGAAAAAAACATTTCTTTTGATCAGATCTACTCACTGTTAAAATAAATGACTCAACTTCGAAGTCACCCTGTATATAGATTTCATATTCAGATTGTACTGTTTTCTCATTTTGTGCCAATAGCTGACAACGTCGCGTGTGAGATTTGTTACACACAAAAAAAATGGCGGCTTGACATTGACGTAAGTCAACCGTGCTGTCCTATGGATAGCACGAGCACGTACGTTATTCAATCTATATGTCATGTCGACATTTGTCAGATTCTTCAAATAATGGAGAGTTTGTGAGATTATTTCAGTTTTTTAGTTGTTTATTAGCCTTAAATATAGTTTTAAATGTGCAGACGGATGCTATCCGCATAGATAATTAAGCATTAACAAAATACAAAGTATGGGAAGCACTGCAAAAGCTGTGGTAACCGGTTTTATATGTCGACTATGCTCTGAACAAAAAAAAGTTGTGATCCACTTGTACACAGAGAAGGCGAAGAAATTAGAATTACTCAAGAAAATCAAGTTATTACCTATATCTGTACGTTTATAGAGAACGCGAATAATCCTATCACTAACATAAAACTTGTTTTTAGGTCGACAAATTTGATAATCTACCAAAAACGATATGTGAGCAGTGTGTCGTTAGGCTTGAAATTCAGTACAATTTGGTGGTGAAAATAAGGAAAAACAACGATATACAGCGCTGCCACAGGTTACACCACGTATGTAATATGTCGTGATAAATTACATACTGATCCAAACAAGCTGATAAGAAAAAAATGGTAGTGTTGAGAATCTGTAGTGCACACGCCTCTATATACTTGATTTTTGTCCTAAACTCATCAATATACCTAAGCAAGCTAACTTAAATTAAAAATAAATCTTGCATGGACAAAGAAATGAAATATTGTAGTCTGGTTTTATTGGTGCAAGTTGTTCAAGGGGCTATTTAAAACATGTACGTATAAAATGGGTACACCAATTTTTGTGGGAAAACTTTTTATTCAACAACAAAGAATTAGTAAACGAGTTTTTTGGGATTCAATCGAAAGTGTTGATAGGAACGAAAAAACTTTTCATATAAGATTTGACAAATAGCAAAAATGTTATGGCTGAAAAACAAGGCAAAATGCAGGTTTCGGCACTTGCTGTAATGCAATGGTGGTTTCTCACAGATCTCCAATTTCATACTTTTTAAATTATCACAAGTAGTTTTTGAGAATTTCTAATTCAAAAAACACGTTTTCTCATTTTTTGTTTGTTGAATAAAAAGCTTTCCCACAAAAATTGCTGTACTCATTTTATGCATCATGTTTTGAAAACCCCCTTGAACAACTTGCAGCAATAAAACAAGCTTTACAATTATTTCGCAAACCAGGGGAATTTTCGCCTAAATGTAAAATTAATTGTTCTATAAATTATTTTTCAGAGGAATGGTAGATGTCCACCAGAATGCCCATTCAATGGTCTTGATCTCCCACCGTGGTCAGAAGAAGTAAACACCGAAGAGTCACCTGAAGCATAACATTTGTTTAGCCATTTATCTATGCTTTATGTACTGATAGAAAAGTTTTTAAATACTTTGAATCCAAAACAGATCTGTAATCAATAAGGCAGTGTTACCTACCGAGTTTATTTATTTATTCTCCATTAAAATCATCTTATTGAAAACTGTGGTTTGTTTGCTGATATACCAAGCTTTCAAAAGGTTGTTTGTTAATGCCAAATTATTAAGTGTTATGATGCAAATGTTTCTTTTTTGTTTAAAAAAATATTTTGTTCCTTTTTTGGCACTGCCTTTATATTTGTGATTGCAAAATATTATTTTCATTTATATGTTAAGTGATCTAGTATAAGTGAAGTGTTCATATATTTTTACTTTAAATTAAATATGTAACTATGAAATGTGTCTCAATAAACTTGAATGAAAAAAAATGGTTTCAGTCAGAATAATCAGGAATATGTGCTAGAAAATGTATAACGCCAGAATAATGGTATATATGTTTTATTACAAACCTTAAACTATAACAAGAAAATAAAAATATGCACATCCCAAATAATTATATGTTTAAATATATACATACATAACCATGAACTACATTTCAATTGGTAAAATCTTTGATAAACATAAACTGCTCGTTAGCAAAAAACTAAGCACAGAAATTATGGAATCGGCTTAAAACTAAAAACGTGGAACCGGAAGTCAATCATTTAGAAACGTTTTATCACCAGATTAAAATATATCTAGTCTTAACATATACTGAGTGTCCAATGGAAAAGTTCAAATTTTATTTACATAGCAAACGTATACGTGTGGAAGTGGGGAGAGGTCTTGAAATATTTTCTTTTCATTAAGTTTGTACCTTTTTTTTAAATCAAAAAGTGAACTTTCCCACTGGACACCCTGTACAAAGCCATATTTTCTGTACTCCCATTGGCAATTCTATGTGTGAATCTACAGAAAGTCTGACAATCACTATGGCACTAAAAATTGAAATATCCAAATGTGCAAAGAAATGATCCAATCCGATATCATTTTTTATGGATTAGAATGGCAGTGTATCATTTTGTAGCATTTTCTCTTAAAAACAAACATATAAAACATTCATCATGCTGTATAGTATTAGAATATGACAAATAGCGATGATATTTAGGATATATCAACAAAAAGTCTTATGACAGTTATATAGTTTATTCACTAAAACAAAGCAGTTACGTCATATTCAGTGAATTTGAATGTCAACCTTGATACAAAATAGATCCTAGATTGGTACGTATAGTTTGAATTTCGCGAGTACATTTATGTTGGTAACAGTTTTCTGTCTTTTGCCTCAATGTTTGCATTGTTATTAAAAACAGATTTTTTCTAAACTTTAAGGTACCATTTCAAGCATTTTGCTAAAATGCCGAAACCTCTGGGTCAGCAAGCAACAGAATTCGTCAATTCCTTGACGAAATATTGAGAACAAGCTCCATTATTGCCTTTACAGTCCGTAAGAGAGATATTAGGCATGGAAGACAGAGTAGATTTTGTAAAACGCCCTAGCATCTAGTAGTTTTAATTAATGTGGCAACCATGTGTTATTATTTGACGTTGTGACGTGACCGCTTTGATTCAATGGACAAACTATATTCGAATTGTTTAATATATCATCTTATACAGTTTAGTTTTGTCCTGCTATTGAAAAATTAGTAATTTTTGTAAAATTGCTCTAAACTTGCGCATATGAGTCGAATAGCAAATGTTATTTATTTTGAGAGCTCTGAAGACTTTCTGCATCTACTATGAAAACAGTTAGGCTCATCTAAGCAAGAACGGTTAAGCGAAGTGAAATATGTAAAGATACAGAACATATACATAAAATTCGTTTTCACTACTTTATATACTCATACATATACCAACAATAGATATACAATCTCGATATCAGGATCACATTCCTGAACCATTCTAAATTATCCATAGAATATACAATTCGTATCTGCATATACCCTATTTCACGAGTATCTTCACGGTAGAATGGCAGCTGATTATCTAGTAATATCTCAAAATTCCCCATATCTGCACAGGGCACATAATTCTGACGGATCCGTCAATGCCAGGTAGTCGGAGCCGTATTTTGTATGCTACAGATTCATTTTGTACTCGCTAAAAGCAAAATTTCATTTGCATACAAAAAACAAAACGCAACAAGTTATGCTAGATTTATACCCGATTCATTATTGCCAACGTTGCAGAGTATAACTTGCTGATCAGCTGTTCACCTCAGTAGACGTCAAAGCGTGACGGATACTCGTGAAATAGGGTACACTTTTATGAGATACCTTTTCAATATGCCTAACCCATAATTCGGAGCTTAAGAATGGGGAACCGACATTTTACGATACCTCTAAAAATTGCGAAAAAGCTATTTTATGTTAGACACAACATAACTGGATGAATCGGGTGGGGTATGTTTTATTACGAAGGAATGTTAATACAGGGTGGACCAGAAAGACCGCATTACTGGTGACAGCCTCGCGGGGCGGGACACGAGTAGTGGGGATAAATAGCTTGGTGCTCGGAAATTTAGTCGCCATGGAGCGTTTCGGCTTATTACAAAAATGGAGATTCGTGCACTATTGCACGGCGTCTGTTTCGCTCTGAGTTTAGTTTACATGATGTAAATCAATGTCCTAGTGAAAGTCTGATCAGGTCGTCCAAGTTCCCCATTCGAATAACAAACGAACCCTCCCTTTCCCCGTTATTTCCGCTACCACTTGACCGAATAGGCGCGCCTGGCGCCCACCACCGGCGTTGCCAGATTGCCGAAGAGCAGTTTACGCCTGAGAGACACCGTCGTGGAGTCCCCGCGCCTGAGCGGGCACTACCTGCCCGTGAATCCCCGCCAGAATGAGGCGATGCTGGCCGCAGCGCTGTTCACGAGACCGCCGGCCATGCTGCTGGCTTGTTGCGTACTCGTCATCTGAGGGCTTTGTGGGGGCACCAGCAACGGACCGGGGGGCAGTTCGGGGCATTGCACGTGGGGTACCTGGAAAGAAAAATGGCGTCAAGTAGGTTGACTCTATACTTCCTACGCGTTCGTCGGAGGTTTCAAATCGTTTGGTATGGCGAAATCGACTAGGTAGGTTCACTTACATGCCTCTGCATATCAAACTATACAAGGTGTTCTTTAATGATATGCGAATATTTAAGGGTGTGAATCTACATGAAAAATTAATGTTAGTTTGCTTTAGAAACTATGGTCCAAAAAGGTAGCCTTACAAAAACTCGGGGTGCTGAAGTTTTAGGAAAAAAAAATGGTAATTAATTAATATTTTCAGAACCGCTTCAGATATTTCACTGATATTTAGTACGTAGTGAAAGTTAATAAAGTTGCATATTTTTCAATGCAAAAATAATTTTTAGCTTCAACAGTGGCGTGCGTACGGTTATTGACTTCGATATTGTTTTAAGAAAAAAATGGTACGCCAATGTTTTTTTGCCAAATAAAGATTATTTTTGAATTCCCCGTTCAATTTAGAACAAATGATCTCTCTTGAATTGTTTTCCTTCGATGCGCCATTTTTGAGTAAAAAAATAAAAACCGTTCTATTGTCTAACTTGTAAAAGTACTATTAATTTAATTGGAAAAATTAAACACATTAGGGGTAATAAACAACAACAACTGACAACATAAACATGACATTAAAACCAACGGAATGATTACAAAAATCGTTGAAAATGGCCCCCTTCACTTAGTATGCATGCTTCCGCCCTCCTTCTCATGGAATTGCAGACTCGTTGAGATATCCCTGAAGTGTTTTTTATTCTATCACAAGCTGCAACTATTCTTTCTCTTAATTCCTGTACAGTGTTAACGGGACTTGTGTACACTAGTGTCGTAAGATAGCCCCACTTAAAGAAATCTGAACTGTTGAGGTCTGGGGACCTTGGTGGCCATTCTGGGGGCCCACCGCGGCCAATCCAACGATTTGGATAAACAGTGTAGGATTCTCTAAGAAGTGCGATACAAGGTACGCCTTGGACATGTTCAATTTGGTTTTATTCTATGAAATTTCTCCTGAATTTGACCAGTGATACATCATCTTTCGACAAAATATAGACTTACCGCTTCCCATTCCACCGGGAATGAATCGCCCTCTTCAGAATCTGAATCTTCACCCATCTTCAGATTGCCTGTGAGCTGCTGCTCTAAAGCACTGGCTTGATGTACGGCATACTCCATTGGTCCTTGCCTAAAGAAAAAAAAACATGAAATAAAATTTACGTAGATATTGATGGTAACAAATCATTTGTAAGTTAGAAACAATTTAACATTGACAGATTTTATAATATATACTCAGAGACATTAGAAGTGTTACACGCAGTAGAAATAATTTCAGCTTGATTTTTTGGCAATGAGGTAGTGTTACATCTTAACAAAGGTAAATAAAAACAAAGATAAAACGTTGACATAGTCATTATGTTGCCAAAAAATTGGTTGAGGAAATTATTTTTTCTGGGGAAACACTTTTAATGTCACCGAGTATATTTATTTAATTTTTCCTCTATTAGTACGTTTGGAACCTTGCTATAAATGCTTTTTTACCTTCCGAGATCGGCGTTTTCGTCCTTTATCAACTGCAAAATATTGTGGATCGTCTCGTAAGACCTCAAAGAACACAAGTCGACGTTTTGCGAGAAGCACAGGTACAAAATATTGGCGTTCAATCTTGCACTTCTTCTAGCAAACTGTTGCTCGTTCATGTAGTCCGAACAAAAATCGCTGAAAAAACATTTCTTTATTCGAACATACAGAATTGATTAACTATATAATAATACTATTTATTAAAATATATAATTTGCTAATAAATTGATGTGCCACAAAAGCTCCTTCTTGGATCAAACTGATCGGAAAAATATTAAAAAATACCTTTGCGGTGATATCAAAAGATTAACATTTACCTGTAGACCATCTTGTAAGGCAGGCGGACATTCAGATAGAATGACAATATGCTAACTAGCTGAGCTGTATACGTTAGAGCAGCACTTATGTTAAAAGCAGGGTTGGATTCAACAGAAATTAAGGTGTTTGAGCTTGGGACAGCGTCTTGGTTCTCGGCAACTGCAAAAAACAGGAATAACCTACAAGAGCCGCATCAAGAATAATTCAGCATCGGTTCATGATTGATTACGCCATCGTCCCGACCGACCGCGAGACGCGTCCGCAAAGATCGGAAGGACAAATTGTACGGCGAAATCTATGATGTGTGAAATACGAGGGTTGTCTCACAAATAAGGTTCCCAGGCGCAAGAGATTGTTTATTTGAAAGAACGAATATCTCACTGGAAACGTCGATCTTTAAGCTATTTTTCTACATAGTCGCCACTTTTTCTACGCTTTTTTTTAGACGTGGAATCCACTTTGTGCAGCTTGTGATTCGTTTTTGGACCATGTCATTGCTATAGTGAAGGCAAAAGGTGGTCATATTGAGCCAACGTGAATTATTTCTGCATTTTCGAATATTTTGCATAAAATACCGAGGCTGGAAACGTATATACTGTCGCCAAAAAAAGGGAGATATACCCACCCCCACCCCCTACAATCCACGACCCCGGATTTTTGACCCTGACAAAGTTTTCTGAAAATGATCAGGGGTCTCTGAAGCATCAAAAAACGGAGTTTTGGCGACTTTTTTTGGTATAGTAGTATAGTATCCGAGCAGTGCTTTCCAGTGGTTGAATGTAAAAAATTTTATATATTATTTAGTTCTCATCAAAAAATCATTTATTACTATCACAAAATCAAATAGTCATTATCATAACTAGGAAACTAGAGGCAGTATAGACAAAACTGTAATAGTAGCATAACTAACAAATTTATTATTTCAATTTGAATTTAATAATGATATTGAACAGTGTTCGAATTTAGAAATGTTTAGGGTGAAATTAAAAAATCACTTTACCCAAAATGCATAGGGATGTAATTTCAATAGACAAGAATGTGAAATTACAGAAGAATAATTCTAAAAAATGTATAAAATAAAAATTATACACAATCGACATTGTAGCATTAATGCTAAATAAATCTTCAACAAACAAACAGACATATTTTTTTGTGATGCATATATTATAACATTCAAAAACATGACATCACATTTTCGAAATTTTTCGTGATTAAAATTGCACTTCCTCATCAGGGCAGTAAAAGGATGGATAATGTGTTATTTCCTACCCCAAGTATTGTAGGCAGAATAATTTCCTGAGGCTGGCAATGTAGGACCAGCTATACAGTAATTTATGTCACCATTATAATCTGCATATTCCCACCTATCTCTGACAAATGTGGTTCTAGAAGCTTCTATCAGAGCACTCACTGTAGCATCTCTGGACGACTTTGTTTCTCTAAAATGAAACTTTGTGTATTTTATCAAAATTATTTTGCGAAAGACAAAGCAGTACTCTTATAAACCATTTCAAATTTTCAGGCATCAAAAATAAATTTTACATGTCTTCTACATCAACTTGAAAGTTAAGGTAGAACCAATAAGGTGTGATATTTTGTGATACATAAAGCAAGACCTATAAGGTGTGTCTCTTGCAGCAACTTGAGATATATATTTCATTTTTTAGTTAATATTTCTAATACTTACATGGTAGGAGTAGCAGGTTTAACAACAACAGATATTGGAAAGATAAACTTGAACAACTGCTGAATCCTCAGTCTAACAATTTTTTTAGAATCCTCTTGCTTCTGTTTATGTGTTTCTTTGAACGTCTCCACTTTTTCTCTTTTGACAGAAATAAAATCCTCCAACTCTTGTACCTTAAGGTTATATTTAGGCAAGCTCTTGTTTCTCTTCTCATTTTTCTCCTTCAATTCAACTAAACGTGCAGTGTTCGTGGTTTTCATTTGTTTTTTCTCCTCTACTGCTACCTTTAGGTTTCTATTTCTATCCCTAGCTTGCCTAATTTTTGAGTGCTATTCAAAAAACATGAAAATATTTTTTAGACACCTCAGTCATTCTATAGTTTTTAGGTTGTTAAATGTAGTTATTTTATAACAAAAGCATAAGAATAAAACTGCTTAAATAAGTACAGTGATGTTATGAAACATAATTCTTTGTTAGTATAATATTTGGATAATCACATGTGCAAAAGTGAAAGCAAATCTCAATGGAATTCTCTGTAGTTTTTCTTTATAATCCAAGAATTTCAAGTAATCTTATTTTTGAAAAAGCTAATGTACCTTTCTGATAATGATTTGACTCATATAGTGATTATTATGGGCATAAAAGGCCTCTTATAAAAAACAAATAATGAGTAAAAAAATAAAAACAAACACTGGATGTTTGTAAATTAATAAACAAACCTCTTACCAACATATCACATTTTAGCTTATTCTCTAACAATTTGAGGCATTTTTGCTCAAAGGTTTTCTTGCTATCTTCTAATTCTAATAATGCTTTTTGTTTATCAATATACCTACAACGCAAAACATTAATCTCAAAGGAAAAACAATAGGATGAAAATACGTACGATTCAGTAGCTCTAAACCTGGAAGAATAGAACAGCCCGCTGTGGATGCAGTCTTTGCAATAGAACGTCTTCCTGAACCTCCTACACAAAGGGCATCTCTGTCGGTTCGGACTCAGACGACTGCCACTGTCCGTAGAAGTGGATATGTGGAAGTCTTTGGGGGCCATGCAACTTTCGTCAGAGCTGCTGTTAGCGGCCATCTCCTACGTCTTTAAGCAGAATCAACCTGAAATTTCGCGTTTACGTGCTTGGATGTAACAGCAGATTTGCTTGCCAACATCTGTTGTTGGTATACAAATAGATATTCGATGAATGAAAAATGAAACGGAAAATGATAGATCACTGGCAGCTAGTACAGAACAAAGAATTGAGAAAAACCAAGGATCAGATGTCAATGTCAACTTGTCTTGACATCGGCACAGAACAAGAAAAGCATTCCAACGTTGTCATATTTTAGTGTAGAGATGGAACAACTGTTATTCGATACTTTATTTATCCATTAATAATAGGTGGCTTACGTTGCGTGCTCACGTGAATGCCTTAGGCGTCCAAATTTAATGTTTATTATCTTTTGAACGTCTGGATGGAGCTATGAATGAAGGTTCAAAGTTGAAGGAATTGCGCATTTTGGCAACGTTGCTGCTATAGGGTCTTTATTTGTTTGAGGTTGGTAGCAAGTATGTCACTGTTGTGTCAGCGATTTGTCAACTGCGCCGTCAGCGTCAGTCATTTTGTTGAAAATGCTAGAATGTCAAAATAGATTTTTCGTATTAATTTTATCCACGTTATCGTTAGTTTGCAACGATGTTTATTTAATAGTATAAGTAAAACTTTGATCTTCGTGTGCGCGTGAATGTGTGTTACTGAAGCTTTCAGGCGGTGTGTTAGTTTTTGTTGAAAGCGAGCCTCTAGCAGTATCACGCAAGGTTGTACTCTTGTTCCAAGTTTCATTGTTCTACCACTGTGTTTAAATTCTAGGTAGTGCGTATTTTTTTGTAGACAACCGCCAGCACATGCAATCTAAAACGAATTTTTTTTAGTTTTAGCGTTACAGGGACTGTGAGTATCACGTAAAATTACAGACCTACTTTTCATCCAGGCATGTTCTTGTAAGTACCTTTGTACCCCAAGCTCCTATATGAAAACGTATTTTTCCAGGTGACAGAACAAACTATATAGCTTTTAGAAGTAAGATAACCAAACATGTGGCAAAATCAGGTTATAAACAATACCCAGAACAAAGAAAACCAAACCCAACGCAACTATGAACGGATCACTACTTTGGGTATGACTTCAGCCATCTCTGCTGCACACCCCAAACCGTCTGATCTCACAAAAACTAAGGAATTAGAGGAGTCTTTGAAGCCATTCGATGTGTTTGAATCAGAACAAGAGATGAACCAGCGTATGGTGATACTTGGGAAATTATACAACTTAGTGAAACAGTGGATCAAAGATGTATCCGTCAGAAATAATATGCCCGAAAATGTTGCTGACAATGTTGGAGGAAAGGTTTATACATTTGGAAGCTATAGATTAGGGGTAAGATAATCTGTTATTTACATTTGTTATTTTCAGCATACATATAATACAGTACATTAGGGGCTGAGACATAACTTAAATATTTGCTAGTTTACATATTTATATTTGTCACCTGTTAAGATAAGAATCTAAAAGATAAATTTCCTTTTCAATGAGTTTATCAATTATTCGAGAATATCTGATATCTTAAAAATTACAGATAATGTTGAAAGAACAAAATAAAATGATACTTAATTAAACCTTACACCCTGTACCTGTAATTATAGCCTGTCATCAAGTAACATTCTGTATATCTATCTCAAATCAGGCCTTGCAAACATCACACTCAACTGATCATGCATTAATTTCTTTTTTTATTAGTTTCTAGTGGTTTAGATATTAAAGAAAAGTTGAAATGCCTAGACTGAAATATTACAACAGTACAAACAGAACAAAATTTATTTTTAGGTTCACAATAAAGGTGCTGACATTGATGCTCTATGTGTAGCTCCTAGGCACATTTATAGAGAAGATTTTTTCACATCCTTCTATGAGTTATTGAAGCAACAGCCAGAAGTTACAGATCTTAGAGTGAGTCGATTGCTAATTCTATAAATTAACTAAAATACATTATGATTTTTATATAAACAAACTTGTATTCTAGTCTGTAGAAGAAGCTTTTGTACCAGTAATAAAAATGAACTTCGATGGGATAGAAATTGATATGCTGTTTGCAAGATTGTTATTAAAAGAAATACCAGACTCTATGGATCTTCAGGACGATCTGTTACTGAAAAACCTGGACCAGAAGTGTGTACGAAGCTTGAATGGGTGCAGAGTTACAGACGAGATATTGAGGCTTGTTCCTAACATAGATAATTTCAGGCTAGCCTTGAGGACCATCAAATTATGGGCAAAAAGTAAGTCGATATTTTTTTCACACAGGCAAAAATTGAGAAAACTCAGTTTTTGATTAGTAAATTCTACACATGAAAAAAAAATAGTAAGACATACCACTGTTTTTTTTTCTTTTTTTTTTTTGAAATGGGATCAGTTATATGCCTTTTTTCTAAAATTTGTAGTAGTATAATTTTAGATTTAACAAGTGAATCATTAATTTTACTTTGAACCAATTTATGTTGGTCTTTTATCTTTGTGTTTTTCATATCCTGTGTACCATCAGAATTTGTAGGTACTTAGAGAAATTAACAATGCATGTTTTCCCTGAATTTCCAAGCCTTAAAAGGTCATTAGGTATATCTAGCTGATGACAAAAAACCCTTTCCTACCTTAAGTATTCCTAAAGACATAAGCCTCCTTTAATTGTACTAGGGACTTGCAATTGGTGTTTATGTGTTATAAAGAGCTTGAATCCAGTTTGATTATACAGAAAGCTTTTTTATTTTGTGGACCTGTGGTACAAATACTACTTTCTGCGGAACTTAATAATATCGTATTGTCTATAGTTCCGTAAGTTTTTAATTATTTGAAATAACATACAAATAAATTAGAAATTTATATTCTATTTTTTATTTTCAGGACATGGTATCTACAGCAATGTTTTGGGTTACCTTGGTGGTGTTTCTTGGGCAATGTTGGTAGCCAGAACATGCCAGCTATATCCTAACGCAGCACCTGCAGTTTTGGTTCACAAATTTTTCCTGATATTCTCAAAATGGCAATGGCCACAACCTGTTTTACTCAAACAACCATCAAATGTCAATCTTGGATTCATTGTTTGGGATCCCAGGGTAAGTATTATTATAATTTAAAGTTCAAGATGAACTGTCCTTTTGCAGTATGCAAGTAACAAGATCACTCATCTCTGGACGCTATAGAACCATCTTTTATTGAGATGATATACTCAGTAATATATAAAAACAATTTTTTCCACTGTGGTAACAATGTCAATGTTTTATCTTTGTTTTCTTTTTACCTTTGTTAAAATGTTATCTCTTAGTTCTTGTGAAGAATGCAGTTTCTGAGAGCTGAGTAGTACAGATATATCTAGTTATTGCCCTTTCATTTACTACCTCATTGCCAAAAAATAGAGTCAAAGAAATTATTTTTTCTGAGTGTAACAATATTTTTAATAGCCCTGGTTAGTATCGAAAGCAGCTTTTATCTGACACCTGTCAAGTTAAATAAAAACATATATGTAGTTTGATTTTGGAATTATTGTTATTTGGATCAGGTATTTATCTATCCTTTTTTTCTGACAGGTGAACATTCAAGACAGATATCATTTAATGCCCATAATTACTCCGGCATATCCTCAACAAAACTCAACATTTAATGTATCAATGTCAACAAGAACTATCATGGTAGAGGAATTCAAACAAGGACTCTCGGTGACAGATGACATTATGCTTGGCAAATGCCCATGGGACAAATTATTTGAGTCGCCGCCATTTTTCCTAAAGTACAGGCATTTCATTGTGATATTAGTTATGTCCAAGAACTCCGATGATCATCTTGAATGGTGTGGCTTGGTCGAAAGCAAAGTTAGGCTTCTTATAAGTAAGTATAACAAAATATCTAGGTAACGGAAAAAGTGGAGTCATTTGGCCCAAGTGTTAGTTATTGTTTTTATATGTGATGCGTGTTTTTTTTTTTTCAGCGAATCTGGAAAGGAACCAATTCATATCACTAGCTCACATAAATCCAGAGAGATATGAAATGTTAGAGGCACAGAAAGAAGCAGATACTCATTGCTCCATGTGGTTCATTGGTCTTGAATTCTCAAAAACTGAAAGTGTCAGTGTTAATTTGACAAGGGAAATTCAGATTTTCACAGAGAAAGTTGATAACCATGCTAATGATTGTAACCTGTTGAAAGTTGGTATGAGCTTAGATGTCAGGTAAGTGCAAAAATATTTTTTCCGTTTTAAATTAGTCTGAAATTTATGTTTTTATTTGTAAGCTGTGTAATCAGTATTGGCAGGTTCAAACCAACTGGTTTTAGTAGGTTTTTAACTTGTAATTTTTTTCCTTTTTAATTGATCAAAAATATTTTTTTCTTTGATCAATCAAATGTCAAAAACGCTTTACTATCACAGCACCTTAAATGCACCCTTTTCCACCTGACTTAGTGGTCCTATTTTGATATGATATATTGCCAATAATGGTGAAATTTCAAGAGTGTCAAATTTCAAAAAAATTTCTTCTGAAAGCAGTGTAACTCCAAAAGTGGTGGAGAAGCCAAAAAGCGAAAATGATAATATGATTGAAAACTACACACTGCACAAGTATCTTCAGCAGTGGTAGAAGAATTTTTCTTCTTTTGGCTTAATACAAAGTAATAGACTGGCTATTCGAAATTAGTTCTTTTATTTGGGATATTTAATAAATCTTCAAGTAACTGAAAGTGACATTCTATGAGTAAAATATATTACTAATTTTTTTAATTAGATTTTATCTCAAGTTTTAGTTGAAGAGTTAGTATTTTATGTTCATTCCTTTCTCATTCTCAACCTATTAATACAAATTAAAAAGTCGTTTCCAATGAGAAACTAATTTTCTTACTCCTAATTCTTCATGTAAAATTTTTTGAATTGAGGTCTTTGAGATCTTCAAGGACGCATGTCTATCTTCAATGATGAGTTTGCGCACAGCATCGACGTTTTCCTGGGCGACTGCTGTTTTTGGTGCACCCACCCTGGGATCGTCGCTAAGACTCATCCGTCCACGTTTGAATTCTCCATACCAACGGGAAATTGTCGACTGATGTGGCGCTTCGTTGTCGAAAACAGACAGTAACTCAGCAAGGCATTCTTGTTGCGATAATTGTCTCTGAAAGTTGTAATAAATTATGGCGCGAAAATGTTCTCGGTTCAGTTCCATTTTTCTAATAACTTGGTGGCACTTAAAAATTCACTGTAGTGAGAACACTGCACGTACTGTTTTGAACCTTTGAATTTAAGTTTACTAAAAAGGGAGGTTAAGATTCAGTACTGACGTTCGATCCGCGCGGCCTACTATCTTTCTATATGCAAAACTTAAAAGACATCCCTCGTATTGGCTCTTTGTTCAATCCTCATTTCGACCGATGCCAAAAAGGCACTGTCACTTTGAGCGCGATAACTCCGCGTGAAGTGGTTCGAAATTTTGACAGTTTATTTAAACCAAATTAATCTGATTTAAAAAAAAAGTTTAACCCAAAAAAAACTGTTTTTTTTTTAATCTGGGTTTTTACCAACCCTGCGTGTAATTATGGTTCATGTTTCAGGTATGTCAAAAGGAAACAGCTCCATCAGTACCTACCACCTGGGCTGATAAAGAGAGAGAGGAAATCTAGTGGGGCAGGAAGTAAATTCAGCCAACCAGAAATCAGGAAAAGACAATCTAGTGAACCAATTCAAGAGGGAGATACTCCAACTAAGAAGACTAGGTTATCGGAACCATCAGTAAGTCATGGATCAAAACAACAATTTTGTTAATTCACCGTTTTGAATTCGGGTGATTCGCAACATTTTTTCGTTTTCTTTACTGCACGACAATTCACACATTTAACTTATTTATTTACGTCTGCGGATGTACAAAATCCGCACACATCTCACTTACACGAGTCTACGTCGTCCGCCATAGCCGACTATTTTTGATTGTCTTGTAAATCAAAAAAATGACATAAGACTCGTCTGAAGAGAAGTTACATAGCACACACATTTAAAAGTAAAACAAAACAAACAAGTATTTACAAGATAGTACAAAAAGGAAACAACTTTAAATTATTTACAAAACAGGAAGGCGTACAGAGATTTCACGTTTGTAAAAAATGAGATATATTACATTGCGAGGTATTCAGACAAAGAGTAGAAACACTTTTGACATTTAAAACTAGCAATTCTACTGACTACCCTGAGATTAGCTAGAAGTTTGGCAGTGACATGTTCCAAACCGTTGTAGATGTGATGCTAGAGCGTTGCAATTTTTGTTTCCAGTTCGACGAGAGTTCCAACACATCGCTGACAAACGATTCCAACAGCAACGTGAGCCTAGCCGAATCCGAGGGTAACCTGAGCACAAGCGCAGCCTCAACGACGTCGCTGCTCTCCCCTCCACCGCCTTCAGCGGCCTCGCTGCCTGGCCCCTCGCCCGCCCCGACAGCTCCCGCCCCGCAGGAGGCGGTCTGCACTTGACCACGCCCATCTTCGCATCCCGCCGCAGCGGCGACGATGTGTTAGGGCGGTACTTAGTGAGATTGCGATGTAAGTCGTATGCGTGAGATTATGCGGTTCCTAGGTGTGGCTTTTGTTGTTTAAGTCGTCGGTTTCTGACCCCGAGGTTTTTCTCTTTTGATTCTTATTAAATCGTTGATATAGAATAAAAATATAATCGGGCCTAATAACCGACTTCGTATTTCTTAGCAGTGCAATCGAAGCAATACGTATCACAAACAGAAGCCGCACCTTGCCATATTTTCAACGGCTGAAATTTCATAGTCGTTTGCAGTTTTAATTTTCAGGCATAGCAACGTGTTTGGTCCAACAGTGTTCGCCGGTTCTGCGTGTAGCACTCACATTCAAGACACGTACGTATCTAAATGTATTTTGGAAAAGTTTTAAAGCAATCATCTACATACACACTCGATGCTTACACTGAACAAAATCGTTCGTAATTTTGCCTGAGTCGTTATTTTCGTTTTCCAAAGTGATGCGTTTCGAACACGTTATGCTTTTCATTTGCAATGCGTGTATTATATAATCTTATTGATTTGAAGTTCTTCATTATCTGACATGGTAACCAAATTTTACGCGAATTTAAACATTACATTTTTAACTTTAAATGTTTAATATTGACTGTTCGAAAACTTGCACAAGTTGAGCAGTACAACTTCAGATCCTAGTCACATGACTACTCGTACACATAAATCGGTCATTTCAAAGATTCCTTTTTTTCACAATGACAAAAATTACAGAGTAAGTGGTGCATAGGAATCTGGGTACTTCACAGAGGTGTTTTGCTATAAGTTGACCCCCTCTAACTTTTAAGTATGACTGTTTACAATACAAAAACTGGGTCTAATGTGAGGTTTCACGTGCGATATATAATTATTTTAAATAGGGTGCTATCGAATCATATTGTATTTTCTCAAAAATCAAAATTTTGTGTCATTTATTTATCTGTATCCGGGATCAAACGACATGGCATAGGGCTGGATACATATAATGAATGAAGATGAAAATGACAATTGGACCCATTCCAGTCCTAGAAAAACAGCCCCAAACCATGATGTTGCCTCCACGGTGCTTAACTGTTGGCAACTGATACTTTTTGTTGAATCTTTTCTTGCACTGGACGCCTTCCAAAAAGCCCAAAATTCACCAAGTGTCTCCGCACTGTTCTGACAGAATGATTCTCGACACCATTATCTACGATTCTTTTGAAAATCTGTGTGACTGGCATTCGAGAATCTTCATGGGACAAACGTTTAATGTAGCGATAAAAAAAAAATTCTTTAAAAATATACAGGGTGTTCCATTTAAAAAAATATAACTTTATTCGATAGCACTTCCGAGATAGTATATAAAAAAGAAAATGCCTGAAAAACTTTATATTAGTCCGTACAAATTTTGTAAATAACTTTTTCCCTAAAGGGTCATGCAAAAAAGATTTAACATTGCAAACGAAAATCAGCTTGACATCATACACGCCATAGCTTTAAAATAAATCACTTTCGAAAACGAAAATATGTTTCGATTCCTTCGTTTCGGAAAAATTGTTAATAATCATTCTCTCCATATTTTGAATTCGATAGTTCCAATACTGCTTTATTTTCAAACGTCTCTATAGTGTATCTTTGTTAAAAAATTTAGGCTTAGATTGCGACAAATGCAACATTTCTTGAGTGGCAGGATTTTTTTGCCCTGTCCCCAAAAATTATTAATAATTTTTCAAAATCACTGTTTTTGCGGAACGAATGATTGAGGCATTAAACCATATTCAAATTCAATATGCGACGCTCAAAAAAGACATATATAAGTGAAGATAATGGATTGGTTCACACAGGCAAAATTTTTTAATTGCTTAGTTTATCACTATCTTTTATAATACAATCATCTGAGTTAAGATCGTTATTTTCAGCAAAATTATTTTATGGCAAATTTGATTAATATTTATTTTTATAAGCATACAAGGTTTGTCGCAGAGTAACCAGAACAAATAAAAAATGAACAAACATTTTTTGTTTCTGAAAATCTTTCTCTACTTATTCAAAGTAATCTCCTTCAGAGTTAATACAGCGATTTTCACGGACCAAAATAGGCACTTTGACGCTTGGTTTCAGGATCGTATTGAAAACACCACGTTTCTTCACCAGTCACAATGTTGTACAGACAGTGTTTATCTTTTTTGGCCTCTTTAATGATGCCTCGCGAATGTTGAATTCTAAGCAATTTTTGGTCATCCGTGAGCTTGTGCGGGTCAAACCGTGAATACACCTTTCTCATGCCCAAATTCTCGGTCAAAATGCGATGGATTGAATCCCTAGAGATATTTAATTCCATTTCTTTGCATCTCAAATGAAGATTTCACGTACTTTTTCGACGGCGTAATCACAAATTTTAGGTGGCCAACATGTTCGCCGTCTTCCGATAATCCGATAATAGATGGCGCTACTTGTATCGGATATCTTTCAAAAGTCCTGTTTCCCTTGTATATGTTTATACATATATATTTTAAATATTTAAAATGCATATTGGATTTGAATATATGCTCGGTTGCCTGGAAAATCAGGATTTTCATTTTACTGTTTCTCGTTCTGTCATACGCTGATTATAAATAACTATACAATAGAAAATCCCAAATATCCGGCTTTTTTTAGACAGCCTGCAAAGCGAAACTTTTTGTTAAATAAGCTACATTGGTATGGTTAATTTTTTTTACAAAAAATTAAGTACAAATGCAGCTAAATCTGACAAACTAAAAGAGTTGATAATTATTAATGCTCCGTTAAAGGCTACTAAAAAATTCCGCAGATTTTTGTTTCAAAATAGATCGATGGATAAAAAGTGATGTGAGCGTGTAATGAGATATAAAAAGAAAATCCCGATTTTTCGCTACTCTTCCATTATAATTGTAAAATATTATCGCAAAAAGTGCAATGTCTTTTTTATAATTGTTCTTAGGCTTATAGATGTGCGTCGTCGTCGTGTCAAAAATTGTGCATATTGTGACAAAATGCGTGTGGACAGTTCTCACTTAGTGTGTACATATAGTAATTCTAGCAGCGAAAAATAAGCATTAGTTTACAGCGACTTAATTTTTCAAACAAAAAAAATGATGCAAAGACATTATTTATTTTTTTTTCATATGCATAGATTTGTAATGAATATGGAAAATAAGAAAAAAAAATGAAGAGTAGTTATGGTTTTATTTGCGGTAATATTTTACGCAAGGTGTACATAGTTCTATTTTAAAATTAGGTCTCATATATCGTTCATTTCCCTATATGACTCTTCAAAGTTGTTATGGATCCTCAAAACTATTTTCATGGGATGTATTGCCCCTATTTCATTCCGATGAAGATCATTGTCCATTTTACAATATACCATGCTATGACAAAGAGTAGTTATTGTCCACAGACTAATCTATTACTATAACATTTGCAAAGAATTTATGGCTATTTTGACTGGACTATTAGGTCATTTAAACTTCGCGCTCGCTGTCTGCGGCTGACTGCTTCCGCCATCTGGTCGGGTTTTTATTCCCTATCGACGAGTCAAGAAACATTCCCGCGTTTTCGCGACCTTCCATGGAAGTGGTCTAGAGGGCGGACTATAAATAAATTAGAGAGAAATAAGACATGAAAACCTGTAAGTTATTACATAGCCATTTCAATTTTAGGGCGCTACACACAATAGTACAAAATCTAGTTTAGTAATGGAAGGAAACGTTAGCTTGAAATTCAAGTTGCCAGCTATCTGGATTCTAAACATTTTATGTCAGTTTGGCAACACCGCATCGGTACATTCAGTCATCTATGAGCGAAACGCGCGGATCCTTGGCAGAACGATCCGTGCAAACCTGTAATATTCCAATAGCCGATCACCTGGTTACATCACCTACTGATATATGCCAAGAACTAGTCAAATTTCATGTATTTTGACACAAATACGCCGAGATTTTACTAGCTTTTATCGCATGTTTCTTTATATAACTACTCTTTGACCATACTAGGATCATATATGACCATAACGGGCAACGTCGACGCAACGCGGTACAAACGAGTTTAGACGTCACTTCACAGACGAACCATCGAGGAATAGAGGAACGATCAGTTTTTGGTGGAGAAATGATAAAGTTCTTTTTGTTGATACTCATCCAAAGTATGATAGTAATTATCGTTCTTTTTACTGATTACGTTGATATGTTGCTATGTGTCGTGTCGGATACGATCCTAGTAGGGTATAGTGGACGAAGGCCTTAGCTTTGATCGTTACGTATCTCGGCGCTACAGTCGTCATTTCATATATCGGGTGTCTCAAATTTGACTATCACCACTGGGATCTAGGAACAGTACGGGATATGAAGCAGGTTAAAGCTTCTCATTTAGGTGCAGAAATGGTATTTATTTTAGAAGTTGGTATTTTAGATAGTTCCTCTTGGAAATGGCAGCTTATCGCGTGTCATTGCCACCTTGCAGTGGAGAAAAAGCAGTAAAGTTAACATTCAATTAACTTTGAAAGTAAATTCTAAGCGCCATTTAATTACTTGAATGCACAACTTTGCCTCCATTTAACCGACTTCATATCTCTTACCTGTTCTGAGATCGCATACCAATGTCCTATTTCAAAACTTCTTCACCCGTACTTGTGCTTTGATACGATTTTTGGGCATTGATCCTATGAAATAGAACGTTTTTTATTTTTGATAATATTATCTTTTTCGTTGTACAATGAAACTACCAAACGATTATGAGTTGAACGCCTGTTTTATTTTTGGAAATTCTCAATATATTGGCTCAGGTTTTTTGTTCAACTCGGTTGTTGTTTCTATTGGGATTTCGGGGGAGAATTTTCTCTCTAATTCGCTATTGTCTTTTCCTAACAGTACCGATTGAAGCTAGAACAAAATTTGATTGGTTTATAAATTGTATAGGTAAATTGTAAAACTACTTGAAAGAATAAATAAATATTTTCCCCCAGTTATTTTTTTATTCCTTACCCCAGATCCTTTATACGAATTTTTGCAAAGAAATAAGTTTCCTAGCTTTTTGATATGTATATGTTATTACAAACTCCAAGTTAATTTTAAAATATAGGTGGTATTCACTGAACATATATATATATAACTTGAGACGTGGTTATTGTCGTTTAGACCAGTTAGGTGAAAAATTAAGCTTCCGCCTTTTGTTGGGACTTCGACAAAATTCAAGCAAAGATGACTCTTTATACTTTATTAATCTCTAGCTTTCAATGGAGTTTGCCATCTTCATCAGGAGCTGTAATAACATTGAGAAGAAATAGCAACTATTGTGCAAAATGGTATTAAATTAACTTACAGTCATATGTGAGATTGATATATGTATATGTATATATATACAAAGAGAAAATTATCATGCGGAGAAAGGTATATAACAAAAATAGGAAAATAATGGACAAATTCCGCAAAAAGTGGATTCGAGCAGAAAATAGGATAGGTAACCCGAGCGATACGTATTTCTGCTGGTTGGCTTCATCAGGCCCGAAATGAATGCACATATGCAACTACAAAAGTAGAGACACATGCCCATACATCCGGATACGGGTGTAACCTGCCAACCAGCAGAAATACGTATCGCTCGGGTTACCTATCCTATTTTCTGCTCGAATCCACTTTTTGCGGATTTTGTCCATTATTTTCCTATTTTTGTTATATACCTTTCTCCGCATGATAATTTTCTCTTTGTAGATCCTTTGGGCTTTAAGTACCACAGCAAGTAGCTATAACCGTCCGCGTGGTTGTGGTTATTTGTCGCCTTGAAAATTCGAGGTCTTCTAGCCATTTTATACTACAATGTGTAGGTTGGCTGTTGCTGTGGACTTCGTGTGACTTGTTTTCCTCTCCATCTTTGTTTCCTCAGGTTACACCCGTATCCGGATGTATGGGCATGTGTCTCTACTTTTGTAGTTGCATATGTGCATTCATTTCGGGCCTGATGAAGCCAACCAGCAGAAATACGTATCGCTCGGGTTACCTATCCTATTTTCTGCTCGAATCCACTTTTTGCGGATTTTGTCCATTATTTTCCTATTTTTGTTTATATATATATATATTATATAAAGCTTGGAAAGTTTGTTCTACATACGGAATTGTCAATATTTACTAACTGCAACATATGCTGAAAAATAAAATTTTAATCCGAAAACAGTTAAACAATGTGAAATATAACGTTATCGTCTTGGAAACAAAAAGGCATGCTATATCTTCAGTTGCGCAAGAAGCTATTATCAGGTAAGTTGAAAATATACTAAATGGCATAGAAAATGCAACACCTACTCGTCGATTTCGGCCTTCTCGGAACCACGCTCGACAACATTTCATTACTTTAGTTTCGTTTCGATTCACTCGATTAGCAATTTCTCTAAAAGAAAATCCGGCCTCACGTACCCCGAATATCCGACCCATCTCAAATTCGGACAGTTGAGTTTTTTGTTGTGGAAATACGAGAAAATAAGATTTTTCGGTCAGCTGTTGTATACAGGGTAGCACAAAAAAGTTATTACCGAAATAGTGGTGTAAGTGGCGCCCTCTAGAAGTTTGGGTATAAAAAATAACGGATTCTTGTTTCTCGTACTAGAAAACCTTCCTATACCGAGTTTTATGCCAAAATCAGAAATACTTCTCGAGCGATAAGGAAAAATAGAAAATAAAGTTGTAACTTTGACACCCTGTATCTCGCAAACTATCATTTTTTGCACTAAGGTATGTTTAGGTCAATTTAAATATTTTGGTCTGTAGTATCATTTCCTAACCTTTCGCAGACACCTTGTATATAACCATTCTACCTGAAGATAACCAACCAAAGCGCGTCTCGCATATGGCGCTGTACTGTGTACGTCAGCAATATTTATTTCTTTACTTGTCGATTTTGATTTGAACACACGGCAACCCTGGTTGTCTATGCTTCAAAGCGAAACGCATCTTCCAAGTATAGATATGCATACAGGTTAGCTTATCTTAGCTATAAATGCTCCTGTTCTGTTTAGAAAGTTTACTGAAATAAGTGTAGTTAGTATGGGAACAAATCCCACCTATTTGAAGAATATTCATGTTATGACTTCTCGTAAGCGATGTAGAAATTTTCAACACCCTGCAATGGGTCAATTTAATGTTTCTAGAATTGTTTGTGTTATCGAAACAAGACAACACAAAGTACCATGTATATCCAGAATCAATCACTGCGAGAGTCAAACAACAGGATTTGAATGTACTATACATTGTTATTGAATCACCCTGTATAGGATTCACTTTCTACAGAAAGTGGCAAAAAGTCATCTTTTCCAATTTGAGCAGCTTTGCGCCGAAAATTGAAAACGGATTTGCGAAACGAGCGTCTCAAAAAACCCTAATTTTTTGTTAAGAAATAAATCGAGCGTCAAATGAAAGTGCAGTTGCAATAATGTCCATCCTACGCCCACCAGATTTTGTGCTAAAGTCTCGATAGCTACATTGATCCGCGGTGATTTGACGCAAGCGCAGAGCAGTCGTCCAAAGCAGCCCTTGATTTGAACCGTTCTCGTAGCTTATGCCTGTACGAGGGCGGGCCGATATTTAGCATCACCGATGGCGACACCATCGCGTAGTGCATTCTACTGTCAAAATGACAGCCGAATCGTGTGGAAGCCGCATAGGTATCACGTAAAAAACCTATAAAACGTTAAAAAACCTATAAGATGTCACCTTGCAAACTAGGTAGTTTTTAGGGTGCGAACAGTCATTCCACGTTTGCTCACTAGGATCGTTGTGAACGTCCATCTAAGGAGGAATCACTCAACTAAACTACACGCATTATTGGTTGCATATGTTCTGTGAGGCCAAATGGCGCTTGTTTGTAGTTTTTATCTCTGAAAAGAAAGTTGGTTGAATAGCAAGATCGCATCTGGATGATTTATGTGTATTGGTCTGAATGTCTGAATCATTACTGAATATGCTGCCAATGAAGTATATCTGTTGGCTGTGCCCGACGGGTTATTTTTATGTTGTGCTTTCTGAAGAGAGGTTATGTTCAAAGTTATAAATTACGAAAACAGTGAATATAATTATTTCTTGTCTCGTTTTTGAAATTCAGCAAATTTGTATATGTAATTTCCAGAATGGATAAGAAAAAGTGGATGCGCAACTAATTTCTAGCTTTGAATCTCAATTAAGTGTATTTGAGACAAGAAGCCAATGTAATTATCATCAGCACATGCAATTTATAGCTTAGACCTCCAGTAATGCCATCTCAGAAGCAGATTTTACATCACATCCAGAGCCAAAGATTGATAACAAGCCTGACGTTTAGGCAACACGTACAACTAAGTGCTAAGATAACATCTTGTAGAAAAACCTACATAATGTCAAAAAAACGGCATCATGTCACTTTTCAAGATATGTGATTTGGCCCTGTGCGACTCCTGGTTTCCAAACTTGAAAAAGTCACTCGCCGGGCAGAAATTTGAGTCAAATGAGGAGGTTATCGCCGCCACGGAGGCCTACTTTGCAGACCTCCAGAAAACGTATTTTTCAGACGGGTTAAAGAAGCTGGCTCAAGTACATCTAGCTAAAAGTAAACTATGTTGAGAAATAAATACATCGACACTTTTCCAAAATTTTCGTTTTTCTTTTGTAGGTACTTATCGGATTGCACTCGTATTTTATATGGGCAACACTGTGTAGTCGATCTGAGATTTTTGATTCAGTAGATTTAGATACGCCGAAGCAAGATATTAAATGAAAAATATGTGAAATTTTTTGTAATCCTTTAATGTTTTACAATCATATTCATAGATTTATTTGCATTTAATATTAGGCTCGTATAGTTTGTGATTTGGACGAGTTTAGGTATCACAAATGGCTCAAAATAAATTATACGTCTTTATGGATATTTAAGTGCCAGTCTATTTGAGCGGAGTAAGTCAAAACTGACAAAACTTTAAAAGAGAAAAAGAAAAGGCAGATCAGTGGATGACACGAATATCTTGATGGCGCCATTTTTTTAAAATTACACAATGTTAAAACTTAAGCGACGATATGTGAGAATTATTTAAGACAAACCTATTTTCAACGACGTCTTCTTCAGACCTATTTCTCGGGAATCAAGAGGTGTTTCGCAAATCGGAAGGTTCAAACACAATATTTTCGGAATAGTCCCATATAATTCTTGCTCCGTATTTGGGAAACACCCTGTACATGACTGATCTAAGACGATACCATCATGCTAAGTTACAAACAAAAAGTGTCATAAATATGAAGTAGTACCGCTTTTTTCTGATTTTTTTTAATGTCTTCTTATATATCTGTCCGAATGTTTAAATTTTCTTCTAACTACCTTAATCACAAAATACATCAATTTCCAATGATGCAAAAACGGACATGAAGTGCTGCCAAGTTGAAAAACGCAGAATCACTATTTATACGAGTATTTGCGTCAAGCTGAACGTATAGGCAACCGGATTTACGCAACCCTCGTATTTGCCCGCCATCAGCGATGTGCTTACACCTTGATCAGTGTTGTCAGGTGTGGTGATTTCTTGTTTAATAGAAACTGACCAAAAGACGTAATCCAAATTAAAACAACTTCAAACAATATAACTGCGATCGCTCATGGATGGGTACAAAATTCTCATATCCTATCATTCCTGGACTATCATGTGGGGGAGTTGAAAGTGTGGAGTTCACGATTCAGGGTGGTCGACTGTACTGCTGCAGCATCCCTATGGATCTAATCCGGGAGAGGCCTACGAATTTTTTTCGGTAGTTTTTAGGAGAAAATGCAACTTTTGATTTGTGTTTTGGTTAGCTGTGGGTGTTTTTCGGCTGTAACGCGTAAGTATATGGTAAAAATACATCCTAACTTATAGAAGATTCTCGACAAAGGTAGGCATGAAAGATGAATTTTCGTGCGCCATTTTCTCTGCGGGCTGCAAGTGCTCAATCTCACAAATTTGCTAGACTCGGAGACCTATAAGAAATGCATGATGCTTCAATTAAGTAACTATCATTTGAGAAACCTAGCACCTAACACAGTTTCGATAAATGTTAGCCTCGATTCAAATTATTATAAAATATAAGGTGAACAAAGTGTGTACCTAGTCGCAAATGAGAGTGTCAATCTTTTCGTCTTTTGATAAAGTGTTCTTTAATAATTGTTTTGTAGTATCGCATCAGAAAGACAAACTTGACAGTTGCCAACTAGATTTTAGAAAAGTATACAAAACAATAGAAAGATGTACCGCATTCCTAAGCATGCAATTCTGAACTTATACGCCGAAAATAAATGACAATCTTATTTTATTATCTATGAAATTAAATAAAAAATGTGGCATTCCCTCTCGTATAAAATACAAAATACTTTAAGGTCAATATTAACTTCCTCTATTTATATATGTATATTTTGCTAAAAATACTACAACCTGAAACGTAGAATACTCTCGGAGTTGAAGACACAGATATCTCATCAAGGGTATCAAGATTAAAGATTATCAAGGCAAGGAAAAATATTTAAGTCAAGGTCACGTTTAAGGTCACCATTAGATGAATCTTTCCAAACCATACAACTTTATTACGCGAAATTTCTCTTTATGAAACGTATTTTGCAAGATATTTTGTAAGATATTTTATCCTTTCCGTACTTTCTGGACACCGTCGAATACCCCGTCCCGCTCTTTACATTTCTGGTGCCAAAATTGGGGATACAATTGCATTGAGCTTCAAATGACCTTGACCCAAAGTCACGTTCAGCATATCCAGTGGATGAATCTCTTTAATCCTTACAACCATGTTATTTTGATGAAAATAATTTATACTGAGAACTGAAAAACCATATTTGTTTAATGAGTCTTAACTCATTGTATCTTAGATTTCAAAGAATTTAGTTTATAATCATCGTCTTCATTGATAGAATGGACGGTACGAGTAAAGTTATTTTTTTTGAATACTCTTCTTCGAGTTAATACATAAATACAATTTAAGAAACTCTTCCTTTTCCAGCTAAGAAAAATTCAACGAAGCAAAATCGTCGAAAGTTCGTGGACGATTACTATTTGAGCTACGATTATGACAGGCCTGGCGGACCCGTCATTTCGAATTCTAGCAATGGCGGTGTCGCAAAGACCAAAGAAAACGAAAATGCTATCGCACAACCGGAAGCTTTAATTCTGCCAAATCCAGACACCTTCGAAGCTCGATACGCGATTGAGGCTTTGCCTAACGTCGAACTACCTGACGATTCCTTGGCCGATCCAGATCTAAAGGTTGGTTTATCATAAACCCTGGTATCAAAACGGAAGAGAGTATATAGGACCACAAAACACACAAGACTGATAGCACCCAGGCTAGTGGGCTCGAATCTCCGCATCGGAAGTTGATTTCGAGCCATGGTGTGTTGTGTGTTGTCTATATCGCATCGCTGGCTTATAATAACTACTTGTCAATATACAGGGTGTTTCAAATTGAACCCTCACCATTGGTATCTCGGAGACATTTCCTCCCTCAATCTGTTTTGAATGTTGGTTTATAGCTATTTGTATTTTGTTTTGTACTCTAAAACAAACCTCTCCCCTTGAAAATTGAGCTTTCAATCGCTAACACCTCAAAATGGCATTTTTTCAGGATCATGACTTCATTGACAACATAATGTACGTATACTATGGAGGTCATAAACGTTACACAGGCACTTATGGTCCAGAAATCATCGTGGTGGGAGCAGTACTCAGTTGCGCTGCTCAGCTACTCACCATTTTTTGCGTATTGCTCAAAAAGAACCAGCGGGGAGAGAAAGTCATGACGTACATCTTCTTCCAAATCATGGGCACTTTCTGTATCGCTAATCTCATCTTTATGCTAGGGGTTTATGTAAGTTTATTATGTTATACAGGGTGGCCGATATGTATTAACTTGAATATTTGTGAAATGAAATGAAATACGTCCATTTTTTCATCTTAATCTTTTATTTAAACTTAGAAATTATTAATGAAAAATCATATCAGACAAATGTCCGCCTCGAGTAGCCGCGCAAACCTGAGCCCTCTTGATTACATTTTCCATCAGTTTTTGGTAGCTTTCGCGAAGAATATTTTCAATCGCTTCCGTATACGGACGCGTTGTGGCGCTCCATGATGAATTGGACACATGTGCTTGAAACGGCGCGCAATTTAAATCAATTATATATTGACCACCCTGTATATGTTGATATAAGATGATAGTAACACGTATAAAATTGTTTTCTAAGGCACTTACCTACATCGGTGACAACAGTGCTGAAAAGTCTCTAGGTATAGCGAAAAAATAGCGCGCCACTGGTTTTTGATAAGCATTATTATGACACTACTTAAAAATCGCCTGATGGATTTTTTAGTTCAGATGCCACTTTTCCAAATAAAAATTATTTTATTATAGAACAAATGTTTATCGTTATGAAAAAAATAGTCATCGAGCTGGCAATTTTTTTAACAACCATAACAAAACACTCCACACTTTTCAAGCACAATCACTATGGCTTTGACATATATCTTCGCAAAAACCATACATACATACATACATTTTCAGATAAAGACGGACAAGCCTAAGCAGACAACTCGTAACATGAAAAAAGGAGTTTCGGACCCAAACTTTTTTTCAGTTCTACCTGCTTAATCTGCTTCAATTTCTTTGCCAACAGGTGTAACACCCTGAACCTATGTATAAATTGTTTGTTTTAATTTTAGGCAACGAAAAGCAAAACGAAATGCCTAATAATCTCACTGATACTGTATTTTCTACACCTGATGATCTCAGTTTGGCTGTGCTTGTATTGTTTCTACATCTACAAACGATTTTCAAGTGGAGGCCTCATCAAACCAAGGCATCTACAAGTGAAGTACTTCAATTTTGCCGCCTACGATATACCTACACTTCTAACATTGGTAAAAAAATAATCTTGATATTACTATATCTTTAAATTGGTGTTTCCATTTAAAAATCTAAAGTGTGACGCAATATCTTATTTTTTTATCACCGTATAGATGAAAAGACGTCCTCCTAGAAATCAAAATTGACGTGTCCGAGCGTTTTTCCCAAAATATACCAGGAAAATCACAAATGGGGGTGCGTCCTTTTCAGTGGGCCACCCTCTATATGAAAATTGCCCCAAATGTCTTCAAATTTGTATTGAAATTCAATTTAACATATTCAAAATTTCCTTCCAGGCAACATACTTCATTTTACCAGAAAGCTACGAATCTAAACGTTTCTGCTTCATCTCAGTCCAAAGAGGCATGATCCTAAATTACATGCTACCAGTCTCTCTCCTCATCATACTCACCACGATTTTCTCACTAAGCGGTATCAGAAAAATCAACATGGAACTCTCAAAGTTGGAGTTTAACAGCTCAGCAGAATCTTTGAACGGTTTGAAGAACGAGTTGGAACTTTTAAAGAATAAGAAGGAAGAATGTTTGGACGATGAGATACTGAGCTTGAAGGAATCTAAGACATGTTTGAAGCTGTTGTGTATCATCCAAACTGGTTATGACATTGTCTGGTTCGTCGTCGTTTTAGCTTTGGAAAATGTACAGGATAGCAACGGCATGGCGATTATCTATGCTGTTACATCTTGCTTGCTGGTGAGCTTTTTTCAGGTAGAAACTAGGGGTAGAGGGCGTAGTCCGCTTGAAAAACTAGTTAAACCTTAAAATTTGCATGTTTAGTAGCTTTGCTATTTTTAAGTCATGTTGCATACTCTTTCAAAATTTCACAGCGTATCATTGAATTATCTAAGAAAAAAAGTAAACAGTTTAAAATCAAATAACAACTGTGCCGAAATCACTACTAAAAACGTGCTGAAAAACTGTTTCGAAATTTTGGGATATTCCTGAAAATTTGAAATGCTCTACAATAACACCAGTTCCCAAAATAAAAAATTCTAAAAGATGCAGCGATATGAGACCAGTAAATGTGTTACCAGACATTGAAAAATTATTAGAGTCCATAGTGCATGACCAATTAATGCAGTTTATAGAAGAAAACAAAATTTTAGTGGAGGCGCAAGCAGGCTTTCGAAAAAAATATTCCACAGAAACAGCTTTTCAGTTGGTAACTGAGAATTGGAGAAGAGCCATAGACTCAGAAGAAGTTGTCGTTGTGTATAACAGGAAGTGTTTTAGATTGGTTTAGAAATTATTTGTCTAAAAGGATGCAAGTTACAAAAGTTAATGACACTATTTCATTAAAAATTGAAAATACGTTGGGTGTTCCACAGGGCAGTATCCTGGGACCACTTCTTTTTATTTTATACATAAATGATTTACCTGCCATAGTCAAAAAATACAAAATTCAGATTTTCGCCGATGACACTATGATTTATATAAGTACTAAAAATATTCAGTCTGGTATCTCTTATATAAATGAAGACTTGAAGCTTGTCTCAAAATGGTTAGCATCGAACAGACTAAAATTAAATGCAAGTAAAACGAAAGCCTTGTTAATCGGAAAAAAACAATGTACAAATGTTCAACTGAACATTGATGGTGAAGATATTGAATTCGTAGAAAATTTAAAATACCTGGGGGTTTTTGTTGACTCTCGATTAATTTTTGATATTCATTATGAAAAAGTTATAAATAAGATTAGTAGTAAAGTGGGATATTTATCGAGAGTTTCTGGATGTCTGAGTTCATATAGCAGAAACATTATCTATAATACCATCATTCTTCCAAATTTCTTGTACTGTTCGACTATTCTATATTTAGCAAATAATTCCATTTTTGAAAGACTGCAAATTTTACAAAATAAGTGCATGAGAATAATACTAAATAAAGATAAATATACTCCAATTAGGCAAATGCTTAGCAAATTAAAATGGCTCAATGTAAAAATTTTTATCAAATATCTTGTAATGATATTCATTTATAAAGTAAAAAATAATATATTTCCATCAAGTCTAACTAATTTAACATCATCAAATGTCGACCATCATTTACATAATACCAGAAATAAAGATGACTTCCATTTAATGACCAAAAAGTATAACATATGCTACAAATCTGTATTCCAACAAGGGTTGATTGAATATAATAAATTATACTCGGAGATAAAAGACCAGAAAACTTTGACAAAATGTAAAGTAAAATTGAGAAATCACTTGTTAAATCTACAATTATAGGTTGCCCAGCATTTACATCATACACCATATGGCTTGAATTTACTAGTTCTAAGTTGTTTACAATTATTCTGTTTATGTAGCCAAATGTGCTAAATAAATCTTTCTACTACTACTAACTGAAGTCAGTTTGTTTCATACAATGGTGACAACTCTTATGAATATGCTCGTACATCGGGGGTGCCGCAGGGATCAAATCGTGGCCCACTGCTTTCCACATTAGTTATAAATGACTTTTATTTGTAGCACACTTCTTTTATGCTGATGATTTGAAAATTTTACTATCTAATCCAACTTTGGAGGATTGTCATACCTCATGAAATTGGATAACGTAAAATTGTAACGTAGTAGGTTTTACCAGAAGAAAATGTCCGTTTATCTATAGGCGATGAGGTGCTTTCTTGCTGCCAGAAAACTAAAGATCTGGATGTTGACTTTAACTTTGTCTTTTGTTGAGCATATCTCAATAATGGTTAATGCAGCATCAAAGACGTATCGATTCATAGTTAGAAACTGCGGTCTTTTACTAATGTTAAAAGGCACTTACAACGTATTTGACTTATGTCCGTTCAAAATTAGAATATGCGTCAATTGCTTAGTGTTTTAATTCATTTTAGAATCATCTTTGATTTCCAACGATGGTGGAAAAACCACCTTCCAAACAAGCTAGTTAGTACTCGATACCATTTGTCATTTAAAATTTGTAAAGGAATGACCCTGGGGGCCGAGGGTGAAACGGGGTAAAGTAGTTTTATTGTGTATAAACGCTGGTGAATGTTTCTTTGAGAAACTAAGTAGTGTCTGGCAACCCTGGATCTTATTCTATTGCATTTGTTTTTTTTTTTCAGAACTGGTACGTATTCATAAAACGGAAAAGCCTGATGCCGACCCTTTGCGAACTGCCTGAAACTGTCAGCGAAGTAGTAGTCCATCAAAATGAGCACCAAGAGATTGTGACAGCCTCAGCGAACGTGTCAAGACGCGGCTCGTCTGACAGCATACCGCTTTTGAACTCTGACACCGAAATGAGGGAACTCAGAATGGACCATATCAGCACCATCACGACTTGAAGATAATCAAGTTCCCGAACATTTGAAATATTGGAAAGGTTCATTTTGAAAAATTATATAAAGCGATTGGAAATTATGCTTGTCACAAGAAATTGGCTACAAAAAACGAGCATATCAACGAAATGTGCATTCGAGAAGCTGAAAATAATACTGCTAGGCTTCAAAAAATAAATTATCGTTGTTGTTGTTCAAGATTGATGAGCAATCAATCGTTTGTTAGAGAAATATTCTGAAGATTCTGTGTCACGTGGCGCATATTATAAGTTTGGAGGCAAACAAACCGTAGACTTGGTCCTAATAACTAATATGCACTTATACAGGGTGTCCCAGGAGTCGACGCCAAGCCTGAAACGGGGATAGACCAAATCATAATAGTTAACAGAAAAATATAAATCACAGGCTGTAGATATCCCGGATAATTTGGAAAGTATACGACTTAGATTTTTTTTATATTTTTCTGGTAACTATTAACCCTACTATCCCCGTATCTTGCTTGACGTCGACTTCTGGGTCACCTTGCATGTAATTATATTGACTCGGTTACATTTCTGGTACATAAATACAATAGCACAAACATTTGGAATGTTCTGAAATTAATCATGGATTTGTATTGAATTTTATATGACATAATATAAGAAACTTGCATTATACAGTAATATTATCAAAGTTTACTGTTTTCACACCTGGGTCAAATTTAAACTATACGTACCAATTTCGGATCTATTTTGCACTTAGGTTAATACGTAACTGCTTTGTTTCAGTGAATAAACTATAAGTATATTTTCTGGTAACCAATGGGATTTCTCCCATACTCATACACTGTATGCCTATCTGAAATCCTTTTTTGAAACGTAAGGTATAAGGAAGCCATTCTGGTCAGTGAAAAATTACGTCATTATACGTATTGCCGCTTTTTCACCACTTTGTTACTGATTTTTTGTGGAATATAAATGCACAATTAGGACTTACGTTTTTAATATAATAACAAATCAAAGATACATATATATATAACAACCTTATCGTGTATATATTAAAACTAGTTAAAACTCATTCAACGGCTTTAAAATATCTAATCCATGTCTTCTCAAAAAATACTCTATAGGTATTATAACTACTTGTAATATGTAAATATGAAAACTTTCTCATTGTTAAAGTCAAATTTGTCGTTTTGAAATTGTAGTGAGATAAACCCAAGTGCGTGATGCAGACCTAATTTAAGGCAAGAGATGCTCGCGAAAAAATAAATACGAAAAAAAATTAATCGCGACTTTTGACCATTCTATTTTATAAAATTTTAGTCCTGAATATACATTTTTTATATCTCCGTTTACTAATGTGTCCAGAATTCGTCATGGTCTATAAAACGACAATAAAAAAGACCCTAAAAGCATACAATCCAAACGAGCAACAGAAAATAAAAAATATATCTCATGTTTCTGCCATCAAATTCAGATAAAAAAATTATGCATTTCTTTTCAAAGACATCGGCCTATTTCAGTATTATTACCATAAGTATTATGTGTGGATATATGCCAACTTAATTGAAAAATTTTAATAGTGTTGACTCTTAATATGTAGGTAATAACAATAACTAGAATGTATGGAATTTTCCAAAGGATACAATAAAACCTTGGAGACTCCCTTTATTTGAGTTCACATTTAACATTGGTTTACCCACAAACAATAAATAATTTCAGCAATTCAAACTGTGATTTATTAATTCATTAAGCTTAGGTGATATCTGATTTGTGATTATTTTATTTACAAGTCTCCCTCTTTTTAATTATATGAGAAAACTGTTTTCATAGATTTGTAAGCTATGTTGTTGTTTTGAATAGAAATGAGTATAAATGATATTGTGTATATTTCTCTCTTTCCTAAATAGCCTGAGTCATTTTCAAAGCAACTCAATTTGTCCGAAAATGGATAAAATATGATGTATCTCAAAAACTGAATGAAATAACCTTATGCATGTAAGAACAAAGTAAATTATATAGAATCCAAAAAGAAAATAAAAAAGGGGAAGCTATTTAAAAAAGTTGAACTGACGCTTGCTCTGGCAAAACTGAACATCCTGTATATATAAAAATACAACAAAAAACTTCCGTTCAAACCAAGACTCTCTTGTATCCCACATTTTTTAAACCAAGACTCTCTTGTATCCCACATTTTTTTGTACAATTTCTGGTTTGTGAGATAAGGACAATGGGGCTAGTCATCTTAAAAATCATGTTAAGGTTCATATTTCGCTTACGGGCAATCGAATATCGACCGATTTCACAGCCCGCTAGATTGACCGCGCTTCAGGTAGAGTTGGCTTTGACTAGTAATGTCACTATTGTTTGTTTGACAGGTCACCTGACTGTTGACACCTTTTGATGACAGGATGCGAGGTTATGCTTTGATTTTCTCACACTCAGAATTAGAGGTTCTCTACTGGAGATATTTCTGGATGGAGCGAGAAATTTGCTAATCCGAAGGTTCCAGAGGGCCGCATTTATGATTTTATTTTTCCCCGCAGGGGACATATCGTCACAAAAAACCTGTAACATATAAAAAAACGACATATCACTGTTCAAGATAAGTAATACCCCTGCCCTTCTTCAATTTTGAATTGCTGTAATGCCACGCCTAAGTGCGACAAACAACAGGAAAAATAAGGTTAATAAAACAGGTCCGTCTGTTTTAAGAAATATTTAATAAAATACTCCTTTAAATATAACAAACATTCTTCTCGAGTCATCAGATAAAAGACTGTAACAAAAATATTGACAAACATCATAATTCTGTTCATTGAAACACAATCAATTACTATGTGGACATCTCCGCATCAGATTCTGACGCTTCCGCGTTATTTCCTGGTGTTTCGCCGTCTATACTTTCTTCTTCCCATTCGTTTTCACTTTCGCTGTTCTCTTCTATCTCCAGATCTATGTCTGAATGATCACTTTCATCTGTTAAATGGAAACGATCGATTTATTTCGTATAGAACCGACTAGAAAAGCAAGTTTTTGATTGAATGGGCTGGGACTGCTCCCTCTTGATTCTCATAGTATTTTCCCTCCTTCAGAAAGGCTGGGGTATTTTTAGATTTCTACTGTTCCGTCTCAGTGTCAGCGCTCTGCTATTGTGAGGCTTTGTTTTCTTTTTGTACTGTAGAAAATTTACAGCTGATTCAACAAATGATATAAATCAAAAACATGAATAATTTGATGCAAATAGATATTTGCGACATAACCTGAAAGTAGAACGCTGACACGAAACGGTAGAAAACTATGAGAATCAAGAAGGCATCCTACAATTGCAGGAACGACGGACGATACGGCTCTTAGATCTAGAGGATGCAAACTGCATCATCAAACACCTCAAAATAATTAGAAAAATAAGCATTTCAAGAAAAAAATCAGTAAACGAAAAAAATAATGAGTAAAGATGAGAAAAACGAGTTTTGTATGAGAGAATAAAAACAAAACAAGGTTAACTTTTGCTTTAAAATAATCCAATCCAGAATCTCAATTTCGAAACTTTTCACGATTACAATATTTCCTCGCCAGTTTTTCCATAGGAAGCAAAAATATCGTTTTTCGTAGAAACTAGAATGCGAAAATGTTACAAAGTTCTCACCTCTGTCATCATATACTAGAACAGCCTGTTCATCATCGCCATTTTGCTGTCCTTGTGTGCCGCTGACCTGTGGTATAAGGAGGTCTATTCTACCTCTTAGCCTATTCACAGAGGTAGCAAGGGACAACCTGCTCTCTATACTGCCCACAGTCGAGCCTAGCAAGTTTGGAAGGTCAGCATTTGATATCAGAACACTTGCATGAGTCTGGATGATTTGTTTCATCCATACTCGACCAATCTGAGCCCTAAAACAATAAATTTAGTTAAACTTGAAACACATCTTTAGACTCATTACTCACGATAGTGTTTTCCCTGACACAAATTTAGATAGCTCTTGTATCAATGGCACCAAAACATTCACTGGTAATCTCTTTACTGTATTCACTATCAGCTCTTCATCTCTTTTACTTAATACAGTCCTGAGTATATTTCTGTCCTTACTGTGAAGACCTTGTACCAGTAGGTGTGCCATATTGTGGCCTGTAAAAGAATGATAATGTAGTTATCACTTGCTATATCTTGACAATGGTAATAAGGCTACAACTGTTGAATATATTTGAGGTTATGGGCCCAGATGAAATATAAAAATACCTGCTTTTGGTGCTTTATCTCCATCCACCTTCAAAGTAAGATTCTCCAATCTCTTCTCCATTGGGATTTCAGCCTTTCCATCAATTTTTCTTTTTGTTGAAGCAGAGTCTGCACCTACTGTTGATGTTTGCGATGTCAGATAGTGTGCATTGCTGACTGATGGCGTGACAGTTTTTGATGATTGATCTTGCTTCAGTGTTTTTGATTGTTGATCTTTCCTCACTAGACACTGGAGCTTTTTATTTATTGAAATAGTCTAAAATATAGAAAATTATTCAGTATCACAAATTTGTCACTTGAGAAGAAGTAACTACTTACAATGTTTTCAAAGTGTAAGATTGCTTCTGAGCCATATCCTATACATAAAGTCTCACTATCTACAAATGAGGCTCCAAGTATTCTGATGGGTGTAATAGTATCTTTAGACTGTCCAGTGTCTGACACTACTTGTATTGATGTTTTTGGTTTTAGAGGTTTGCTACATTTTCTAAAAAAAGTATGCTTATAAGTTTAATTATATTTGTAACTAAATAGCTTCAGTATAAATTGTTATAACAGAAAGATGAATCACCTGCTACATTCCGATCATGACATTAATTTGAATATAAGAAAAAACAGTATGAATTATTAAGGGTAGTCAACAAATTTTAGTTACTGTTGATGGATATTTTTATTTTATATTCCTTACCCATTCAGAGTATGTTGAAATAAATGCACCATCCCACTTCTGAGAGTGGTTACCATCTTTGTAACTCCTTCACTTGACAGATTGACTTCTACTGATTCTACCACATCTTCCATAAGAAAGCTTGCTATTGCATTTCTGTCATTCGCTGATTCACTTAAACTCCAGCAGTTCAAAAGTCGGTCACCCTGAAAAACATTTTATTTTCTAAGCCTCCACTTAATCTAATGATAATTTTAGTAAAAGTGAAAATTAGACATCAGAATTACATAGTTTTAAAATTGAGGGGATGATGGTATATAAAACAAAATTATGGATAATAAATCAAAATTTAAAGGACAAAAATGCAATAATAATAATAAATGGGCTTCATTTAACCTAGTGGGTAACATCAGCAAAAGCTATTTTTTAAGACCAGCAAATAGCCAACCAACATAATCATCAAGTATATTGAATCTTGCTTTTGATTTGAATCTTATAAAAGTATATTGGTTACTAACAACAAATAAAAAAATTAGTTTACCTTAGATCCACTGATAATATAAGTACTACTGGTATCACTGGGTAAAATGTATTTTAAGCATGTCACCTCTGAACTGTGGCCAGTAAATGTACGTAGCACCTGTTTTGTTTGTACATCCCATAGTTTGATACTTTTTGCTGCTGTAAAAATCTTGTTGGTATCAGGAACAGCTAAAATTGCTGATACTGTTTCATTTCCAACCTTCCACTTGCTACAAGAAGACACAAAGAAATATTGTCAAAGGATAGAAAATATTACATAAACTATCATTATAAGCATTAAATATGTGCTTAAAAATGTTGGTTATCTCTCATCTATGTGAAACATAACTTTACATAAGTCAACTTGCAAAATTATTGTGATATGTTACCTCAGAAATTTTCTTGATTCTATATTCCACACAAGAACGTTTTGACCTGCTCCTGAGTATAAAATGCAGCTATCAGCTGAGGAGAGACAGTTTATGGTTTGGCTAGTTGCACTGTCAATAGTAAAGTCTACATTAGCTTTTGATAACGAATACAATAACAGAAGACCATTTGTTGTTCCTAATGCTATACTGGGTTCTGAGCTAGTTTCTGAGAGTCTTCTCTTTTTCTTCTTGGGTGAAACTCCCTAAAAATAGGATGGTATTACCCAATCTATACGAATTTTGCGGTTATTAGTAAACACATGGTAAACGTACCTTGATTCTTGATGTGTTCAAATTAATGAAATGAAGACACGTACAGGGAGTAGTTAAATGGAAATCTGGAGTGTATTCCTGTTCGAAGCTGTTTGTAAGTGTGTTCCATATTTTTAATTTGCCGTCTGCCGTTAGTTTTGCGAAATATTTACCGTCTTCACTGAATTGAGCAGCCATGGCGACCGCCATTATCACATTTTCTAACCTATTTTCAAAAATATGTCAATGTCAAACGCACGTGACAAAAGTGACAGCTGTCGACCACGGAACAAAACGAAAGACTATAGAGCAAACGATATACAGAAAGTGAAACCGCTAGCGCCATAATCGCCATTTTCAATCCATTCTGCATTTGTTAATTTTGACGAATTTAATTGAAATTTACAATATGTAATGCCGTATATAGCCATCAGTAAAGACTTCCATTGTCAGGGTAAGCTGGGTTTTAAAATAGCCAAATTTATTTAAAAAATAAGGACTTTAAAGATTATGCGTACCATAGGGTGGTATTACACCGTTCAAGCGGTTAAGTTTCAAGGTGATAGATCGTGTCGAAACCATACTCTAGTATTAACGCATATACCAATCAGAGGTTTTTATTTCGGTATTTTGAAATATGAAAGTTAGAATGAATTGGTTGCTTCATTTTGAGAAAATTGTAGATCCCATTGGAGTTTGATCGATACTCCTAAAGATCGAAAAATCTGTGGCCCATCTCTAGCAAAGTTTTGTCGTGACGTGTGACTTTGGACAACTGGCATATGTGGACATGTTGACATTTTTGATATAAATGTGATGTGTAACACTCCAGCTTAAATTTCATCAATTATAATATTAATAATTAATTATTCCGTGCGGAAAAAAAAACAACAAACGTTTTTTTAGGTCATTAGTGATTGTGCCCCCAATAAAGAAGCATCTTCAACATTCAGAAAACGGAAATATACAGGAATAAACTGACTTGGCCTAAACAGTAAACCTAAACACAGCCTGTGAATTCCATTTTTTTTTAATGAATGTAACAGAAAGGAGAAAAACAGGAAGGGGCAACCCCCTGTTAACAACATGGAATATGGGGGACTAACACCCAGCACGTCCATAGCATCTATCAAGGGAGATGAAAGAAATATTGTCCTGTTGTTTTTCCTTTACACACTACAAGGGATTCCCCTGGGGTTGTCTGCTGCCATACCACTGATTTTGCAGAATAGGGGAGTCAGTTACAAACAACAGGTATTTAAGTAATAAGTAGTGATCAATACTTTTATTCACCCTCCTGCATTTAGAAAAGTTAACATTGAGATGCCCAGGGCATCATTTGATGAACTATTAGGCCCAGAATGATAAAAAATCCACAAGTAGCCTCTTCCATGACAAGTCATTTTTCAACATTATTGAAGCACTATGGTGATTTAAGTTTCATCTTTACTGTGCTTATGTAATAAGACAAGTTTTTATCTATTTATTTCTTCATGGTAAAAACATGGTATAGGTATAGTGATACACTCTGAACTTAAAAAAGAAACTACATCTAACAGACAACAATTAAATAGTGATAATACATTTAGCAGCATATATCACAATGTTGCACTCATAGGGCTCTTATACCATATATGTAAACATAAGTTCAAACCTGACAGTCTTAATTGTCTCAAGCCTCTGAAAAAATTACCTCTATTTGAATCAACCATTAATATTTGTGCCGTTGATTCTCCAGTTGTCTCAAACTGTACTTCTCAATATAATTTGCATGCAACATAATCTTATAAAGTAAGTGTATTTTTTTCTCTAGGCAGAGTTTAGCTTTGTATGGTGGCCATTCAGCTTGAAACTCCTATGGGCCCCATTGGTGGATGCAATTTTTTCCAGTAGGATAGGACGCCGAAAAACATGGCTTATACCAACCCAATATCTGATTGGGTTATTTATGTTGTTGCTCTCAAGTCATGTCAAAAGGTAATTGAACATTTTTAAATTAGAAAATCATGAAGACATGTAAAAATCAGTAATCATTTTACTCTTGCTATTTTTTTTTTTTTTTTGAAGGCATCATTGCTAGTTTTTTGGGCCTATTTTTAATTGTATTTACAGATGGTTAGGAGATGATGGGGGAACTCCAAACATTGAGATCCTAACATTACTTTTCTTCATGCTGAATTTCCTAGCAGCTACCCAAGACATAGCTGTAGACGGTTGGGCTTTGACAATGCTGAAGAAAGAGAATGTTGGACATGCTTCTACATGCAATAGTGTGGGACAAACCACAGGATACTTCATGAGCAATGTACTTTTTATGGCACTTGAATCTCCTACATTCTGCAATCAGTATTTGAGGAGTGAACCGCAAGAAGAAGGTAGAAATGTTTAAAACCCTTATAAAAATTCATTCAGATCAACTTATCATTGCTGAATCCTAGTTAACAATGCCAAGCAACCCATAACCGATGCACTTACACTTTTATGCCTAACCATTCTCTCTGAAAATACTACCACAGTCAAGGTAAATACAATAATTGAAAATGTTGAATTAATTAAATATTTAGATATATGTATTGATAGTAAACTAAAGTTTGAGGATCACTATGAATACATTATTTCAAAAAAACAAATTACTTTTATAAGGCTTCTCATAGTCCGTATTCCAAAAAAAAAATAGTTTATAATAAAATTATTTTATCACATTTACTGCTATATTGATCACTGTCAATGAAGCTGCTGCTGTTTTCATTCTCGCGGTGATCGATTTTGGTAATAGATGGCACTTTGTGCTGTCTCATTTCAACATATTTGTAATTGTCAATACATTTTCCAGGTATAGTAACCTTCACTGGGTTCCTCTACTTCTGGGGCTGGGTTTTCCTGATAACCACCACCTTAGTAGCTATTTTCAAAACGGAAACCGAACCTCACGATCCGAATCATGTTGTGGTCCATGATAGGGATATCAAGACAGCTTACACGTCACTGAAGGAGATACTACAGCTGAGATCTATCCAGATTCTTGTTGTAATGTTACTAACTTGCAAGGTAAAATATTATTAAACATTTAAATCTTTTAGCGATGGATTTCATGTTTTGTTTTACTTTCGAAATCGCTTAAATTTAGACCCGTGGGCCCCTGTCACTACGTTCAAACAAACTGCAAGTGCGACAAGACCAAGAACTGGAGTGAAAATCGCACGCCGATAAATCGGGATTACAGGGTGGATGCTCTAATATCCTCCATTTCTTTCGTTGTAGAGTTTCACTACTCTGGCAACATGTGGCCGAGCATTGTCGTGCAGAGTGACGCTACGTGAGAGCTTGCTTTGACGTTTTCGTTTATTGTTTCATGGAGATTGTTCAAAATTTCATTATTGAACACAACTAACATTGGAAGGCGTTGAGTGATTATAATTGTTCAGACATACTGAAAACGTACAAGAAACTGAAATCTAAACGTACATGTAGTTTTGGATCGACCAGGCAATGGATTGCTTCATGTTTTATCTTTCAGATTGGTTTTTCATCTACGGATAGTGTGATGCCTCTGAAACTGGTAGAAGCAGGCATTCCAAAGGAAAAACTGGGTTTGATTGCTGTACCTATGATACCAATTCAAGTGCTTTTGCCTTTGGTCATCTCCAAATACTCTACAGGTAAAAATACTGCATAACACCTAGGTTTGTGCGAGTCGCGATTTTTGAGAACAAATACACTTTCAAAACAGTATTTAATATTACTTTGAAGCCAAGACTAGTTTATATCCAAAATTCGGCTCTATGATATTTCAGTTTTTTCCTGTTCATATTTCTGGGCCAAACTACGCTAAGTCCAATTTTGCCTGAAGTGAGTTTTATATGTTAAGTTCATGATAATATTGTGAATTTTCACTTCCTGCTCGCTGCGTCCACGTATCTGTAATAATACGACTTTATAAATAATGTTAAGTCACATACAATACAAGAAATGTATTTCACACGCAATCATCTCAAAACTACATATTTAGCTGGCTCTGGTGATTTTAAATGAGTGGCTCAAATTACCTACCTGTGCAAAGTGTCATCCTCCCTGTAATAACTGAAATTTTTGAAATCGCGACGTTTCGATTGAAGATGCCACAACAATGATCTCAGAAATTGTATAAAACTGCAGACAATGGAACCACCGAGAATAGGCAGACGTTTAGGTTTAACTGTAGTTTGAACTTTGTAGTTTGACCTACAGTTTCATTAAATTGATAAAAAATTATAAAATGTCTATATTCAAATGCATATACATACATATTTTTAAGTTAAATCAACTTATCCATACATCTGATTAATCCACGAAATTTGCCGATCTTCTTTTACCTTCTTTTTACTTTTTTTCGTATGCATCGACTTAACTTTCACTTTACTTTTACACGAATTACATTTGTAAACACTATAGATAAACCAACCTAAGTTGCCATTCACAATAACCATGTTTCTGTACAATCTGCTCTGCAACGTGATATGTCGACCTTCTGAGAAAATCTTGTACACAATACTTGGCGGAAAATTGATTCCATCTAGCCTAAAAACAAGCTTACACATCGTTTTCTCAAAAAGTTCAGCGTGAGAAGTATTTACTAGCTCAAGTACTTTTAGGGGATCTTTTCTCGAAAGCTTGTAAAGCATCGATTTAGTTTGTGCGTATATGTTTCTATTTCTGGTTCGTAAAAAGAAGTCATAGATTTTCCTTGCTGCATTTTCTCTGGTTATTTTCGGGTAGTATACCCAGTTGTTTCCTAATGTGTAGCTGTTACATATATCGTTGATTTGTTGTAGCAGGTTTCTACATTCCAAGCTCTGCCGAAAAACGTCTGCCTTCGTCAAGTTTTCATCGTTTTGATCTGTATAACGTTGCAAAAACTTGGTGTGGTTGCAATCGAGTATTTGAAAGATATCATGTGACATCTGTGACATGTGTGGTTGAAGATGTCATTGGATTTTTTATACAGAGGGAATCATTTGAAACTCAATTTTCCATGAGTCAAGATAAGCATTTTGCTAAAGAAACAAAATGTTTGAGCTCCATAATCTTTTTGGATATGAAGCAATCAGAAGCGGTTAAACCAAATTTTCGAAATTTTTAAAAATTGTAGCCTCTCCACAAATACGTGAAAAAACTGGAAGACATATCAACGTCTATATTTTTTTTAGGACCAAAACCACTGAACGTTTTCCTGAAAGCAATACCATACAGGCTGTTATTAGGCGTAGGAGCAGCTTTTTTGGTATGGATCACCCCAACTTTAGTACCTGATGCTTCAAAGGGACTGCCTATTACATATGTTGGTCTTCTTCTTGTACTCTACGGTGCACATCAGGTAAAATATCAGAAGAAAACGTTTAATCTTCGAATTTTGGGTGACTGTTAAAACAGGTTTTTGATTCCATTTTTTTTTTTGTAGGCGTGCCTATACTGTATGTACGTTTCGATCATGGCTTTTTTCGCGAAAATCAGCGACTCCAAGGTAGGCGGTACATACATGACCCTGTTGAACACTTGCACAAACTTAGGAGGAAATTGGCCGACGATATTGGCGCTATATTTCGTGGATCCTCTGACTTGGAAACAGTGTGAGGGTGGCGTGGAAGCAATCGACAACGCTTGTAGGACTAGCGTTGAGAGAGATGTAAGTTAATCAATTTGAAAACTTTATTTTATATTTTTTTTTTTTTTATACTCCAACTACCACGAAGGCCTAAGGCCTAAGCACCCATTGGGTACCGTGGGGCTATGGAGGATACATGGGAAAGAGGGGACGCCACACGGACTCTGGCGAGGGAACACGTGTGCATGCAACATGCACACATTCTGGCTCCGCCTACGAGAACCGCCGGGTGGTACCTCCGCGTTCGACAGTCAGAGACCATCTACCACCTACATATGCATGGTGTAAACGTTATGATAGTCATTATTTAAATGGGTGATAGAGGGGGTTAAAATTTTCATATAACATGGGGGTCAAAACGGCATTTTTTTAGAGAAAAGCGACTTTGAAGTAAAATCAAATCTGACAACGCCGCAATGCCAGACGCAAATTACGACGGAACGCAGTGTAAATAAAGATGGAGTTTGTTATTTTTGGCTCTTAGGTATTATTTCATTATTTGATAATGTACTCGTAAAATGCAAACAATTAAAAAAAACGGACTTACCACTAACTGTCTCAGCGTTTCACCTGGTCTGTGAAAGTTTATTGAACGTATTAAAAAAATCCACTTATAAGTAGGGAACACAACTTTGATACATACATTGGTTTTCTTCTCTGCACGTTTTTAGTATCTAAAGAAGGTGTTCAAAATCCATTTTCCACACAAGCTTCATTACGACGAACCCAGTTTCTTCTTACTCTAGGTCCCTGAAGTTGTCCATTTATTATTTCAGCCGCATTAAAACTTTTTTCGCAAAGTTGTGCTTCAGTTGTTATTGGACCAGTCCCATAAACCATCCATTCAAGTTCTCCCCAATACCAGAAATTCATCGGATTGAGGTCGGGAGATCTTGCTGGCCATTTTCGACGATCAGGAGTATTTCGACCGATCCAGCGATTTGGATAATGTTCGTTCAAATACAGAATGACGCCTCTAAAAATGTGTGGTGGTGCCCAGTCATGAAGAAACCACAAATTCTGTCACCGTTGTAAGGGCATGTTGTCTAAGGTCTGTTCCAAAAGTTCTGCTAGGTTATTGGCTAGAAAGCTAAGGTATCATTCTCCTGCCAACTTTGGGGGTAACTCGAAAGGCCCAATTACCTGATCGTCAAGATACCCGCCGAAATATTTATTTTAAAACGTTGTTGGAAATGACCTTCACGAATGGTATGAGGATTTTCTTGGGCCCACGTGTGAGTATTATGGAAATTTAATATCCCGTCTCGCGTAAAAGTACATTCGTCCGTCGCTAGAATGTTTTTATTAAAATCCGGATTTTCAATGTTTTTGTGCAAAAACCACTAACAGAATGTTAGTCTGCGAGGATAGTCTTCTGGTAACAAGGCCTGCATTCGTTGTACATGGTAGGGATAAAGCAAAGTTTTCCGTAGGATTCTAAAGACTATGGTATGCGATCGTCCTGTGCTGATATCTGCATTGATTTCCACATTTCAAATTTGTTCCTCCTGCTCTACAGTAACCTGTCTTTCACGAGTGCGAATATTAGTAGGCTGAACACTTCCTGTATCTTTGGTACACTTGCACAAATGTCCTTCTGTCTGAGTGTACCTGTTGGCGAAATCTGTCGCGATAAATTTGAGCTGCAAGATTTGAAAACCATAAAGTAATTTATCTATGCAAAACGATATCTAACCACTGTTACCGTTTGCGATCGATTGCCGGTTCGATAAGAGTGATGAAAGACCGACGCACTGTTGTCATTTGAATTTAGAAACTTTATAGGCAGCGTTTTCTCAATGACCTAAATCCCAACGGTGAGGCTCGAATCTGAAACACCCGCTATATGCGTTTTACTATTTTTTAACAAACGTTTTCATTTTTCAGCTGTGCGTCAGTAAAGGCGGCAAATGCGTTACGACAATAGACGGGTTCTATATCGAAACTGTGATCTGTATAGTGATAGGATTCTTGTGGCTTTGGTTATGGGGCAGCAAAACGATAAAGTACATCCAGGCGTTGAACGAGAACGCCTGGAAGCTCGCTAAAAGAAAAACTGACAAGAGATAATGATTGGTGAACATCTGGACTCGAGACATTCCATAAGATTTTATATGAAGACAATAAGGTTCAATTTGGTATATTGTGTCAGTATCAACTAAAATAGTCTTGGATTTATTAAAAAGAACCCTGAACTACCCGTATTATTAGGACACGATTCTCTCCAAAAACAACTGGAAATCTTGTTTTGAGGTTTTGGATGAAACAACTGTGGTGCTTACCCCTTGAGCATGTTTTTATATGAAAGTTAGCTATTTTCTAGTTGCCTTTCCTTTTGGCATCTTTTGTATCTTAATATATTTGTATTATTTGTAAAAGTAGGATTCATTTCCCCTGTGATTTTTATATGTATTCAATTGTTAAAATCATTGACGTTTTAGCCAGCGTCAATTAGATTCGATTTATTTATTACTTTTTGATTTATTCGTATTCATATCTGGTATGCATTGTTATTTGTTGATTATATATTATTGAAATATAAACGTGACGCTGCGATGAAGTTTTACAGCGCACACGGATGATTTTGAATTTAACCTCTTTACAGTATAAATATATGAAATGTGTGGAAAATAAAGATTTTTTGAATTATTCGTTTCTCATTCAAATTAATTTTCCATATCACTTTTTACACCGAAGCAACTGCGCAGGCAGAAGCCTAAATACCAAGAAATGTTGATCCGATTTTTGAACTGTGTAAGGTTAGTATAGTAGGACTGGAAAAGCTTCCTTTTGTAGATTGTTCCACAATCTCTGGACAAGGGAGCGGTCGTATCGGCCAGTTCTGGATGTACGAAGTTCGACACGGTTTTATTTATTTGATTTGAATGCTTTAAAAATCATTAGAAATAAAAAAATACAACCTAATATTCTGTTCATTATTTTGATGCCTGCATACAACAATGGATAAAACAGGATAATGGATAGCTGTTTTAGACATCTGCTAAAATAAAAAGCAATTAGGACACAAAAGACAGCTGCACGTATTATTTTTTATTTCTCTAATGTGTCACGATCAATGTGGTTTTGAAATTCTTTCTGGTTCACCTTGTACTTAACAATTGGTATTAGAAGTAAACGATCACACACGCACATATATCTTTATTGAAAAAATACAAAGTGTAGTGCAATTAAATCTATTATACAAATAAAATTTAATTTCAGCAACATATATTAAAAAGTAGACATTTAACAAGTGATGTCAAAAACACATTATCACATAATACTATACAAAACTTCTTAATAATTAAAAGTACGTAGATACACTGAAACTCATAGAATATCCCCAATTATATAATAGCTAGAACATTTTAGAAATTCAGATAAATGTATTTGTTTTGCGATGTCTACAACTTGTAAATCCACACGTGTGTTTCTTAAGCATACTATGATGACTGAAACCCATAGCATAACTCGCATCTACTACCAGAATTCTCTACTGCAAAAGTGAATAGCGACTATTGATGGGAATTGTAAACACTGTGAAGGTACTTCTTTGTTTGCCGAGTTACTAGCTAAATGCTGCCGATGCAAGAGTGAGTACAAACATGCGGTGACAGTTTAAAATATTTTGTCTTGTACGCAATTTGGCGGATTTTAGGTTAATCACAAGATTCCGTTATAGCGCCGCCATTTTGAAACGATAATGTCACTTGTAACACATCATTGGAAAGGGAATATGGAAGTAAATATACAGGTTTCCATTTGAACGAAAGTCGAGGTTACTTCCGGTTAAACCGGAAGGGAGAGATAACCCATTCAACTTTCCAGAAATGCCTCTTATTGACTAACTGAACACGTCCTAATCTTGGAGCAATATCTTTATTTGCCAAAAAAATACACAGTGTTTCCAATTTTCGTTGTCACCGGTATACGAGGGATGTCTGGAACCCAACCGAGAACATTTTCGCGCCATAATTTATTACAACTTTCAGAGACAATTATCGCAACAAGAATGCCTTGCTGAGTTACTGTCTGTTTTCGGCAACGAAGCGCCACATCAGTCGACAATTTCCCGTTGGTATGCAGAATTCAAACGTGGACGGGTGAGTCTTAGCGACGATCACAGGGTGGGTGCACCAAAAACGGCAGTCACCCAGGAAAACGTCGATGCTGTGCGCAAACTCATCATTGAAGATAGACATGTGTCATATCGCGAGATTGAGGCGTCCTTGAAGATCTCAAAGACCTCAATTCAAAAAAATTTACATGAAGAATTAGGAGTAAGAAAATTAGTTTCTCGTTGACTGAAGAGCAGAAAACAGCCAGGGTTAATTGGTGTCAAAAAACGCTTGACCATTTCAATTCCGGAAACTCAAAAAATGTGTACAGTATTGTTAGTGGTGATGAATCGTGGATTTACTGTTATGAACCAGAAAATAAACGACAGTCGGTTGTTTGGGTGTTCCAAGGTGAAGAAAAGCCAACAAAAGTCATCCGTTCTCGAAGTGTTTCGAAAAAGATGGTCGCGACATTCGTGTCAAAAGCGGGTCATATTGCAACAATTCCTCTTAATGAGCAAAGAACTGTTACTGCGGATTGGTATACCACCATTTGTTTGCCAAAAGTCATCACCGAGTTTCGAAAAATCAACCCCGAAAGAAGAATCATCCTCCACCAAGACAATGCAAGCTCGCATACAGCCCAAAAAAACAAGGCAGTATTTAACGGAAGAAAACGATCTAAGTCCTAACGATTTCTTTACTTTCCCGAAAATGAAAAACAGACTGCGTGGTTAAAGGTTCCAGTCACCAGAAGAAGCAGTTGACGCATTCAAAAATGCCGTTTTGGATCTGCCAGCAAACGAGTGGAATAAGTGCTTCGAAAATTGGTTCGAGCGCATGCAGATGTGTATTAATCTTCGTGGAGAATACTTCGAAAAACAATAAAGTCATTTAAAACTACCTACCTTGTTGTTTTATTTCCACATGCAACACTTAAAAGACATCCCTCGTATGTGGATAGTAAAGTACTGTTTCAACAGAATTATTTCAAACATATCAAGATACTCAAATGTTCAGGCAACAACAAAAGACAGCTTTTACGACTTGACCGTTTTTTTTTATCAAAAACTTCCACTACTTTGCTAACTGGGCGGGAAGGCGGTGGCGTCCCACAGTTAGTAGGGTCGCTTCATTTATAGCACATTTGTGGAATTGTTGCCATGCCCGTATTGAAACAATGCGATTTATTTTCAATTCATCACCGCATATTGGTCAAATTTACAAGTTATACAGACGAACCAGCTACTAACTCTGAGTGTTTCAACATATGGCGAGCAAAACAATCCTTCATGATTGTTTTAAATCCGCACTGCGGGCATTCATGTATTTTACTATACACGGATGCAATAAAGTCAGGATGTTTCCTGATTATGTGTTCATTCAGTAACCTTTGATTTTTGAATTGTTCCTTACAGTGAACACATATGCTGAATTTATGGCTCTCCCCTGTCTCCGAATGCTTCAGCATATGTCTATCTAAAAGAAACTTGAAGGTTGTTCTATATTCGCAATCCGTGCATTCGTGTATTTTATTAGAAACAGAGTCAATAAAGTCAGGATGTTTCCTGATTATATGATCATTCAGTAATACTTTGCTCTTGAATTTCGCATTACAATGATTACATATGAGATATTTATAGTCATCTACAGACGTTGGATGTGTCAACATATGGTAAGCCAAACCACTTTTGTAGGTTGTTTTATAAGTGCAATGTGGACATACATGTATTTTACTAGAAACGGATTCAATAAAGTCGGGATGCTTCTTGATTATATGATCATTCAGGTCCGTTTTACTTTTGAATTCTGCCTTACAGTGAATACATACGCTGAAATTATAGTTATCACCTGTCTTTGAATGTGTCAACAAATGCCTAGCAAAAGCATACTTTAAGGTTGTTTTATATTTGCAATCCATACATTCATGTATTTTATTAGAAATAGAATCAATAAAGTCAGGATGTTTCCTGATTATATGATCATTCAGTAATATTTTTTTTCTGAATTTCGCATTACAATGATTACATATGAGATATTGATAGTTATCTACACAGTCCGGATGTGACGACATATGATATACAAAACAACTCTTGATGGTTGTTTTAAAAGAGCAATGTGGACATTCATGTATTTTACTAGAAACAGAATCAATAAAGTCAGGATGTTTCTTGATTATATGATCATTCAGACCCACGTTAGTGTAGAATTTTGCCTTACAGTGAATACATACTCTGAATTTATAGTTATCTCTTGTCTTTGAATGTTTCAACAAATGTGAACATAAAGTAGCCTTAAAGGTTGTTTTATATTCGCAATCCATACATTCATGTATTTTACTAGAAACAGAATCAATAAAGTCAGGATGTTTCTTGATTATATGATCGTCTAATGTCCTTCTCGTTGTGAATTTTGCATTACAGTGAAGACATATTCCGAATTTACTGTTATCCTCTGCCTTTGAATGGTTTAACATATGTATAGTCAAATTATGCTTGATGGTTGTTTTATATTTGCACTGTGTACATTCAAGTATTTTACGAGTAACTGATGCAATAAAGTCAGGGTGTTTTTTGATTATATGATGATTTAGTCTCCTTTCAGTTCTGAATCTTTCCTCGCAGTGAAAACATGCGTAGAATTTGTAACTATCTCCAGTCTCTGAATGTTTAAAGATATGTCTAAGAAAAAGACCCTTGATAGTTGTTTTATAATTGCAAAGTGTACATTCATGTATTTTGCTAGGAACGGATGAAATAAAGTCAGGATGTTTTTTGATTATATGATCACTTAGTCTCGTTTTATCCATGAATTTTGCCTTACAGTGAATACATATGTTGATTTTATGGTTATCTCCTGTCTCTATATGTTTTGACATATGTCTATCAAATCCACTCTTGATAGATGTTTTGTAAGTGCAAAGTGTACATTCATGTATTTTACTAGGAACGGATGCAATAAAGTCACTATGTTTTTGAACTATATGTTCATATAGTTTCGTTCCATTTTGGTGCTTCGCCCCACAGTGAACACATGTAATTGATTTATACTCTGAGTGTATCAACATATGTCTAACAAGACTAAGTTTGATAGTTGTTCTATAAGTGCAATGGGTACATTGATGTATTTCACTGGAAACGGCTGCGATAAAGTTAGGATGTTCCTTGAGTATATGATCATCCAGTGTTTTCTTATTTTTATATATTTTTTACAGTAACTACATATGGGGGATACTTGTGTTCGATGTTTCAACATATGTTTAGTCAAACAGGTGGAAATAGTTGTTTTATATTCACAATACTTACATTCATGTATTTTAATAGAAACAGACGCAATAAAGTCGGGATGTTTTTTGACTATATGATCACCCAGCATCTGTTTCCTTTTGAATTTTGCTTTACAATGAATACATACGAGGATACCGAGCCAGTTACGTCTGTTAAGTTCACGCCTTGAACCTTGCCTGTTTTTACTATTCTGATTTCTACGTTCCTTCTTACTACTAATAAGACTATACTTAGAACTAGCAGAATAATCATTATTAAGACAAAACAATGACTCTGTGTTTGGTTTTTGGTCTACAGTCTGCTGTTCTATCGGGACTTCTTGATTTAAAGCACTGAAATCAATATAAGTATTAATATTTTTGGGAAATAGATATCCAATATCTAGAAGACAAAGCTTGTATTTGGGAAAATGAAATGCAAAAATATAGACACAATTTACATAAATAAGAACATCTAAAACTCGGTGCATGATCCATTGAATGCGCCATCTATAGATCACATCAATCGAATCTTTGTGGATCAAAAAACCTTATAAACAACGGAGGTCCAAGAAACAACATCTCAAATATCCACATTGTACCTTCAAATTTCAAACAACTGTCATTCCATATATACCCCTATCTCGTGTTAATTTTATCATTCAACAAATAAATAACGATTTAAGTACATGGGCACACAGTATTAACAAAGTCGATCACGTCTAATATGAATTGAAACTGTAAAGTATCTCGGTTCGCCAAAACACCACTCTGACCGCTTCTGGCGGTAGGACCTTGAGTGACGATGAGACGCCCTCGCCATATTGCAGCATAGGCAACCAGAGTTGCGCCACCGTGCATCACGAGCGGTATCGCTTGCCGCATTTTCCGCCATCGAGAACGTGATCTAGCAAGCTTCGATCAAGGCTCGCGCACGCACTGTAGGCTCCTGAAAGTCTTCGATTTAAGTTAAATACCCGACGAGATAGCGAAAGCGCCCAGACAAGTCGAGACAGTTAACAATGCGGAATGTGTATATTTCACCTGACAGCGGACATTGCGTTGTAATTGTGCACTGTTATTTTGAAATAAAGATTATTTATTATTATTATGCAATAGTCCAGTCGACATGGTTATAAATCTGACATAAATTAGCTGCAAGTGCAACAGTATTAAATTCGACTGAACAATATTTTTTTCGTTAGAATATCACTGGCTCCTTTTACAAAATTTTCCATATGTTAAATTTTCCCAATTACAAACCTAAATAAAATCTCGTTTCAGACAATTTTTTTTAGTAAAAACATAGTGCTGACAAGTTTTTATTTGAAATAAGAATTATTCATGAAATTTAAATACGACTTTTCATGCGAGCAAAAATAAGCATGAATAACATTTTACTCAACATATATGTATGTATAACTAGCCACAATTACCTTCTTGACGATGAAAGATCCGCTTCCGCTTTTCCATCATGGTGAAGTGTGTATGCATTTTGGCAAAAATATTCCATATTTTCGTGATATTCTGCATCCCTCACAATTCTTATTCCCATCTCATTTATTTTGTCAATAGCTTCAGCGGGAGCAACATTTTGACCATTATCCCCACTATATTCACCACCACTTCTGAAATAGAAGACATACAATATAATTGTGTCCCTTATCATCCCTATGCTTCTCAGTCTTCACGATACGAGGTATGTACATTAAGTACTGAGAGTATGTGATCCGCCTTCAGAACAGTTTTTTCTATTGTTCTAAAAATAAGTGCAACAAAACTCTTGCTACGGTATGTCTTTTGTCAAGAGTTCAGGTTTTTCTGTGATCAAACCATGATGCAAAAGGCCTTCATCTCCAAGAGCTGATGAAAATATGTAAAAAATCCTGGATCTTAATGGATTGATTTTTTCAGAAAATGGTCTGGTTGAACATTGCTCACTTTTTCCTGTAGCTCCGAAACCAGTGAATCGATTTTTCAAAGTTGAACTGTTTCCGTTTCCTCATCATTCTACCAATTATGGTATGGATTAACCAGTTACTAGAATTCTAAGATCTAGGCAATGTTGCCGTAAGCTACAATTTAGATATTTTCAGTAGCATATTAAGCACATGAAAAGTGTATAAGTAGGTTCGGTATGACATGATTCTTTTGTTTAATCATTTATATAAAGCTATTGTAATCTATCTCACAAAAGTAATGTTTTTTTATGTAATTGGAGACCATGAATAAATAAAAAATCTTGTCTCAAAAATTTATCAGAATCCATTCTTCTTAGCTAAGGATTAGCAGACAGACCAATCAAATTGATGACATTATTTCCTTGCCTACTGAAAGTAAAAACAAACCGACAATGAATAGTTACCTATCGAGATATTTTTCAGCATCTGTAACTAAGAATGTATCATCATCATTACACTCATCTTTGATGATGATTTCCTCCTTTATTTCAAAAACTGGATATATCTCGCTGTCATCAAGACATCTGTTAACCTTCAGTTCTTCTGCTTCACTTTTTATCCAAGGCTTAGCGTAATTGTGCTCCCTAACAGCCCACAAATAGAGTGCAGTCCTGAAACATTTTGGACTGATTAAAGAGCACATAATATGATAGTGAAATGTATCTGAATGTTCACATACAATTTCCATCATCATAGCCATGTTGCCACATACAAGCAAAGTAAAGCCCTTTGGAAAATTGAAACAGAATACCCCTCAACTTTTCTCAACCCACTTCCCCACTCCCAAGCTCATCTGTTATTTTCATGGACTACTATTCTTTTTATTAATCACGGTTAGTTCAAAACAAATAAGAAGGATGTATCTAGAAGCTAGCCCATCTACAAAATAATTATCAGTCTAATTTTTAATGTTTATAAAAAATCATTGGTTTCATGTTTGATGTTTATTTGGTCTGTAACCGGAATTCTGAAATAGACATATTTTTTGAAAGTACAATACAAAATATCCACAAAACAAATTTTGATGAGTTACCCGTCCAAAACTGCATTTCTGGTGTTTTCATCGTCATCAAATTCAACACTTAACTTCCAAGAGGCGTTATCATGTGCAAATAGCTTGGTGTCTGTCTCTACTGCCTGGAATTCAAACTCCTCCATTTCTATCTTGATGTCTTCAGAAGCTAGCATTTCAGCATCCATAATTATTTATACATATATACAGGTATATATACAAGGGCCGGTTGGTTAACCCTCATTCGAGAGTTAAAATTCTGTTTTAATTACAAGTGTCTACTTTTGGTAGTCTTTAATGTGGTTCTGTACCTTTCTCTGAAAAAAAAATATTTTGGAATTTTGAGGTTAGCTTACGTCAAAATGAAAAAAATATACCCTATTTCACAAGTATCTATCACAGTAGAATGACAGCTGGGTATCTAATCTAGTAATATTTCAAAATTCCCCATATCGGCACAGGACACATAATTCTGACGGATCCGTCAATGCCAGGTAGACAGATTTTGTTTTGTACGCAACAGATTCATTTTGTACTTCCTGGAAAGCTCTGTTATTTAGAAAAGTTCATTTGCAAACAAAAAACAAACCAGTTTTACTAGATTTACACCCGACTCATTATTGCCAACGTCACAGACTAACGTGATGGATACTCGTGAAATAGGGTATACATGGGTTCTGCCAGGCATGTAGCCAGGGGGCTTAAGTATATGAACCAAATAATTGAAAATTAATATAATAAAGCTGATGAGTTAGACAACTTAGCGACATACTTCGACGATAAGCAATCATCAACGGCAGTGAAGGCAGAATAGGTTGTGGTGTGCGAAGATATCGTCCATTGATCAATCAACCGAGGTTTTTATTTTCACGGTATCAGAATACTTCTAACTACCCTAGCCACTTTGCCAGTGACAACAGCTAACGTAGAAAGATCCTTTTCCACTATGAAAAGAATTAAAACTCTACCGCGAAGTGTTATGGTCCATGAAAGATTGAGTTCACTCGCTATGATCTCTATTCACTGGGATATTGCCGTCGATCCTGATCACGTCATGGAAATTTTATAGGAAAAAAAATGTAGATTACTTTTTTGATAGTACAGGTCAAAGTTTTCTAGTTAAAGGTGTTATTCTCAGGTTTTTACCACATTATATTTACACATATAGATGAATAAATCTATAGCTCTACAATAATTTCCTACATTTTATTCATAAAATCATAAGCCTATTTTGACTCCTTTCCTTACACTAATTCGTGCTTAACTCCTCCCTCCCCCCCGCTCCTTAATTTTAACCTTCCTTCTCACCGCTGACTATATGAGCCTTGTGCAATTTGTAAGTAGACTCTGCGAGCCCCCCCGAAACCAAATCATGGCTACGGGCCTGGGTTCTGCTTATTTAAATGTCGTTTTCGTTCAGACATTTATTTCGATAATGAAACTGAAAAGAACATGAAAAAGTACACATATGCAGGTTACCATTTTAACCAGAAAAACGTCAACAATTTAAGAAAATCTGCGAAAATGCCGTTTCTCCTATTTTTCAATTTTCCGGGAGGCATATCAAAATTTTGTTTATGAAACCTGAAAGAATGGACAAACGCGCGTTTGTCGAAATTTTAAGTTGGCCAACTGATAATATGCCCTATTTCACGAGTATACATCACGTTTTGACGTCTACCGAGGTGAACAGCTCTGATCAGCAAGTGACATTTTTGTGTTAGTCTGCAACGTTGGCTAAGATGAATCGGTTGTAAATCTAACCCCGATATGGGGAATTTTGAAATATTACTAGATAACCAGCTGTCATTCTACCGTGATGGATACTCGATTTGACCATATAACATAAACCTTAACATAAGAGATTTTTTCGCGAAATCCCGTAGCGAACCGGAGCGGGAACAGATGGAATTTCCCCTTCCTCTTGAAGTTTTGACAGTTTCAAGTTACACCGGGAGTAGTTAGATGGCGCATGTTACACAAAATGTTTGCTTTGAGCTCCTTGATAAACTTAGCTGCCTCATAATATCCAAATTTCCATATTTTTAGCGGCAATTTTAATAAATATACTAAGTGACATGAAATGCAAAATTTTAATCACTCTCTATTTATCAGTAGGCTTTGTAGAAGTATGCTCAAACTTACAGCACTCCTAGTCGGCGTTGCATTTTCTATGTCATATAGTATTAAATGATTAGATTCTTAACATCTCAACAATTGGTATTAAAAGTAAATGATCACACATGCACATATATGATCTTTATTGAAAAAATACACTCAAGTGTAGTGCACTTAAATATATGATACAAATAAAATTTAACTTTAATGACATAATATATTAAAAAGTAGGCGTTTAACAATTGGTGTCAAAAACACATTATCACATATCGTGCATTTATAATAAACGTCATAATAACTAAAAGTACATAGATACTACTATATACGTACACTATACAACACAAATTATGCAAAAATTGGAAGATCAAATTTTTTGATACACTGAAACTGTTCGAATGTCCTAATTACAACGTAATAGCTATGTGATTGCGAATATTTTAGAAATTCAGATAAATGTTTCTTGTTTTGCGATGTCTACAATACGTAAACCCACGTGTGTTTTTTAAGCATATGACAGAACCTATAGTATTGGTGGGAACTGGAAACACTGTAAAGGTATATATTTGTTTGCTGAGTTATCAATAAGATCGGTAAATGCTGCCGATGCAAGGGAGAGTACATGCGGTGACAGTTTAAAATATTTTTTTGTCTTGTAGGTAAATTTATCACCACTTGCTAACTGTGCGGGAAGGCGGTGGAGTCTAGCAGCTAGTAGGGTTGCTTCATTTATAGCACAGTCAAATTATATGGAATTGTTACGATGCCCGTATTGAAACAATGCGATTTATTTTCAATTCATTATCGCATATTGATTGAATGTACAACTTATACAGATGAACCAGCTACCGACTCTGAGTGTTTCAACATATGGCAAGCATAATAACCCTTCATGATTGTTTTAAATGTGCACTGCGGGCATTCATGTATTTTACTATGCACGGATGCAATAAAGTCAGGATGTATCCTGATTATGTGTTCATTCAGTAACCTTTTATTTTTGAATTGTTCCTTACAGTGAACACATATGCTGCATTTATGGCTGATTCCTGACTCTGAATGTTTCAGCATATGTCTAGCTAAAAGATGCTTGAAGGTTGTTTTATATTCGCAATCCGTGCATTTATGTATTTTCTTAGAAACAGAATCAGTTAAGTCAGGATGTTTCCTGATTATATGATCATTCAATAATACTTTATTCTTGAATTTCGCATTACAATGATTACATGTGAGATATTTATAGTTATCTAAAAACTCTGGATGTGTCAACATATGGTAAGCAAAACGACTTTTCAAAGTTGTTTTAAAAGCACAATGTGGACATTCATGCATTTTACAAGAAACGGATGCAATGAAGTCGGGATGCTTCTTGATTATATGATCATCCAGATCCGTTTTACATGTGAATTTTGCCTTACAGTGAATACATATGCTGAATTTAAAGTTATCTCCTGTCTCTGAATGTTTTAACATATGTCTAACAACAAGTCCCTTGATAGTTGTTTTATAAGAGCAATGTGTACATTCATGTATTTTGCTAGGAATGGATGAAATAAAGTCAGGATGTTTTCTGATTATATGATTATACAGTAATATATTGGTCCTGAATTTCGCATTACAATGATTACATACAGGATGTTGATACTTATCTGCAGACTCTGGATGTATCAACATATGATCAACAAAACATCTCTTGAAGGTTGTTTTATAAGCGCAATGTGGACATTCATGTATTTTACAAGAAACGGATGCAATGAAGTCGGGATGCTTCTTGATTATATGATCATCCAGATCCGTATTACTTCTGAATTTTGCCTTACAGTGAATACATATTCTGAATTTATAGTTATCTCCTGTCTCTGAATGTTTCAACAAATGTCTACCTAAATCAGACTTTGAGTTTGTTTTATATTTGCAATCCATACATTCATGTATTTTAGTAGAAACAGAATCAATAAAGTCAGGATGTTTCTTGATTATATGATCGTCCAATATCCTTAAATTTGTGAATTTTGCATTACAGTGAATACATATGCTGGATTTAATGATATTGTTTGACTTTGGATGGTTTAACATATGTCTAGTAAAGCTATGCTTAATGGTTGTTTTATATTTGCAATGTGTGCATTGATGTATTTTGCAGGAAACGGATGCAATAAATTCGGGATGATTTTTAATTATATGATCACTTAGATTCACTTTATTTATAAATTTTGCCTTACAGTGAATACATATGTTGGTTTTATAATTATGTCCTGTCTCTGTATGTTTTAACATGTGACTATCAAGTCTCCTCTTGATAGATGTTTTGTAAGTACAATGTGTACATTCATGTATTTCACTAGAAACAGCTTCAATAAAGGCAGGATGTTTCTTGATTATATGATCATCCAGCATTCTAATACTTTTGAATGTTGCTATACAGACAATACATACGAGTATACCAAACCTGCTATATCTGCAAAGTTCATGACTTGAACCTTGTGTATTTTTACTATTATGATTTCTATGTTTCTTCTTACGACTAATAAGATGATGCTTAGAACTAACAGAATAATTATGATTTTGACAAAAAAATGAGGCAGTGTTTGGTTCTTTGTCTACAGGCTGTTGTTTCATCCGGATTCCCTGATTCAAAGTACTGAAAATAATATAACTATTATTATTTTTGGAAAATATACGGACATATATAATGCAACACTCAACAATTATTTATTAAATTTTTATAAAAACTTGTAACATATTTGCTCTCATGGAAGTATATGCTGTTAAAATGTTGTAGGCATTCTGAGCTGCTCATGAGAGAAACTCTTGCTAAACTTCAGCAAACCTACGGTTTTGTTAAGAGCCCACTTTTTTGGTGGTTTAGGGCACTTTCAGAAGGGACAGAGTTGATTGAAGATGAACGAAAATATGGAAAGGAGCCGGGATCTTCATGGATTGATTTTTTCTGAAAGGTTGAACATTTCTCACTTTTGTCATTTTTTCCCTGTAGCTCCGAAACCAATAAATTGATTTTTCAAAACTATAAAGCTTTATGTCTCCATGAAAACTGTTTGTTGGGATTTAAATATAAGTAGGTTGGGTATCACATGATTTAGTTCATCTTTTGTTTAGTAATTTATATGAAGCTATTGTAATCTATCACATAAAGGTAATGTAACAGAAAACTATAAATAATAAATCCTGTCTCAAAATTTCGTCAAAATCCATTCTTCTTATTTATAGCAGGGCTAAGGATTAGCGGTCAGAGAGACCAACCAAATTCAGAGATAATGGACATATTCAAAATTTTAACATTATTTCCTTGCCTGCTGTGGGAAGTAAAACAACTGACAAAGAATAATTACCTATCAGGAAATGTTTCAGCATCTGTAACTAAGAATGTATCATCATCATTACACTCATCTTTGATGATGAGTTCCTCCTTTATTTCAAAAAGTGGATATGTCTTGCTGTCATCAAGATAGCTTTTAACCTTCAGTTCTTCTGCTTCACTTTTTACCCAAGGCTTAGCGTAATTGTGCTCACTAACAGCCCACACATAGAGTGCAGTTCTGAAACATTTTGTACTGACTGAAAGCCTCATAACATGTTAGTGAGATGAATCTGAATGTTCACATACAATTTCTATCATCATAGCCATGTGGCCACATACAGTCAGAGTAAAGCCCTTTGGAAAATCGAAACAGAATACCTCTCAACCCACTCCCTAGCTCATCTGTTATTTTCATGGACAACTATTTTTTATTAATCATGGTTATTTCAAAACAAATAAGAAGGATTTATCTAGAAGCTAGGCCATCAAAATAACTATCAGTCTTATTTTTAATGTTAATATGATCTGTGATTTCCAAAACAGGCATAAGTATTCCTTGAAAGGAGGTAGGTACCAGTGAAATATAGGGTAAACAATATGAGATATCCAGAACCTATATTTGAATAGCTTACCCATCCAAAACTGCATTTCTTGTGTTTTGATCGTCATCAAATTCAACACTTAATTTCCAAGAGGCGTTATCATGTGCAAATAGCTTGGGGACTGTCTCTACTGCCTGGAATTCAAACTCCTCCATTTCTATCTTGATGTCTTCAGTAGCTAGCATTTCAGCATCCATAATTATTTATACATATGTATATACAGGTATATATACAAGGGCCGGTTTGTTAACCCTGATTCGAGAGTTAGAATTCTGTTTTAATTACAAGTTTCTACTTTTGGTAGTCTTTAATCATTATGGTTCTGTACCTTTCTCTGAAAAAAAAAATAATGTTTTGAAAATTTGGGGTTAGCTTACATCAAAACTGAAAAATATAAGCAACATTTCACCCAAAACTGACTGCAACCTGCAACTGCATTATGCAGATGCATAATTACGGCAACCTGTCAATTCTGTCATGACACAACGCGGAGCTTTAGTGGTCGTATAGTATAGTGGCGTCATCTGTCCGAAATACTTTGAAGTAAGGGTTCGGAGTACGATTTCCTCCATTTCAAATAATGAAAATGGATAGATGGCGATCACTCCAGTGTCTGATCTGAACTGAGTCGTTCTCGGCCAAATTGTTTTTTCAACTTAAGGAACAGGTACTGTGAACCATTGAAAAAAAAACTCGGACGCGCAATTCAGAAAGAGTAATTGAGCAAGTTCCGTACTTAAATGGACATAGTGAAACGTTGGGTTTTCATGTCCGAAAATAAAAATGGTCTAAATTTGTTTTGCACAACAAAGGTACCTAGTAATAACTAAAACTAACTGGTTACAAAATCCAAGGCCGGACGCGATATTTTCACTTTTTTCTTGAACCTATATCAATCTATAAAAGACAACGGTTATGCAGGATATATAACAATGTAGCCATGATATTTTTTTTCAAAATTGTTGGAGCAAAATGGGTCCTTGAAAATTTACGAAAAAACGCGTTTTTGAGATTATGACACCTACCATTCTGAAAACTTGGCTAAGGTGATTTGTCCAAGTATATTAATATATGGATGGATCCAAATTTGCATATCTTCAGGGGAAATTTTCATAAATAGTTTCGCCTAGGTACTTTTTATGCAAATATAATATGAATACCAGTTTTTGAAATACCTAGTTCAAAAGTGGGTAAGTCCATGGTTTCCTCATATTAATTACAGATGAAACGTCACTTTTTCACCCATACGTGGTTTGTTCAGGTATTCCAATATGGATTCCTTCAAACACCGTCTCCACTGTTGATGCGATCGTTGAAAGTCTTCATTTGCCGTGTCGTTTCTGCCTTGATGGCTTCCACATCCCCCAAGTGCCGCCCCCGAAGCATTATTTTGCATTTTGGGAACAGAAAGAAGTCGCAACGGGTTAAATCGAGTGAATAAGGCGGATGTTCTGTCACGATGATTGATAGATTGTTAATAGTATCTATTTCGATACTACCGCGTAGTAAAAACAGCGTTAGTTAAAAAAAAATAACCAAAATTTGGTGTAAATAGTGATGCTGCGATTTCGAACGATTTACAGTACAAAACAACATGGAATTAACACAAAGGGGCGCTTAAATAAACGTCAGGACTTGAATTATCGTTGTAAGCAGAGTGAAACGACAATCGCAAATATAGTATGCATAAACGTTGAATTTATTTGATACTAATTGACTTCAAATAAAAAAGGTTAGAGTTTACGAATGCCGCAATTTTATATTCCCTTACTCTCTACAAGAAAGCTGTTCTAATTATTTTTCTACTAATAAACCAAAGATCAACATCGAGAAAACAAAATATCTAATTTTTGGAACAGAAAAATATAATTCAAAACTTTTGTATAAGAATAAATAATGTCATAGTAGGAAAAGTATCAAATACATAGGTTGAATTATCGATGAGAATTTGAATTGGTCTATAGCTACATTAATTTTTTTTGATAAAACAACGTCGATGATAGCTGAGCAGAGACTACCTAATTACAAAAAGTAAAATGAACATTTGTAATTGGCACACTTTAGATATATGTTACCTATTTTGGGAATGTGTGGTTAAACACAGGTTTCGCAAAATAGAATATCTACTTATTAAAATTTTTTTTCAAGTATAAGCGACTTCCCAGCACGGATAATATGTTTACAGAATTGAATGTTGATAAATTAGATAAGCTGTTGGAATTAGAACAATGATTTTCAAAATTTAAAATAACCATCAAAAGTGTAATCAAACATTCTGTTCACACATGATGTGCATGGCCATGAAAAAAGATCACATAATAATTTGTACCAGATTACTACTAGAACCAATATAGGATTAAATAACACTGTCACTGATGCAGTAAAAACTATAATATCCTACCAAATAACGTAAAACATGTACATGTATTCAGAAATGTAAAGACTCAAAAGTCACTTGAATTGTTGAATTTATCGTAGCTAAAATTCGCACTTTAAATATTGTTGTTCTCGAGGCTAGTGTTTAAACACAGATTAGATAAATCTGTCTTCTAAAATATTTGTAAAAATTGACTATCGAATAGAGATTTGTTTAAAAAAAAATCGAACGACTTACTATTGCAAACAATACAAAATTAACACAAAGGAGCACGTAAAGAAACGTCAGTAAGAGTTGTAGTATCTACAAGAAAGTTGTTCCAATTATTTTTTAAACCCTCAATAAAGTGTAAACAAATGAATTCAGAGCTTACCACACTCTAAGCAAGCCTTGTCGTGTCTCCAAATGTATCCAATAGGTAACATAACACCACAGAATCACTGCAAATCGGCACACTACACAATGAAACATCACTTTCAAAACCGCAGATGTTCTTTGTTTGTACACGACGCGCGACGTGTTGCCTCGGCGAGATCCAAAGATCGACTGAACAGCAGCAGTGCGTTGTGCGCCGGCCGTCCGTACCGGAACTCTCTCGATTACGTCACAGTCACATGCCCGTTTCTCTCTGCCAATCGTATCTTAGACGGAAAGTGGGGTGCACGGTGGGCGGTGCCACCGCTGGCAAATGGGGTAGCTTCAATTTGACGGCGTTAAACTGAATCATAGCATCCATATCTAATGAGATAAATCGGCGATTCCGCTCGCGTGGAAGGAGGGTGAAGCGCAGGTCGTACGTCTTACCTTAGAATGATGGAGATTAGTTAATGAATGCAATATTCAAAGGAATGAAATAGTTTGCTAATAGATCTGTTTTATCAATTCAACATTTCAATGCAGCAATATACAGCGTGTCCCAGAAGCCGACGTCGAGCTGGAAAAGGGGGATAGGCCAAGCCATAATAGTTAAAAGAAAAATATAAAAAAAATCAAGTCATGTACTTTTGAAATTATGGGCTTTAAAAAAATCTACACCTCGTTATCTTTTAGTTCCCATAACAATCTTTTTCTTAGGCGGACAGTGTCATTCTGCGAAGTCACAGCAAGACAGATAATAACGCCACTTTTATTAATTCGTGAATGTATTTATTAAATTCTCAAAATTGTGAGGATACTACGAAGGAAGATACTAAATTGCTTTAAGGAAATAAGTTGAAAATTCTCAAGCACGTAGGAAATTTGTAAATAGTGCAATTCTTATATTTTATATTTAAGTTGGTTATTTTAAATTTTGAAAATCATTTTACATTGTTATAATTCCAACAGCTTATCTAATTTACAAACATTCTATTCTGTGTTGGCAAGTCGGTCATACTTGAACAGAATTTTTAATTTTCTATTTTGTGAAACCTGTGTTTAACCACACATTCAATAGGCAACATATATCTAAAGTGTGCCAATAAAAATGCATTATAAATGTTCATTTTACTTTTCGTAGTTAGGTAGTATCTGCTTCTGTACAAAGCAGGTATCATCGACGTTGTTTTATACAGGGGGCGCATCGAAAACGAAACAGACGCATTTAGAGGCAGCTCAGTTTTTTTTTTTTGGAAAAACGCTCAGGCCCGTCGATTTTGTTTTTTGTTAACACGTACAGCCCCCTGGGCGGGGGTGACACCAACCCTAAAATCTTAAATGGAAAGGGGGGTCGAGTGATACCTTATTCTAAAGGTCTTTCAATTCCCTTTATAATGATGTAAAATACATGAGCTTCAGTTCAGTAGTTTTGAAGATTTATTGATTTAAAGCTTAAAGTAGACTTTAATAGGTACATCAGATTAGTTTGTACTACTTTCAGAAGAAATTTGACTAAAAGAATTTACTTAATAAGTAAATCATTTTCTTCAATACGCCCATGGTTTATCATTTTGTTGTTGAAAATAGCTGTTGGAGCGTTTTTTTGTGGCAAAAAAGTTATTTCTTGAAGAAAGATAAGGAAATACGTCGTACTTCATTAAATAGGAATTTAGTACATAGTTTGCGATTGATTTAACCAAACTTTGTTGCTAGAATAACTTGTAACGCTTTATTACATAAATTAACCATGGTATATTCCACAGCAGAAAGAGTTGAAATTATCGAAATATTTTTCGGAAATAATCAGTGCGCTAATAGAACAGCAGAAATATTTAATGAGCGACATGAGAACAGTAACGTGCATCGAAAATATGTTCTAGAACTGGTAGTTTTATTTAAGCTTTAAATCAATAAATCTTCAAAACTACTGAACTGAAGTACATTAATTTTATATCATTCTAAAGGGAATTGAAAGACCTTTAAAATAAGGTATCACTCGACCCCCCTTTCCATTTAAGATTTTGGGGGGTGGTGTCACCCCCGCTTAGGGGGCTGCACGTGCTAACGTGATTTTTTGCCAAACTTGTGTCCCCCTCGAAAACAAGATCGACGGGTCCAAAAAAAAAACTGAGCTGCCAGTAAATGCGTCTGTTTCGTTTTCGATGCGCCACCCTGTATAAAAAAAATAATGTGACTAGACCAATTCAAATATTTTTCTGTTCAAAAATTAGATATTTTGTTTTATCGATGTTGATATTTAGTTTATTAGTAGAAAAATAATTAGAACAACTAGTAGGGTGATATAACATTGCGGCATACGTAAACATTAACCTTATTTTTATTTTAAGCCTTTAGTTACACCCTGTACAACAACAAACATTTTCAATTTTTTTGCAAGAGCGACAGTCGATAATGATAACAGTGAAATTACCTACAAGTTGTCGAAAAATTTAACGAAATTGATGCAAAGGTTAAAAAGCTATTTAAAATTTAATTTGAACAAAACTTTGTCGAGTTAATTTTACGTGGCGGTCTTTTCTCAGTAAATAAACGTATTTTATCTAGCCGTCGATAGTAAAATAGAAACCTAATAGCTGAAAAATACTGATAAAAATATTTGCACTACCATTTTAAAGCACGAATAATCATAGACAAATACCTATCATCTTTCAAATCTTCTCGGCTTTTCAACCACTTCTGACAGTTGGTTCCTTCAGAGAATTGTCTCCATAAACTTGTTTCGAACTTTAAAAAATCTCACGCCCATTCTTGCCTAGCTTCGCAAGAAACTTGCTGATACGCTGTTTATCGATCAGAGAGAGAGAGGATAAAAAAACACCGAGAGACAGTTAACAGTTTTATTGTAGTAACCAGACAACAAAAGATAATTTTTCTGACGAATTCGGAAATAAAAAAAATGGTCACGACGAGTTTTTTCAACTCGCACAAGGTAGAAAAATGTCTATGGTACACGCAAATTCACCGATAGGTAAACGTCAAAGTGTCACTTGATGCAGATGAATTTTTGAACAAGCCCCCGTATACACGATTGTGTGCATACACGGACAAAAACGGCACGTTGAATGATGGTTTAATCGATCACTGTTTGTTCCTCTTTGATAAAGAATTCTACTACTTCCTCTTCTACGTTTTCTGTGTCTGCGTCTAGCTCGTCAGTGTCAACATCTGAAAAAAAAGTACAAAATATTTAAGCAAGCATTACAGGTTGTAATGAGTTCCACAAGGAACAATACGTGGGGCCCTTCTTTTTAATACATTTATCAACCACTTATATAGAGAAAATAAGACTTGCAGATGACACCACCATAATTCATAAAGCCATAACTTGGACACAAATAATTTACCGCTATAAATCACGTAATTATAAAGAAAACAACCTCCAAAATCATAAGTATACCAGAATCGGCAAAGCACTTTTGAATCTTCAATCAATAAAAAAATAGGCATTTCCATGAATGGAATATGTGTTTACGGCAACGTAAATAATCGACGGTCAATAAAAAACCTTGCGTATTCCCTCTTTTTTGTAGTGACTCTTCCCTACAAGTGTTTTATTTATTTTATAACTTGCATATCAGAAAACACTCACTATTTCTAAGCGCCAGTCTCCTGGACTTGTTCTCCTGCCACTCCTTGATTCGCTGTTCCCTGTACTGATTGAATTTCTCCATCAGCGCCGCCCTTTTCTCTATCAATTCCTTGGAGGCCTTCGATTGTCTCATACGATCCTTGCTTTCGAATTGCGGATAGTACTTTTTCAAGTTCTTCTTAATCTCCTTCTGCTTTTCTTCGCTGAGAAGCGTCGGTGGTCTGGGACGCCACAACACCTACAAAAATTATAACAGCCTCAAATTATATAATACTGGATCCTTTTAAATAAACAAAATAAATAATAACGTTTTTTGAAATCGATAGAAACAATTTAAATAGTTGAGAGCATAACTATAGCCCAATCAATTTTTTTCTTTTTTCTTTAGTTGGTGTGAATGTAACTTTACCAGGATGAATTTGTTGTTGTTATTAGAATAAGATCCATATTTATTATTTTGGTTTGATTCATCGTCTCTATTAGCTGTACGAGGGATGTCTTTTAAGTTTTGCATATAGAAACATCGTAGGCCGCGCGGATCGAACGTCAGTACTGAATCTTAACCTCACTCTTTAGTAAACTTAAATTCAAAGTTTCACAACACTACAGTGAATTTTTAATTGTCACCAAGTCACTAGAAAAATGGAACTCAACCGAGAACATTTTCGCGCCATAATTTATTACAACTGTCAGTGACAATTATCGCAACAAGAATCCCTTGCTGAGTTACTGTCTGTTTTCGGCAATGAAGTGCCACTTCAGGCGACAATTTCCCGTTGGTATGGAGAATTCAAACGTGGACGGGTGAGTCTTAGCGACGATCCCAGGGTGGGTGCACCAAAAACGGCAGTCACCCAGGAAAACGTCGATGCTGTGCGCAAACTCATCATTGAAGATAAACATGTGACATATCGCGAGATTGAGGCGTCCTTGACGATCTCAAAGACCTCAATTAAAAAAAATTTACATGAAGAATTAGGAGTAAGAAAATTAGTTTCTCGTTGACTGAAGAACAGAAAACAGCTAGGGTTAATTGGTGTCAAAAAACGCTTGACCATTTCAATTCCGGAAACTCAAAAAATGTGTACAGCATTGTTAGTGGTGATGAATCGTAGATTTACTGTTATGAACCAGAAAATAAACGACAGTCGGCTGTTTGGGTGTTCCAAGGTGAAGAAAAGCCAACAAAAGTCATCCGTTCTCGAAGAGTTTCGAAACAGATGGTCGCGACATTCGTGTCGAAAGCAATATTGCAACAATTCCTCTTAATGAGCAAAGAACTGTTACTGCGGATTGGTATACCACCATTTGTTTGCCAAATGTCATCACCGAGTTTCGAAAAATCAACCCCGAAAGAAGAATCATCCTCCACCAAGACAATGCAAGCTCGCACACAGCCCAAAAAACAAGGCAGTATTTAACGGAAGAAAACGTGGAATTATTGGACCATCCTCCATATAGTCCCGATCTAAGTCCTAACGATTTCTTTACTTTCCCGAAAATTAAAAACAGACTGCGTGGTGAAAGGTTCCAGTCACCAGAAGAAGCAGTTGACGCATTCAAAAATGCCGTTTTGGATCTGCCAGCAAACGAGTGGAATAAGTGCTTCTAAAATTGGTTCGAGCGCATGCAGATGTGTATTAATTTTTCTTCTAACTATTATGACTTGGCCTATCCCCCGTTTCCGTCTCGACGTCGGCTTCTGGGTCACGATGTATATTGCTGCATTGAAATGTCAAATTAATAAAACATATCTATTAGCAAACTATTTCATTCCTTTGAATAATAATAATCGTCTTTATTTATAATGGCATTACATTATAAAAGGGGGAAGTTTAGCCCACGTAGCTATTCTTCTACTTGTCGCAGTATTGCATTTATTTCTCCGAAACTAAACTTTTTTAATCTATTGTAAGACGTACGACCTGCGCTTCACACTCTTTCCACGCGAGCGTGATCGCGAATGTATCTCATTAGATATCGATGCTATGATTCAGTGGATTGCCGTTGAACGCCGTCAACTTGAAGCTGCTCCATTTGCCAGCGGTGGCACCGCCTACCCGGCACCCCACTTTCCGTCTAAGATGCGATTGGCAGGGAAAAACGGGCATGTGACTGTGACGTAATCGAGAGCGTTCCCGTACGGACGGCCGGCGCACAACGCGCTGCTGCTGTTCAGTCGATCTTTGGATCTCGCCGAGGAAACATGTCGCGCGCGTCGGGTACAAACAAAGGAACGTTTGCGGGTTCGAATGTGAAGTTAGATTGTTTCACCGTGTAGTGTGCTAATATGCAGTGATTATGTGGTGTTATGTTACCTATTGGATACATTTGGAGACACGACAAGGCTTGCTTAGGGTTTGGTAAGTTCTGAATTCATTTGTTTACACTTTATTGAGGGTTTAAAAAATAATTGGATCAACTTTCTTGTAGATAGTAGAGGCTTACGTAAACGTTAACCTTATTTGATTATCAAATGAAGCTAACGTTTAGACAGAGTTTTCTAATCTGTGTTTAAACACTAGTCTCGAGAACAACAATATTTAAAGTGGGAATTTTAGCTTCGATAAATTCAACAATTCAAGTGACATGTCTTACGTTATTTGGTAGGTTATTATAATTTTTACTGTATCAGTGGCAAGGTTATTTAATCCTATATTGGTTGTAGTAGAAATCTGCTACAAACTATTACCAAGGTGATGCACATCATGTGTGAATAGAATGTTTGATTAACAATCTACTATTTGCCTAACCCAGTAAGGGTTTTCCATCGCATAATAGTGGATGTTATGCCTGTTGACAACACCTATGCTGTTAAAAGTTGCCTCTCGCTAAAAAGAACCTTATCCAGGAAAGTAGTATCTTCTTTCTTTAGCATTATTCTACTAAACTCCATTCGAGCTGCGAAATCCTGAGGATGAAGGCATAGATGCTACCTATGCTTGTGAATAATCCTTTGGACAGAAGTTCTGCATATATCAGTTTCTGCTCCAATTTGCCGTGCACTTAAATGGGGATTTTTCTGCAACTTTAATGGAACCTCCAACTGATTCGCCTCATTGGTGATACTTGGATTATTTATACATTTTCTACTATATTCCACTGCTCCACTTGATTCAAAACGTTCTCGTAGTGTGGAACATGTTTCCGGCCTTGGATGTCGCATATTACGGTACCGTTGCTTATAAATGCGAGATGCTAGGAAACTATTTCTTTTATTCACCATTTCTTCTTTAGAAAAACTCGTTTTCAAACACGTTTATTTGTTTACAAGGATGATGCGATATTTTTGGGAATTAAGCCGTTCCATAAAATAACCGAAAAAATAGCCGTTAAAACCTTTGTGTGTCTAGTATCAAAAAAAAGCTAATAAAAAATTGAATCCAAACTTGCACAAATAGAGGGGTGATGCATTTGAAATTTTTGAGAAAAACTACAATTTGTGTTTTTGACCACCCTGTATGAGCAAAAATTAAAATTCGTAAAAGTAACAAATAAGATAAAAGCTGAGGTGTGTAAGGTTTTTTTGATACAAAATTCAGCACTCCAAGTGGGGGGTTTTCTAGACAAAACACCTTATATCTCAGTAGCTAATTACCAAAACCCCATAGTATGTTATATCCATTTTCTTCTTTTGAATTAGCTTATCCAAAAATGCGTGCATGTAAGATTACTTCGAGTCTTGTATTGCAATGCAGGGAGGCTCTGGATTGCCTCGCAGCGAGGCATCCGGTATCGTTAATATGGGTACCGGGGCACGCTGGGATAAGGGGCAATGAGACGGCGGACACTCTGGCGAAAACAGGATCAGCCAGCAAGCTCGTTGGTCCTGAGCCAGCTCTAGGAGTAACCGCGCATAAAGCTAGGAGGAAAATGGAGACGTGGGTTGCAAGACAACACTCTCAGAAATGGAGAAGTATCTCTAGACATCTCCGCCAGGCACGAGAGCTCATTGAAGGGCCCAATGCTCAGGATGGACGCTTCTGCCTATCTCTGGGTAGAGCTAACCTAAGGTTGCTGGTGGGACTGTTGTCTGGCCATAACACGTTAAGGCGGCACCTGCACGTGATGGGGGTGGCTGAGGATCCCTTATGCGAACGCTGCGGAGTAGAGGAAGAGTCCTCGGCGCACGTTTTGTGTCGCTGTGAAGCTCTGAGCTACTATAGGCAGACTATACTGGGGTCCATTACTTTGGACCCTCAGGACGTAAAGGAGCTTGGACTCAAGGCGATTCTCAACTTCGCTAAAAGGGCGAGGCTTGTGATTTAAGTATTGTAGAGGTGCATAAGGGCCCGCTTAAGCGGCCTATGCACTGGCTCCTTATGGTGGCCGGGATGCCTCTAAAATTCAAGATTCATTCATTCATTCATCCAAAAATGCAATAAAATTTGAGGCATTCCATTTGAAAAATCACAACTGTGATATGTAGGTCGAAATTGGGACACCTTGTATAATGGCCAATTTTTTTTAGAAATATGCCCTCAAATGTCATGTATAACATCCGATAAATAGATTTTCCCAAAATGTATTTGTTTATGAGTAATATTTCTTCCACCCATGGATGGGCAACCCTATAGAGTGTCATGCACCTGAGCTACTTATTTTTGAAACCCCCTGCACCACCTTTTTATCCGGTGTTATACGCTCCGAAATAGTGGGGATAACGAAAATGACAATGTGTCAAGATTGTCAGGTTACGTATTTTCATCGTTTTTAAACCGATACCAGACAATGGAGGATGATAAAAAACCAATAATGTTATCACCAGAGTCACAACGTACATTTGAGATGTTCCTGAATAATAAAGAGAGTGCAAGAATGCAGGTTCATAGCGGCTTTTATACTAAGTGACATATAAATCCGAACACCCAGTTTAAATGGTTTTATTTTAATAAAAGTTGGTGAATGTATTTATCTTACTGTAAATAACAAGTGAAAAATTTTCAGTCTTATCAGTTGGATATTGGTTTTTATACTGCTTTTTTTAATTCACTAACGCTCTAAATATGAATATTTCAGCCGCAGTAAATAATCAACGTTGCCGGATTTTGGTTCTTGACATCCTTTACGATCGGTTACGATGCCTAGAGTACGGAGACCTGTACGATTTCGTCAACTTAGTGAGTTTGATAGGGGCCGTATAGTGGGACTTCGGGAAGCTGGACTTTCTTTTCGGGCAATTGCAGTTAGAGTGCAAAGAAGTGTAGACACTGTGGTTAGGTGTTGTCAGGCATGGCTTCGAGAAGGCCGTACGCAAAGAGCAATGGGCACTGGACGCCACCGTAGAACAACAGACCGTGAAGGTCGCCGCCTAAGATTATTGGCCTTAAGGGACCGTTTCTCCACTACCAGGTCCATTGCAAATGAATGGTTTGCAGAACACGGAAGACCTATTGGCATGCGAAGTGTTTACCGACGAATGAGAAGTTTTGGCTTGTTTTCATACCGGCCACACTGGGTCCTCCCTTTAACTCGAGATCACCGACGTAATCGCCTGGAGTGGTGCAGACAACGGTCACTCTGGGATCAGGAATGGAACAGTATTGTCTTTAGTGACGAGTCTCGATTTTGTTTAGGCATGCACGATGGTCGTGCCAGGGTTAGAAGGCGACGTGGTGAAAGGAGGAATCCACAGTTTTTTGTTGAAAGACATGTTCATCACACTGTTGGAGTTATGGTTTGGGGTGCTATAGCTTATGGTTCCAGGTCACCTTTAATCTTCATCAGAGGTAACATGAACGCGCAGCGTTATATCCACGAAGTTTTAGAACCCCATCTTTTACCCTATCTTGACACCCTGGCAGATCCAACTTTCCAACAAGATAATGCCCGACCACATGTTGCAAGAGTCACAATAGACTTCTTTCAACATAATGATGTCACATTGTTACCATGGCCACCAAGATCTCCCGACTTATCCCCAATTGATCACGTGTGGGATATAATGGGTAGGAGATTGCTCAATTTGCAACGTCATCCTCAGACTCTAGAAGCACTTCGAGAGGAGTTGGTGGTTGCCTGGAATGAGATACCACAGGAGGACATTGATCACCTGATCAGAAGCATGCCTAGGCGCGTTGAAGAATGCGTAGCACATCAGGGTGCATCCACACATTATTAAAGGTCAAAGGGCTTTAAAGCAGTGCAATCATTTTGAAATTTTTATCATTTACTTATTATGCTTCATTAAGTACTTATACAAAATTTTACTAAAATAAAACCATTTAAACTGGGTGTTCGGATTTATATGTCACTTAGTATAGTTGACTTCATCTATACCTAGACACTTTGAAAATAATGACACTATAATATGAATTCGCCACATTCATCCAGAAGCTTTACAATAAAAATGTTGTGCGCCATCATTCTAAAAGCATCATCAGGCATCAACTGGATAGTCTGACGATGCTTGCAAAAATAAAGGCAAAATGTGTTTACATTTTTATCGTTTGGCAGTGTGATACAAATTGTCAACGTCAAAGCAAAACATCAACAAACAGTTAGTTTCTATCGTCGCGTTCCCGTGCGCAATTGCTAGAGTAGTCCGGGACCGCCACGCTTCTGGAGCATACAACTCTCAACTTAAAAGCACTGGAAAGCGGCTATGGTCGAATATTTCGATGATTACAGCGATGCATACCTGTGCAAATTTCTCCAAATTGACCCTCTTGAGAATCTTCCCCTGGAAGGACCACAGCCAGTAGCCGGTGTCCACCTTGGTCTTCCAGAACGAGACCGCGGTAATGATGTACCGTCCCGTAGGATCCCACTCGACGTCCGACATTTGGTAGTGGTCGGTCGCGTTCATGACCAAAAAGTCGTGTGCGTCGACGAACTCCAAGGAACCGCCGCCGTTCGAACCCAAGCCGGCGAGGACGATGAACCTGCGGAGATTTGTTTCACTCTTTTTTACACGAATTACTGTTAACAATGAGGAAGTTCCCCGTTTTTTTTTTGAAATACACCTAAAATGTAGTCTGATCAAATTTCCCAGAAATAACTGTAAAGTATGGTTGTGTAAGCGGGTATTTAAAACATGAACGCAGAAAATGGGTACACCAATTTTTGTGGGAAAACTTTTCATTCGACAACAAAGAATGAGAAAGCGTGTTTCTTGGGATTCAATCGAAAATGTTGACAGGAACGAAAAAACTTTTAGGTATTTATGATACGTACAAAATGAGACTCCACGTAAAAAGATCCGACTAATAGCAGAAATGTTATGGCCTAAAAACGAGGCAAAATGCAGGCTTTGGCACTAAAGGCCCGATTTTACTATTAGTAATAATAATCTTTATTGATGTTGCACATGCGAAAGCACTCGCATACGTCAAAAAAAAGTTTACAGTGCATAAAGAAGTACACACTCAGCATTAATACTGAATAAAACAAACCAGGCACATTCAACAGATAAAAATACAGACAAGTTCAAATCACACGTGATTACACTAAAATATATATAAAACAGAAAAACATATAGGGTGATTCACAAGTCGTGACCAAAAGTGAAATATCATACACAGGATTGCATTTTAAGGGGGGTCTTCGATGTAACATTTTTTCCTCTAGGCCTCATTTTTGGTCGCGACTTGTGAAACACCCTGTATATTCATTAGAAAGATGCCTTTTCACTGGCCCATTACGATCCGAATCAGGAAATTCGATCTTCTATTAGTAAAATCGGGCCTAAAAGTTCGGTTACTCGTAATAAAGGGTTTTCCATTAAGGACTTGACAACTTTCTTTTTAAATAAAACGCAAACCATTTGAGATAGCTCGAAAATTCTATTATTGGATTGAAATACAGACGCTCGATAATGTAAACTAATTTAATCCAAGTGTGGTTCACATTATCGAAATGTTTACATTAGCGAACGTGATTTATATAATATTTGATTTATTAAAAGAAACGTCTATATACTATTTATAACAAAATAAACAAATATTCTAACAGCGATAAGTATCTTTTTAATTAGAAGAAAAATAATTAACAATTTTTGTCTGCGCAAATTTGCGCTTAGCATTGTCTTCCATTGCCTGCGCCCGTAATTTATGAAGAACTAAAATATCCGTGTATGAAACTTCTTTTCTTTCAGCCCAATCTAAAGCTTGGTTAAAAACTTGTATTGCTTGCGCGTCAGTCACTACACTTCTGACTTCAATGGGGTCGTTCTCATCATCCTCACTGTCCATATCCTCCTCCTTATCAGCATCATTCGTCTGCTTATCTTCGTTCCATAAATTAATATCAGCAGGAGTACAAACAATGTTGGGATTCACTGTTTTCAATAAATCAACAACATCCAATGATACACTAATAATATTATCATTATTGGATCGCAAACGTTCTCTAATTATGCTTAAGGGGACATAGTCTTCTTCATCATCTTCATTATTGGTACAAAAGAGATTGTTCCAACATTTTTGAATAGTTTGCTGGTTAAGTTCATTCCAGGCCATATGTAAATCTAAAACAGCTTCTCGTAATGTTACTTTTTTAAAGCCTCAGATAAGTTTTCAGGATTCTTTGATAAGACAGACGAAAGAAGAAACTTCCTATAGTATAGTTTGGTGAGTCTTATTATATTCTGGTCCATCGGTTGAATTAACGGTGTTACGTTGGGCGGCATGTACATGACGAAAATTGACCCATCCCTGCTCCTCAGTTGTTGCTCGGGAGGATAACTTGGTGCATTATCCAATAGTAACAACGCTTTTATTGGAAGCTTCTGTTGTTTTAGGAAACCGTTTATCTTCAAATTATGAATAGAGCATTTATGATAATTGATTGTCATACCTGAGGGACAAAGCACCTGCGGAACCATTTCAGGAATATACTGCTAGTCATCCAAGCGGTTTTTGAACAGTCATAATCAAAAGGGATATTAACATTTTTAAATGAGCGCGGATTTTTTGCTTTCCCAATTACCAGTGGCTTTATTTTGCGTGAACTAAATTAGTGCAGGCTAGAAACGTTATTCGTTGTTTCTCCGGCTTTCTTCCCTGGGCAGATTTTTCAAATGATGCAGCATAGGTTTTCTCTGGTAACATTTTCCAATAAAGGCCACTTTCATCTGCGTTGTAAATTTGTTCCATTCTTAAATCTAGTTCGGTAATTGTTTTCATCAATTTTTCTTTGAATGGTTGCACTAATTGTGGTTGTGCTAATAATTTTTCACCAGATATAGACAGCAGTCGAATCCAATATCTTGTTTTAAATCGTTGTAGCCAGCCATCACTAGCTACGAAATTTTCCGTTTCTTTCAGTTTTTCATTTAACAGTCTCGCTCTCTGTTTAAGTACTTCGCCACTAACTGGGACATGATTTTCCCGTTGTTTTAAAAACCACTTATACAGGGAATTTTCCATTTTAGGCGCCTTCGCATTGTTTAAAGTTTTTCTTTTTCCCGGACCTCCAAATGTATTGCACGTTCTTTGTAAAATTTGAGTTTTCATACGCTTAATTTTACAGATTGTTGGTTTCGATACTCCATATTTTTTTGCTAACTGTGTCACTCCCGCACCTAGTGCAACTTTGTCTATGATTTTCACTTTCTCACTTAACTTTAAACACTTTCTTTTATAGGATGTGGATGCCATAGTCGTAAAACATATTAACGCGTGCAATGTATTCACGTAAGTTCAAAAATGAAATACATACGTACGTATAAACGTATCCTAAACGATCATACGACTGACCGAGTTTGTCGTATTTTATCGCAGAGGTGAATCCCCTACACTCTACATCATAAATCGGGGACTCCCCGACATAAATCATCGAGGCTTCAGCATTTTACCGTCGCGCTGTTTCTGTGCGCCGAGAGTTGTTTACGTTATCGAGCGTACACATTGTTTACGTTAACGCGCGTTCCGTTTGATCCTACAGAACAGAACGCTATATCTCGTTCAATATTGGCTCTGAACTGCTCTAACCACGCCGGCTTGTTGGCATGGACCAATGATTTAATACAGCCCCACAAAAAAAAAGTCTAGAGGTGTTAAATCACACGATCTAGGCGGCCATTTCTCAATATAACACGTTCACCGAATTTTGATTTCAATATGTCCATCCACCCGCTGGTGGCAACGTCTTGTTGAAACCACATATCATTAATGTCTAGCCCATCCAATAGACCAAAAAAATAACGTACTACGTGACGGTCATTTTCATCAACGAAAAAAAAAAAAAACGGCCCAATGACACCGGCATAAAAAACACCATACAATTATTTTTTGTGGATGAAGTGGTGTTTCTTGAAGCACATGACTGCTTCCACCTGACCATTAACGCATATTGTCGACGAAGCCGTTTAGCCAAAAATGATGATTTTGCGATGAAATTGGCCATTTTCTTGCAACATTTCTAGAGCCCAATTCGAGAACGTTCGGTGATTGATTTAAAGGTGCGTTCGCAGTGAAATTTCAAAGTCCCTAGTGGAAAACCCGATAACAGTCAACAAACGTCGAAATCCTGAAACAAATGTACGAACCTGCCGCCAGGAGACCAAAACAGATGATTGCAAGCTCTCTTCTCCAGCTTTTTCAGCAAAATCGGCGCTTGACCCACTCGCACTTCGTAAAAGCTGACGTTGATGTTCGGTGATTCCCCGTGGATCATGGCAAACTTCGATCCGACAGGTTCCCATGCGAACGCCTGGATTGGCTCTTTGCATTCGACGCTGTCTACTGGGATTTGCTTCTCGCGCATATGGAAGATCTCAAAATTACAATACATTCCTGAAATAAAAAAACACAATCTTCAATCAGCATAAATAAAAAGTTGTATTGACTCATTAACTTAAAATTAAAACTAAACGAAAATCGGAAATGGCACGAAATTTGACAACGGAATGGAATGTTTTTGTAAGGATGCATAAGATATTTTTACTATATATGTGGGGTAAGAAATATCACCTATCTCTCTATACTGTAAAAATAAATGTTTGCGAATGGGTTCATTCTTTAAGGCCATTTTTGTTTGAAAATAAGGATCAGCAATCAAGATTAAAATCAAATGAAAATCCTAGTAAACATTTCAAAAAGAATGTTTCAACATTATTGGAGAGAAGTCATTATTATAATGTATGGTAAATCCCTTCAAAACTAAAATGTTCTACAATTACTCCTGTTCCAAAAGTTCAAAAGTCCGAGTTATATGAATAGATCATTGAAAATATTGACGAATTTTCAAGCAGGATTTAGCGAAAAATATTCTAATCAACCAACAATTCAAATAGTAGTAGATGAATAGATGCAAAATGGTTCACAATAACATTCTTTCAAGAGGGCATTTGAGACTATTTACAGGGAGAAATTGCCAACGAAATACATATTACAAAATTATTTAATGAAAGAACCAAAATTGGCAAAACACTATCAAGCATCAAAAACTTTTTGGAAGGTGTGACACATAGTGGCAAATTAGGTCCATTACTATTAATTTTACATATTAATGATATTCCTGATGCTTTATAACACCAAAATTCAAATAATTGCTGATACATTTATATATACATAATGCAAATGAAACTGTATTTTCAAAATTACAAAATAAAGCTATGTGCATCATCTTAAATAAAAATCAATATACTAGAATAAACTTTATGCTGGCAGAACAATAATGATTAAATATCTAAAATCTCATAATCTACTTAGTTTTAATTTTCATGTTCAAGTTAAGAAATGATTTCTAAATTTTATCAGATTGAACAATGAGTAACATAGTTATTTTACTAAAGGAAATACAGACTTTCATTTACAAAATTGTAATAGCAAAATAACAAACAAATCAGTTTTTCAAAGAAGACTGTATGAATTTAATAAATTAAGTAATGATATTAAGATGTGTGCCAGTTTGAAAATGTTCAATGGAAATCCCGAATATTAAGCAGTGGAATTCTGTATAAAAATATGTAGACTTGAAGACAAAATAGTGTGTAACATTGATATTGTTGCAGTTGCTAAATAAATCTACAACAAACAAAGTAACTGACAAATGACAATGTTTACCTGAATATTTAACTTCGTTCTTTTCTTTCCTAATTTTCGTGTACCTATCTACTTTAACACACAGATAATCTCCAGATTTCTGCCAGTGTATCTTACAGTCAGCCACATTAAATAGGTTTTTCTTTCTTATTTCATTCCTATTTGGTATTTCAAGTAGAGTAACACTAGCCGGTACATCTTTGTTTTCAGCTACCCAGTAGGCCACCACATGGTCTGTTGGCGACCAATTGAAATCCCTTGAAAAAAAAAAAGAGAAAATCAGACATGTTCACGATAAAAACAGATTATTGCCACATGACAACAACTAGAATCATATCTAATTTCATCCATTCAATTTTTAAAATCGCAATTTAAAAAAAAAACTTTTTTATTTTTAATATGAAATGGTGAAAATCAGTCACAATGTGACGTCATACAAATTGTAAACAAAGAAATGTCATCGTGAGTCAATGTTGTCTTCCTTAGATATTTCTAAAAAACTCCTAATCAACGTAAAAAGTTATCGTTTTCTCGTGTAGTTGATAAAAAAGAACCATGGACGTTGATTTCGTAAAAGCAGAAATCACAAATTTGCCGAAAATTGGTGGTTGGTCAATTTTTTGCTCTCAACCCAGATTTCTGCTCTACTGAGCTGAGGAATATCAAGACTTCTATCTAAGTGCATCTGATATTATGATAGACATAAAAAGAAAGAATTGGTGATACACTTACAAAATCATCTTATTCAGAAGTCATTCAAAACAGATAGCATAACCTTTGAATAACTTTATCTGATATTCTATTTTTTCTTCAAAAGCTAAATAATGATTCTTTGCTTTGATATACCTCTATGAGTATCACCCATAACACACCCTTCTTTGCTTAAGCCATATAGTTCTCACCTGATGCCAGCTATTTTGATAGACTTCTTGTCCAGCAACCCAAAAGAGGGTGTTTCATAGACTTGCAATGCATCATTATTGTTGTTACTTGATCCAATCCTAGCAAAGTATTTGTCATCATGTGACCACCTAAATATTGGCCAAGAACAAGTACCTTCCGGGTTAAATGATCTCTTTTCCAGCCCAGTCCTGCAAAAATAGGTATTTTGCATAAAAGGAAATAGCACCCTTACTGTTAACGTATTCTACTTGAAGATGATATATTCCAGTGACCCGAAACTTGTCTTAGATAAAATAAAGTACCATAAATTACAAGTCAAAAAACTAACACCTTACCTAATATCCCATATGATAATTTTCTTCTGATCAGGATTATGAGGGTCGCCTTGAGGAGCATAAGTAACCAAATACTTTTCACAAGATGAAAAATCAATGAATTGTAAATTGGCATGGGCAAATCTTTTGTATTGTGAAAAACTGGGACCAGCCCAAAGAGCTATGCCGAGCCTGTGGAAAGTTGCCAAAAAGGTGCCTAGAGGTGACCATTTTATGCAGGTCTGTGTCCAAGCCTACAACAAAAAAAATATAAATTCAAAGATTGAAAATTTTCATTTTAATCAACGGACATTTCAAAGACTCCATTACCACAATAGATTTCCTAAATAATATTAATACATAATTAAATTTTCAAAACATTATTTTATTTTTAAGAGGTTGAAAGATACTACTACCAATAATTAAAACAAAAATAATAACTTGAAACAATTTTCTCTGGAATCAGTATGCAATCAAAATTGAAACTATTTCTGGTAGTTCTGTCAAGTTTGTCCATTTGATTGTGGCTAATATTACATCGTGAAATAGTAGTTTGTTATTCAAAATTAGATCTTTCTTACATTCCTAGCTTCTACAAGAGTTGGATCAGGCTGCGTGTTTTGCCACACTTGCACAAATTGACCTTGTGCGGCAACAACAGCAAATTGATCATATGCATCAGGATCCAAAAGATAATAGTGCAGATCTGATTGCCCCTGATAAGGCTGAGGCTCTGGCGGCTCCCACTTTTCTGGGATCTGCTCATATTTATCGAAATCTGTGAACAGATTCACCTAAAAGAGAAACATTTAAATTTTTCTTTCAATCAAAATTGTTTATATACATGATATTTGTTATGTAAACATTCTTATTTAAATAATTAATTAGTTTCTTTGCCCCTGAAATACAATAATTCTTTTACACAGTGCACACTGTAGAATTTATTCACATATTTCTCACTTTATAAGAATCACTTCAAATCTGTGTATATCAGGTTTAAACTCACAAATACTAGATTCAATTAGTCAATATTGACATACATTGGTGGTTTAGACATATAAAATCAGCAACTTTTTCTGCATTATTAAAATTGAATTAACCAAGATGTAATGGAGTATTTCACAAATAGATATATACAAGTCCAAAATAAATAAACATTTATTATGTAGAATATTTGTACCAATGCATGAATACGTAATAAATGATAGAAAAATATTTGTAGAAATTATACCTGAAAAGTATGCTGTTTATCAAGCTTGAAATTATTCGTTGCCCTAACAGCCTCCGCCGCGTGTACTGGCGATGAATACTCGATAAAAATGTACCCCTTGGTAGTTCCATCTGGTGTTACAGGGTAGTATTCGTTCACAATGTTACCAAACTTAACAAATATCTTGTTTATAACTGACTTTAGCTTATCAAGCCTGTTGGTCCCGACTTGCGGTACTCCATCAACAATGATAATGCTTTCAAAACCGTCAGTTTCCTTCGGTTTTTGTTTCAAAATATCGCCCAGGAGTTCTGAAAAGTGCAGGTACGATTAGCATAACCTCAAAAAAGTATTTTGACATATGTTGAGGATTCATGTTTTACGATTGGGGATAAACTCTGGATTTGGGTGTATACGGACAAATATAATAGAAAACATAACACAAACAGCAGTTTTATACATCAAAAGAGTTATTTTTGGAGTAAAATAAGGACCTAAAACGCATGGTACAAAAGTCAATTTTCACAGGTGTTTTTTAGTGAAATACCTTCGTCACTGATGTCGTCTACGAATCCTTCGGGATCACTGAAGTTTGGTTCTTCATCGTTGGAAGAATATCCGGCTTCATTTTTTGTACTGTCGTCATTTTGGCTGTTTTTATCGTCCACCTTCTTTTTCGCCATTTTGACACGCTAAAAAGGACTGCACACCATTTGAAGGTAAGAAGGCAGAAGCGCATGCGTGAATTCATAACATATGACATATGTCAACAGAAGCTCGACCTTCCAACTTTCGGTACGAAACGAATTTATCCATAATCAGTATAATATAGTTCAGTCGTTAGTAATCTCAATACTTAAGCAGACGTACGCAATACTTTATTATCAGCGGAGAATTATGAAAGATACTGTACAATAAATATACAGTGGATTTGACGTAGAAAATTATCCGCTTGGGACCACACCCGTTGATGGAACCCCCAAATCGACATCGGCCTGGCTATTACGTAATAAATATGTCAATTAAATCCTACAAAATGCTATAAAATTGGTGTACTAGGTAGTTGCTAGTTCATTCGACACCTGCACGCTGAGAGCGCACTATATGGAGGAATCGTTCATGCTGACCAAGATGCAGATAATGCTGCAACTCGCCGAGAAAGTCCAGAGTATATGCATGCTATATACATACTTCTAAATATAAAATCAAGGCTTGAAGGATTTTTCAAGAACATTATTTTAATATTAATGGAGGAGATGCTTTGATTGATCTGGCTATAAGTAGACATCTTACAGCTTAGGCATTAGATAGTGCCATATCTGAAACAGAAGTTACATTACGTCAGATTTGCAGCTATCTCCGAACCATACAGCTCAAGGGTCATGACATTTAGGGAACACACAGCTACTACAAGTGAACATGAAGTAAATGACATCATTTTGACATTTCCTAGGAAATCCTAAATAATGTCATAAAAATCCCACATAATGTCGAAAATAATCAATATAATGTCACTGTTCAAGTTAACAGGTGCCGTGTTTAACGTATAATATTTACATTTATATTGCTTGGAAGTCAATAATATAGTATAATATGAATAATAGTCTAATATATACCAACTATTTAAACTTATCGACTGGTCTATTACTACTCGTTACGTAACGAGAAATCCAGAATCTTATATAAAGCGTTGTTGCCAACCTTAGCAAATGCAAGACGTCCATTTCAGCTTTTTGTAGTTCTACTTCTCCGATTTATGTGGCCAACTGACGTTGTGGCAATTTGAGTACATGCACTTTTTGTTTTTTCGGTCATCACATCACACCTGGTTCCTATTTGGCAACGCTGACCAAATTTGGTACGTCAGACGTCACGAAAAGGTTAGGTTTGTGTTTTGTTAATTAATAGTGTTTTTGTTTTCCACTTGTCTCCGAGCAATTTCGATTTACAAGAAAATGTTGAAACCAAAAGCTTTGACACAAGTGCTGAGTCAGGCTAACACTGGAGGCGTTGAAACTACTTTGTAAGACTTGCTTTCGTCATAACGTTACCGCTTAATACTTTCTGTGACACTTTTTTCAGGCTCCTAAATACAGAAGGTTCCCTACTAGCATACAGTGGCTATGGAGACAAAGATGCTAGAGTAACAGCTGCCATAGCGAGTAACATTTGGAGCGCTTATGAGAAAAACGGCCGAAATGCTTTTAGAGATGATCACCCACAAATTATTCTCATGGAATGTCTAGAAGGCAGGATAGCCATCACTCAAGTCGCCAATGTTTTGCTGTGTCTTTATGCTAAGAATAATGTTGGATTTGGAATGTTGAAACAAAAAGCTAATGCTCTTGCATTGTATCTAGAGGGGCCATTGAAGCAAGTAGCATCATCAGACAGATAGTTTTTATTAAATATATGTTTAATTGTGGATAAATATTATTTTGTGCATAATATAAATTCCTCTTTATTTTACACATGTTCCTTGGTAACTTGGTATACATATATGTTTATCTTTAAGCTGTTTTTTGGAAATTCTTTTCTGTAGTAAACTGTAGAAAAATTATATTTGTGCGAGACCAATGACAGAATATTTCACAAATTAAATATGATTTAAAATCAAAATGAGTTGTTAAATACTTTTATAGAAAATAAAATATTTTATTCCCTTTATTGGCTACACATGTATATGTCTTACATATTTTTTGGCAAGTGAGTTAAATGCTCTGATTTGTTACAAAATCACGATACCAGATGCTGCTTGACTTTGTTGGTTAAATGAAAAACAAATTAGAGGTAAAAAATCATTTATTTCAAATAAAAAAAACAAATAATTTATTAGTACATAAGTAAAAACATTAAAGTATCAGTTGTGAAGACATATTTTGAGTTTCAGTGAAATATCAAATAAATATCATCTCAACTATTCGACAGTTATCTTTCCTAAATTTCAATATAACTATGAAAATCAACTGCTTTGCCAGCATGTATATCTGAGATCTGATACACAGAGTCTTCCAGAAATGATACAATAAATTAACAAAGTGCATACCTTGTAGGGATTTTTTAGATGATATACATTCTGGTAAACCCTGTATTACTGGTAACAACTCAGAAAACACCAAGAAAATGGTATACAGAAGCACTTGAGTTATAACACTATTGATAACTAAGGGCTGTATCATCAGTTGTTCCTACTTTGAGGTTATGTAACAATTATCCATTGGGATCAAATTGTCATGCTAATTTATATCATCCATTTTAACAGCCTTAAATTTCCTACAATTCAAAAAGAAAACGTAACTTCACAATAGGAGAGTGCTGACACAGAATGGTGGAAATCTAAAGATATCCCAGCGTTTTTGAAGGAGAGAAAAGACTATGAAAATCAGGAAGGCCGTAATGGTTGCAGGGACGACTTACGATACGGCCCTAAGTATTAAATCAACTTTAGAAGTATAATTTATTCTATTTTACACAAATTATATAAAGCAACTGTATTAGTAGGACTTTTGTCACAAATTTATAACAAAATGAAACCTATAGGAAATAATAGTACACCATATCAATAAAGCAACTATGAAATAGATGTTTTTGGGTCACAAAAACCGCAAGACTAAACGTTTTAGAAAAAACAAAACTTTTAAATAGTAATTGAAAAAATGTGAATATTGTTTCAAAATCTACCATTTACATTAAAAACAGTTTACATACATTGAGTTAAATAAATATCTGAATTCATCAAAATGTACATGTATTAAAATGCTTTATATGTTATATTTACACTTTTTCCTTATAATAAACCTACAGTCTTTAGATTAATTTTTTCAAATTATTTTCATATTTTGTTAGTTTAAGGAGCCTTAACATTGCACCCAAATTTCAAATGCAGGGCTAAACATGACATTTAACCATAAAGATGATATAAAATGGTGTAAGTCCCCTTAAAGGTGCCTTACTACATTTTGAAGATACATCAATGACATATATGGTTGGGGCGAAATTTTCAGTAACTTTAAAGCTTATCTCATCATATAACTGCTGTGTATTTGCCCTTTCTGTAGATTTTTTATAGTAGCATTAATATATTCTACTTGACGTGCCACCTAAGTAGTAGCAGAACATCAAATCTAAGAACCTACTTTGGAAAGAGTTAGACTGCTTAGTTCTGCTGCTGTCTCATAGATAGCGCTGGGATCTTTAATTCCGTTTTGGCGCCTCTCTAATGGACATTTAACTGGGTAATTTCAGGCATTAAATAAAGTATTCTACCCGAAGTTACCCAATTAAAAGAGGCATTGTGCCGAGAAGGGATTGATAATCTTAACGCCATCTGTGACACAATAGCAGACCAAACACCAACTCTTTTCAAATTTTATTGCTAAATTAATAATTGTGTTCTGCTACTGTTTCCTAGATGGCGCTATTGTACTCCAGATCCGTTTTCGGACGCCGAAATAAGTATATTTTTAGCTATATGGTAGAATTGTGAAATATACTGTCATCATTATTCATATATCTTCAACCTGATTTACAATCAACTGTCTTTTGCGTGATCTATGGATTAATTTTTATCTAGACGTCATCGCCCTTCCGTGCATATCAAAACATACGAGCCGTAAAATTGCATGAATATTATTGTTTTCAGTTTCCCTATCAGTCCTGTACATTTTTTATCAATCATACATTACGAGCTTATGATCCGTTTTACAAAGTTCGATCACATAAAAACCAATTAGTCATGTTTATTGTTTCACACTTGAAATATGCACATCGATGCTTCAACAAGAGTATTTTTAATATTCAGAGAGTGTCATCACGTTGGGAAATGGTCAGGTTGATGAAGAATTTTGCATTAAAGATAAAACAATGATTCATTAATAGGGTGTACGTACAAATATTTCTAAAATTGTTCGACAACATTATATTGTATAAAAGCAACTCGATTTTCTATGTGAAGAAACATTTTATATATATTTTATTACATTATAAGCTGATGTCAAGGCAAGACCCAGAATGTCTCAAAGATGGAACAGGAAATCCCATAACCAAAGCTAACAGTCAGAGAGATGGCAACATTGGCACCTAGAGATTGTGGTCAATACATACATTTGCCCATTTTTATGTTCAACTGAACTGGATATCGTCTGTTGCAAATATTAATTAACGTGCTAATTCTCCATCAAAATGACAATCCTCAGATATTGTTAGGAGTATATGACAGTGAATATATGAATATACTACTTTCACAATCTAGTGTCACATATTGTGCTATTCATATACTTGGAAAATGAGCTATCAGTGGATAAATTTCTACATCTTGGATTTTCTATAGGTGATCTCATACTTCATGTTCCCCTAGATTGTGAACAGTAATACGGGGAAGAGCTTCACGGATTGATGGTATACAGATTAATAATTCAAAAAACCTTTGCACAACCTGACAAACATGAAGCACCAGCCGCAGTTGCCCCACATGCTGCGCTGTCTCACTCACATCCTTGACCCTTTCTGTTGCAACACCTTCAACAATAACAATAAATATTATAAAAAGAAATATGGTTATGGGCCCAGAACATAAAACAGCGATTTTTACAAAACCTTCTTTATAAGCTATGTATGTAGTGATATAATGAGGTTATGGGACCAGGATTCTGATACGAACAGTGCTTTTTATGCTATACTTGATTTAGATGCCTACTAAGCAATACATTACCTTAGCTCTATCTTCTCTATCACTTTTAACTTCTGAGCTTTCAGGGGCACCATATTCTCTGCTCACTACACATAAAAATTCTGCATGTTCATCTGATCCATAGTTGTACTGTGAGCCAATATTTACTAGCTGCTCAAATTTCCAACCATCTGACATTGTAGAGACCATCTGAAAAGTAGATGTTTCAGGATATATCCAAAATTTAAAAATCAGAAATTCTTGAGAAAAAAATGAGAAAGACATAATCAATAATTCTCCCCCTAAATCATTAAGAACTAGCCAAACGGCTACAAAACCAGTGAAATGGACAGTCAACAATTATTATAAGTAAAAATATTTTTAAGAAATGGTATATTACTTGAGTTAGTTCATCTTCATGGCACTGTATGACCCTATACACGTGTTTCTTTCCATCTTTGCCTGGCATGTTATCCCTATGCATAATCCTTTCTTTCACTAATGTTATAAGTTCAGCAATATTATAAAATTCAGCTTCTTCTAACACCCCTTCCTCTGCTAAGCCTTTGTTCATTACTAATTTGCCATGCCTAAGGTAATTTAAAATTGGTGAAAAATAGTTTGGGTCTCTGTCTATTAAGTACGCCCCCGTATCGTCCTAGAAGAGACAATATTTGTAAAAAAAAATGTTTTTGAATTATGAAGTGCACCTTACTTTATCCGATATTAAATCACTATCGTCTTGAACTAGCCTGTACAAGAATGAGTTGGGGTCTCTGGATAGAGTGGTTTTCGTCGTTAAAAAATATGTACCGCCTACATTTAACTTCACCCACTGTTTATTTCCATTTTTCGAAATTATTTGTTTATTATATTCGGAATGCATGACGTGATCCGCCATGTTTACAAATACCACGGAATATTTTCTTTTTACCGATATATCAACTGTCATTGTGACAGAGCAGCTAATGTCAAATTTGTACAGCGTTGCCGGCTGTAAAATGTAACTTCTTAAGAGGGCCACATACGTGTAGGCCAGGGGTCTTTTGCCCAAAAATTACTGAGGTTCTAACTGGCAGAAAAGCGAATTTCTTTAACAAAAAATGCCAAGGATAGCTTATACAGTTATGAAAATTATATGAAAAAAGCAGTGAAATTTGATGAAATAAAGATTAAATCATAGTTTGAGATGTTCAGATTGTTAAAAAAGTGCTAATTTAGGTCTTTTGTGTTTGTGAATGTATGCAGGATCATATGTCACCGCATCTCATATTAAAGGATTTGAATGTGAAGTTGCACGTTCGTAACTTTTGCTTGCAATGTGCTTAATGAATTGAGACAAGAAAGGAATATCCAGGTCAGGATGGATCGTCGCGTTAGATACATACCAAGGAGCATGCAGTGGGTCAATCGTGGTTGAGACTCAAATTTGTCGTTTTTAAGAGCTATGCGGGATTCCTGTGTCAAGGTTTGCGACGCCAATGCGATCTTTGTGTTGACTTGGTAGAATCACTCTGACGCTAAACATACCAAAAGTGGTCAAAGACCTTTTGCATTGAACATGAGCGCAGCTTTAGCATATTTGACTTCATGATTTTATCCAACAATTATATACAGGTAATATTCTATTGCTGTGATTTATTTATATTTTATTTTGAATAATACTTGTCGTATATTGTTCATTTGACGGACGATAGTTTTTTTTTCTAGTGGTCCTAGGGGGACCGGGAGGTGGAATCCATTTTACGGACCCCATACGCCGTGGTTCCGGCGCGCATGGGAGTGTGGGATTTCAGCTACATTCTAGTAGACACTAAACCACCTCCTCTGGCTCACGGCTACATCCGGTAGCACCACTTGTTGAAGCATGTCTTCAGATGCATTCGCAGCGAATATGCTCGTTTCTTCTGCTAGTGCAAGATCTCGTCCCTGCGCTTTGCGTTCATCACATTACGAACGAACCTCTGTATTGTGTTCCAGTTCTCCTTACTTTTTATCATGAGTATGGTGATGCTTCTGCTATTGACCTCCGCACCGATAACTGACTCTGTATTGCTCCTCCATGGGGCCCATCTTTGACACACAAAGATTGTGTGCTCCGAGGAATCCTCCTCTCCGCAATAACCGCAGATGCTGCCCTCCGTGATTCCCATTCTTTTGGTGTAATCCCCAAAGTATCCATGGCCCGATAGAAACTGGGTCAAGTAGAAGTCCAGTTTTCGATGTTTACAGCTAACCCACTGTCTTACGTCCGGGATCAGAGTCTTGCTCCACATTGCCGTCTCTGAGTGGTGCTTCTTTCCAGCAACCTGGTAGTACGAAGCTTAGCATCATCCCTGCTGTACAGGCGGAGCCTTTCCTCTATGAGCAGAGTGACTGGTTGTATTCCAGCTATTACTTGAGCGGCCATAGTGGACATTGTTCTGTAGCCGCTCGATATCCGCAGCAAAGGCTTCCTCTGGATACTCAAGAGCATTTGTCTATATCTCTGACGGACGACAGTAGAAATAGATATTTATTGAGTGTTGAATGACATCAAGACAATCTGAGCAGATCCGAAAACATGCGGGTCGCACACGATGCTTCCAACGTTGTCACAATTAGCAAGTGTGTCTCCTACACGATGGGATGAACTTTTTAGTCTAGGACGTTCGACGCATGGTGGTGCCAACGTCTATTATCGGTGTCAGTTTCGCGCTTGAGCCTTTACAACTGAAGGAAAAATTATACAAAATAAACGAGTCAACAATTTTTTCGAACGCCGAAAAATGATTTCAAGTCAGCGAATGGCCATGTGTCCAACGTTGTAAGGCATTCGCCACATCGTGTGGGAGCGGTTTAAGGAGATCTAAGATAATCCATGGAGAAATGTGTGCATGAGGGTTGTCATCTTAGGGTTTCTGAGTCGATCTTACGATTTTTTATGGTGGAGGTACAAACAGGTGCGAGTAAAACCAAATGCATCTGAGGAGATCCAAGAATTTCCACAAATGTCCAAAGGACATGAGCTGAGGTTCTAAGAAAATACTTCGTTCCAACAAAGTGACAGTGGTTAGCCCCTCGTGAGTCTGACAAAATCGCGACGTCTATGACCCGCTTTATAGGAATACATGGAAACCGGTGAAATAGAAAAGAACTGGCAACGTTGCCGTCAGTTGAATTTGGTCTGTCGCATTTGTCGGTCAGCTGTTTGTTGTATGCTTTGTGCTCGTGCGTGTGGTGTGCGTGAGGTGAATAGAGTTTGGAAAAGTGGGTTTTGTTGGGATTTCGGTTGGGAACACGATGGCAGCAGGTTGTTGTGGCACGAAGAAGCAAAAACTGAACAATTCCCAAAGCGTCCCGTCATGCAATGGGGGCTCCATCGTGCACAACGGACTCACGAACGGACACCTTGGAGGCATGGTCGCATTACCAGAGATGTGCTTCTTTTGTTTTGACGTGCTGTATTGCCATTTGTACAACTTGGCCCCACCAAAGACACCCACTTTTAGCAACGATGCATAGTAAGTCCTGGAATTCCCTCAGGGGAAAAACACCCTGTATTAGGTCATTCAACTGTCTGAAATTGACTCCTTTGTTTCCATTTGTCAATGCCATCTTTGCGGAAACACTTCGACCTTTGATAGTGATATTTATGACACTGTATGCGAAAGTGTATTCACAATTTTTGGAGCTGTCATGGAACATGAATATTAATATGCTGCCACAGTATTTATAAATTATACATCCTTGAAATTTACAGCAGAATGTTTTTCTTCAAATGTTTGTCTTGCTATGTATGGATTCCAAACGCCTACTTTCATTTTATATTTATTTTCATATCAACTTCCCAAGGAAATATCACTTCTGAGCATCCTTAATGATTCCTCCTAATATTTTTTATTCTGATAATTTTTATGGCGACACTGGCGCCTAAAAATTGTAGTTGATGCCTATACAGGGGATTTAGATTCTAGGGCAGGAAGTATGAACAAAAAAAACGTTTCTATAATGTCTCATTACAAAATGCATGGTGTTGTAGTGTGTTGAGTGACTAATTACAAAACATGAAGGACTAATTTCCTAATACACTTTTCAAGGTTAAACTTCAATAACTTCAGCTTATTGTGAAACTGAAAAAGGCTGAAGTTTCTCATACATATTTTACCTATATTAATCATGCAAATTGTACTCCAGAAGAGCCTGACAAAAGATTCTCAAAAGAGGCAGTTACATAGAATTAAATACCTGAATATGATGTGTCAATAGATTTTTCCTGATAGCACAATAAATCTTCATTGTTTAGGTTTGTATTTTTTAAAAAAGTGCTTTTTAAACTTTTCATGGTATCATTTGATATATTTTATGCCAAAGAAATTTTGTCAGTATTTGCTTGATCACCTTGTATAGTTGTATAAATAGGCACAGTATTCAATAATTCAGTTATTGAATTGGGAATATGTTGATCAGTGAAACAAAAATTGAGATAAAACCCAAAAACTTATTGTTATGTTTTACTTCCCTTGCACTGATGAGGAAATATTTTAATGGTAGAAAATTTCTCGTCAAACTAGTCTTTGATATCAATATTTTATATTATTATTCAGAAATGCTTCCACTGGTATTACCTATTTATTAGTCACTATATCATACATATTTCACATAATAATCACATCTAAAAAGCAACAACTACTACTTTACCTGCAGAGGGTCCAATCTAAATTCAGAAATGCTGATGCTGCCACATGGTCACTGAGGTCATCAATGATGTGTGAGGATGTAATGATACCAGGGTAGATGAAAAAAAGTTGTCTAGATATTATTCACCATGAAATGTAAATCAACATTTCAATTGTATTCATTCTATAAAGTAACATATAGATGCTGAAGAATAAAGATATCAGTTCACGTGGATATGATGCATACTGCATATTCCAAGTCTATTTGTTCAGAGTCAATCTACTTGATGCCATTTTTTTTGTTACAGTCCCTTATTTGTCACATGGAATATCGGCAAGGATAAACGTCTCAGGGGTTGTATAGGCACCTTTAACGCAATGAACCTACAGTCCGGGTTGAGAGAGTATGCCATCACGAGTGCAATCAAAGATTCTAGGTTCAGCCCCATCACTAGGGATGAGTTCCCTAAGTTGAGTGTTTCAGTATCAATATTGAGGCACTTTGAGGATGGGAGTGATTACCTAGACTGGCAGGTTGGTGTTCATGGGATCAGGATAGAGTTTATCAATGAGAAAGGGAACAAACGGACAGCTACTTACTTACCTGAGGTTGCATCTGAACAAGGTAAAGTAGCTTTTTTATTTGTGCACCAAACCATATGGTGTGACACATGGATCAACAGTTCCAAATAAGACAAAATTTTTGGTTAAATAACATTATTCATAATAGTTATCAAAACAATAACCAGATGAAAACCATCATAGTTTAACACTGCTCCAAGTGGTGTGTGATATATCATTTAGCAGTGCAATGTTCTAAATAAGATTTTTTTGGGTCTAATAACCATTTGCACAGTAGCTTCTAATGCAATTAAGTCATTAGGTGTGACATATCAGTCAACAGTGTAAAATTTCATCTATGACATTTATAATGGTGAAAAATCCATATTCATAGCAGTCACTGTTAAATAACTCCTATGTTTTAACTAGTAGGTTTTGGGAATAGACGAGTTACCGGGTTACAGCTACTTCTTCCATTATTTAGTATTTTCAACAGCCTACAATTTCTACTTCAGAAACACAGACAAATTATATAGTACTAAGACGAATTCTGTACTAAAATTCCTGAAATCTGACATAGTTAACAAGAAACTAAGTAACTAGGTTCTAGTAGCTCCAAGTCTTAATGTGTGACATATCAACCAACAGTGCATTGTTCCAACTAAGACGTTTTTGATAGTTTAATATTGGTTTTTGCAACATTTACCCTTAAACTGCCTAAGGGTACGAACATAGTGGAGCGACGAGGTTTCAGATTCAGATATCTGGTAGCGTCTAGAGCGTAGAGGCAAGAGGCACCTATGGTTATAGTAGAGCGTCGCGTTTTGTCGAAGATAGACGTAAAAATATGTATTCCGACAGTGACGATGACATTCTTCTCAATAATACTTACCTGCAAGTGCTTTTAATGACTGGAGTGCGGCAGTGTAGTGTGCACGACGTAAATAAAAGTCGGAAACGCCTAGGGGAATTCCATCATTTATTTCTAGAACTGAAAAATTATCCCGACAGGCTATTTGACTACATTCGAATGGAACTTGCCACCTTTCAGTATATATTAGAACAAGTTACACCCTGCATCAACAAGAAATGGACAAATTTTAATCAAGCGCCTATAGGAACCGAAGAAATGTTGGTGGTAACAATTCGGTAAGAGAATATTATGTATTAAGGATAATACTTTTATTATTCATAAACAAACAAACGGTAACGCAAAATAATATTCTGTCTTCTGAACACAACGAACGATAACTTATAATAACTTATAATGTTTACTGATCTGCGTAATTAAACCCCTGCAACAAATGGGATGAATGTGCAAACGATGTTTGTGGTTGAGATGTATATGTCGGGCTATGATTAACAGAATGACTGACATTGATGGTGGACTGATTGTTCGAGTACTCTTCATAGGCATACTTCTGAACCAAATTTTGAATTTCATTGCGGAACTGAAGTTTTCGATGAGGCCTAATTTTCACCACGTGGGGCAAAAGGCTATCAAAAAACAGTTTATCGTCATCTGTGACTGGTAGGGCTCTGCCACGGTCTGCAGCGACACGTTTCTCATCTAAATATTGTAGTTTTTTCTTCTCTATCTCAAGAAAAGCGTCAAGTTGATTTGACCGTTTTCGGGCCCTATTCTTTAGAATAGTTCGTGGTTCTTTTGGTGTGCTTTGAATTGGAGTGACTGATTCTGTGTGGTCGGGTTCTGTTTCCTGCGTTTCTACACCCTGCGTTTCGTCCATTTCGTCTTCGTCATAGTCACCATCATTTTCATCCATCTGCGTAGAGGGTGTCGAAACTTGTGTGTCATTGTCGGGATCCAACAGGTTGCTATGACTGGATCTCGGCAGAAACTGGTCTCTCAGAAACAATAAACTTTTGAAATGAGGCCAGGAGCTCTTTTTAAGAGCCTCTTCGCCTGGATCACCAGACCGGGGCAGAGGTATTTTCTTCAGTTCTTTTCTGAAATAATCACGTAGATTTTTCCACTTCTCAGAAACTTTCTTAACTGCAACAAACAAAAATTTTCAGATATCTTGCAACAGGAGCGTCCTTTAGACACTTGGCATTTTCCTTTCGAATGGGCAGGAGTACTGTTGCGAGCATTATAAAACATATGATTAAAATATTATGGAACATGCTGCAACCACTTCACATGCCAGAACCTACTACGGCAACATTTTTAAATGTAAGTGCAGACTTCATGAAAGTATGGAACTTCCCCAATTGCATCGGAGCTGTTGACGGCAAACACGTCAAAGTTATAGCACCACAACATTCCGGATCCATGTACTTCAATTATAAGCATTATTTTTCTATCGTCCTACAAGGAGTTTGCGACGCAAATTACAAATTGCTTGTGATAGATGTCGGAGGTTACGGCAAACAGAGCGATGGGGGAACGTTTCAGAGTTCCAATTTGTACAAACGGATACACCAAAACAAACTAAATGTGCCAAATCCAGATAGTTTACCAGGAACAAATGTCCGCGCTCCCTACGTATTTATTGCAGATGAAGCGTATCCACTAATGCCCAATTTGCTAAAACCATACAATCGAAGGAACCGCTCTTTGGAACATATAAATTTTAACCAAAGATTGTCCAGAGCACGCAAAACTATCGAGTGCACCTTTGGAATTATGTACGCGAAGTGGCGTCTTCTGTCCAAAGCTATAGAGACTACTGAAAAGACTGCGGATGATATCATTAAGGCGATATGCATTTTGCATAATACAATACTGGACCGAGAGGGATTTCAACGACATTTAACATTAGTAACTGATGCAGTTCCTAGAGATCAGATGTTTGAATTACCTAGAGGAAGGCAACTGGGTGAAGGTCAAAGAGTTCGCGACATTTTCTGTAACTATGTTAATTTCTTTCCAATCAGTTACGAGACAGCTTAAAATTTTACCGCAAGATGTAAGTTCTAGCTGTTGAAATGTGTATAAAATACAATTATTTACTTACCCGACTGATTATTGCATTCATTGGCTACCTCCTCCCATAACTTATCTAGCACGTATCGGTTGCGATGATCTGGATGACTCTGATCCCATATAGCCCTTCTGTGATATACACTATTTATTAATTGCACAACATCCATTATTAAATCGCTTGAAAACGCGTGACAAAAATTGAATGCAACTATTTAAAACTCGTCGCTCGAAACCTCCTAGAGACTCGACGCATGCCTTATCGCGCTACTATGGCCCGACAGGTTTCAACCTGTGTTTTTGACTCACATAGCGGCAAACCGCGCGGTTAGCCTCTATCTGAATCTGAAACCTCGTCGCTCCACTATGTTCGTACCCTAATATGGTTTCAGTAATTTGAAATTGCTTCAAGTCATGTAGTGTGACATATCATTCAACAGTGCAATGTTCCAACCAAGACGTTTTTGATAGTTTAATAATGGTTTTTGCAACATTTACCCTTAAACTGCCTTATATGGTTTCAGTAATTTGAAATTGCTTCAAGTCATGTAGTGTGACATATCATTCAACAGTGCAATGTTCCAACTAAGACTATTTTGGCGGTCTAACATCCATATTCGCAATGGTCACCCTTAAATGCTTTCTTTTGCTACAGGGTGGGATCAGCAACAAACCATAGACTCTCTACTGAGAAAGGGCGGTTACAAGTCCCCGATAAGTGGTGATGTGCGCCGTACGATAAAACTGACTCGTTACCAAAGCGAGAAGATAACAGTGAATTACCAGGAGTACATGAACCACTGGAACAATCAGCAACAGCAGCGTTGCTAGCAGCTAATGTGGGGGCGGTCGCCGCCTCCACACTTGGCAGTCTACCAACCGCCGTTCGTAATGGTTCAGCCAATCCCTGCCCCCGTTCAGCCGCCCCCTGTATGGTGGGATCCCGCTTATCCATCGCCTTGCACCTCCTACCAAAGGGATTTTCCACTTTTGCCGCCCCCAGAAGCCCATGGCTACCAGACCTTTTGCCATCGCAGACAAAAGTGACCTATCGTGTGTTTAAGACGGTTTTGCTACTGCGCTAAGTTGTGACGTTATCGGAAGATTGTGTCCTAGACTAAACTGCATCCAAGGATAGATTGAACATTATCCGTGAAACATGGCCTTTGAAATGAAAGTCTCATTATGTCGGGTCACCAATGCGAGAAATTGTTTGTATTATTTCATAACACCCCCATGCGCAAATACAACCAGAGTAAAAACATCTTAACCTAACCTAGCTGGACAACATTCAATCTTGACAGCTCGATGTATGCATGCGCATGCGCTCTACTTCACGCGGAATATCTGAAACAGCAAAAATCCTAAAGCAGCTGCACAGCGGTGACGGCTAGCGCATGATATGTCAAAACGTTGCCAGTCGCTCATCGCGCTGTTTTGGCGGTAGACGCAACATTACGTTCTTGCAAAGCATATAATTTTGATGTAAGACATAATTGAACAATTTTAACCCGCGTGGCAAGGTATGCTTGTCAAAAGTGTGCTCAATCTATTCTTAAATACAGTGTAAAGCAGATTCTTAGGACCATATTGTCAGTCGTTCCTGCCTTTATGGCCTTGATTTTCATACCTTTCTACTGTTACATGTCAACGGTCTATTTTGAGGTTATGTCACAAATATGTTTGCATTAAATCGTTCATGCTTTCAGTATATATCATCTGTTTTATCAGCCTGAAATTACCCACAAAAAAAAAACTTAACCTCACAATAATAGTGCGCTGACGTTGACACAAAACGGAAGACATCTAGAAATACCCCGCTCCTTGTGAAGGAGAGAAAAGACTATGAAAATCAAGGAGGCCATAAAGGCGACTGTCAATTCGGCCCTTAGAAAATTAGTCTGGGACATGAGGACGTTGAACCAGCGTGCAATAATATGCAAATACGAAATAAATAGTTCATTACATACTTAGTTTGAGAAATGAGCCATTACTGCGCAAGCCCTTTTATAAACTGAAGTGCGTAGCGCTGAAGAAGGTAATGTATAGAATTTTGCACTACTAAGAGTGACTTTCCATTTGCAACTGGCTGACTTACCATACAAGTGGGAAAAGTGATTCTTATCAGATTTTAAAATTTATAGTAAAGAACACCATCTCACATGCAACGGATGATCTGGAAGTCTGATTTCAGTGTTTGTCAATCCCAAGAGATTACATAAACTAACCAACAATCACCTCCTATCAATTGAGAAAAAAACTTTAAAGCATATACCGTAAAATCTGACATTACGTAAGAAATGATACAAAATTCTTACATAGCATCAACAAATTCTTACCTGATGTCACTTTTCGCAATTGCACGAAACCATTGCCGGGTGCGGGTGAGAAAGTCAGGAATCTTACCTCAATTCAACAAATGGAACCTACTGACATGTGAGGCGACTTGCAGCGAGATGAGATTATCTCAACATATTCGATTTTATATCATGATCATGACGTTTCCAATTCATTCTACCGATATTTTAAAATATCTAGTTGCCTGGTGTCAAACTGACAAATTAATGAGAGAGACTGGTTCATCCAAGGAAAGTAAGGTAGAGTTGGTATACTTGACATTACTTATTTCTGTTTCCAAGAAGTATATTTAAATGACATTATTTACCTAGTTGTTTTTTGTTTTCACTACTTTATCTATGGCGAGAAATGGTATTTTTCAATAGCACATTTATTAAATAATCTTATGACAGGACCATAATGTACTGATTTACTGTTCTGAAATAAAAATAGAATCAAAACCACATATATGTTTAGTTTTCTGTTTGTAAATAATGACAAGAAGTATTGCGGAAACTTGGAAAACAAAGGATAATCATGGGCTCTCATTTTAAAGACAAAACGTACATTGTCATAGAATTGTCATTTGTACTTTGAAAGACTACTGTTGCACCAAGTTAGTTTTTAGTTTGTCTTCTTTTTTAATTTGCATAAACGTTTGGCATTGAATTATTGCAAACTGGTTCCTATAGTATACATCTTGATGGTGAATACTTGTAGTATATGTTAAATGTTGAGAGAGATAGTGAAATGCTTTTCTCTGTCTTCTTAGTGATATAAGTGGATTTTTGAGGGATTAGCAATGCGATTAATTTAAAAAAGTAAATGTGGTTCCAGAGTGGAAATTTTGTTTAGTAAAGGTTATTTTGTCGGGAATATCCTAGAAATTTAGATAGCATTTCGCTATTCTCTCCAATATTGCATTGTGACTATTCAGAGATTAATTTTCTCCAAATAAGACGAAATACGAAAATTTATGGGGGTAGCTGATTGGTCATTTATATTTTTTACACAACTCGTCGTCGGTTAAGAATTGTTGATAGAATTTAGTATGTTGTTTTGTCACTTATGTGCCTAAACATCGCACAAGGACAGAGTCTATTTATTGTAAGATAAAAAGGAGCCTACTTAGTCCAGTCCATAAGAACTGAATTACTGCTTTTTATAAAAACTCAGATACCAATACTGGCCTATTACAATAGTTGCTTTGGGCACTGGTATCATGCCTCCAAATGGAGGTAAGTGGTTAGTGAAGTTACGTAAAATGTCAAGTGTCATTCTAAGCAAGGTTGTCAGATCTACACAGTTTATTTTACTCCATATCAAAAAGCTTCACTAACTCGCTTGGAAAAATGATGTGAAATTCAAAACACTCTGTGAAAAATCGTCTAGTAGGTGGACTTATTGACTGGGCTAAAGGCATGAAGCACAGATGCTTTCTGAAGGTTGTGTTCTCTGTTCGAAACTCTTAATGATTTTTAGATATTTCTCATTGAAAATGCGACTGCTCATATGCACATTAAAATAAAAATATGATTGGTCCTCCACCATTTGAAGCTACTGAAAGTAACAAGGCAATGCGGCTACTCTAGATTCCTTGAAGATTTTTCCAATAACATTAACAGTTGCAAAATGTATTTTTCAAAAACATTTTTTGCCTATTAGCAGTCGCTATTTTAGTGTCATCATCTTGATATTAGACTGAATGTTGTACTGCTATAACATTTTGGCCTTGAGTTTGAGATGATGCACGTATATTGTATCAAATGTCCAAAAAAAAAAAACTTTATTATAAATACTAGCTCAGGTACGAATGAATCAAGAGCATTAGAGTCTAGCTTTGAAGTAGTGTGCTTGAATTATGACACTTTTTTGGATGTTACAGAAAAATTTACAGTTTTTACAAAAATCTGAGTTGCATAACTTGGCAACAACAGGCATCATACTATAGCACTTTTTTGTAACATTGTTTTCTAGTTGTGCAACAAGACATTCCCTTAAGATCATGGAAATTAAATCACTTGTTCCCTTTGATAATTTTCTTGATATTGACAATAATGAATTGGCACACATTTTGTCATATTGCAGATTTTTTTTGTTTTCATCAGTATGTTTGAAATTTTATATTAGTTATAGGTTACTTAAGCTTATTCATAACTACACTTTTGAGTGATAGTTAAATAGATTAACTATAATAGTCATCTAATAGCTTCAATCACATTTTGAATCTGTATCAATGTTGGAGATACTAGAAGCATTTTGTTTTCAGTGTCGTTGCTATAGATCATATGAAATATCATAAGCTAAAATAAGTGAACATGAAACATTCAGGGGTTCTGTGAACATGTCAAATATGTCACTGCCCAAGTGTATCTGTCAATCATTGATTGATATGAGAGAGAAAAAGACATCCTAACTGTAATAATTTCAAAAGGCTCTTAATACTATTCCATCTCAGAACAAGACTTAATAACAAAGCATTTGACGACTTTTTTTAACATTTAGCTGCAAAAATATTGGTTTTGCAAAATATCCTCTAAGTGACAAGGAAGTAAAAAACAGTGTCACTCATTTCCGTTGATCTTTGTAATTTTCAGAAATCTGCAGCAAAACCTTTGATCCATTTTTTCTTATTCATAGTCTAGTGTCCATGTCGCACCTCCAATTCAATAACTGCAATATCAAACTGCCAATATGGTTATATTGAATTTATGACCATACTGAAACAGCAGTTGTGGCAGTATTAAATTGACAGTACGATATATTTGGTGCATGAAAAGCGCAAAATTTCAAACATACTGATTTTTGACGAAGAATTTTGGATTTTTTTTGCTATTCTGTGTCAGCAGCAAGGTTGCTATGTTATATCATTGTTTAAACTAATTACTTAATTATATACATAAGAATTTAAATCTATGTACATACATGTTCATGTAAGTTAGATTTTGTTTTTCATTTTCTGTATTGTAGTTGGTTATGCATATGCGTTTTTATTTTGAGCATAATGCAGCATTAAAGAAAAAAACGTTTGAAGGTGAGATAATTTTTGTAAGTGTTTTAGATAAGCATCATTTTTATGGAGGATAAAAGATTTAAGGACTGTAAAAATATTTCAATATATCATTAATTTATATGATATAGAGAATATTTGTTTCATTTTTAATGCATGCATAATTTTTACAACTCTATCCTATTCCTAAAAAATTTGGTCCAGAATGGAATGCATGTGGTGAATGATCCTGCATTTCCTTCCTGTTTGTATGATAGTTCATTCAACAGCTAAGTACGCGTTTCACGTATCAGAAAAATATAATCGGTGGTTAAAAACTTGTGAGGTCAAAAAGAAATGGCCAAAAGGTATAAATCATCTTAACAAGATTATCTACAGTGTGTTATATCTCAAGCATACTTGGTACTAGAACATCTATAAAATTAAAAGGAAGATTTGGACAAATTTAGGAAATCGGCAGATTATGCATGAATTCCCTCAATTTAAGGTACTGTTAGTAAATAAAAAGCGATACATTTTCATAAATGATATTTTCTTAATTTGAAATAATATACAAAATCTATATAATAAAAAACTACCTTAAACTATTCACATTCACCTTTTGCCTTCGAATTCTTCTTCCAATTTTCTCAGCTGATTTTTTACCTTGAATATTGAATTTGCCTCCAAAAAGGTAACTACACTACCTAATGCAGCGTGTGCTATCACAAGCCAAAAGAATTTGTGTGCTGCAGGTCTCATTTTTTCTACTAATAGTTTTGCCACCTTTAGAGGCTCACTGGTAAGGTAAGGCATGTTATATGTTGAATATTTATGGACCAACTAAAAAAAGATATACCACTCTTTGTTTTGACTAAGTACTAGCACTGATTAATGTTTTTCAAGAAGGTACCCAACCATATGCATTTGGCCATTCAGAATTTCCATCAAGGAAGGATTGGAGTAATTTATTTAGAAGTAATAAATATAATTTAGGGAGTAATTAGTAAGAAGATAGAGATAGAACACCCTTTAACACATGTATGAACAGTTAAGGTCATATAAAACTCTCATTTAAAAAGATTTCCGGGATCTTTTTGGAGATAAAGCAAAAATAACCGACTAAAGACAGAAGGAGCTTCAATTTTTCTGTGGCTATTCACTGATGACCTTAAGACTGAGCTTTACCATAACCTTGCTGGACAAATTTATATCAAGACAATTTTCTTCAATGGTACCTACTCCACACCTTTGGCACCAACAAAAAATGAAGACTCCTTTTTTTATGTGAAATTGTTTTTTTTAATATTGCTTTTTGACTAAAGATGGTTACTATTACTATTATTGAAATTTTATGGATATCTTCTAGAGAAGAGAGAAGCAGAAATGACTCAAAGACAGCAGGGGCTTCTATTGGTTATTCACTGATGATCTTGATGGTTAAATCAAGGTCTAGACTTTGCTGCATGATATCCTACACATTTGATCTCAAAAATGACTAAAGCGGAAAATCTTATTTCTGGATATGGACAAACAGGGATAAAGATTGTCAGTTAAAATAACTAATTCAAGGTCAAATGTAAAATTTTCCATTCCCAAGGTCAAAAGTATTGGCTCCTAGATAAAAATTCTGTTGACCTTTCACTCAAGGTAATTTCCAGGGTCAACGACACCACTGAATAATACCCCAGGAAAAATCGTAAATCCAATATTCCTAAATATCTTCTCAATTTAGGACAGGTGGGTATATCTTTCTGTTGGGTTGGGTATCTTCTGATAGAATTATGTTGATCAATGGTATAAGGCAAGATTAGAACAAGCCTTTTAATACTGCTTAATTTTGGCTGTACTATTTTAAATGCATACTCACAGCTATGGTAGAAAGTGGGGCCAGAATTACAGGCAAGATTATCCCAGAGGCTGCTTGTACACATGAGGCCCTAACCTCCATACAAATGGGGCATGTATCATCATTCGAAAGGACCAAATTTTTTAAAACAAACTAAAAATATTGAAAATATAAGTTGACAATATAAATTAATGCTTCACAGGATATTACCTGATGATGAAAAAGGACTGACATCATAGCAGGAACAACACTAATAGGGAGATATGAGGATATTCGACCAAATTTCATAACTTTAAATTTTCTTCTCAAATAGTTATTTGCATAAGCGCCAGATAGCATTGTGGCGGTGCCTAAGAAGACTGATCCATATTTGTACCAAAAGCTACAATATAAAGTATGTCAGTTAGAAAGTCGTTATAACATTCAATTAAATATAGTCTTTTAAGTGTATAATAGCACGTTTCAGTTGCTAAATGATTACGGTTTCAATAGGATTATTACATATCTGAGGTGGCTTTCCAGTTATTTAAAATTTTGGTTTGATATTGTAGTGCTTGCTCCTCTGTGAGTATTATCGCATCTGATGGAATTTCTCTCATACGTCTTCTTTCTAGTGCCATTTCGTGGTATTTCCTTCTTAAATTATTACATCAATGTAAAATAGAAGGCTCGGTATTTGTGAAACGAATTTGGAGGTTGGATTTTGAAAATAAACCGAATAACGAATTACCAAAAAACATCACCTCTGTCAGTGTAGGGATGGACAAATAAAATTTATGATTCGGTTTAACGAATCAATAGAGTTGGAACATATGAATCGGTAAATTCGATATCGATTTTCTACTCTCATCCCTTATCGTTTAGATGTCGTACGTCAATCTGTCATGTTTTTGTTGGTAAATCTTTGAAAGTAGCTTTTCTTGAATTTCTGCCGAAATTTCTCACGGCAATAATCAGCTATTTTGCGTGATATCCTATCAAAATGGTGCTTCGCACATATGGTGACAAACCCATAAGCTTCCAGCTTGAGGAAAATGGTGAATATTACTGTGTTGGTTCTGAGGTTAGTACAAAGCCACCTCATCAAATTCGTCCTCACTCTTGAACTCAACTTTTAGGTGGGCAACTACTTGCGCCTTTTCAGAGGCTCACTATACAAGAAATACCCTGGCATGTTCAGAAGGTCCATCACAAATGAGGAAAGAAGACGTTTGATAGAGCTTGGTTTAAGCCAACACGTATTAGCCAGCAGTGTATCGCTGCTTAGAACAGCTGAAGTTGAGGATATCATAGAAGGAAACGATGAAAAGTGAGAATGAGTTATCGTCTTATACGTATATATAAAAATAAACAAGGAACATCGCTACACAATCGCTCTTGTCAAATTCTCATAGATGATGCCACAGTATCATCTATCTATCTCGGATAATTGTTCAGAGATGTAGCAAAACATATCTTTTTCTTGAATCTTATTATATGCATTGTTTAGGTATAAGTCAGTGTCAGTCCATACATCTGAACCACCACAGCCTAGAGAGAGCAAATCCAAGAAAAACCAGCAATGGGTTCCATCTTTACCAAATTCCAGTCATTTGGACGCTGTACCACAAGCAACATCTATCAATAGAAACAGAGTGGCTGCCAAAAAGGTATAACTTTAAAATTTTTATTGATTATAGATTACCAAATTTATCCTGCAGTTGAATTGTCTAATGAAGTTTTTTGCCACCCCGCAGATTAAGGATCTTGACTGTAAAAATGCAGTTTTAGCCACTTGGTACTTCTAGAGGTTTTTTTAGCTTTGTTACTATCATCCAATTTTATGCCCAATGTATTTATTATATTACTTTATGTGTCAAATAATAGTACTTCAAACGGTTAATCATTTAATAGAGCTTTGTAATCATTTTTGGTTAATGTATCAATAATAATAATCTTTATTCTAACAGGTTTTCACCTGGAACAATCAATAATAGCAATAATATGCAAGTCCTAGATTCTCTTGTGTATAAAAGATCTATTTAGAAAATGCAATTAAAACATTTGTGAAAACATCTTTACCAGAAATAAAAACATAAACGTGAATTATATTAAAATTGACACAAAAATATATACTAAGTGACATATAAATCCGAACACCCAGTTTAAATGGTTTTATTTTAATAAAAGTTGGTGAATGTATTTATCTTACTGTAAATAACAAGTGAAAAAATTTTCAGCCTTATCAGTTGGACATTCCGGTTTTTATACTGCTTTTTTTAAATTCACTAACGCTCTAAAAATGAATATTTCAGCCGCAGTAAAGAATCAACGTTGGCGGATTTTGGTTCTTGACATCCTTTACGATCGGTTACGATGCCTAGAGTACGGAGACCTGTACGATTTCGTCAACTTAGTGAGTTTGATAGGGGCCGTATAGTGGGACTTCGGGAAGCTGGACTTTCTTTTCGGGCAATTGCAGTTAGAGTGCAAAGAAGTGTAGACACTGTGGTTAGGTGTTGTCAGGCATGGCTTCGAGCAGGCCGTACGCAAAGAGCAAGGGGCACTGGACGCCGCCGTAGAACAACAGACCGTGAAGATCGCCGCCTAAGATTATTGGCCTTAAGGGACCGTTTCTCCACTACCAGGTCCATTGCAAATTAATGGTTTGCAGAACACGGAAGACCTATTGGCATGCGAACACCGACGTAATCGCCTTGAGTGGTGCAGACAACGGTCACTCTGGGATCAGGAATGGAACAGTATTGTCTTTAGTGACGAGTCTCGATTTTGTTTAGGCATGCACGATGGTCGTGACAGGGTTAGAAGGCGACGTGGTGAAAGGAGGAATCCACAGTTTTTTGTTGAAAGACATGTTCATCACTCTGTTGGAGTTATGGTTTGGGGTGCTATAGCTTATGGTTCCAGGTCAGGTCAGGTAATCTTCATCAGAGGTAACATGAACGCGCAGCGTTACATCCACGAAGTTCTAGAACCCCATCTTTTACCCTATCTTGACACCCTGGCAGATCCAACTTTCCAACAAGATAATGCCCGACCACATGTTGCAAGAGTCACAATAGACTTCTTTCAACATAATGATGTCACATTGTTACCATGGCCACCAAGATCTCCCGACTTATCCCCAATTGAGCACGTGTGGGATATGATGGGTAGGAGATTGCTCAATTTGCAACGTCCTCCTCAGAGTCTAGAAGCACTTCGAGAGGAGTTGGTGGTTGCCTGGAATGAGATACCACAGGAGGACATTGACCACCTGATCAGAAGCATGCCTAGGCGCGTTGGAGAATGAGTAGCACATCAGGGTGCATCCACACATTATTAAAGGTCAAAGGGCTTTAAAGCAGTGCAATCATTTTGAAATTTTTATCATTTACTTATTATGCTTCATTAAGTACTTATACAAAATTTTATTAAAATAAAACCATTTAAACTGGGTGTTCGGATTTATATGTCACTTAGTATAAATACCAACAATCGTGGCTCCATTTACAAAACAAAATATTGCTGGTTAAGCATGACTTATCTCTGTTTAAAACTACTATATATTTAAAATCACCTGAATGGCATCATTAATAGAAGACATATGTTGCTTCTACCCCTAGCACTGTAAAAAATTGTGAGTTTATTATTAACCAGACTAGGAAGCACTGTCAGTTAATTAATTGATTATTGTTATATATAAAAGATTTTATAATAATTTTATTATGACAGAATGGGTCAATCTAATATTGTATATAAATTGGCATTTAAATTTTTTTTTATATTGTAGGTGAGAACATTTCCCCTTTGTTTCGACGACACAGATCCGCAGTTGAATGTAGAAAATTCATGCCAGCACGAACTTTTGGTTCCAATAAGGCTGGACATGGAGATTGAGGGACAAAAGCTCAGGGATACCTTTACTTGGAACAAAAACGGTAAAATATTGCACTAATCTCTCATATTATCATAGTTATTAGTTTCAAATTATGTGGTTATCAAAGAACTAAATTTCCGTCATTTATCAAAATGATTCTTTTCAGAGAGCCTGATAACACCGGAACAGTTCGCCGAAGTGCTATGCGACGATTTGGACCTAAATCCATTGACATTTGTGCCAGCCATCGCGCAGGCAATCAGGCAACAATTGGAGGCGTTCCCCAATGAACCACCGAGTATTATCGAGGAAAATGCTGATCAGAGGGTTATCATCAAGCTCAACATCCACGTTGGAAATACTTCGTTGGTCGATCAGGTAAGTAAAATTTATCAAAGGACATACACTTTTCACATTACTCCTCGGTAAAAGCTTATTAGTCTGTGATCAAGTAGCTCTGTGATGATAAAATATAGCTCCATTTTTATCTTATTATTTTATGTATTTAATCAGCTGACTTCTCTACACTATTCAATGTTGAATCACAAAGTATATATTTTTTACTTTTTTTGGAATATTTTTTCCAATTTACAGATATCCAATAGTGACAACAAAAGAAGAAAAATTATTGTTCCATTTTCAACTAGATTTCTGGATGTTTTGATACAAAACTATTGCTCCTTTGATTCCTTTCTAATTTTGGCCAGTTGGTCTAGATGGATCGATTTGCAGTCCTGCAGGGTAAACATCGGCCTTCTCGTTAGCGGTTAAAAAATGCGGAAGATTTTCCAAAATAAGGCAAACCGTTGGCTGTTTTAAAATCAGTACTAAGGAAAAAAAATCCCCAAAAATTGCAATCAAATCTTGTAGGAGATTTGTTCCAGTTTTCGGAAATACCCTTACAAAAAATTGTTCTGGAGATATTAGATTATTTGGAATGTTCTTTTGTTATTTATATTTTGACTAATGTATTTTACGCTACAATTTATTTATAATACTTTGACTTTATATATATCATTTTAAAGCGATTTTCGATCTATCTAGTTATTCGTTTTGTTTTACGACAATTTGTTTTTTATTCAGGACTCTGCCTCATCCAACATATTCGCCCACCGACTAAAACTTTTTCAAATATCTCAACACGTGCCAAAAATGCCTTCAATGAGTTCATCGCCTCCAGAACTCCGGATTTCTACGTTAGCGGCATAAATAAACTTGTTTCTCGTTGGCACAAGTGTATCGATTCTAATGGTTTTTATTTTGATTAACAGACTTTTGTTTAAGCTAAGATATGCTGCTTTGAATTTGAAAGTTAGAAATCGCAAGAACTTAAAACCTAACAGAATTGCCTTACAACCGTTGCTCCTAAAATTTTTCGACTAAAAAACCTGAAAACTAGAATCTTACAGCTTCAAAATGCTTTTTTTGAACTTTAGGTACGACCATTTTTCACCGAAATCTGTCAAAAATGAAAAATTTGGATTTTTGAACACCTTGACAACTTCCTTCGCGAGAAATGCTTCAATAACCACGACTGTGTCAAAAATGCCTTCGATGAGTTCATGGCCTCCAGAACTCCGGATTTTTACGATAGCGGCATAAATAAACTTGTTTCTCGGTGGCAAAAGTGTACCGATTCTAATGGTTTTTATTTTGATTAACGAAGTTTTATTTAAGCTGAGATATGCTGCTTTGAATTTGAAGGTTAAAACTGCAAGAACTTTCCGAGTAACCTAATAGAATTGCATGGGAACCGTTGCTTCTAAAACTAGAATCTTAAAGCTTCAAAATGCTTTTTAGGTACGACCATTTGTCACCGAAAATGACGGGAAAAATTTGGATTTTTTTCCTTGCCCCTTTTTTGAGTAGTGTCGTTCGGCTGGATAATGGGATCTTATAATACCAGTCATTCGTCGCGAACAAGTTTTTCGATAAATGATGAACCAGTTCATAACAATCGTCTGAACCAGTTTGTTTGCAAGCCACACATCACTAAATTCGGGTCGCACTTGATAGGAAATTTCAAAATTGAGCTTGTTTTTCTTCAGGTCGAATGGGATATGAGCGAGAAAACGAACAACCCGGAAGAATTCGCTCTGAAACTGTGCACCGAGTTGGGTCTAGGCGGTGAATTCGTGACGGCGATAGCGTACTCCATAAGGGGCCAATTGTCCTGGCACCAAAGGACGTACGCTTTCAGCGAGGCCCCACTGCCGACCGTTGAGGTTCCGTTCAGAGCGGCCGGTGAGTCCGATCAGTGGGCCCCCTTCCTCGAGACCCTCACCGACGCAGAGATGGAAAAGAAGATCAGGGATCAAGATAGGAATACCAGGAGGATCAGGCGTTTGGCCAACACTACGCCTGGGTGGTAGATCTGGTATAGGATTTTATGTATAAGCTGGATGATCAAATATTGGTATTATCATTTTTATCGAGCGGTTTTAGAAGTTGACGTCAAGCCGGAAACGGGGGATAGGAAGTCATATCAGTTATCAGAAAAATTAAAAAAATCCAAGTCGTTTACTTTTCAAATTACAGGCAATAAAAAATCGGAAAAATCCACATGATCTTTTAGTTTCCATTACTACAAATTTCATTGTTTTAAGCAGTGACGGATAGTGAAAATCGTCAAAAACGCCTCACATAATTAATGGATGCCCCCTTATGTTGAAAAACGCATCAAAAATTGAGAAATAATTCTTTTAAAACCACTCATCAGTTTTTCATCAAACAAAAATTGTCGATTCAATCTATGAAAATTTATGAATGTAGAATGTTTAGTATTATTAATTGTAAAGTGGTGAGCATCAAAAAGTACCTAGAATTGTATGCAAATTGACAAAAAACTTGAATAAAACATATAGAAAAAAGTGTATTGTTTCAATATCTTCCCTTATTCGCTGGGTGCGAGACGATAGCGACACCTAGCGGATGTCAGTCAGAAATATTTGGTTGACACGTGTAGTACAAAAATAAACGAATATTGATGAAAACTACATCCAGCCGATTTGAGGTTAGGGACCAGGGTTGGTAAAAACTCGAAAACAAAAAAAACTGTTTATTCTTTAAACTTGTTTTCTCGGTTTAGACCAGGTATTTTCGGTTTAAACCAGGTCAGCCGTTAAAAAACAGCTTTCCACCAATTAACCAATATAGGTAGTACGCGGAAGCAAAAAAAGATTGTCAACTAAAGGCACATTTACATAAAAACACAAACACATTGTACAACTTTTTTATTTGTATTCATACGTGAGAAGTACAGGGTGTCCGGTGGGAAAGTTCACTTTTGGTTTTAAGAAAAAAAATATAAACTTAATGAAGCAGAAATACTAATTACTATCAGCATATTCTTCGGGTTTTATTGCAAATTTTGAAACACCCCCCCCCCCTGCAGAGTTCCGGACTGATGTTTATTTCTCGTCGAATGTTGTCTTTAAGCTCCTCCAGTGTTCGTGGATTATTGGAATACACTTTTGACTAGATAACCCCACAAAAAATAATCGCATGACCTGAGATCGGGTGATCTGGGAGGCCAGTGAATGTCTCCAAACTTTGATATAACTTTTTGAGGAGAAAGTGCTTTCACCGTGTCCATCGATTCTCTGGAAGTATGGGCAGTGGCCCCATAATGTTAAAACCATGTGTTTCTGTTAAATCGACGTTCTGTTCTTAAAAAAGGATCAAAAGAGTGACAATCATGTCCTTGGATCGTTCGGAATTGACTGTCAATGCATGAACGTTTTCATCTTCAAATGGCCATCTCTTGGACGGCGAATGTTGTATCGTGTACAAAATATCCGAAGGGCAGCTGCGTATGAATCTCCACTCTTAAAGTAAGCCTCGATAGCAAAAGCACGTTGCGCTCCGGTCCAACGTTCCATTGCGACTATTTAACCCGCACGCCGAACGCGTCGATCAAGAACTCCCCCACTTCCTCGCGTAATCCAAATATGAAATGTGAAATTTCCCACTAGACACCCTGTAGAAAGGAATAAACAAAGTACTAATTTTTAAACTGAAACTTAATATAAAAATTAGTAATAGAGACCTTTTCAGTATCCAGTGTATTCTGTAACTTACTTTGTATTAAACCAAAAGAAGAAAAACATTCTTCTACACCTGCTGAAAACGCTTGTTGTGCGATGTGTAATTTAATGATATTTATAATCTTATCATTTTTGCTTTATCAATATAATTTTTTTGCTTCTCTACCTCTCAATTGTCGTCACTTCCAAAGTTATGCTGCTTCCAGCTAATTTTTTCCAACCATATTTCGCTGGATATCTTCAAATCATTTGCAAAAAATAGTTTCAATTTAGATAGCTGGAATGCCAGGTTATACCGGTATGTTCCATTTCAGTGAATACAGATAAAGGCCTTTAACAATTTCGTCGAAGCACCGTGTTTCAAGTTTCATCAAAAGAACTTTCTGGCGGATTTTTGCATGCCATATATTTTACCTCTGACCAGAACCAGATGAAATGAAATCAGGATGTTCCTTAACTATATGAGTATCCAGGTTACGTTTATATCTGAAAGTTGCATTACAGTGCATACAGTTACTGAGTTTACAGCTTTTCGTTGTCGCGTGGTGCTTTGACAAATGTTTAACCAACACGTACCTTCTGAAAGTTTTGTATTTGCAATGTGCACATTTAAATAAATTTTTAGAAACTTTAGCAATTTCGGGATGCTCTTTGATTATATGAAAACCAATTAGCTTATTTGGAAATGACGCCTTACAATGAGTGCATGTTGTAAGATCATCGCTATCTTCTACCTCATTATGTCTTCGCATGTGTCTATAAAAATTAGATTTCCAAGTAGTTTTATATGCGCAACATGTACATCTATATATTTTTCTCGTCACTGAAGAAATAAACGAGGGATGAATCCTAATAATATGATCATCTAAAGTAATCCTGTTTCTAAATGTTGCTTTACAGTGAATACAGGTTGGCAATGAATGTGTGAATGAATGTGTGAATGAATGTTCATCAAAAGACCGCTTACTAGTAGTCTTATACGTGCAATAAGAACATTCGTGCACCTTATTTGAAACGGCTGTAATAAAGTCAGGATGTTTCTTGACTATATGATCATCCAGATTCCGTTTACTTGTGTATGTAGCATTACAGTGAATACAGAAATAATGACTACCTTTTTCCTCAGGATGTTTTAACCTGTGTCTAATTAAATTAGCTTTTATAGTCGTTTTGTAAGTACAATATGCACATTCATGTATTTTACGACAAACTGAAGCAATAAAGTCTGGATGCATTCGAATTATATGATCATCCAGATTTCGTTTGCATTTAAACGATGCCTTACAGTGAATACATGTACAGCGATCAAGGTCGCATTTTGCCTCCGAATGATTCGACAAGTGCCTGTCTAATTGAATTTTCCAGGTGCTTTTATACGCACAATGTGGACAGTCGTACATTTTACTAGTAACAGAGGTAATAAAATCAGGATGTTTCTTAATTGTGTGATTGTCTAGATTCCGCTTACTTGCGAATGTAACATTACAGTGAATACACGTATTCAATTTGTTATGCTTTGATTCGGTATTTGCGTTGCTTTTATGTGTAGATTGATGTGTTTTGCTAGAATCAGGAGAACAAAAGTCTGGATGTTCCCTAACTATATGATCTTCTAGAGCCGTTTTACTTGCGAATCTGACATGACAGTGAATACAGATACTGACCTTATGTCTGTTTGCGTGAATCGACAAATGTTTAACCAACATGTGCCTTTTGAAAGTTTTGTATGCGCAATGCGCACATTCGTACGATTTTCTATCGACAGTTTCAGCAAATTCAGGATGCTCTTTAATTATATGGATATCAATAAGTTTTCTTAAGAATGAAGCGTTACAATGAATGCACGTGGTAAGATTCTTGCTCTCTGCCCCAGTGTGTCTAGACATATGTCTATGAAAATTGGTTCTCGAGGTGGTTTTATACGCGCAATGTGTACATCCATAGATTTTTGTGGTGACTGAAGAGGTAAAAGTGGGATGCATCCTGATAGTATGATCATCCAAGGTCATCTTGCTTCTAAACGTTGCATTACAGTGAATACACGTAAACCTACCGTTTGTCAACGAATGCGTCAATACATGGTTAGCAAAATAATACTTATTAGCAGATTTGTATGTGCAATGAGAGCATTCATGCACCTTACTTGAAACGGATGTAATAAAATCCGGATGATTCTTAACAATATGGTTATCTAGATTCGCTTGATTTGAGAATTTCGCGTTACAGTGAGTACATATCCTAAAATCGACAATACCTTCTGCCTCAGGATGCTTCAGTAGGTGACTTACTAAATGACTTTTTATGGTGGTTTTAAAGCTGCAATACGTGCATTCGTGTATTTTACGAAACACTGAAGCAGCAAAGTCAGGATGCTTTCGAATTACGTGATCATCTAGATTTCGTCTGTACTTAAACGTTGCCTCACAGTGAATACATGCGCACAGCTCAATGTTACACTTCGTTTCAGGATGATTTAACACATGTCTATCTAACTGAAATTTTAACGTGGTTTTATACGTGCAATGTGGACAGTCATGTATTTTACTAGAAACAGAAGCAAACAAATTAGGATGTTCCTTAATTGAATGTTCATCTAGATAACGTTTGCTTGTGAATGATGCTACGTTACAGTGGACACATGTATAGGGCTTGTTATGCTTTGATTTGGTCTGTTTCAACATGTCGGGATGTTCCTTAACTATATGATTATCTAGATTTATTTTAGTTGAGAATCTTGCGTAACAGTGAATACATGTAATGCCCGCCTTATTGTGCTTCAATATGTGTCTAGCCAAATCGCTTTTATGCGTGGTTTTATATGCGCAATGATCACAATCATAAACTTTACTAGAAACAGAAGCAATAAAGTCTGGATGTTTCATGATTATATGATTATCGAGGCTTACTTTATTTGATAACCTTGCATTGCAGTGAATACATATACTGGGATTGTAACTACCGTCTGCCTTGGAATGCGTCACCATGTGTTCAGCTAAATTACTTTTATGTGTGGTAGTATACTCGCAGCGAGAACATTTATGTATTCTCTGATGTGCTTCATCAAAGTGGACGTTAAGATCCTCATCGGACGTGAATATATCATTACATTCAGTACAAAAAAGAAGTTGTTTAATGCTAGAGGTGTTTTGATTCTCACAATCATTCTCATCCTTTATAATTAATTCCTCAGTCATTTGTGCTGACTCTAGTTTTTTGATGGCTGTATCGTGTTCCATCTTTATTTGATCGGCTGCTGCATGATTATTGTGTTCTGTTTTCACCCTATAAATTGCAGTATTTTTAAGACCTTTCAAGCTCTATGATGTGGCAATTAAGTTTCTGCAGCGACGCCGACAATATCTGCCTAAATATGGGAAGCCAACATTTAGTGTCAGAGCAAAGTTGAAGCTGATACACAGTAATGGACAAAAGTATATAGACAAATATGAATATTTACCTAAATACCTTTAGAAAACGAATTCATACTTCATGCGTTACTATTAGAAAAACTAAATTCCTTGTTTTTACATTATCTGCAATTAACACAATACAACTCTGAATATAAGCACTTTTTTATGAGGGACAAAAATATGTAGATGAATTCTTTTCAACATTAGATTAGTACAATTTCGTGTCAGAAGAGGATTAGTTTGTGTTCATCAAGTATTGTGGAATAAGATGAGTGATTTTAAGGCCATGCCGCGTGGTCCAGAAATTTCTTTCGATGTGAAAACTAAGATCATTGAGTTATACAAAGATGGTCAACGTCAAGTCGACATTGCCAAACATTTGAAGCTGAAGCGTAAATCAGTTTGGGCAATATTGAACAAATATTAACAAAAGGTATCTTGGAAGCCTCTAAGAGAAGTGGTCGGCCTAGAAAACTAAATGCTAGATCAGTTAGATTAATAAAAGTAATTTCCTCCAAAGATCCTTTTAAAACCCCAAGACAAATAAAAGCCGAAATCGAGACAAAAGGAATTGTCGGTATTTCTACGAAAACTATAAGTAAAAGATTAAATGATTTGCACGTCGCCCGAGTAAGAAGCCGCTAATCTCGAGGAAAAACCGTAAGGACCGATTACAATTTGCACGGTTGCATCTTGATTGGAGCATCTGTGACTGGAAGAGGGTATGTTTCAGTGACGAATCCAAGTTCAATATGTTTGGATCAGATGGTGTTCATTACGTTAGACGTCCTAGTGGACATAGATTGAACCCCAAGTACACTTTGCCCACTGTCAAACATGGAGGCGGGTCTGTTATGGTTTGGGGGTGCTTTTCGGGGTTCGGGGGTTTACATAGAATAAATGGCATTATGGATAAGTTTGTATACACAGACATACTAAAGCATGTCAAGTTACCCTATATGGAACACAATATGCCCTTAAGATCAATCTTCCAGCAAGATAATGACCCGAGGCACACTTCAAATCTCGCAAAGAAATTCTTTCTGGATGAAAAAATACCAGTTCTCAAATGGCCTTCACAGTCTCCCGATATAAACCCCATCGAAAATCTATGGGAATACTTAGATAAGCAAATACGAGATAAAAATTATTCGAACAAGGATGAACTTTTTGCAAAAGTGGAGACAGATTGATGAATCTTATATCAAGAAACTTTTACAATCTATGCCGAGACGATGCCAGGCGGTGATTGATAATAATGGTTATGCTACAAAATATTAACACAAGCATGTTTGGTTTTCTATAATTCAATGAACATTGCTTCTTTTTTCTATAATTGTGTTGCTTTGTCTATATATTTTTGTCCTTCATAGTTCCAGTTTTTTCAATTAATTTTTTATTGAAGGGAGTCTAATTAATTTATTTATGTACCTGTATAAGTGAGTATTATGCTATAACGAGTTATATGTACAGGTTGGTGTATTAATGAAACGAGTTAAAAAAAAATACAGCACAATATTAGCTTGTCTATATACTTTTGTCCATTACTGTACATTTGCTTCATGTTTTATGTGTACTTGAAACTTGAAATTAATTTTTATGGTGGCATATTACAAGCAACAACTGATTCAATTTTTAATGTGAAATATGATGAGAATAATCCATATATAAGCAAATATTTGATTGATCATTGATTAATTACCATTTAGGAAAACATATTCTACCAAAACAGCAATTGGTGAAAGAAGATTGGGAGAAAAATATAGAAGAATAAAATTTTGCAGTAACAGTGTCCTTAGGTGTCAACAGGGCATTTTAGACCATTGATAGGTCAATATACAATATATTACAAAATTATTTAGTCAACAGGAGTCTAAAAACTGACATTAAAAATATATTATGAAGCATTAAACACATTTCTCTAGGTGTGCCACAGGGTAGTAGACTAGGTCCCTTACTACTTTTTTATATATTACTGATACTTTTGATATTTAACAGCAAAATTCAAATATTTGCTGGAGATACATATGATACTGTAACAAAGAAATCAGTGTTCTTAAAGGGATTTAATAATTTTTTTTATAAACAAGTGGTGATATCAATATAAGTTCAGGTTTGAAAATGTAAAGATCACTGCTATATTTTTTTAAACATTCCCAGAATTTAATTGCAACACCACATATTTGTTAATATATCTTCAACAAACAGCTAAGGATATTACCTGTTAGCAAATCTGTGACAACCACTCTCATCAATGACTTCTGATGCTTCAAATTGTTCAGTCTTCACATCACTTTCCAATTTTATTTTTTCAACTTTCATATCAAGAACACCATCACCATTTTTCACACCACATGTCATCCAAGTTTCAGTGTTAGTTCCAAATAACTCATCATCCATTATTTCTGTTTTTACTGTGACTTCTCCAACTTCAATTTCCATAAAATCTTCAGGAGGTATCATTTCATTCTTCAATAAAACCTGCTGAAATGTTTATGTATATTCATATACAGTATGTTACCATGTATATAACATAGCCAGGAAGTGGATAATATTTGGGCCCTGTGTGTCCTCAAAAAATGTGAGAAATACAATTGTTTTGGATGGAAAAATGAGTAAAAGATGAGTAGTTTGGAAAATTTCTCTAAAAAACTAAATCAAGCAAAAAAAAAGTATATGAAAAAAGAAATTTACAAAGGTATAAAGCCAACAATTTCAATAAATGAATCAAAGTTGGAGAATGTTCTACTATATGAAACATTTATATACCTAATAAGGGTTGTTTTAGGCTATTCTGGTTTTACCTCATGAACCCAAAATTAAAAAAAGTTCACTCAATTTTCCCAACTGCCAAATATTGCCTGGATTTTGCTCGGTCCTGGCACCACCTCAGCTGCAGGCGTTGAGCTCCTGTTAGCCTAGGACCCATGCATGGCTTAGACAGCCTTGGAGTTTAAACTACCATGGTTGGGGCATTACTCAATTATAGCTTCACAAATTGGTAGAGTTTTTGGCGAAGACATGGCGAATGTAATTGTATTTTGAAAAGAAAACTAATACATCAGACTTCATTGCCCTGCCCTAATCAAACCACATGTTTAAATTTCAGTTTATTTTGACCACCACTATTGCCTTTTGCAAGTACAATTCACAATTTTATTACTACAGTCTCTTCAGTTTTTTAAGCGGGCCTATAGCAAAGTCCATAGCTTGATTAAAGACAAATGTTTTTTCTTGATAATAAAACAGTATTAACCTATCTTCTTTATTCTATGTTTACCTCCGAATTCAACACCTGTTCGATGTTTTCCGAAATTTCTGACTGCATTTCTTGTTATTTCCAAACCTGTTGATTTGGATGCCAAAATTCGTAAAATCAACATAAACAAGTTTAGATAACTCCCTGACAACGTCAATCAACTTTTCAAAACGTCACAGATCAAAACACGCGCACAGTAAGCCTGGTTGCCTAGCAATTCTAATTTTCTATCCCTAAAGGCTTTAGATGCCGACATAAAATTATTCTGGCATCTGTCGGTTAGTTTTACCAAGCGGCGGTGCATGTTACAGTGGCCGCTTTCGTGCAAAGCATAATTAAAACTCTGGTCACTAGATGTCGCTAAAAACAAAAAACTGGTAGCATCATCTTGTACACGGTTATCGAAATAATAGTTAACCTGCTACATTTACTTATAGTTGCCTGTTTGGATAATAGATGACAGCAAAAGTAAATGCAGCGTTGCCAGAAATACTTGTTTTTCAGTTTATCTACTAAATCGAAGGCAACATCTAGGTTTCCTGCTATTTGGTTTGATATTTGAGTTAACGTCAGCCATCAAAATAAGTGAGCTTGATTACCTATCATACGGATCTATAAAAGTCCAGAGACCCAACAAAGCATTCGACGCTGTATTGCCATTTTTGAGATAATACATACGCTTATTTCAGCATAGTTATATTTCTGTTGGATTTGGATTCTGATTACAAATTCGAGACTAAGCGATGCGGTATTTTAAATATGGTTGGATAGCAAAATAGTCTCAGAATTGCCCTAAGAGTAAGAATCAATTTCACGTCTACTGAGGTGAACAACTGATCAGCAAGTGACATTTTTGTGTTAATCTGCAACGCTGGCTATAATTGGGTGTAAATCTAGCAAATATTTGTTTGTAGCGTTTTTGCAAATGAACTTTTCTAAATAAAAGAGCTTTTAGCAAGTAAGAAAGGAATCTGTAGCATGCAAAAAACCAAAACAAAATACGACTCTGTCCACCTGGCATTGAAGGATCCGTCAGACTTATGTGTCATTTACCGATATGGGGAATTTTGAAATATTACCAGATAACCAGCTGTCATTGCGACGTGATGGATAGTCACTCGTGAAACAGGGTGTATTTCTGATGGGAATCACCATGTATAGTAGTCCCTCATTCGCCTAGAGCATTCTCGCGACTTTTCTAAAGAAAATCTGGCAACGCAAAGTTGCCGCTGGCGTCGCCTACTTCCCTGATATGACGTACGTCGGCTTATACGATTTTCTTGAATTACAATTCACATACGCTCAAAGCAGGCAATCACATTTTTTTGATCATGTTTTAATTTTTACGCGACCGCGGTTCAATCCAGCATGTTTTTTAAACGATTTTAACGTCGCTAACGAGCTAAGAAGCGATTACAGGGTGAGTCAGCTGTATTCAGCCCTAATTAAGGCCTTTTTTAGCTGAATGTAAATTAGTGGAATTCATTCTATTCGAATGTTTATAATTTCATGGGCACATATAGGGTGATCGTGCTAGTTTTAACCGCATCTCGCAACCTTTTGAATTTATTCACGGAAAATATTGAATTAAATAAATAGGTATAATATAAATTTTATAAACATGGTAGCAAACATGTGATAGATGGTTTTCCTATTAAAACAAAATTCAGTTAACATACTTAAAGTTGATTATTATTATTTGCTATCTGATATTTGAATAGATTTTCAACTATTTCCTGCAATAAAATAAAACGGCTTTGAAACGGCTTTAGCTCCTTTATAAAATTTCATGCTAATATATTCATAAACAATATTTTCTTACTTATTTTGTAATCGCGAGAAATGTCGATATCGTGACATTGTTTTTTAGATGTTACATGCATCAGAAAGAACCATGTCAGTCATTTTCGTCTGTCGGTCTATCGGTCGTCTATACGGTAATCCTTGGTCCCTCTATATAACTTGGAAAGTTCTGGTCATATTTTGATGAATTTCTTGCGTAAGGTTACTGCCATGCCAAGTACGAAAAAGCTTTGTGAATTTTGAAAATCCATCCAGTGCCGGCGTAGTTATGGGAGACAAATGAAAAAATTCAGAACGTACCTCAAACTTTGTTTATGGATGATCTTTGGACGTAGTGAAACGCTATTTCGGTAGAAGTAGGATTTTAAAAGCATCTCAAACCCCGTTTTTCACCGTTTTCAACTTTCGAACACAGTATAATAGCCAAATTTCTGGAAGTAACATACCTTCAGACATACTTTACTCAATATATCATTATTTTCATAACAAGTTTTTAGCTGATTCATCCTGTATTTATAATTTTACTGATAAATAATGCCTGTTTATCGGCAAACAATATCAGTGGATAGAAATAACTGATAAACGTGAATATGTTTGAAGAAAGCAACTATTCAGGTACCTCACACATTATTTGTACACTATTCTACTGATATTGCTACATAACTTATTATACGGGGACGGTCCGATAAGTACTGGACGTATCAAAGAAAAACGATAATTCATAAAATAAGTTTTTAAGCTTTGAAACACCCATTTTAAGTTTTTTCGGCTTCTTTTGGATCTCATATGTAGAGATGCTCAGGTTTGCACTTTTTAATTCCTTCAGTATAGCCTAGGTTATGAATAGGAGGTACTTGTAAAAAAATGTGAACAGTACTCATTCGTCTTCTGTTAAACAACTCGCTTTTCCAAAAAGTCGGTCGTTGTTTGCATATTCGTAGTTTGCTTGAGATATGCAATATTGTAGTGTTTACATGTTGCGAACGTGAAATCTAGAGTAAACCTACTTGACGCTAACTTTAATGCGGTTAACATAACGCTTTCGTAATTAACAGGAGGAACATTAACATATTTCAAGGTGTCGTAATTTTTAATTTGTACATATATCGGACTTTGCCCGGTTTCATTTTTTATTAGTCCTCATTTTGTAGGAAATATAATATAGAGGGTGTCCCTAAATATAATAATAATTTCCGCAGTCAGTTTGATACTACGGCCCTTAGGAGGGTTACAAGCGTTAGATTTTCTATTACAAACTGGTTCTACGGAATTTCAAGATTTTACTTCCCACGGTGACGACGGAGAAAAAAGTCAAAAAAGAAAAGTATAAAAACTGATAAAACTCCGTTTCAGAAAATCCTACCATTTTTGATATTTTTTTAGAGGTAAAAAATGACAGGGTCGGGGTTTGTAGGACATTTTTATGATGTCAGTATATGTAATAAGTAAGACTTTGGATCCCCGCGTCATTCTAGATTTGAAAAAATATAAGAATGAAACAAATTTGGAATATCTCCCATGGAATCTTAAAGAATTGTAAAGTGTCTCTGGTGAGAATTTTTGTCGTCTATAAAATATTGAGTTTGTTATGGCATTTACAATTTTTAATTCTAAAATTCCAACAACAGCAACTCATTTGATATTGTTGACATCTTATAATTCTCGCATTTGAGAAAAAACAACTGTTGCAACACATTATATTTATACTTTATGATTTCGGAATCGCCGACGTGCCGGTCCCAAACATTAGAATGTCACCTTTATCAATCACACAATAACAAAAATAAATGAAACATATCAATGACATTGTTATCATCCAAAATATAAGCTTGCACTCCTAGATTACCTAATGTATTATTTTTATTTTTGGATTATTTGATATTAATGCGTTCCGTCCATTAACATCTGTCCAGCAAAATTGATTGATTCAAATATAGAGCAATTATCCACTCCAAAATGAGTTATTAGTTTGCTTATAAAACGCTTTTTTATGAGTTGTTAGCTCATTCTCCATTTAATTTTGTAGAATTGATTGTATACAGGGTGTGCCAATAACACGCCCGGTGTTTTAAATTCGGTATTACAATAAGCTGCGATATTTCTAATATATCCAAGTAAAATCAATCTTTCTCATATACGGCTATTATACTGCTACGTAAATAAAGGTATATTGTATTTGATATGTTGAAGTACACACTTCTATCAAACGATAAAACAGTTGGTATTTTTTATGACTAGCTGTTATGTAACATTCATGCGATTTCAGCGTTATTGTATGTACTCGGGTTCAATAGTATTATAACTGCACAGTATCGGCTTTTACGGTTGTAACCTGAGGAAACGAAGATCGAGAGGGAAAGAAAGACACACGAGGTCCACAACAAGAGCCAACCTACTTCTGTAGTTGCATATGTGCATTCATTTCGGGCCTGATGAAGCCAACCAGCAGAAATACGTACCGCTCGGGTTACCTATTCTATTTTCTGCTCGAATCCACTTTCCTTCTTTTTGCGGATTTTGCCCATTATTTTCGTATTTCTGTTGTGGTAGTCATTTTTGAAATGGATAATAGGGGGAGTCAAAACAAGTCAAAAAGTTTATATGACCCATGGTCCAAAAGTCAATAGATTTTTGTCTTAATGGCTTTATAGTTTACAACTTTAAGTGCTTTATATCGACCACAATCGCCACAACCTTACTAATTTTTATAATATAATCTAAAACGCTTTTAAATTGGGTAACTAACAAAATTTGTAGTCGTAAGTAAGTTTCATTAAATTAAATATTTAAAACACACATGGCAACAGCGCGTCGGTTCTTATCGAACCGGCAATCGATCGCAAACGGTAACAGTGGTTAGTTATCGTTTTGCGTAGCATCGGGCGTGTTGTTTTGTATTTGTTCGCGTACGTCGTCGTGTTTATTTACAATGTTCTCGAATCAAGAGTTCGCCGACATGTTGTTAGTTTACGGTGAAGCTCGTCAGAATTCAAATCTTGCAGCTCAAATTTATCGCGACAGATTTCGCCAACGGGTACACCCAGACAGAAGGACATTTGTGCAAGTGTACCAAAGACTTCGAACTGAATATTTTTGAAAAACTGTAAATCTACCGTTGACAAAACCTTGCTGACACGAGCAATGCGGTTTTGAAATTTTTACGTCTTTCTGGTCCATCCTGTACTCGGCATTTCAAAATTTTCTAAACGGCATTTTGTTAGTTATCTAAATGCGCAACTGGCGAGGGTCGAGTTTTAAACACCGGGTATCCGACATAAAAATGTTATTCTGTATACGAGAATCCGCTCCTGCATTTGTAATTATGATATTGTTAATGCTCGCACAGTTGATAAGGATTCGTTGATTAGTATAACCCGGTAAGAGATCATTGCAAGTACACACGATCGTTGTATATAAGTGAATACACAATGACCTTGACTAACCTTTAGCTGCTGCTACTGGCGATTAGACTTAATGACACTTTCACTAATGCAAATGTGCTTCAGCTAGACGGACCAAACGCAAGTTTAGTATTTTTTTCGAGACCGTGAGGTGCACTGCCATCTAGGTGTATAATTTCTATATCATAAGGTAAACATCTAATGTTTTACAATTCAGAGCTTCGGAGATATTTGCATTACCTTGAGACTTTTATTCGTGGATAAACTGCATTCGTTGTAATCCTATAGTTTATTTAATTATTCGGTTTAGTGTTGTATGGTTATTTGTGGAATGATGAGATTGCTGCAATATACAGGGTGTTCGAAAAATAGACGGAGATATTTTCTAGGGTGATTCCTTGTTAAACAATATGTAAATATTTTTTTATTAACAACTTAAAAAATATTTACACGTTTTTATTGAAATTTTGCAATTTCATTTGTTGTACTAAGAGGATAATTTAGCCCTAAATAGGTTAAAATTAGGTCCAGTGGCGTTCCGGGGAGCACATTAGCGAACATTATTTGCAAAAAAATGTACGCCACTGCTTTTTTTGCAACCTTAATATTTGTTGTTTGATTAAGCATCTAAAAATATATTTTCTTTGCCTCTTGTATTTTTTTCGTATATCACTTAGTTTTCGAGAAAAAAAACTAAAAACCGTTTTATTGCATACGACTGGTCAAGATTGGTTTACGATTTTTGCTAAAAAAAAATCACCAGTGCCTCTCTAGTACCACTATACCAGAAATAAATTCTACTGTTAGAAGATCATGTTTAGAAAATAATCGCAACCTCTTTTAACACCTGTTCTGAATTACACAAAAATAAAGTTAAAACTCATTTTATAAAAATTTACCCCGTCATATCTTTATATAATATGCATCTATCAGTAACCACCCTGTATAGGAATGTGTAGGGTGGAATTTCTCGTGCGTGAGAAGAACGAATAATATCCAAGGCATCAGGCACAACTACTGATACAACCAATATAAATCAAGGATTTCATTCCTTTCACGCCTCTCGCAAAAAACACGAAATACTCGTTCGAACCACTTAGGCCAGGAACAACGTTTTTTCCTACAATTGTTGCAATAGTGAATTTATTTGGTGGTATTGTTAGATGGTTTCCTACTGATAAGTTCAAATTGGCGTCGTGATACGGCTGAAGCATTTGCTGCGATTTCGATACACGCCTTTAATCGAAAATCTCGAAAACCATCCATGTCATAATTTCTGTAGGGAATTAAATTCTCTATCACTCTGCTTCTATAAAAATTTGCCGTATAATCAACAGGTTACGAGAAATTTAAGAGTTAAGGTATATGTAATTAGATGCTAGCTTATGATACCTAAACCAACAAGCTAAGCGTTACAAAGACTCTTATCCTAGAGAATAAAATGTTCTACAAAAAAGGTCTCATGCATTTGAATCTGTGAAAGTTTGTGATTGTAGAAGCTGCGTTGTGATTTTTCGGTGCACGATGCATGCTCAACACCGTCATCATACTTTTTATCAACATAAATAAAATCACTCATTTAGCAATAGATACAAATTTTTTGTATAGTAGATTCTATTATCTATCACTTTCTTCTAGTTTTCTTCTTTTTATCATCCAGGATTTTTGCCTCGTCTGTCATTTTGTTTTTTAATGACATAATGTTAAACCAACAGGAACACGTCACGTCACGTCTTATCATCGTTTTCATCATCATTCGCATTTATTTGACGCCTTTTGAGATGGGATCTCAAAATAAATTGCATGTCGTTATTGCTATTTTTGTCATTAAGTCGGCATAGATAAAATTTCAATTCGGAGTAACTTCTTTCAAAACTTCCATTACCAACTTTGTTTTTTTTTCATACGGACGCTATATTGGAGCTTAGTACATTCCAATGATGTATTTCCTTAGTTGGCCATGAATCTGGTGTATGAAACAAATGACTATCTGATAATTCCATGGCCTACCTAGGAAATTCTGTTTTTTGAAATAATTGAGGTTTGGCAATGTCGATGTAAGACATATGCTACAGTTTTGGAATCGGAATTAAACATTCTACTATTCTGTGCAAAATCCAATATGGCGTCCTTAAGAAAAAATGGAGTTAGTGCTGGAAGATAAGGGACGAAACGTTATATTGAAATTCTAATTATGCCATCTTGTGTAAAGCGGCATTTTGTTTGTTACCCATTAAAGCGACTTCGTATCTATTACCGATTTCCCAATGGACACCCAGTATAGGAAGAATGTAGTAATAAACCAAACGTTGTCGTGAGATAAAAGTCAGTCAATTTGAATGATTTTTTTACAGGCCTAAAGACAGACACGACACGATGAATCCCGGCAGTCCGAACGCTTTATATCCGTTCAAAAGGCCGTGGATGAGGGACAGCGGGGCTGCAGCACCAGCGGCGGGTAATACGGGTATCAAGGGGATCATAGCGGGTAAGTTTTTCAAACTTGCTTTGAAATTGTGTTCGTTTTGGTTTTTACCAAGGTAAATCCAAAAATGGCTTAGCTGGTAATATTTGTCGTCAGTTGGGTGGAATTCCACATAATCTCATGTGGGAAAAAGGCTGTTAGCAATTTTTTTTATAAAATTTTGGTATAGACGGAGATATTTTAAAGTTACTGTTCTCTCCAAAAAAAAAGTTTGGGGAGCCAGGTGGCAAGTGAATTGGTCCATCTGTTCCAACCCAATTTTCACCAAAGGTGTTATTCAGATGAGTTCTGGCAGGTATACTAAAATGAGGAGGAGCTCCATCGTGCATAGATGTTATTTGGTTGCGTACATTTAGAGGAACTTCTTCTAGCAGTAAGGGCAATTCTTGCTGAAGAAACTCTAAGTAAAAATACCGTTCCGAAAATATCGAGATTTGAATTGGGGTAAAATTTTCCATGCTACAAAACAACTGTCCGCCAGTTTAGACATTAATCATCTTGTGGAGGAACCTGAATGAATAATTTAATTTTTTGTAAGAAATCTTCTTTGCATTTAATTTTTGCCGAGCTAGGAAAAGGGGAGCAACTGCCCCCCCTGGGTTCGCCCTTGAATCACCATCACCCAGGTGATGACTTATGTACACAAAACAGAAATTGTGTCATAATCCTTTCCAATTTCTCGTAATACCAGCATAGTTAAAAAACATGATACGCCAAAATAAATGCATTAATAACATCATTTTGAACTCATAATGTGTCTCATTCCAGCAAACGCCGAACTTTTGTCTGATTTTAAAAAAACCGTTGGCACTGTCCTTCAGATTCATTAGTGTATACAACTGGAAACCAGTTTGAATGTATGGGAATTAATAAAATGTGCACGACCTACTTAACACGCTGCAAAGTTTCAGACGGATCCTGTATTCAATTACGGATTGTTACAGTTTAGACGCTTTCGAGGGAAACATTTCAAACTTGATTTGTAGTTTTATATCACGCTTGTTAGATGACCCTTAACGGGGCTCCTACAATCACGAGTACCATCTGCTGAGGTAACGGGGGCGTGAAAAGTAAACGAGGGTGGGCTGGGCCTAGACGGTCGTCGGCGCTACTTTAAAAGAGGAAAGGATGACTGCGGGTGCATACCAAGGTAAATTTTTATAATAACAGAGTTGGATTTCGATTAGCGATCTAGCTTGTACTATTTTGGTACTCAGCAAGTGATCATTTAGTATTTTTCTCCCCTTGTTACTGTTCGTCGATATTGTGTTGTTGCATTGTTGTTGGTGTGATTGTTCTTGAGCGCCTTTTTTCATCAAGGCTGATAATGGACAATAAAGGGTCATATGCGACCATTTTAATTACGAATGCAGTGAGTTTAATTCATGATGAGGTCATACCATGGAAGATGTGCCGCAGCTGTAGTGAGCCACAATACCCAGCGTGCTGTATATGTGGTCTAAATACATTTGCGTTCTAAGCTTAGTCCAACCTCGCTTATCGCTAAGATGGTACAAAGACTCAAACGCAAGAATCTTGAAAAGAAACTCAGACCAAAAAAAGCTGATATAAAAATAACTGACAATTCCAAAGAAAATGAATAGTTTTATGGCGAATTCAATCAAAAACCTGACATTACCTACGTTGATTTGGAGGTTGCTAAGCGAAAATTTTTAGGGAAACTTAAACAAAGTGACGATGAGATTTCGCAGATCGAACAAGTCACCAAATCACAGGACTGTACTTTGTCGCGCCTTCATCGGAGGATAAGGTTGACAGCGTCTCGATTTGGTGAAGTTGGTAGAAGAAGGCAGACAACAAGCTGTAAAGTTCTAGTAAACTCTATCATATACCCAACAGAGTTTTCTAGTAACGCAATGAAACAGGCAATACAAAAATCATGGGACACCGCAGTTCAGTCTTGTGGTTTGTTTATTGATCGCACACATCCATTTCTGGCAGCATCGCCTCCATCTACCTATTACAGTAGACAAGAAATGTACTTAATCCAAGTATAAGCCTACCTGTTTATTGCTTTGCAAAAACTACCTAACTGTGTACCTTAAGATGGACATTAAAACTCTGTTAAATATTAATATTTTGGAGGTTGACTAGTATGTGATTTAAGGTCCAAATCATCTCCATGAGGCTTTCTTTATTTTAAAGCATTGTTATTTGTGTGCGTCCCTCGGTACGCACGGTATTTTTCAAACTCTTCAAAGTTTCAACATTGACTTAGATACTTGAAAAGAAATAATAATTGTTGATTGGGGTTTCAAGCGTTAAAAATTAGACATCGCGTATAACTCGAAAATGACATAAAAACATTAATACACTTTGGAGCGAAACAACAAGTTTTTTGCAATTATTTAAAACAATTGTTCGTCCGGCAATTCATGTTAAGCAGCACCCAACAAAAAAAGGAGAGAAACATTCTTGTTCCATATCAGTAAAATTAATCACCCACGCAAACATCTCTCAAAGGTGATCGGTCAACGAATATTATTATCATCAGAAAAAAGCTACAAAAAGCTGAAACATCACAGGCATACCGAGTTAACCAATACAAATCGTAGATCTCATTCCTTTCCACCTGCCACAAAAAACGCTAAATACTCTTATTCGTAAACAGAATTAACCGCACAAAAAAAATGTCTAACGTGGTTGGTGGACCAATAGGATCATCGTTTGCAGAATCTATCTAAGAACCGTTTACTAGACGTAAAGCGAATGGGCGGGGCTTTGGTAGTTTTTTGTGGTTCACGAGATATTATTGGTTACCTATTTAGAATTACCTTTGTTTTTGCTTTGTAACCTGTACGGAAGGTTGGGAACGCAGTAGATAGAGTATCTTTAGTCGTTAAAATGCCAAGATCTCGGAACTAGGTTCCGCTGAATTTATTTGTCGAGGTTTTTAGTGGAATTCATATAAAATACTATGTATTAAAAATTATTTTAACTATTATTTTGGGATTTTTGAGAGGCCTGTTATGCCTTGACTGAGGGAAACTCGTAATATAATCTAGTTATCGCCATTTTTCACAAGCTTCTCAGCTATTATGTGTGAAACAAATCTTGAAACGGAATTTTGAACAAGCTACTAGAACCTTAACGAACTGAAGTGAAATTTTATATGCATGTTTGGTTCGCGTGACAATAGATAATGAATTGAATACCGCCATTTGTCATTGCCATACGCGTATCAATTGAAAGGCTTGACGAGATAAACACAATAAGCAAAGTGACGGCATTCCAAATCTAATACGTCACCGCAAAATTGCGATTATAATTTCCACAGTCATTCCTATGATATGGGTATCAAATGGAAGGGTTTATTCAGAGAAATATGAAGGCAGTCTAAATCCAATATGGCGGAAGTCTAATATGACAATTATTGTGACATTATGCCTATTTGTTTTGACATTATGCTGGTTTTTTTGACATTATGTAGGTGTTTCTACAAGATGTTAACTTAGCATTTAGTTGTACGTGTTGCTTAAACGTTATCAATCTTTGGGTCTGATGTGATGTAAAATCAGCTTCTGAGATGTCATTACTGGAGGTCTAAGCTGTAAGTTGTATGTGTTGATGATAATTACATTGGGTTTTTGTCTCAAATACACTTAATTGAGATTCAAAGCTAGAAATTAGTTGCGCATCCACTTTTTCTTATCCATTCTGGAAATTACATATACAGATTTGCTGAATTTATTATTATTATTATTATGTCTTTATTGAGCATTGTTATATACAATGCAGAAATCTGCAACAGGGCGAAGTCTAGCCTAAGCTACTCTACTTAACCCTAAATAAAAGCTAACAAGGAAGAAAGCCACAGATAATACATAAAATGCAATCATCAGAAGTGATCAAATATAAAATAGCATAGAAAATATGAGATAATTTGAATGAAAATAAACAAAAGCCTAAGACACAAAACCGCAAAGCGAAGAGTATATAATCAAAAACTATTGAACTATCCATTACATTGACCATTGTAATAAAATTGCCTTACCAGGACTTTCAACAATGAGAGAGATAAGAAATAATTATATCCAACGTACACTGTCGAATTACAAGCCATATACATGCTAACAGTAATTACACACAACGCGGGCGCGGTGATGATTTCCCGTAATTCCCCTCAGTTTTTCGTAATTTATAACTTTGAACATAACCTCCCTTCACTGATTTTATACACATGCAGACCCAATACACATAATCATCCAGATGCGATCTTGCTATTCAACCAACTTTCTTCTCAGAGATAGAAACCACAGACACGGATCACTCGGTCTCACAAAACTATGCAACCAATAATGCGTGTGGTTTAGTTGAGTGATTCCTCCATAGATGGACGTTCACAACGATCCTAGTGGTAAATCGTAATAAATCGTAATAAATCGTAATAAATCGTAATAAATCATAATAAATCGTAATAAATCGTAATAAATCGTAATAAATCGTAATAAATCGTAATAAATCGTAATAAATCGTCATAAATCGGAATAACTAATAATAAATCGTAATATATCGTAATAAATCGTTGTAATTCGTAATCAATCGTAATAAATCGTAATAAATCGTCATAACTCGTAATAAATCGTAATAAATCGTAATAACTCGTAATAAGTCGTAATAAGTCGTAAAAAATCGTAATAAATCGTAATAAATCGTAACAAATCGTAATGAATCTTAATAAATCGTAATAATCGTAATAAATCGTAATAAATCGTAATAAATCGTAATAAATCGTAATAAATCGTAATAAATCGTAATAAATCGTAATAAATCGTAATAAATCGTAATAAATCGTAATAAATCGTAATAAATCGTAATAAATCGTGATAAATCGTGATAAATCGTCATAAATCGTAATAAATCGTAATAAATCGTAATAAATCGTATAAATCGTAATAATCGTAATAAATCGTAATAAATCGTAATAAATCGTAATAAATCGTAATAAATCGTAATAAATCGTAATAAATCGTAATAAATCGTAATAAATCGTAATAAATCGTAATAAATCGTAATAAATCGTAATAAATCGTAATAAATCGTAATAAATCGTAATAAATCGTAATAAATCGTAATAAATCGTAATAAATCGTAATAAATCGTAATAAATCGTAATAAATCGTAATAAATCGTAATAAATCGTAATAAATCGTAATAAATCGTATAAATCGTAATAAATCGTAATAAATCGTAATAATCGTAAAAAATCGTAATAAATCGTAATAAATCGTAATAAATCGTAATAAATCGTAATAAATCGTAATAAATCGTAATAAATCGTAATAAATCGTTATTGATCGTAATAAATCGTAATAAATCGTAATAAATCGTAATAAATCGTTATAATTCGTAATCAATCGTAATAAATCGCAATGAATCGTGATAAATCGTGAAAAATCGTAATCAATCGTTATAATTCGTAATAATCGTAATATTCGTAATAAATCGCAATAAATCGTAATAAATCGTAATAAATCGTAATAAATCGTAATAAATCGTAATAAATCGTAATAAATCGTAATAAATCGTAATAAATCGTAATAAATCGTAATAAATCGTAATAAATCGTAATAAATCGTAATAAATCGTGATAAATCGGAATAAATCGAAATAAATCGTACTAAATCGTAATAAATCGTAATAAATCGTAATAAATCGTAATAAATCGTAATAAATCGTAGTAAATGGTAATAAATCGTTATAATTCGTAACAAATCGTAATAAATCGTAATAAATCGTAGTAAATGGTAATAAATCGTGGAATGACTGTTTGCGCCCTAAAAACTACCTAGTCTGAAAATTGACATCTTATAGGTTTTTTTGGAAGTTTCATAGGTTTTTTACATGATACCCGTGCTGTATGAAGTATGAAACGGCATATTTAAAATCGGAAAAAAATATTTTTGAATTTGAGTTTGAGCTGATTAAATGCGTGTTTTTATAAATATATTTTTTCTTTTCTCATTGTTCTTTTATATCCACTAATTCGCTAATTTCTTTTAGGTGGTATAACCGGGGGTATAGAAATATGCATAACATTCCCAACAGAATACGTTAAAACACAATTGCAACTAGACGAAAAAGGTGACAGGAAGAAGTATAACGGTATTTTCGATTGTGTGAAGAAGACTGTAAAAAGTCATGGGTTTTTCGGACTTTACAGGGGGCTTAGCGTGCTGTTATATGGATCTATACCCAAGAGTGCGGTGAGGTAAGCAGTATTTTGTTACGGCATTGATTAACATATTCCACCACAAGATACCCAATCCAGTTGAAAATAAAAAATGCTTATGATTAAAACTGTATGCTTGTTGACCACCAGTGTTGCCACCTCTCAGAAAGCTTTTTTTGTTATGAGATTTTCTTTTCCATCTTTGAGGAAATCTTATAAACAAATACACTAAAACAGTTTTTTTTCTATTGTTTCTAAGATGATTGCTAAGATCCTATTTGGCAACATGGGCCAGACAGTAGAAGCTGTATATGAACGTTCAAGTATAGCATATGGAAGATCATCTTTTAGTATACAAAGTGAATATTTAGTGTGGGCTCGATCGATTACTCCGATATTATGCATGGTATCTGGAAAAGTTAAAAAAAGATTGTAGTATGCTCCTACTCGGAATATATTTTTATCTCTACAGGATGATTTATAACTACGTGGTGATTAAATGGAAAATCCTACATTTTAACGCAGACTCTGATAAGAACTTCCAAACGAAACAATTCATTATAAGCACACTATAAGGTTTTATTTTCAAATTGTTGAGATACTGGAGAGTCTATCGAAAAAAAAAACAGTCAACTTTGACAGCTCGCATCTTAGCAGCTGTTACATCTGGAATACTGAATTTTCCGCCAGAAAAAATTATGATTCAATAGTTTTTTCCAAATTATCTGCTTCAGTTTTTTTGATACTTTATACAGGGTGGTAAATAACGCAAAGTGAACTATTTCTCAAAATTTTCAGATTCTTTGGTTCCTCCCTCCACTAGATTTTCGCTGATATAATGTTCATTGGGTTTGTGTTTGACTTTTCGACTTTATTGCACAAAGTTGGATAAATTTTATTTATAATGAAAATAATGAAATATGAATGGTATTCTTTAATTTGAAAGACATTGTAATATTTGCATTAATATCTTATTTATAAAAAACGTTGGCTATTTCCCAAAAACCAGTCGAGATACTCACATAAGCATATATCAAAAGAAGCCTGTGAAAAGTGAAATCAAAGAATGTGAACATGTACGGGGTGTTATGAAAATTTTGATCACCCTGTATAAACTGTGCAGAAAACTGAAGTAAGTAGTTAAGGCGGAAATATGGTACAATAAAATTGTTCTGGAGAAAAATTCAGCACTCTAGTTATTGAAAAGTGAGAATGTGCGAGTTCTCCAAGTCGAGTGTTTTTTTCGATAGATTCTCAAATATCTTAACAAATTGAAAATAAATCCATATAGTTTCTTATATAAAATTGCTTGGAAAAGACTGTCTAAATATGCAATAATAGGCGTCATTCCGTTTAAAAAAGTATGCTTGGATCAACACGTAGTTATGAATCACCCTGTAGAGATAAATATTTAAATAAATAAGAAACATACAATTTTTGTACTTAACTTTTTCAGATACCGTCGTAATATCCTAGTTGAACTCACCCTGACTTTTAGTCAATCGAGCTAGCGTATACAGAGCGTCCCAACAAAAATGGAAAGTAGTTTTTATGGGCAAACTGGAAAATTATCAAAAACCTGATGTCGTGGCAACCTTATTATGTTGCCAGTACATATTTTAAAACTATTTTTATATATACAGGGTGTTCCATAAAAAACATTTTTATTTGTTCAAATAGAACACCCTATATTTTATTGCATATTCGAAAAGAGCTTCTAAAAGCAAGAAGTTTGATATCATATAAGATATGGTTTCTATTGACAAATTGTTTAGATATTTGGTCAAACCTCTGAGCTTTGAATGTTCGCAGGTCCAAAATTTTTGAAGATATCACGATAAATCTTAATCCTCAAATATTTATTATCATCGATTGCAAACTGAGGAAGAAAAAGTGCTGAAATCTCTTTTCATTTATACAAGGTATCTCAAAACGCAAAACGTTCATTTTCTAAAAAATTAAAATGGAACACCCTGTATATTTCTACATCGTTAAATAGTATTCAGGCGAACTTTTTTTGTATATATTTAAATATGCGCTAGTAACATGTCAAGGTTGTCACGGAAAAAGTTTTTTGACATCTTTTCCAGTTTGCTGAAAAAAAATTCCATATATGAATAGAGTTTGCTGTTTTGATATAGACGATATATCTACCAATTTTAGATTTGGTTCCTTTGAGACCTTCAAGAAACAAATGGTACAGGAAAATGGTACCTTGACCCCAGGGGGTCGGCTATTGTGCGGTTTAGGAGCCGGGGTCAGTGAGGCCGTTCTGGCGGTGACACCTATGGAGACAATTAAGGTTAAATTCATCAACGACCAGAGGACGGGGAACCCTAGGTTCAAGGGTTTCGTCCACGGAGTAGGGTTGATCCTCAGGGAACAAGGTAAAGTAGAGGGAAAGAGTACGAACTGCTTTTTTTGCATCGTGGAAATAAATGAACTTTTTTTTCCAGGAATTGGTGGAGTATACAAAGGCCTAACAGCGACAATAATGAAGCAAGGTTCGAATCAAGCTATACGGTTTTTCGTGATGGAAACGCTCAAGGATATGTACAAAGGCGGAGATAAAGACAAGAAGATACCTAAATATGTAGTAGGGGCATTTGGAGCATTTGCAGGTACGTACCATGGGCGGAGTTGGAGAAAGTTTTCTGGGGGCACACTTATACGTTTTATTCTTTATTTCTTTTTTAAATTTTACCTTCGTCTTAGATTTTGTGCACATTCAGATATGCAATTTACATTTCTTTCGATTTTTGGCGTCAAAAAGGGTCTTCACTTTTTGAAAAACAAACTTTGACCTTGAAATAACCTTTAATGTTGGGCTAAAGGTCAATATTGGAACTCTTGTCCAAAGCTAAAGCCTGACCTTATTTCTCCGCCAATCCTTGATCCATCTACAACTTGGAAAGTACTGCTCGGATTTCGATAAAATTTTTACACAAATTTTCTCTACTATGCCAAGCTCGGGAAAGCTTTATAGTTTTTGAAAATCGGTCCAGTGGCGGCGGAGAAAAATGCCAAAAAATTAAAAATCGCTCAAACTTCTTTTTTTGACGTTTCAAAACGAAAAATTTCTCAGGGGTAAAAAAATTACCCCAGTAATTCTAAGCACCTTTTAGACATATTTCACATATTATAGATTTCGCCCTAAAAGTATTTCAACAGACGAATCGCGTACCTATCGGTCGCATTTGCCGCGCGCCACGGGGTTGTAAATATTGCATCTTTGGCAGCGGATCCGATGGACTTATTAAAGCAGAGCGGTGTAATTTAATGAGATTGCTTGATTTCGTGAGGTAATATGACACAGTATAGTATTTAAATGAGTATCAAGAGCTATTGTAATCAGTTATCAAACATCTTTGATAAACACTTTAACAATAGAGCACACGCACATTACATCTTTTTTTCATGAAAATCTCATAGTGCACTAACCTACATCTTGTTTTGATGTCATGTGCTACATGCAAAATTTTACTAGAAGTTGCGGAAGGCGTGGGAAATATAGAGTCAATCTATTTGACGCATGAGAAACGACAGAGATTGATTTATTATTTTTCTAGGTGCCTGTTCGGTGTACGGAAACACGCCCATAGACGTGATAAAAACTAGAATGCAGGGCTTGGAAGCATCAAAGTACAAAAACACCTTGGATTGTTTCATACAGATATGGAAGAACGAAGGCCCGTTTGCGTTCTATAAAGGAACCGTACCGCGGTTAGGAAGAGTATGCTTGGATGTCGCTATCACATTTATGATTTATGACAGTTTCATGGAAGTGTTCAACAAGATTTGGCCATAATTTATCCCATACTTTCTATATTAGAAAGTGGACGCATTTTTAATAGTTGTTTTGTAAAAAGGGAGGGGTGGAGGTTGTCAAAGATTCTATAGATTGTTTATAAGGATTTTTTATCTGCATTACTCCTACTCTAGAGAGCTTTAGAGGTACTTCAAAACAGGGTAATCGATATTTGCAATTTTTATGACTTTTACACATATTCTAACAAGTTTTTGTTTCTTACCATATATTGATATGCTCCATTTCTCAATCGTGTTGAGCTTCTAGGGTTGCGTATAGACTATATTAACGAGTGATCGATTGTTTTTTTCCACGTCCCCTCTCGAGTCTGGATCGGGGCGTTCCGACGTCGGCGCGGTTTTTCGTTTATTTTTAACGGTTCGCGAAAGGTTTTATCGGAAAACGATACCGTTTCGGAAACTAGAAACTCGGCGCTTTACGAGCCAGTAAGAACCGTCTAGGTACGAGGACGAAGTATGTTTTAAAACGACTGTTAAAGTCTAAAAGAAGGGTCGATTTTCGTGCTGTTCGATATTCAATTTATATCTCCTCCAAAGATAACCGAGATACGGACCTGGCGACTTTTGCATAAAAAAGCCCATACTCCGGACTCTAGGATGAAAGTATTTTCATCTCGTTATTCCGTTCCGTTGTAAAGTTTCGATTTTTTAAAATTTCTCGACTACTTTTCGATAGATGACCATGTTTCCGGCTGTGTCCGTATTGCTACTATATGTATGCAAGATAAAAATGATATAGCGATTGAAAAATAAACATTTTGAGCGTAGGAAACGATCCTGACTGTTAGAATTCCCGTCAGATGTCGAAAAAGCAAACTTTTAGGGCCTCAAAGGTATCTGATGACAAGCCATTTTTCGGCGTACTTTGTCTTCTTCGTTACGAATCGAGATAGCTACGATTTTTTTTAGAAAAACGAAAGACCAAATTAACATATTTTGTGATACATACTTTTCACCCTTAACGTTCCATGAATTTTTGGGTTGGAAAGGGTATCACAAATCCAATTTGTATTGTGTATTTGTATTGATTATTCTAAATGCTTTTAGTCATGAGTTATAAAAAAATAACAAAATTATGTTACCTAATATTTCGTGATTCTTCTAATTTTTATCTTAAATTATTTATGTACATATTACGATAATTTTAATGCATTTATTTAATCATATCGTTATATTTTATTAGGTAACAGTTTCCTTGTAAAGTATAATACTTTGATATAATCATGTCGACTATTTAAATACATGTTTGGAATAGACTTTACACAAATGTCAAAAACATTGAAAAGCATTTCACTTTTTTAGAACACGACATTCCACAAAATGCATTTTAGCTTTACGTAGAAATAGATTCTACACTCCATAAAAGGTGAAAGCCCTTGGAAATGAAAACTAAATGAAATAGAACTCAGGGCGCTGGAATCATGCAGACAATTTTATTTTTTGCTATCCGTTAATGCTTATTTTCTTTTGTGTAACGATGCATTAGCGGTTTTAGAAGCCAGGTATACAGGAAAGTGTAACTATAACCAATTCTAGTGATGGAAATTTTATTCTACGACTATGCTGTGTAGCATCGATTTTTAATGAAATTCTAGGTGCCATCTTCGAATACTTTTTATACGAATGACGTTGAAATTGAAAGAGCCTGAAATCTAAAACTACGCTAGTCGCGTTCGTTTTGCAGGTGAAGTGAGACAGTCCAAATAGAGAAATGAGGCTGTCAGTTAAATACGTCAATATATTTCAGAACATAACCTAAACATGACCCATCCCTGATTATTTTAAGTAAACTGTAGAGTACTTTAATTGTGAACACAATTCAAATTCAGTGGATATTGGACCTAAACAAAATAAACTGAAGTGTGAGACAAGCGATTCTGAGATTGTGTGTAAAACGAACGTAGCTACTCTTTACTAAGATACTTCAACACGTTAAAACATAACAACCATTACAAGCTGATCTTCCGTCCTCCAAAATATCCCATACCTTTCTAGCGACGCCGAAGTTTTTATGCGATTAGTTTTGCACAAAGTAAGTAGTAAATTTTTTGCATTATGATAAAATCGAATTAGGAATTAACCAAATTTTAAATCAATATTTGTTCTAAGTAGCTCTGATACGTTACTGAATTTTCATTGTTGCCCATATTTCAAAATTAACACAATAGACGTCAGAACGTGTTGAAGTATCGTGGACAATTGTCTAATTTGCGTTTACAATTGAAACTTATTTATCTCTTTTTGCATTTATACGCATTTTTCCGTACCGATGAAACTACAGTCCTAATACAGATGTTATATTTTTATACAAACAGAACTGTGTGTAATTTTAAGGTGAATATATATTTCGATTTGTCTTGAGACGCGAAATTGTAAAAATTGTTTAACCATATTTCTTTTGTTACGTCTTTTGTATCTTTTATTGAATTTGTTGCGAGCTATTTGTTGTTTCATGTTTGTGTTTATTTATGAAAAGCTAAATTAAAGAAATAAATGGGAGGCTGAATATAGACTAGTTGTTTTACTTGGCCCATAACCTTAAATTACACAGATTGTATTTCATTTTTCAAGTTTGATGATGCAGTTTGTCCTTTTTTTTGCTTGCATATCTGAAAATTTCGAATAGGAAAATAGGTCCGCTAAATTCTCAGGTTTTTATCCGGATACAGGTGCCATATATTAATATTTATTAATCTATTGTTAAAAGTGTCAGTATTAGAAAATCAAGGCTATTTTTCTCACATCTGATTCAAGCTTAACCTCCATGGCAAAACTTCGCTCCAGGGCTGTATCGTCAGTCGCTCCTACAATTGTAGGACGTCTTTATGGCGTCCTTGATCTTCATAGTATTTTCTCTCCTTCAGAAAGGCTGCTGTATTTCTAAATTTCTACTGTTCCGTCTCACCATCAGCTCTCTCCTAGTTATGGTTTATTTTTGAATTGTAGGAAATTTCAAGCTGATAAAACAGACGATGGAAATCAAAAGCATGAACAATTTGATGAAAATAGATATTTGTAACATAACCTCAAAATCGAGCGACTTTCTGAAGGACATCAAAAACTATGACAATCAAGGCGTACAAATTGTAGGACGCCTTTATGGCCTCCTTGATTTTCATAGTTCTTCCGTGTCAACGCACTATTCTGAGGTTATGTTACAAATATCTGTTTGCATCAAACCGTTCATGTTTTTGATTTTTATCGTCTGTTATATGGCCTGAAATTTCCAACAATTCAAGAAGAAAACATAGCCTGACAATAGGAGAGCGCTGACTTTGACACGGAAGAGTAGAAATCTAAAAAATATCCCAACCTTTCTCTAGGAGAGAAAAGATTGTGAAATGAAAATCAAGGAGGCCATAAAGGCGACCTACAATAGTAGTCTTGTATCTCCTTCAGAAGGGCTGGTGTATTTCTACTACTGGTTCGTGTTAGCGTCAGCACTCTCCTATTGTGAGGTTATGTTTTCCTTTTGAATCTCGAGAAATGTATTAAAACTTCTTTAGTGCGTTATTCTATTCGCCATTGACTGTCAGAGAAGTCCGTAGGAGGTTTGTTCTTGTATCATAAGTCGGGGACAAAGAAAGCCAAGAGAAAGCAGTGCGCTAATTTGAGGGTTGCCGTGGCATGGTTAACTAGTACAGAATTTCAAATTGATCCTGAAATTAATTTACAGATTGGTTGTTGATGAAAATCATAATTTTGGTTGAAACTAAAGTCGCACGTTTAAATTTTTTAATTTTCTGAAATATGGTATTCTGCAACATTTCGCTTTTAGCATATTTTTAAGAAAGTCCGAGATTTAATACATTTTCTACGAATTCTGCGTCCGATCCTAATAAAATGACACGCTCTGTAAAAATCACTTTTGATTATGTCAGAATTTTTTTGCTAAAGCGTCATGTCAGAGGAAACTGTGATAGTAAACAGTGTATAAATTAATGATTTTTCAACAAATAACGAAGTCAGATAACGAGAAATACCGATTCCTAGCGCAGATTTCTGATTTAATAGTATAATAAAATGAACATACATAGTTCCGGGGTTTTGCACCCATTCAAAAGGCAATGGATGAAGGAAAATGGGGCCGCAGCGGCTGCTCCTGGTAACACGGGGCTTAAAGGCATAATAGCAGGTGAGTTTGCCCAAAAAACACCAAATAGAACGTTTAGACAATAAGAGTGATAACATTGTAATTTAGCAGTGGACAGTTTTTCGCAGTTCAAGATCAAAATTTCCCAAGGGACGTGAAATTCCCCAATATTTGTAGGAAAATCCTCCAATATGGCAACCCTGGGAAGCTGTCTACTAACCTACCATTGACATAAAGGTGTAGGGTTGATTTAGCGTAGATGTTTTGTGGAGATGGGTACGACATAGGAAAACAGCTAAACAAAAATAAAATTGTTATGGACAGTGTTTCGTAGTTAAATATGGAATTAATTACCTAAAAAATATAGAACGATTTTATCCCCCGAAAATTCTCACAGGGACGTTAACTTCCCCAAATTTGGGGGAAAATCCTCCAATATGGCAACCCTGTTATCTTAAAATGATCTGTCACACGCTTGAGCTTGTGAAGGGTCATCACGTCGTCAGATAGACTATAAGCTATGAGATTCTCTAATCTACGAGTTTCTAACTGAATTCCAGGTGGTTTGACAGGAGGCATAGACATATGCATAACATATCCAACTGAATATATTAAGACTCAATTGCAACTAGACGAGAAAGGTGAAAAGAAGAAGTATGACGGTATAGTCGACTGCGTAAAGAAGACTGTAAAAAGTCATGGGGTCTTTGGATTGTATAGAGGGCTTAGTATTTTGATTTATGGTTCTATCCCCAAGGTTGGGATTAGGTAAGAACCGTAGAATGCTTGATTGTTTAACGCCGACGATAGCCAACCTTATGCTATATTCACACGACCAAAAATTATGGAGAGTTTTTCCAAAATCGATGTACTTTTTTCTTGACTTTGCTTCCATCACATGCAACCATCGATAATAAAAATGGGTTTTTAGCACCTCAAAGTCGCAGAAAACGCATAGTTTTGTAATTTTTCGCTAAATAATTAGATCTACATGATAAACGGGAACACATACATGTAAAACGACTTCGGATTCTATTTTAACGAAAACCCAAAGTAGGTATGCATAGGATTTTAATTCTTAGTTACCATGTATTATCTCGGATCATTTTTTAGACGCGGGAATATAGCACTGGGTTGAGTATTTCCTAAAATACGTCAATCAATAGCTAAACGTCCCAAATAGGTTTGGAGCTTTTGAGTCCTTCAGAAAGCGTCTGCTCCAAGAAGACGGAACATTATCACCTAGTCGTCGATTTTTGAGCGGTATGGGTGCCGGAATCACAGAGGCTATTTTCGCTGTCACACCTATGGAGACGATTAAGGTCAAATTTATTAACGATCAGCGGACAGGGAATCCCCGGTTCAAAGGACTCTTCCATGGAGTAGGATTGATAATCAAGGAACAAGGTAGGTCATGGTTACTCGTGCGGTTGTTCTTCTAGGTAGAATAAAAACGACGCCAAATTTAAAGGTGTAACGACATTGGAGAGGTGCAAGGGAGGCTCTGCACGGATAGGTCGCTGTTATAGTAGGAGCTGGCACATAAAGGTAAGCATGGGAGTGCCGCAGGGCTCCGTCCTAGTGCCATTGCTTTGGGACGTGTTCTACGAACAGGACTTCGCTTGATGGATGGAATAAAATGAATTGAAATTGATTGTATAAAACTACTTCTGTATCGTGTTGCAAGATTTATTTTAGAAAATCATCGTTGAGTCTAAAATATACATTTGACACTTAAATAAAATTGCTCTTGGATTTAATTATTTAGGAATTGGTGGAATCTACAAAGGCTTAGTTCCCACAATAATAAAACAGGGATCGAACCAAGGGATCCGATTTTTTGTGATGGAGACGCTCAAAGAATTGTATAAGGGCGAAGATAAGGATAAGAAGATTCCTAAATACGTAGTAGGCGCATTTGGGGCATTTGCTGGTACGTATGTATGAAGTTATCGTTAAAACCTGCTCAGTTATTGCTAATAAACGGGAATAAACCAAATAAGGTCAAAAACGAAAGTAAATATTTATTAACAGTACCTACAGTTTTGATTAATTGGTGATTTTGGAAGGTGAAAAGTTCGAAAAATTATCTTCATTGGAAATATTGGGACATCTTGCTTGAATTTAAGTCGGTTTTTCTAAATAGTTGTTGTGGCCTGAGCAGATTCTTGCTGTTATTATGTCATTGTCACTATATTTATCCAATAAAAATATTTGGAAGTAATTTAATTAATTAAAAATTCATAGTATTTTGTGGCCTATTGGGCTTCCTCACTAGAATCTCGTCCAATAAAATGAGAACGTAAAACTACTATTTATAAAGTTAATGTAGAGAACTTTCAGATTTAAAATTACAGAAGGTAGGTCTCAAAGTTAAAATTTCACTTGGACCATTTCTTCGTGGTGGATCGTTCCGTGATTCTATTATTCTAAGCCTATTTATTTATTGTCCGGTTTAGACGCAAATATTACAAAATCTTTACCATGAAAAAAGTTAACAAGGTTTTGAATTTCTGAGATTCGCTCCACATCAAAACCGAGAAAAATGCGCAACCTGTCACGAATGTCAGTAATGAGCACTGTCAGAATTCCACGCTTCACTTTAGAGGCTATAAACATTTTCGTTTTTCCAACCATTCTCGTCAAAAATAACGGATGGCTCAATAGTTCGTTATTGTTGTTGCATTAAAAACTTGTATTTCAGGTGCATGTTCCGTATACGGCAACAACCCAATAGACGTGGTAAAAACTAGAATGCAAGGCTTGGAAGCAGCAAAGTACAAAGGAACCGTGGATTGTATCATGCAAATTTTGACAAACGAAGGCCCTTTCGCTTTGTATAAAGGAACAGTACCCAGATTGGGCAAAGTATGTCTAGATGTCGCACTCACCTTTATGATCTATGAGACCCTCATGGATGCCTTCAATAAATTGTGGCCATAACCTCTTGCGAACATTCTTTATTCTAAAACGGCTAGTGTGTTTTACAAGTTATAAGGACATTGGGTGGTACCGTCAGTCATTGAGCATAATTGTTAAACAGCTGTATGGCCTCCTTGATTTTCATAGTTTTCTACTGTTCCGTGTAAGCGCTTTATTTTGAGGTTATGTTACAAATTGTGCATGCTTTTGACATATCTGTTATATGAGCCTGACATTTCCTACATTCAAGAAGAAAACACTCGAAACAGTAGACATCCAGAAATACCCCAGCCTTTCTGAATTAGAGAAAACACTATGAAAATCAAGGAGGTCGTAAAGGCGACCTACAATTATTGTAGGCACGACTGACGATATACGGCTCTTATGCTCGAGTAATTTTTCTCTGTGTACATTCAGAAGCACGAAGTTAGACTCATTTTTCAAGGTAGATAATGTAATATTAGAATCATTATTAAAACGTTACGGTCTGTTATATACTACATAGCTAATCTCTATAACGTATAATTTAAACAAATACCGACATATTTTGTGTAAGGTGAACGTGGTATGGAAATATAAACTATATACATATACTTGTAATATTTATGCAAGGCGTATCTATTAAATATTATAGTAAATGAAACATTTGTTTTATTTCTTCAGTGTCAAAACTTGCAAATGTACAGGGTGAGCCATAAAGGTGTTGGCAATTTCAATATTTAATTAAAATATAACTATGCAATATGAAGGAAAAATAAATGTATTTTTAAAAACTAAGCTGCGTAAGGGATACACGTATTTGTATGAAGCAAATCCTCTCAGCAAAGAGGGCGTGGCCATCGGAAATCTAGTGGGCGGAGAGCGTCTGTTCCCTGCATCGCAGTCATAATCACAGCAACAGACAGATATGCCATATGCGCAGAACCAGAATTTCATTTCCAGCCCCGCCTACGTCGCCGACTTCTTTGGTTCCACCCTCAAAGAGTTCAACCTTTTATCTGTATCTTCGTGATGGATTCCGGCTTTTGCCATAAGATAATCTCAGTTGGCCATGGCGGAAATCAGGTGAACTACTAAAGATATCACGCTCTTGCCGCGTCATGGCCAACTGCAATCATCTCATTCTATTTGTATGTATAATAAAACTAAGTACATTTTCTTAAAAACATTTTATTCAAATCACTGTATATTTATAATGTCTCCATTTCTGGGACATACCTTCTTATTATGTTCTACATGTTTATTCTGAGATCTGTCATAGTAATATACTTTGATTTTATTTATAATGACGCAATCTCCACCAGAACTATTGAACTTGATATCATTTCCATCTACTTGTATATCAACGTAGTTATCCAGCAGCAGCTGTCCATGAGCAGAGCATGGATCTGAAGTACAATTCAGGGCTATTGTGAGGCTTATCGAGTCTTCACCCTGAAAAATGTGCAGCCTTAGGTTCGTACATAATTTTTTACATACAGTGTGTTCGTTTGAAAACCTCCCACCACAAATCTATCTGAAACCACTAATTAACAGAAAAAACGCCGAGACACGTCTAAAGATTTTTCAACGGGGACAACTTTTTAACCAAAAACTACTTCACTCAATTTTACTCTCGAAGAAAAATCTTCATTTATCTCAATTTGTTCAGATGGAAAACAAAAACACACGAAAATATCACTTTTTATTTCAATAAGTGTTCAAAATGTCGCCCGTTAGGATTTGCCAAATCTGAAATCCGTTTATAATTTAAAACTACCAATATAAACAGCAGTTCGGAAGATTAGACGTGGCAACAACCAAATAACAACCCGAATTTTTTCCGCTTCAATACAGATATCCTGAACGAACTGTAATTCTTATTATACCTGTTTAGTTGTTTGTTGCTAAGGGATGGAAATAATTTAATTTGGTGTTAGTTACTTTTGTGACAATTTTGGGATAGTGAAAATTAATTTGTTGAATCAGATTTTCCAAAATGGTTTGCACGCTAGTGACAGAATGGAAGTGATTCTAATTTAAGGTGCCCAAAATCAATGTGCTCGACAAACGGCCGTCACGTTTAGCGCCAAACATCCGGGAAGATAACTTCGCATAGGTATGTTTTGGACTTTGTTATTAAAGTTACTCAAACTGGATCTGTTGTAAATAAAAAAACGTCATCATCGGAGAGTTTTGGATGGGGCCGCTCAAGTTAAAGTTTTGGGTTATATTGGAATAAATCCTACGCAAAATTCTTGCTGCGACTTGTATTTCATTAGGCTCTGTACACACAGGTACTAAACTACATAAATTTCATCCATTCAAAATGAAAATACTGTAACATTTAACCGAAGATGATTTCGACATGCGAGTCGAGTTTTGTGAACAAATGACTGCAGTCTTTCATGTAAAGAATATCTGCTTCAGTAATGAATGCACATTTTACCTAAACGGATTTGTTTAAAATAAAAATTGCCTCCTGATCATTTTTAAAAGAACAATTTTGTATCTATTGAAATTGAGGGTTGTAAATTTAATGCTTCCAAAAACAGTACTGCACCTTGAACGATCGGAAAAATTCTAGTCAGTGAAAGACATTCTAATCAAAAAGCTTCTCTGATGTCAGTAACATTATGCACCTAAAAGAAAAATTGAAACGCTGATAAGTCCCAATCACGCTAAACGATTATTATAATAACGGCTACACGACTCGAGTTTTACTTTCCGAGTCCCGTGCTGCGAACACACTACCACCCGAAGACACCAGTAAATTAATTGACCTTGGCGGCAAGCCTACATAGGCGTGCCGCATATATTTTTTTACGGGTCGGTGGGAATTCCGAAGTAGCGTTAGGTATTGTGACAAATCGCGCCATCTGTTGGACGATTCTCCTACTCGCCAGAGCTTAATGGCCGATCTCTGCTTTTACGGGAACCACGACCGCACAAGCCGCTTGGCGGCGTCTGTGAGGACCGTGAAAGTGGATCGCCTTCTAGATCGACGCGAAGTGATCTCCAATATTCTAGATGTTGCTTTGTGGTACACCTAGATCTTTCTCGAGGCAGCAATGGGGACTATATATAACTCGGCGGCCGGGAGATGGAAGCAGAGAACTGAATACGGTAGAGAGTATAGATTACAACAGTGCAGACCGGAGTGGAGTATAGTGCATTTCTTTTTGTGGAATCCAGTGTTTTAATCCACACCCAAAAGAACCCAGAAAAACGCTACAGTATATAAGACGTATTGCTTTAGCCTTTAGCAGTCTCTTGAATAAACTTTGTACATCGTCTTTATATATCACATCGAACATAATCTAACGGATGACCAAATTGCGAGGGAAGTAGTTTTTTGCTCATGTGTTGTTCAAAAACATGCACTCTTTAATCGTTCTACTTACCTGTAAAGGAATGATGCTTCCTTGAGCTACAAACGCAACCAAATCGGTCTCTGTAACAGGTACACTCACAAAAGGTTTATTCCTACTCGTATACACTCCTCCGTCCCAAAATTCATACCAAACTCCAATACTTTCCGGCAAATAAACTTGCAATACTTCCCTTTTTAAGGTCATCGGATGGGCTACTAGAAGTTTGTCTCCAAGCATGTATTGCTCTCTCATTAACAAAGTTTTTTCGTTTCCGTGAAAATCGTAGAACATGGGTCTCAAAGCCGGTTCCGCTTGTGTTAGAAACGGAGCTACGTACGCTTTGAACATTTTGTGAAGCTTCAGAGCCTTCTTAGCCACGTTTTGCCCGAATACAGTTCGTAAGTCTTGCGGCTCCCTCTGGGGATCTCCGGAAGAAATACGCTGCAAAGGCATTGTAGCTGATACCAGGTACCACCTCAAGCACAGAGTCTCTTGCTTCACCTTATCAAAAGTTGTCGAATCTCCACACACCGGCAAACTAATCAAATGGTTGCCAGTGATGCTGTTGAACAACGCCTTGTCTATTTCTTTTTGTAAGTTTTCCCACGATGTTTCAACATTTTCAAGGACGCTAGGTATGGTAAGTTGATCGTTGGCTTTTGAAGCTGATAGAACTGGCTTGTCTGGGTAATGTTTCACGAATGCCTCAATTTGTGAGCTGCCATAAGCATTGTGAGTCACAATGTGATGAGTTGAACGTTGAGTCGCGTTCCAGTGTATGGTATTGGAGAGAGCTTCTTTGAGATCCTAGGGAAAGGTATAAAGTGATATGAATTTTTGTGAAAAAATTCTACAAGTAGCATAAAAGCGATCCAGTTCTTCAATATCTTCAGAATGAAATCTTTTTTGGAAGTTGGAAGTACAAAAGGTACTATAAAAGTTTTGCAATATGTCTTAAGGACGCAGGAGGCTGCATGTTGAGTCATGTCCACGAGTGCATAGTAGCCGCCAGTAGTTACAGTCTAGGGCAGTTTTACGGTATAACTTTACGTGTGGCTTAAGCATAGACCAGTGCTTAGAAGAAATGACGCTTGGCTTAAAGAATGATTGTCCTCATCGTACCACTATATTCAGCTGGTATAGGTAATTCCAAAGTTGCAATTTCACTATGGAGGACGCTGAGAGGGAAAGAAGGCCCCGCACGTCAGTAACAGAGGAGAGTGACAATCCAACAGATACGAGGGATGTCTTTTAAGTTTTGAATATGGAAATAAAACAACACGGTAGGTAGTTTTAAATTACTTCATTGTTTTCCGAAGTATTCTCCACGAAGATTAATACACATCTGCATGCGCTCGAACCAATTTTCGAAGCGCTTATTCCACTCGTTTGCTGGCAGATCCAAAACGGCATTTTTGAATGCGTCAACTGCTTCTTCTAGTGACTGGAACCTTTGACACACAGTGCTGGAGACTGTTCTTCCTCGCAGCAGTGCTGGAACTCCGATCGTTACGGACAGCTGAATGACTCGAGCGAGTTCAAGCTTGTACTGGAGTCGGGCCACATGCTCCACTGTTTCCCCTCCAAGCCCAACGTCTCCAGTGTTGCCAGGTCGAACGCTATATTGCCAGTCTCATCACTTAATTTACAGACCTCGTAAGTACCACTGAACCAATTTTGCCATTTACACTATCAATAAAAATTTTCTTCAGCCTTGAGTTCTTAATACCGATCTGGAAGTATGTTTTTATTTGCCTAGATGGAGTAACTGATCGACACGGTCATCTAGATCGTGCTCATACAAAATCTTGTGCTCAAATAAAAAATGGATCGTTAGAATGAAGTTTCCAAATGTGTGAATAAAATTCCAAAATTCCAATATACAGGGTGTTATTTTGGGGTAAAACTATTTCGTCAAATTATAATCAGTCTGCTCCTGTACTGTTCGTGACGTAATCGATTTAGTAGCAGAGTCTGAGTAAGTGTACCAGGCCTCAGAATAATACAAATGAAAATTTGTGAGGCTATTAAAAATGGCCAATATCTATAATTTTTTTTTTTTGGTTACCGGGGCTAGCCCATTAACTCTAAGTTATTTATAATAACCACAATGACCTGAAACATCCTGTATAGGTGCATAATGCTCGGGCCACACACAGTCTAATAGTAAATATAATTTTTGGTGCTTTCGGATATTTTTCAAAAAATTCAAAATTTGATATTTATACCTTAGGCAGATAGGGAAACTCTCCATCTTCCATGTAAAACGCATCATTCTGAGGCCAATTTTCATGTAGCACGAAACCATCTACTTCAGTTTCTATGTTCGCCTTTATATATTTGTCAAATTCCTCTATGTACTTCTCAATGTTAGCAGTACTGTAATCTGGATATACCACCTCCTGCTTCAAAATTTCACCCTTGTATTCTTTTCCGTTCAGTTTGTATAGAATATCCAAGCTTTTAGCTGAGTCATACAAAGTGGTTCCTACTGGTACCTAAAATAATGGAACAGCGGAACACAGCAAAAATAAATTGATTCACTATACCCCATTCGTAGTCCATTTACGTCTAGACAAAACACAACACGCCTAAAAGCGAGATTGATTGTACAGGTCCGTATTTTCCTCAATGGTCTTGGAATAATCTACTAAAATAAATGATTATTTTTATTGAAAGCAGTGCACATACTTTTCACAATTCTTGTACTTGAATCATCGTCTGAATGGTTAATATTAATTATTACAGGTTCCGTTTGAATATCGATCATATTGTCCAGATCCCACATCTTTGGTTCGATTGACGGATGCAATCTTTCCAATGGTTTGCCGTCATTCGGGTAACAAATTTTTCACGTCAGTCCATACTTTCGGTTTTGTATGTCCTGCAGTTATCCAGGTTTCATCCAAGTAATAAATCTTCCTGCCCCAGTCGCGGTATTTCTTTATCGATTTTAAATAATTTCTTCTCCATAAAATAGTCTCTTGGCTGTCCATCAAAATACTATTTCTGCCTCGTTTTCTATACTCAAGTAGAGTAAACTATAGAATGTGGTCCTCTTGAAAGTAGGTAACTCGTCATCACTATTAATCTCCTTTAATTCTTTGTCTATGGTGGAAAGTTCCTGTCTTTCAAAAAATTGACAAATTGGTTAAGGCTTTCGCGGCCAGTTGATAAACTGCTGTCTTGATTCGGGTCGGATGGAATTTCTTCCTAAAGTTTCGCTAGCACGAGTGGCAAGCTTGTGCAGACTCAAGGAGCTAACGTATAAACACACGCTAGGTATGCACCGAATATAAACAGCAACTGTCTACGGCGGCGCAGCGTTGCCAACTGTTTGAAATAGTTTCCGCCAAATAAGTGCCCAAAATAAGCTAGATCCGATGTGAATCCGCTAAAAAGAAATTATTTGAAAAAGATATACCCTTTAATGGTAAAAAATATTACATTATAAAATAAAAATTTACAGCAAATCTAATCAAAAGTGAATAAACAGTAACAAGTTGTTGTTTGGGACTATTGAAAACTTGACACAAAATGCTCAAACTTGTACCTGATATATTGAGATAGCCTTTTACCAGTTATAAAATGAAGCACACAGAAAATAGACGGACACAACAGCTTGTGGGTAGTTCCTTCGTTGCCACATAACTTCTTATGGCATTGTTGCCAAAAATATTAAGAGGTCCAGGGCGCCATGAATATATAAGTAATTAATAATTACTATGTGCATTAACTACATTTACTTATGAAAAATATTTCCTGTTCAAATTGTTTTTATTCTCAGTTTAAAACTCCCGCTAAATTTTGTTAAACAAAATTGCTTATTTCGTTAAAAAATTCTGCTATCAGCAATTGCAAATTTTGTCCGCTATACATGGAACAAAATCTACTAAATCTACCGTAAATTCCGCTAGGTTGGCAACGCTGCGTCGGCGTGCCGGCGATACCACGAGCCTGTCGAACAGCGTTGCCAGACGTACGATAATTATCGTTTCTGTAGGATAATAGCTGAATGTACGATAATTTTGCGAATGAGCTTTTTTACTCACAGATGTTCAATCAATCTACCAACTACGTTCAATTAACACCAGCAAGCAGCTGTCAGTGTTGCCGTTTGGTAGTCAAGCGCGCGTACCCCACTCTGTATAATGGGTAATTCTCACGTTCTATGTATTGACATGACGCGCATATTTTTATTTACCCACGTGCATTCGATGAAATGAATGGGACGTCTCCCGTTGTTATGACTTTTGAAACTTGAAAAACAAAAGATCGTTTTCAGTTATTTTCGATATTTAACCGGTTTCAATTCAATAACGATAATATGTCGGATTCCGAATCAAGTTGCTCTCGAAGAGAAACACAACAACAGATACGATACGCTCGAATACAGAAAACAAAAAAAAGGAGCGGAATCTTTGAAGAAAGTCAAACATAGACAGCAAGCTTATAAGAGTGGGAAACAAAAGAGTCCCCCTCCCCTCCCGAGACGGAAATTTTCCTTCATCATGAATCTTGAGAGAACCTACTAGGATACTGTACGACAATTTTGACGTGTTTGTACGATAATTCCCTGCGACGAATCTGGCAACGCTGCTGTCGAAACGTGCACTTGTTCGTAGTTTTATCGCCGAATGACCAATAGCGGCTCCCGCTTTGCCGCGGTGCATCTTTGTTGTGCCGAGGCGTAAATGGACTACGAATAGGGTACAGCTCATTACCAAACTTTTCAAGCAGGCATTGAAAAAATATCAAATAGCAAGTCTTCACTTTTTGACGCTCGCTGGCTAAAGTTTCTTGCTTCATATTCGATTGCTTCCAATACATGTCAAAATTAAATACAAAATTCGTCTACTTTGTAGCAAGTAGTGAGGTTAAAATATTCCACATACTTTTACTTACGTAAGGTGGTACAGATAGTAAAAACTTTTTATTTTGTTGCTTGAGATCCTTTATAAGGTCGTTTAGGCTCTTGAAGGGGATTGGATCGTCTGTCAGTAATATGGACATGAGGAGGTTTTTGTCTATACAAAAAGTATCGCCTAAGTTCGTTTTGTAATTTTGCACAATTTTGGTCAAACTTAGCTCTTCGGAATTCCTAAAAATAGAGAATTAAGGTGATTTATTTAAGACATTTGTTTTGAATAAGACCATATCAGATAGTATAAAAGCAACGAAGCAAACAAATTTTGGATTACAGAATTAAACAAGTTACCAGCTTATTTATTTCAAATGTCAAAAATCGACATACTGTCACTTTTCTAGATACCTAACACCCCTCCCGATGGCCGCACAGCCACACACAAGAAGTCTGACTGTTCAAGAAATTACGTCGTTTTCGTTTTCAATAAATGATACCTACGTCTGTTTTTTATTATGTACAGGGTTTGTCCGGAAAGTAATAGGACTCACTTTCTTCCGCCATGAGTGTAGTTCGGAGAGTGCGCGCACCGCCTGGATTCGGTAGAGGGCGTTCCTAGCTAATGAGCGGCTGGTCAGTTGTCTCCGAGTAGTTGGAGAGTCAGGACAGGCACTTTCGCGCGACGTGTTTCTGTGAGTGGTGCAAGCCGAAAATGCAGCGTTCGTTAGAGCAGAGGTACGCGATTAAATTCTGTGTGAAACTCGGTAAATCTGCGACAGAGACGTTTGATATGATCAAGCCGGCTTACCCAGGTGTTGTTTTAGCAAGAAGTGGTGTGTATCGGTGGCACCAGGCCTTTTTGGAGTGCCGGTGATGAAGACCGTGCGGGAAGACCCTCGACTTCGACAAACACCGATAATGTGACTCGTGTGCGTAAAGTTTTGAACTCAGACCGTCGACTAAGTATTCGTTCAATTGCCCAGATGTTAAATTTACCAAAATCTGTGGTTCATGACATTGTGACCCAGCGTTTGAACATGCGCAAGGCGTGCGCGAAGATGGTGCCAAAAGTGCTCACTGACGACCAGAAATTGCGGCGAGTGGAAGTGTGCCAAGAAAATTTGAACATGTGTGAAAGTAACCCCCAATTTTTGAATAACGTAATCACAGGTAACGAGTCGTGGATCTTTGAGTATGATCCCGAGACAGAGGCAATCTTCCGAGTGGCACACGACGGCTTCTCCTCGCACAAAAAAGGGAAGAATGAGCAAATCCAAAGTGAAAACGATGCTCCTTGTCTTTTTTGACATCAAAGGCTTCGTCCACCATGAATTTGTTCCTCCTGTACAAACCGTCAACGGCAAGTTTTACGTTTAAGAATTGTAACGATTGCAGCACTGAATACCTTATGAACGTATTATAAAGACGTCTTTAAGACGTTCAGTTCACATCGTCTTTACAACGTTCACAAGACGTCGTCACGAAGTCTCTTACGTCTCAAAATGACAATTTTTAAAACGTCTTCAAGGTGTAATTGTGCTATTTCGGATGTGACGGATTCTTACTTCAAAAACGGTTCTCAGTCCTTACCTGCAAACAAACGTGTCCAGCAACCAGGTGCGAGTATAATCAAGCGCCACGTTTCCTTTTCCTTTAATTTGTTGATCGTGCAACTGTTTGGGCGTTGGTCCAACGAATAGCTGTAGTTCAATCGTACCATCAGATATGCTTCTCAGTACTACCAGTTTTCCTGGAAGGACTGTGATTTCTAACGGCCCATCGTGTTTAATGGTCAAACCGTGGAATTTTCCATTATTGTAAGCCCAAAACGTCGGTAGCGTCGAGTGGTCTTGCTTGCTTTTGTATATCACCTACAATACAGGATGTTACACAAGTTGTCATAAAAATTGTCGAAAATGTTGAAGTATGAAAAAAAATTGATAAAAATATAGATCCGGAGATGCTTTGTTTCGATAATGCTCAACCTGTCCGTGTTTAAAAATGGTTCGCCATTAGTTTTTTCAAAGATATATTAAGTGATATGTAACATGCAACCTTCAGAATTATTTATTGAATTTTGATAAAAACTTGAATTCTAATAAACATACGTATAGTCAACGCCAAACAAAGTGGCGTGCACGTCATCACGACAAAAATTCCCCGACCTAATGCCTAGGTTTCTATCACAAACAATTGCTCTATTGCAGTTTCATATTAATGTGATATATAAATTGTAAAATGGTCATTACTCTCTTATTATGGTTAATAGTCATATAAACATTGTTATTAAAATATCACATAAGTTGCTTTCTGATAAATTTAGACGCATTATGCGAAATAAAATGTTTTGCAAACGCTCCAATCACTTATCGACATGTAAACGCACTAAACCGATTGTCACCTTGAAACTTATTTAAACTGGGAACTGACATTTGTATTAATTTTGACACTGAATCAATTTGTGGCATTTCAAATCTTTATAAATCCTTTGGCCCCGCATACTGTAAATCAACAACTGTTTGTTTCAAAACAAAATTATTCATTTTACGAGTAGATAAAGGCAATTTTGGTATATAAAGATGCCCAAACAGTTAAATAGTCGGTGTAAGGAACTCGTGGCCTCGTTAATGCACTACTTTGAGCAAGAAAGGGACAACAACGGGCCTTTGTTGCCTTTAAATGCTGTTCAAGAGGTAGGTTACTAATAATTATATGTAATGTATATTAATAATAGTGAAATTTTATTTCATTTTTTGTAGCGTGTTGCTGCTGCTTTAAAAATTAGTTTAAGCACAGTTAGTCGTATTTCCGAGGGTGTGAAAAGTGATGCAAATTTAGAATCGCCCAAGAAAAAGCGGAGTTATATTAAACGTGTAACCAACACAGCGACATTGGATACAAGTGCCATTCGAGAAGTGATCTATAATATGTATCACAAAAGTAAGATCTTATTATAATAACTTATCAGAAATTTGCATTAATTTGTTAACTAAATTATAATGTCATATTACACATGGTTTCAGAAGAACAAGTTACGATACAAACTTTATGGTCTCGATTAAGAGATAGGGCATTATTTGATGGTAGTGCCACGTCTTTAAGGCGGTTGCTTAGAGATCTTGGATTTAAGTGGCTTAAGGACAATCCGCGACGAGGGCTCATGGAACTACCAAGTATAGCTTTGAAAAGGGTGGAATTTCTAAGGCAATACAATCAAGCCAAGGTTGAGGCCTTATACTAGTTTGTCTTCCTCGATGAAACTTGGATATTTCAAAATGGGACCATAGGTCGCTCTTGACAAAATGGAAACCAAAAAAGCGTGAAAGCTATTAAAACAGATGGTAAAAGGTATGTACTTTTACACAATTTGCACTATAAAATTTAAAACTAATATATTTTAGATACATTATATTACTAGCTGGAAATGAAAATGGGTTTATTGAGGGTAGTGAAGCGATATTTTCTTCGAAAACAAAATTGAGCGATTACCATGGAGAGATGAACCAGGACAATTTTTTGAAATGGTTTCAACATCAGTTATTAGAAAAATTGGAGAGTCCATCTATGATTATACTGGATAACGCCCCTTATCACAGCATGATATTGAACAAAGTGCCCAACAATGCATGGACAAAAAAAAATATCCAAGACTGGTTGACAAATCAAAACATACCATTTTTAAACACAGTGTTTAAAACAGAGCTATTGAGTATTGTTGCTCGGTACATAATGCTTCTTAATTATATATATTTTGGTCGACAGTTTATATTTCTTTTGTTTATTCCTATTCTTAAAATAACTGCTTTTTTAGAATCAAACCACCTAAAATATACGTGATTGATGAATTGGCGGAACAACATGGGCACAAAGTTCTTCGCCTGCCTCCTTACCATTGTATATTTAACCCTATTGAGTTAATTTGGGGCATAGCAAAAGGTTACTATAACAGACATATTGGTAGAGATGGTAACAGTGAAAAAGACTGTTTGGATATGTGGAACGAGGCTCTACAAACGGTTACCCCAGACATGTGGAAAAATAGTGTTCGACATACTGAGCAAGAAATTTTTAAATGGTATGAAAGAGAACGAATTTTTGATCGACCAGACATCGAACCTTTAATAATCAACTTTGAGAGTGATGAAGATTCAGATTCAGACAGCGCTGAAGAAAGAAACTCCGACTAACTTTATTGTACAGAAAAAGCTTACACCAGTAGCTTACCTAATTTTAGAATGCATTTTTCTGTATGAATTCTGTAAAATAAATACCATGCATAAAATTTGGAGGACCCCATTTGGATTTTTATTCAGTACCTTTAAGCTATCAATTAAATATGGTAGTTTCATAGTGTCATCTGATCAATAATTGTCATACTTAATGATTATGCAAGTACAGATCTATAATTTTATTATACTATTATTTTTGTTCTCATTTGAGGTTGATATTGCTTATAAACCTAGATATGTAAATAATAAATTTTATTATTTTACAAAAAGTTTGGCAACAATGTAAATTTTTCAACACACCCACCTTGATGACGTGCACGCCACTTTGTTTGGCGTTGACTATATATGTTTACCTTCATTGTCACTCAGTGTATGAGGAACATTTCGTACTACAAGGGATTTCGATCTTTTATATACCAAAGATTCCGGATCTTGTGTCTTTGGTGCAGGAATTAAACGTCAAAGGAAAATATTCTAGGAAAGAAAGGAAATAGGAATCAAAGCGATACACGACACGTTTAGGATGATTACCTTAGTGAGAGTTTTGTTATCCCTGCTATCAAAGATAGTACCATCAAGACCGAACATGTATTCTCTAGTCAACTGTACTGTCCATTCCCAGTACCGATCAGCCGCGATCAAAGGTCCTTTGGCGGTAGACAGCAACAATTCGTTGCTGTTCGTCCTGTATACCTCGACAATCAGCTTATCATTCGACAATGTGTAATTGTAGTTCTTCTCTGTTACTGAGGCGGTTTTGACTTTTACCTCAGGTGTGTGTAGGATTATGTTCACTCTATCTGCGTCGATTTCGTTGATAGATATTTTCATGGAGTAGAATGTTTTGGTTCTGTAAGGGCTGAGGGCGCTCGTTGTTCTGCAAGAAACGACAATAGAAATTTTGCCCTCAGTCTTCACAAACGCCTATAGGTATACATAGAATATCCTATATACAGAATCTCAGAAATCAGTACATTTTTTTAATCTTTCTGATAACTATTATGTTTGATTTTCGTATCTGTTACCACCATTGAAAATATGCAACTTTATTAACTTTCACTACGTACTGAATATCAGTGAAATATCTGAAACGGTTCTGAAAACATTAATTAATTTTCCTTTTTTCCTAAAACTTCACCACCCCGAGTTTTTGTAACGAAACATTTTTGGACCATAGTTTATAAAGCAAACTAACATTAATTTTTCATGTAGTTCCACACCCTTAATTATTCGGATATCATTAAGGGACACCGTGTATATTAGTGCACGTGAAGAAAAAGAAAACATCACAACCGGTCAATCAAACTAAGTAACTAAACATAACTAAACAATCCTCATGTCATTCATTCTCTATATTTTGAACACTCTGTATACGATAATAATATAACGATTCGGCACCGTGCTGATATCACTGGCTCAAGAGTCGGATTGAATTTCTCTCTAGCTCTCCAATTTGAATTCCTGGAAGGTAATCGAAGTAGGCTGTGGTGCGCTACCGGTTCTGTTTCTGCACCCAGACTCGGTGCGTGTTCGGGATTTATGCGATTTTGAGGTTGGAATTTTCGCGAAGACAAACGGTTTTTTTCTGTTTCAGTGTAAAAACCAAATGGAATCGTTGAAAGTAGTGATTATTAATATGATGTCGCGTGATCATTGCGTGTCGGTATCTATCGTGACCGCGTTTTTTTTGTGAAAAAACATTAAGACTTCTCGTTGTAGCTTCTCGGTGCAACGCGTTTCAGAGCGAAGATTACGAAGTTTTGTAGGTAAGTGATTATGCATGTTTTTATTGTTTTCGGGTAAGGTTTTCGTATTGATTAAACGCTACAGCTATTTTGATACTAAGAACAAGGTACCGGAGACTACAGGGTTATCCAAATTAAGTGTCCACCATTAGTAACTTTGTTATTAGTGAAAATACAAAGTTGTTTGAATTAGCAAACTAGTAGCATTTTTAACGCTGGTAAAAATGAGAAATAAAAAAAAAACAATTGAGAGTCGTTATTTTGATTTTTTTCAGTAAAATAACATTTTTTTAAATGGAAACCCCTGTATATTATATTTTTTTCTGTTAAAGCATCAAATTTTAAACAAAAAAGCTTACAATAACTTTTCTCCTAGGTTACAAATTGTTGAAGTTATGGCCTCCAATCTGAAACAATTAAATTGTATCGACAAACTTTATTTTCAACATCAACTTATAATCTTACAAAATACAATAACAATTTTTTTTAAAGAAGATGCTCGAAAACACCACCTTGTTCTTCAATACATTTTTGGGCACATTTTTCAACTGCTCGAACTGTCTTAAGTATGGTCCTACCATCTATCTGGGTTATCTTTTCCCTAACTGCAGTCTTTAACGCGTCAAGGTTATCGTACTTTTGCTTGTAAATTTGGTTCTTTAAGTAACCCCACAAGAAGTAATCAAGTGGGTTTAGATCTGGTGATCTGGGAGGCCACTGTATTGGGCCATTTGTTCCTATCCACTGATCGTTAAAAGTAGTACTTAGAAAATGATAAGTACCTCTGGAGTTGTGGGCAGGTGCGCCATCTTGCTGAAAATGCAGATGATGTCTACTTATAAGATCCAATTCGTCTAAGAAATTAGTCAGAATTTCTGACATAAATTCCACATATCTTTCACCAGTTAGGGTTCCCTCATAAAAGAACGGGCCAACAATTTTTGAACCAATTATACCGCAAGAAACGTTGAAACTGAAACGGACTTGTGGGCCTCTTGGATGTACTAACAAAAGATTTTCTCTTGACCAATAATGGTGGTTTTTTCTATTAAACATTCCAGAATTTGAAAAATTTGATTCATCTGTCCATAAAAGGTAACGAAAGTTATTTACATTTTGGCGACAGAAGCTAAGATACCAATGGCAAAAAACAAGTCTTCTCTCTGGATCCCCTGCCAAAAGCGTTTGAACTGGTCGGTACTTATACGGAATAAATTTGTATTTTTTTAAAATCCTTTGAACAGTACCATAACTGAAATTAGAGTCCTTGAGAATATCTGCTATTGAATTCTCACGATAAGCTTGAAAATATCCAATAACTGCAATTTCCGTGGCCTCGCTTATTATGAATTCTTTTTTTGCCCTTGTTTTAGCAAAAACATTTTCGTTGCCCCTAAATTTTCGATAAAGTCTCAGAAAATATCGTTCATACGGTTGAATGCGAGCGGGATATAATTCACTGTAGTATTCTCTTGCTCTCAAGGAGGATTTTCTGCACACTAAATAGCATTCTAACATATCACACTTTTCTTCATGGGAGAACATTTTTCTTTAAATTAATGACACAATAAAGCTTATAAACAAGTATTTACACTAATGTTTGACATTATTTGATTTTATCATTGTTTTCCAAAGCCTTCTAGTTGCGAGTATGTCCAGTTTAACAATTTGTCGCTTATCTTAATGCTGTCAAATCGCGAACGCCATGTTGTTTTCATAGCCGTCTTAATATTATAATACTGCAAATAGTTAAAAATATTTATCGTTATTTTGACTTTATTTTTGACTTTAGCGGAAAAGTCATTATGAACTTTTTTGTTTAAAATTTGATGCTTTAACAGAAAAAAATATAATATACAGGGGTTTCCATTTAAAAAAATGTTATTTTACTGAAAAAAATCAAAATAACGACTCTCAATTGTTTTTTTTTATTTCTCATTTTTACCAGCGTTAAAAATGCTACTAGTTTGCTAATTCAAACAACTTTGTATTTTCACTCATAACAAAGTTACTAATGGTGGACACTTAATTTGGGTAACCCTGTATATAAAATTGCCAGTTACCCCGAAATTTCACCGGATTTCTTAAAAAACCAAAATTGAATACTCTGTCATGCATTTTTTTATTGCCCACATGACGAAAATTGTTACTATCTCCATAGTTGTAGCTGCCGAGGCAACCGCGTAATCTCAGCAACCGTTGCTCCGATTTTGATGAAGTCGTAGTGTCAGAGTGCGTATTTATGAAAATAGGTGCATTTTGACAGCTGCGAACTTATTAGCAGAAACAGAATAGAAAATACTGTTTATACGTGTTAAATTTAGTAAAAACATTCTTTGGAAGGGTCAGGTTTTGCGTCTCATGCAGATTGACGAAGAAGTAATGTACAAATATGATGTGTATCCGCGAAATCGTGTTTTTTTGGATGTTACGAGATATTTACAATCCAAAAAGCTATGTCTGTATTTCCGTCTGATGTCCCTTAATCCTTGACATGTCCAAAGTTGGGAAAGTACTGCTCGTTCGCGATGAAAAGGCTTTGTTGTTTTAGAAAATCAGTTCAGATGTTCCCCAGTTGCGAGAGAGAAAAAAAAAAACGAAAATCTAAAGGTCCTCCTTAAACCTAGGTATGTTTTCTAAGATCCCGATTCATGTGGATGATTGAACAATCCTTTTGAAGGCATGATAATTTAGCAACAAAGACATACTTTGCTTTTGCTTTTCAACTTTTTGATTACTTTGAGATGTAGTAAAAGAAACGGAGCGGATTAAAAATTCTCGTCTACTTAAATTTGAAGTTTATACATATTCATATATTTTTGGCGTAGAAAAATTCTATGGATTCACTCATTTTGGGTTCTGTCAAAATCTTTCGAATGCTTTTATTTGCGTTTCATATCATTTGATCTGTACTTAAGCAGTTACGTTTATATAAATAAAAAAATATGTTTCGCTATTTGTTGAATTCATATTCATTTTATTTGTGTAATTTAAAAACCATTCCTATTAAATCTGTATGGTCATAAAATACTAGGTCAACTGCTTTACTGTATTTTCTTAAAAAATTCAAACCTTATCCAGCTGTTGCTTCCAAATACTTACCTAAACGTTCTAGATTCGTCGGCGGTGTTATCCAATTCGTAGTTATATTTTGAGGGTAGGAAATGAAAGCAAATTTTTTGCTTTCTGTCATAACAACAACCTATCCTACCGCAGCTGTCATCGGTCAGATTAGTACCACATTCTACTCTGAAGGAGTCTTTCACTAAACACGTGTGTTGGTCTCTCGACAGTATAGTTGCTCTGTGAAATACGAATTCCGCCTTTAACAAAGTGCTAACATTTCAATTCAAATTACGAGGATAGGGTGAAAAGTTTCCGGCTTGACAAACACGGTACTCCGATCAGCGAAAATTTATAATTCCTGTATGGCTACATACAGGGTGTCCGCAAAGTTGGGGTTTTCCTTTACACGACGTGTAGATCTGGAAAACATAAGCAATTTTTCTTAGTACCATATACACCAATGTTTTAAGGGAACCGCTCTGCAACATCAAAAATATCTGAATACCGTCCTGTAGCCGCGACCCGCGATATCCCCGAGTGGTACTACGACACTAGCTCAACCCGACGACAGAACTAGGTCGGGGTCAGCGTGTCAGGTCAGTATGCAACCTTCTACCGACGGTTACGGTCACGCGTGTAGAGGTAAACGAACCCGTATAATCGATTGCGTTTCAAAAAAAAAAAATAATAATGGCACACTCATGCACCAATAATGAACTCGTTGATATGTTGTTAATTTATGGCGAATGTCTTCAAAATGCTACAGAGGCGTCGCGAGTGTATGCAGATCGTTTCCCTAGACGACATCATACAAGGCCCCGCAGATTTGTGTACCTGGTCCAGAGAGTCAGGGATACGGGCTAATTGGAGGAATTTCGAGGTGGGCACAGTGGGAGGCTTAGACAACCACGAATGGTGCAAGTTGAGGAAGAACTACTGAATCGCGTAGACGAGAATCCCTCAACAAGCACTAGAGACGTGGCTAGAGAAGTGCAAGTATCAAAAACTAAAGTGTGGCAAACGTTGCGTGAAGAGGGGCTGTATCCGTTTCACGTCCAACGTGTACAAGCCCTTCAACCTGACGATTTTCCAGCAAGAGTGCGGTTTTGTGAGTGGTTATTGCATCAACATGACAATAATCCGGACTTTTTGAAGTGCATATTGGTGACAGACGAATCTACGTTCAAGCGTAATGGGGTGAATAACTTTCGCAACACTCATGTTTGGTCAGTAGAAAATCCGCACGCTGTCCGTCGGGCACATTTTCAACAAACATTTTCGGTAAATGTTTGGGCTGGCATGGTGAACGGTATGCTCATTGGACCATTTATTCTCCCAAATCGATTGGACGGGATGCAATACCTAGACTTTTTACGCAACATTTTGCCGTCCTTGTTAGAAGATGTGCCATTAAGTGTAAGACAATCAATGTGGTTTCTGCACAATGGTGCACCGCCCTATTTTAGACGCGAAGTGCTTGAGTTTTTGAATGAATTATTTCCGAATAGGTGGATCGGACGTAATGGACCCGTAGCGTGGCCTCCGCGATCTCCAGACTTAACACCATGTGATTTTTTTCTTTGGGGAGAAATGAAACGCTTAGTGTACAAAACTGAAGTGCATACGGTTGACGAACTTCGTCTCAGAATTGAACAAGCTGGAGCTTTCAGTCGGGGAGGGACTCCATTCTGAAAGCCTGCACCGATGCTTGGCTACGTCGTGCACGCACCTGTGTTTTTGAATCAAACGGCGATAACTTCGAACAATACCTATAAAGTACGTTTACCTAAAAACTGAAAACGCGGCAACGCCGTCTTATTTGTTACCTCTGTTCGTGGTCTGCACCACCGCCGGCGCCTGCTCGGTAGCGCATCAGCTGATTTCATTTTCTGTTGGAGCGGTATGATTTCGGGCAGAGACGTACATAGCCCTTCTCGACAAGTAGAGGGTGAGTACTTTTTCCTTTATTTTTTTTTATTTGGTCGCCCTCGTTTCACTACACATTACCTTTGTTATTTCAAGGGTAGTTGTTTCTGAAAAGGAAAACCCCAACTTTGCGGACACCCTGTATATCCTTTGTTTATTGTATGGAGTTTCAGCAACCACGCTGGCTCTTTTGAGTACAATGTCATGGTGACGTCAAAAAGATACCTACAATGTCTTTGTACTCGAAAAAGGCTACCGTGGTGCCCGAAGCGTCGTACAATAAACAGAAAATTAAACATACAGACTGTTTACAAAAGTTTGGAACGCATAGAATGACTCATCTAAATTAAAAAAAAAATGGTAGGTTTAGGTGCAAAACCACGGCGGATCCGTTGATGATATCCGCGATGTCGCCAAATCTACAGTTTTTCTGGAAAAGATAGCAACTTTTGTTTTTCTTATGGAATGCTATACATTTTATTCAATATTTGTATTTTGCGAGAAATTCTGAATACTTCTCATTAAACATACTTTCACGTAGACGTCATAGTTCAAACATTAGTATTTATATGATAAAAGGTATTTTTTTCGATGTCAGAAATGGCAGGAAATTATTTTTCATTGGTGAAAAAACACCTTTTATTGTTATTTCAAAAACTATGAGGTCAAACTACGTTTGATAAAAAGTATTCTTGTAACCCATCTTACCTGTCTATCGCCAAGTAGTAGACAAAAACCGGCACGAACATAGCGAAAACAGCTAAAAAGCACCATGCTTTCAAGGGTGTAGTACACTTAAAATCACAAGAATCACAAATGAACAAATTGAACTTCTTCGGTGAATCAGTTTCGTCAAGCAACAGTTTTCCATCGCTGAATGTTGTTGTTGGTGGTTGGTTGTGTCTTTCTACGAAGGTCATGGTATATTTTCTCTCATATCATCGTTGAAACGGCATGCAAACATTTGAGGAATCGATTGCAATGATCGCAGATAAGCCGTACTATCGATAAACGGGAGATTATGTGATTAGGATTTTTAAGGATTGCGATAGACGTTTTAAATACTGCGTGATGGATGTTTCTGATATCAGATAAAGTTGAAGCTTGTCGGATAAATCGGATGTGTAGATTCGGAATGATTACGTACAGACTCAAATTTCAGTTACACTCAGCGTCCAAAAATTATTGATTGTCTTACACTTAATGGCATATCTTCTAACAAGGAAGGCAAATCACGTCTCTAGTGCTTGTTGAGGGATTCTCGTCTACGCGATTACCTCTACACGCGTGACCGTAACCGTCGGTTGAAGGTTGCATACTGACCTGACACACTGACCCCGACCCAGTTCTGTCGTCGGGTTGAGCTAGTGTCCTAGTACCACTCGGGGATGTCGCGGCTACAGGACGGTATTCAGATATTTTTGATGTTGCAGAGCCCTTTATCTCGGTTCCCTTAAGACATTGGTGTATATGGTACTAAGAAAAATTGCTTATGTTTTCAAGGTCTACACGTCGTGTAAAGGAAAACACCAACTTTGCGGACACCCTGTATAATGCGCCACTTTGTAGCGGCGACCATCTTGAACCTGACATTTTTTCGTAGCCTCCTTTGACTTTATAACTTATTTTAGAAAAGTTCGATATACAAACTTTCTTGTCATCGATTATAAGGAATAAATAATCTATTACTTCATTTTTTTTAAATCTACACCTGAAATATTCGATTTAAAGTCCTTGTAAAGTAGTTTTCTTAGACACACTCAACTCTAGAGTTTGGCCATCTAGATTATTAGAACGCCCGGTAGAGAGATGGCGAAAACCATATAACGATGTGCGGGCAGAATAAAAGTTAAACCGGCAGACTTTCAGCGGAGTTTGAACAATTTCCGCTTTCGCAATTGAATCTAAATGTTTTTAAATACGAAAATTTACGTTTTGTGCCCCTTATCTGCACGAACATTGTTGTTTATGGCCATATCAGAGCGAACGAAGTGGAATGCGAGATACAGTTGTTATATTCGCTCCTTTTTAATAGTATTTATCAAGCAAGCAGAAAAATCTTCATGTTTTCTGGGCATTAAATAAAACAACATACACACACACACACACACTCATATATATATATATATATATATATATATATATATCCTTGAATTTCTTATGTAGAAGTAAAAGTATTCTCACTCTTATAACTTAAACCCGAGCTTTCGAAGATCTATGTCTTCATCGTCTGGAGCTGCAAACAATTATTGACAATAGCAACAGTTAACAATTAGGAGGAAAAATAGTTACTAAGTTACGTACTAATATCTCGAAAAATCAGTTTCATAAGGAAACATCTCATGTAAGGTTTGAAAAGGTTCACCTAATGATGACCTGTAATGTGAGCTTAGCTATGACCTTCAAGCTCCTTTGAAGGTCAAGATAGCTCTATTAAATGGAACATCTATTTATGACACCAAAAACAAAAAGATAATTTCAATTATTATATCCATGACCTTGACTATGACCACCAACGTCATTTGAGGATGAAATTAATTTTGAAGCATCTATAGCGAAATCCGAAAAATACGCATAGAAAAAATTAAGGAATCAACTAAAAACTGTAAAGTTCTAGTCATTCTTTGAAGTGCTGTATTTCAGTAAAGAATGCTCGTCTTGAGGTTCTAAAGGAAGCATTCCAAAGCTTTAAATGGCTATTTTCTGGGCCGTTAAACATTTTTGAGGCTACGAAATAGTGCGAAGAAAAAATTGCAATTTTTAGTATTCTTATTTGGGTCCATGAACTTGGAAAATGTTTTTACTTTAAACTTCAATATGACAGTTTCTTGCTTTCTAGAGAACCCATTCCAGCTTTTCAAACCACACTTTGTACGATTGTTGGTTCCTAGGATATTAATAATCTAAGCCAAAAAGGATCCTTTTTATTAAAAATTCGATATTTCAGCAAAAAAGGGTCGTATCGGGGTTTTGAAAAAAAGGAAATTGAAGCTAAATAGATAGTCTATTGAGCCCATGTAATGGTTTCCCGGAAAGGCATTTTTACAAGTTCGCGAACTTAAATAAAGGTACAAAAAGGTGCAATTTTGTTTCGTCACACTGTGATAATAATAATAATAATTATTATTATTATTATCATTATCATTATTTTCTAGGATCCGTCACCTCTAAATCTGATTGGTGAATTTGAATTACATATCAATAGTAAAATCGGGCCCAAGTTAATGCTCGGAAAATAATTTTCCGAACTGTTTTTATTTTTTACGCTTCTGAAAAAAGTACCTCGAAATGAGTCGCCCCTTATCTAAGAGGCTAGAAAATAGTTGAGGCTCCAGAGATTGTTGAAGAGCACTTGAACGAGAAGGGGTGCATAGGTCTTCGCAAGTTTGAAATAAAGTGAATTTCGTTGTGCCGCGATGCAGTTCGAACTCATTTAGCAGATTTCAATAGCAGCCCACGCCGGTGTCAGGAAGCTGGTCGAATCGATGAATTTAAATTAAAAATTAAATTAGACGCTGAGATTTGGCCTATTCAAGCCTTGCTTGAACGCAGAAAGGGTTCGTTTTCACGCGTCTCCCTCCAAGTGCAAGCTTGGAAACTTCGTTTTTCCCTAGATTAGGTACGTCATGATTTCGTTTTTAAATAAAATCAAACAATTTTTCATATTATTATGTGAGTATGGGGGTTATGTCTTATAAATAACTTGCTTAAGGTCACGTGGTTTTACCCGCGGAAGGTGAAGGTCAAACGCCCTTTTTTAACTGCCTGTCTAGAGCATAATTCTAAATCATTTTCATCGGATTATTTCATGGTGTGTATAATGGTATCAGCTTTTTTTGTCAGAAAATGCATTTTTGTGCATTTTTTCTGCAATCGTAACTTGTTTACAAACATTATTAGAGCTCTGAAAAGTAACCACGAACGATCTTGAAAAATGATCTGCATTGCATGCACTCGCGAAGCGTCGGTAGCATTTCGAAGACCCTCACCGTAACTTAAAATAATATTGCTCTGAGAGTGTGATTTTTTCAGAACCGATGTGTAAAGGTCAGAGAGGGATTTTTTGGAGAGGGGGAGACAAGAAAAATTCAATGCTTGGATATGTGATTATGTATCGATGAGAAATAATTTTATTGAGAATGCGTATTTCAGACATTCAAATCAATTTGATGTTTCTTTTCCAGAGATCTTTTCCATTTGCACAATTTCTGACGTCGTTAAAGCATCCGTAATTAAAATCACCTGTCTCTAGATTCTTAATTGCTCAATATAAAATGTCACCTACCCCTATACAGGGTGTTCGAAAAATTGACGGGTGATTCCTTGTTGAAAAATATGAAAAAGTTTCTATAAACATGGGTCTGGAAATGCAGAGCTTTTAAGATACAGGGTGATAAATTTTAAATAAATGTTTTTTTGTTAATAACTTAAAAGACATTCACTCCATTCTGTTGAAATTTGGCAATATCATTTATTGTATTATCAGTCTAATTTAGCTCTAAATAGATTAAAATTATTAGGTCTAGTGGCGTCTCGGGGTGTCCTTAGCGAATATTACTGACAAAAAAAATGTACGCCACTGCCTTTTTTGTAACTTATATATTTGTTGTTTGATTAAGCATCTAAAAATACAAGTTCTTTGCCTCTTGTATTTTTTCCATATATCACTTCATTTTTAAGAAAAAAATAAAAGTCGTTTTATTGCATGTCACTGGACAAAATTGGTTTTATATTTTTGCTAAAATAATAAAAGTGTGTTGGAAAACAAAAAATAATTCCTGCATGGACGTTTGACATTTGCGCGTCAGTTCTTCTAGAAAAGATTTATTTACGAAATTCTTTGCGAAAATATTTTTCTTTAAATTGATCACTCTGTATCTTGAAAACTCGCATTTCCGGAACCATGTTTCTAAAAACTTTTTTTCATATTTCTTTGACCCTCTAAAATATCTCCGTCTATTTTTCGAACACCCTGTATAGTATAGAGTACGTATTATTCTTCGCCACCCTAGGTGGCGCTAGTGTGGTTGGAGAGCAAACTGTCAACAGTGCGCGGGAAACCAGATTTAGATCAAGGCGGAGTTCGGAGGGTATTTGAGGTTAGGAAAAATTTGACATCAAACTGACAATAAGTTTTTCTTCTCAAATCCATCCTCAAGCTGTTTGTAACCTTAAATATGACCGCGAACTTAACCAGCGCCATCTACTTCAGCCCCCTCGCAGCTTTAGTAAAAACAAGTAATTACAATATATTTTATTTAACTAAAATATGAACAATATGCAACAGTAACTTCACAAACTAAATAAATTTTCTGTAAAATAAACAAATTATAGAATCACTTCACTAGCATCTTCGGTGTTGTTCAGCCCGTCTGGTGAGCTTCTACATAAAGGACAATGTCCAAGTTGCAGCACTTGCAGTTCAAAATCGTCCACGTGGAAAAATCTAAAGCATGTCTCACACGATGTGATGCGAACGTCAGGGAGCAAGTTCCTGAAATCGAAATCACCCGTGAAATTAAATTCTGCAATAGTTCCATTTTTATGCATATGAATATCCGTACTCCTTATTCTTATGCTTTAAAGGTACTGCCGCTGTCTATTTGTCTTCATTCCGAAAAAAAAAATACGTAGGAAAACATTGATTTACCTATAATACTGATATCTCAAAGGTGGTCTCCACTTTGTGATCAGAACAGCTGAAGAATCAAGGCTGAGGAGAGTCTTCCTGCCTACGATGACTGGTTTGTGATCTCGATCAACTTTGATAACAAATGGATCTTCCTCTTTTTCTTCTGAGTCGTTGAATAACCTATTACATACAATATGAATAAAATATTCAGCGTTCCATTTTCAAATAAAAGTTTTTTTTATGTTTCGACCCTAAAATATTGAGACAAACCTTAAAGTTTGTTGATGTTCTTCCACATCTTCTTTCCACTCCTTCTCTTCTTTTCTCAACGGAGGTGCTTCGATCAGCCTGACTGCCTCTTCGTCGCTAATCCCTTCCTCCACGTGGAACTCAACCAATGGCAGTGGTTCAAAACTGACAAACGAATGTTGAAAGCTTTGTCCACAGTTTGTACAAGCGTCAGACGCTGCAAAAATTATGTCAATCAGATTACCTCAATACTACGACGAAAAGTTTATATTTATTTATAATTTCCAATGTCGAAAACCTCTATCAAAAGATCTGTTACCTGTCAGCAAAGGATTGTAAGTAGAGCATCGGTAACACATTGGTAACAATTCTTCTGGATCACTGAAAGGTCTGGATCTACATGCTACAGCAGCAATTTCCGCCTGTTCCTGGAACTTTGTTGGAATTCTCAATGTATGAATCTTATCCAGCAATTGTTTGGCCAATCTATTGGCTCCGAGTTTTCTAGCTTGCTTTGCTAGTGTGTACCTGTAAGATCAATCAGTCAATCAACCAATCAATCAATCTACCAGCCAATCAATCTATCCACCAACCAATCAATCAGTCAATCAATAAATCAATCAATCTACCAACTAACCATTCAATGCAGCAACCAATCAATCAAATCAATCAAGCAATGGATCAATAAGTCAATCATTCTACCTACCAACCAAACAATCAATTCATTCACCAACCAATTAATCAATCAACCAACCAACCAGTCAAACAATCTACCAACCAACCAATCAATAAATCAATCAATCAATCAATTGAGCAAACAATCTACCAACTAACCAATCAATCCACCTGCCAGCCAATCAATCAATTTACCAACCAATTGATCAATCAATCAACCAACTAGTCAATTAATCTACCAACCAATCAATCAACCGAACAATCCAATGAATCAACCAATCAATCCAATCAACCAATCAATGAATCAATCAAGCAGTCAATTAATCAAGCAGTCCATCAATCAATCAATCAATCAATCGATCAATCAACCTACCAACCAATGTGTCAATCCACCAATCAATCAATCAGTCAATCAATCAGTCAATCAATCAATCCGTCAATCAATCAATCAACCAATCATTAAATTAACCAATCAATCAATATACAAACTGAACAATCAATCGACTAACCAATCAATCACTCACTCAACCAATCCATCATGAATCAACAAACCAATCAATCAATTTACCAACCGATCAATCAACATACCAACCAATCATTCTACCGACCAATCAATCGATCAATGAATCTACCAATCAATAAATCAATTACTCCACCAATCAAATAATTCGTCAATTAACAGAACAATCAGTTGATCATTAAGTCAACTAATCAATCGATCAATCCATTTGTTTTGTTCGAATCTTACCAAACTGAGAATGTGGAAACTCCTTTGGGTCTCTTCTTATCAGTTCTGACCATAACAAATCTGGCAATGTTGAACAAAGCTTCGGGCATGTAAGATGTGAAAGGTTCTTCTAGATATTTGTGGACAATGTCGTACGCGTAGTAGATGTCTGCTAGTTTTTCGTTGATTTTAAACTTCTCCAGATCTTCTGCCCTGTTGTCTTCATTTTCGGCTGCTAGATCGAGGTATTGACCCGCCATCACCCAGTGATAGTAGCCTGCATCTCGATATCTACTCATAGAAGTTATGCAATTGTTATCTATCCTAGGTCGCAAGAGCTACGTTAAGCTTATTCGACACAAAAGAGCAAAAGCATTGTCTCGAACAATTCCAAAGCTTCCACTGGAATTTACGTCAAGCGCACGCCTATGTTTCCGCCAGTTTCAGCCATGACAATAGCCTCCGCACGTATCCCAGATGCGCGTACGAGTCAATTTACTGATGTCATAGGGCGGTCGAAGCTCGAGACGTGTAGGCTATGAACATGGTATTCAACCAGTTAACGTGCCTTTAACTTACCAGTTCTTCAGTCGAACGTATGGATGACCATTATGTCTAACAGATTCGTAATATCGGCAGAAGTAGAAGCTTCCTAATAGTAGAACGTCTTTCATTCATACCAAAGATGCATTATTTAGAGCCCTCACCCCCCATATTTCCCAACACCTGATTTCAACTCATACAAAAAATTTTCTGACAACGAAGTTTGATCAAGATTTCGATTTCGAAATTTGTTGCGATTACAATACTTTCTCAGCAGTGATAGGCAAAATACTTTCTCGTCAATTAGCGTGGGAAGTGAAGGGATGCATTTTTCCGTGTTTTTACAATCTCCAAGGCACTTGTCTCCTACTCACCTTCCTTCCGCCACAGCGTTCTCCGTGAGCTGCCCAAACACCCTGGCAGCCTCCTGTTGCCTTCCGGCCTTATGAAACGCCTTTTGCGCCTGCAAAAAGTCGTCGTTTTCTGCCAGCCAACGCGCGTACGCGACATACGCAGCGGCGGCGTGTTGGGGATGCGTCTGGGCGATCGCGAACGCTTCTTTCCATTCTTTGGCGTCCACGTGGAGACGGAGGACGGATTCGGAGTCTCCTAGGCGACGGTAGACGTCGATGGCGTCTTGGGGACGACCTGAAAGAAGGAAAAAGTACCGCTCGCAATAGACGACGCAAAGAGTTGAAGAATCGTAAACCTGTTCGCTGTGTACACGATGACAGCGCCGTCTAGTCACAATAATCATTCTGAACCCGCGACCTGTCAGATCTTACCAATTTTTCAATCGTTCGGTAAAATTGGGAACATTCAAATTAAGGAAACAACGGTTGAATACGGGGTTCCTCAGGGAACTATCCCGGGTCCTTTGTCCTTCAAAATTTATCTATCGGATCTATGCGAACAAAAAATCGAATGAGACATAGTGAACTATGCTAACGATATCGTAGTATTGTAAAAATATGCAAAAAAGCTTGTATAAACATGTATCCGGAAATGCAAAGTTTTCAAGATAAATTAAAAAAAATTAAAATATTAACTCGATTCTGTTGAAATTTGGTAATATTATTTGTTGCATTAAGAGGCTAATTTAGCCCTAAACGGATTAAAATTGTAATTTTATTGTAACTTTGATACCTGTTGTTTAATTAAACATCTAAAAATACAACCCTTTTGCCTCTTGTATTTTACCTTCGTATCTCACTCCATTTTCGAGAAAAAATAATTTTTGATAAAAAATCACAAGTGCCTTGGAAAACAAAAAAATCTAAAAAAATTCCTAGGAAATAGTGTTATTGCAACTGTTTTAATAGGTATAATGACATAAAGTACAGTACAACAAATGTTGGAAATTTCCACCATCCATTTTCGTACACTTTCTTATTCGATGAATCATTGAACGACGAACTCGAGCTAAAATTCGAGGTCTATTTCTTATTTCTTCGATTTTATTTCTTAATTCTTGGAACTAGCGTAAAACATCGTCTTAAGGTGTACGCATAAATAAAAATCTGTTGGATTTAAGTCAGGGCAGCGAGGTGGCCAGCGATTCGGTCCACTTCTTCAAACACAACTTTCAGCTTTAAAAGATGTGGCACAAAACGATCTTCGAATAATAATTAAAAGCTGGCTCGATAGTAAATTGCAAATAAGAAATTTTGAAAAAACTAACTTTTTTCATTCCACCTCATACATAAAAAATGTGCCATGTTACACTTATCCAAACTGTCAAGATAGCAGATATGCAGGTTGTCAAGCTTTGGTGTTTTTTTTTAAATAAAATACTCAATAGTTCAATAACTAATAATCAAACACATAAATTCGTTATAGCAATCTTCTTCTTTTAAAAGGGCGTTTCCGAGTGACTAATGAAAAGTACGGCCTCTCATTTAAAATATTTTTATGTGGATCAAAATGTGGACACCCTGTATAATTGTGAGTATTTTAAAAATTTGTCCTCGGGTACCTTATATAATAATAGTCATAAATAGTCTTTTTTGATGAGTTTTTATTTAGGAGCAATACTCCGTTCTTGCATGTTTGGGACGCCCTGTATATCATGGAAACGCTCCATAGGACTGCTAAGAGCCCATTGAAACTTTTGGTCAGGATGCTTTGGAGAGCTTGTTCCCAAAGTTTGAGCAATATTTTGCATTACATTACATTACGATGACCTCATCTCGTAAAATAAAGCCAGCTTTGGATACAGAGACCCAAAAAACCTTCAGGTGGAAGTTTTATATGCATATATTCACTTTGACCTTGAATGAACCTTTATATGACTTTGATATAACCTTTGGTTGACTTCACTAGGCATATTAAACACCACCAGAGTCGGATTCAGTGACTCAAAAAACTTCAATATATTTTTTCAAAAAAATTTTTTAATTTGGTGTTGAACCTGACGTGGTACAAGTCGAAAACCCCAAGAAACCCTCATGGGATTAAACGTTGACCAATACACTTAAGCGCCTATTATTACCTAATCTCTCCAAATGCTTAGCTATTCCCGTAAGAGCCGCCCGATCACTTTTATCTATCTTCCTAGACAGTTCTGATAGTTGATCAGTCCACCCTTTCTCGGCATAGATGTCCACCACTTCCTGGATATCTCCGATTGACAGGTACATTTCAGCAGCCGCCTTGTGCTCGTTGATGTTCCTTGCCCAATCGGCTTTCTTCCTGATTAGATCTACGTTGTCACTTGAGCTAAGGTATTCTTGGGCCTCGTCGAACATTCTAGACACAAGTTCACAGGTTTTTACTTGCTTATACAACGTATTGAAGAAGTGTTAGAAAAAGCTGCCACCGAAACTCGCAACGAAGCGTATTAAATGCATTTGTGAGGACACATCCAGCTGGGTAATTCTTCCACGAGAGACGATAACGGAACATAAAACAAACCTTCTACTAGTGACTTACCTTAGATCCATGTACATGGCAAAAGCCTTATACTCTTTACCGGCCTTTTGGTACATCTTTGCAGCTTCTTTCAGTCTATTCCTATGAGCATAGACGTCACCAATCATGGCTTCTCTTGGATAGTCTCCTGTTCTTTGTAGCTCCATTAACTCTTGAATCAACTCTAGGTAACTATAGTCTTGAAGCTTTACAAAAGCTAGCCTATTTTGAAATTGTATACTCTTACTAAGATTATGATATTTCATCACTATAAAAGTATATCGAAAATGGTTCTCATAATTTTGGAGTTCCGCAGGGAACTATTTCAAGACCACTGCTAAATATCATATATCACGTATCAAATTATTAGTCCATTTTAATTCTGAAATTGTGTATTATTATTATGGCTATGATATTTCATCAGTATAAAAGTTTATAGAAAATGGAAAGACAAGCTGGTTCACGTAATTTTGGGGTACTGCAAAGATCTATCCCAGGATCACTGCTGAATATCATATATCACATATCAAATTCTTAGTCTATTTTTATTCTGGAATTGTATATTGTTATTATGTCTATGATATTTCATCACTATAAAAGTGTATAGAAAAAGGAAAGACAAGCTGGTTCTCGAAATTTTGGGGTTCTGAAAAGATCTATCCCAGGACCACTGCTAAATACCATATATCACATATTCAATTATTTGTCTACTTTTATTTTATTATTATGTCTATGATGTTTCATCACTATAAAGTGTATCGAAAATGGAAAGACAAGCTGGTTCTCGTAATTTTGGGGGTACTGCAGGGATCTACTCTAGGGCCAGTACTAAATATCATATATCACATATTGAATTTTCAGTCTATCTCATAAATGTGCACAGGCGCTACGGTAACTAGATGTATTACAAACTATTGTTTAATAAAAAAATGTCAGAAATGGGACAAATATGCTCTTTTATAGTTCGGGGTACCACAAGGATCTTATTTTGGACTATTGTTACATGTCATTTCTGTCTTGGATATTTGACAACAGAACTGAGTCAATTCGGAGATCTACAAGGTCAGATATTTTGAATGAACGAATTTAGTTTAAATACCTGGAAACTTCAAAATCCAACGCCTCCAATGCTGCATAAGCTAATTCTTCCCAATCGCCATCTGTCACTCCAAGACAAGCAACCCTGTATGCCTCATAGAACATCTTTTTGTCGATGTATTGGTACATGGGAGCGCTGAGCGGAATTTCTAACGTGGTCATGGAGAAACCGTTGAGGAAGAATACCTTGGAACCCATGAAACCGACAACAAAACCGCTCATCGTTTGAGTGTGAGACGGAAAATCAGATACCTAGAAAAACGTCGTAGTAAACGCGACTGTGGTGCAAGTATACTGAACTTTCGGTGAATCTCACATTTTGGGTGGCTATAGTTCAGTTTTCGTAATTGTACCTCAAAAGTTTCGATAAACGGAGTTTACCTTTATAGAAAGGGTACTGGAGCTGCTGAAAGCCAACATGTCTTCGTATAGACTGTTAAATGCAACGCTGTTAGCATTGTTTTCTTGATATAATAGTTCGTTTGTTCTAGAGTCAAATATTTGACATAGACCATTGTCGTCTACCACAGCTAGTTTTTGTTTTCTCTGGCTCATGTCTAAACATCGTACACTTTCGTTTACAGTCACCTAAAAAATGTATAATATATATATATATTCGAGCCATTCCCCTGTCAACAACCAGTTGGGCAAAAAATACAATTGAATTGTTTATTGGGAATTGGCAAAACTTAAAGCGTAGTGAGCTCTGTTGACGGTAATATCAAGCTTTCGACATACTATGTTGTTATCTTCAGGAGCTAAAACACAATTATAAAAATAGCAAAGCTCTAAATTGGTTGCCATTTTCATAATTGTGGTTTAGCTCCTGAAGATGACAACATAGTTCGTCGAAAGCTTGAAAGAGAGAAAATGATTATGCGGAGAAAGGTATATAACAAAAAGTACGAAAATAATGGGCAAAAAGGAGGAAAGTGGAGTCTCGCAGGTTACACCCGTATCCGGATGTGTGGGATGTGTATCTACTTTTGTAGTTGCATGTGTGCATTCATTTTGGGCTTGATGGAGCCAACCAGCAGAAATACGTATCGCTCGGGTTACCTATCCTATTTTCTGCTCGAATCCACTTTCCTCCTTTTTGCGGATTTTGCCCTTTAATTCCTACTTTTTGATTAGCGTAATTATATATTTGAAGTTGAGTCATTAATTTTCAGATAATGATTGTAGAAGGAAGATAAACCAAAATATGTGTGTAAAAATAAAAAAAAAATTAAAAAAAGTTTTTTACCTAGTTTTATAAAGTATCCTCCCGACAAGTATTTCAGTGCGGACCTGTATTTGATCGTGAGGTCCCCTGTGAGGTCTTAAGTCACCTGATTCACGAGCCCGTTGTACTACATTAACAAAGGCACGAGGGGGTGGTTGCACTCGATTGGGAAACCGATCCGCATAAACATGTGCCATTTTTTATTTCGTTTGAGTCACGCAACAGACACTATTCACACGCGACTGACACTGACTGTATGTATAACTGAACTGAATAAAATAATTGTAAAAACATCGTTCCAAATTCTTTCGCTTTTTTGTTTCCGATGCGATGAACCGATAAGGCGGATTATATCCGTTGTTGCCAAACACGAGCACATGATATTATTATTGAGACATGGCGGTACTCAAACTTCCAAAGGGCTATAACTTTGTTACTTTAATTTTACCAGAAAAATGGTAAAGGAAAAAAACATTTCTTTTGATCAGATCTACTCACTGTTAAAATAAATGACTCAACTTCGAAGTCACCCTGTATATATATTTCAAGACGGATATATTTCAGATACGTCTACCAATTTTCATATAACAATAAAAATACCTTCAGCATGGGATGCATATTGTCTAAGTGAACCTCCCAAACTTGTCCGTTCCTTAGTCCTAATAACATTCCTTCCTTACCGGGAACTCCTCCAATATTTTTGATGTACCTTAAAACTTATCACGGTTACAATTCTCTTTCTCTACTAAACCGTATCCAAATCTAAGAGTAAAACTTAACAATTGCTCAGCATCTGCTTCGCCGCGACTAGCAGCAATAAATAGCTGCAATCAGGCATTCGTTTGGCGTTCATCGTGTTCCAAAATTTAATGAAACAATTTTATATAATACACATTATAGCTGCTTTTTTCTTATAACACTGACGACTAATACATTTTTGTCGTAATTATGAAAACGATTCCGCAAATGATAGCATCTGCAATCAACACGGCCAGTACGGGCCGGTGTTCCTCAAGGTTCACGCCTAGGACCAACACTTTACTCGCTCTTTACCCATGATGACCCTTGCCCCAGCAACTGTGAAGCCTACCTCCAGTAGAGAAGGTACGGTGAACGTATAAAATTAATCATTCGAAAATGTAGGCAATTTATTGTACCAAAAGACATCCCGGCCTCCCGCCGAGGTTTTGGTAAACGGAAGTCGTATACCATGAACAAGATTCTGCCAAGTAGAGCGGGGTCACTCTTGATAAAGAAACATACTCCAGCATTGAAAACCAAATTCCAAATTATGTTTCGGCACCTTGTTATGCAGATCCTCAAAATTAAGCTTGTTAAACAAAATATGACTATACAGGGTGATTCACAAGTCGTGACCAAAAAGGAAACATCATACGCAGGGGAGAATATATTCAAAGCTGTCAACTAATGACTTAAATTTTGGTATGTGGATTAACCAAATATTGACCACATACAAACGTCCTTACTTAAAATTAACGTGCCCCAGTGGCGTACAGGGGATTGGTGGCATTATTTTTCCAAATAAAAATAGTAGGCCACTGTTTTTTTTCGAAACGCGGAATTTTTCGAATTTTTACTTCAATTTGTATTTTTTCCTAGAGTGCAGAAGAGCCGAGATGCAATTAGTTTCAAAATAAAATAGGTAGGCCTTGATACCAACTTGACGTTTCTTGGGAGATAGTTTGTCAATGTTATGTGTTATACGGTTGTTATCGTTACTACTACCATTTTTTTTGTAAAAGTCAAATTTTTTTTCCTATTTTTGAGTGTTGTGTAATGGAATGTAGCAATGATGAGTACGCCGATTTTATTTTTGTGTACGGTTTCTGTAATGGAAATGCTTTAGCAACATAGATTTCCTAACAGACGCCAAACTATCCCAAAGGTTTTTTTTGTTTTTTAAGAAAACAATGCACTCTAGAAAAAACACAAGTGTAATTATTTGTATCAAATTGAAGGTAAAATTGGAAAAATTCGAAAGAAAACAGTGGTGTAGTATTTTTATTTGGAAAAATAATGCCACTAATCCCCTGAATCTCCGCCACTGGTGCACGTTAATTTTGAGTAAAGACTTCTAAAGGTGGACAATACTCAAATAAACTCACTTACTAAATTTTAGTGCATTCCAGTTGACGGTTTTGAAGATATTAAAAAAAAATGTTTTTTATTTTTAAACTTCAACACCGCCGTATTTAATGAAGCCCCCGAGGAAATTATGTTACATAGAAGACCCCCCATAAAATGCAGTCCTGTGTATCATGTTTCAATTTTGGTCACGACTTGTGAATCACCCTGTATAAAATGATTATTAGACCATCCATCTCGTTCACATGTGCATCTTGCTGATACACTCCTCGTTTCTTTGCGCTTCTTTTTTTCATTCTTTCCTTCTTTTTTACTTGGCATTGTTTGGTTAATGGGCAGCTAGGGCTGACAGATTTGACTAACGTACACTAGTCAGTCACTAATGGGCAAAGGTCCTACGAACCGCTCAGACAGATAAATGACGGTCCTGAATATGACCCTCTTTATTTCTTCAGCTGTCGATTATGAGCATGTTTACATTCACTCTTAGATTAGATAGTATAAGGCTTAGCTGTGAACATTTTTAGCATGTTTATCAAAGGTGGGTGACATTTCTCATGTTGTATACCTTATAGGGCTATCGAACCTCCACTCTTTTTCTCGTTCACCGTTGAAGAAAACGCTTTGCAAAGTCTGCTCTTGACAGATCACCAAATGATCCGTACACACTACCAACAGACTACAATCAAGTTTCTGCATGATCTTTTCCTTAGCCCTATAATGCATATCGTTCGAGTCTTTGGAGTACAGTTCGTAGATTACCACCCTTTCTGGTAGTTGTACCTAGTCAAAGATTAAACAAAAGCTTCATTCTCCTGGAAACAAGCTGATATTAAGAAGATCATTCCGTCAAAGCATTGCTCAACGTATTTTATAATACCTGAACCATATACGGTATTATCGAATTCAAAAAGGGATCTGAAAGATACTAGAGCCATCGGTGGGACAGCATTAGAACATAAAAATGAATTTAGAAATCTACTTTGAAAAGAGTGAAAATCACGTAACATATTTTATTATAATCATTTACCAGTAATTTAAATTTACCGTTATCAATGATAGAGTACCGAATCCTAGGGCAAACGTCTTTTTAATTATTTTCTTTTGGCAAATTTGTGTAATTTTCTTGGACTCTAATATTCTCTAAGAAATGTCCTCATAAAATATCGTTTGTCCCTCGTAAAGTTGTCTATATAGGCAACCAGCGCCCTCCTACTTTTGACATTGATTGACAGTCCGTCATTTTATTTTCTTGTTGAGGTTATGTTGTAACGGACCTTCGTTTGATTTCCAGCTTTTGAGATATTTGAGCCCCAATCACCAGCTTATGGGGTAGCACCTTTAAAAGTTACAGTGTTTGGTTCTGTTACGATCTCACAGATGACGCTAGGATCTTCAATCCCCTCCCTAATGCATGAAAATACACAAACTATACCAGTTTTGATTTTTAAAAATCTTACTGCAAGTCTATCCGTATATATGGCGATTTTCTTGATGAGATCCCTGCATTTTATCCTAACTTTTTGTTCCGTGATTAGATGTTGGATTATGATGTCTGTCATGTGCTCTCTATACGCGTATCTTTCTCTGTACAGACCGTGTACCATGTTGAACACCAAATGATAGTACGAGATTGTACCATCTTCGCATCCCATCGCCTAAAAGAAGAAAACATTTTTTTTCGTACGGTAGGTTTTGAAAATCGTTTCAGCGAAAAATATCGCTCAAACTCCGTTGTTTGACGATTCAGAGCTCCTTGATTATTTTTGGAAAAAATTGAGGGCAAAAAATTGGGAGGAGGGGGGCTGGTTGGAGAGGAGTGGGATAGGGTGTATCGCAATTGGTGGTAGCATATAAACTTCCAACCCCAGCGCTTTTTAAGAATATTTCATACATACAGGCTGTCAACGGGAAGCATAAATGGTTATATTAGGCATAAAAGTATGAAAAAAACACCCTGTATCGAAACTACTACTTACCACAAAATTTCCAGACGGATGAGCATCACAACACCAAACCCACGAGTTCTGCTGTTCTCCCACCACGCCCAATTTTATCCCGTCCTTGGTGTACATAATGCAGGCTTTGTTCAAGCCTCCAGCGAGGATGTAGTCTCCGTGAGGAAAGTACCTCACTTTGAGTGCCTCAAAGCCGATGTTTCTCTCTTTGCCTACCAGCTTCCCGCCCAAGGTGTAGAACGACATGTGCTTGCCCCAGTCTGTCACACAAAGGGTGTCTGTTTGATCATCCTAGGAATTAAAACATTTACAAAGTGCTAAAACATTGTCTACTAAAAGTAAGAAAAAATAAGGGAATAACTATAGGGTGGATCTCATTAAGTATGATTTGACGTGATTACGGCAAGAGGGCAAAGTCATGACATAGTTAGCTGGAATACGATTTTTAGTATTATACGAGAAAGAACGTTGGAAGAGCCATGTGTAATAATCGAGAAATCTAATGTTCATTGTATATCAAAGAGTTCTGTATTGAACTTCAGTAGTTTTTTTTTCAGATACTCAGGCTTACGAGTTTCTTTATTTTTAGTACTAACCTTACTAGTGCTCCAGCTAATCGCACATATCGAAGTTCCTCCAGGTCGTTCTATTTTACTTTTTTCTTCTCCTAACTTGTTTCTGATAGATACTGTCCCATTATTCAATGCCAGAGCCAAATATTGACCTTTGAAGTGAAAATTTAACTTTGTTTTTAAATATTCACTGCATAAATCCTTATTAAAGAGAGTTCGCAGAGCTGTCAGATTCAAACTTCTTATACGGCGACGCACTTTAATGAAAATTTTCGCGATACCGCGAGCATTACTTGACCATATCATTCTACTACCTTACGACAGTATCCATCACCTAGCAACAAGGTAATGCCCCGGCATACCAAGCGGTGCTGCGATATACCAACGTCTCTCACTCTGGGATCTCACAGAATTCTTTCCGATACCCCACGAAGAATTTAACTATTTTGAGTATTTGAGAGCATGCTGTGAGGTTCTAAGTGCGAGGCGTTTGCATACCGCGGTATCCTTCGGCATCGCGTGGCTGCTAGACTATATATACCATCGTAAACCGTCGACATAGCATCATTTGCCATTATGTGGCATCCCGCGAGTTCATGACGGCGACGGTATTCCTATAGATAATCCACGTGGTATTCCCGACCGGCATATGGCGGTATATTGCGGCATATCCTAGCTGCTAGACTATAAATGCCGTCGTAAGCTGTCAGCATACCATTGATTGGAATTATGAGGAATCCCGCCAATTTATGACGGTAATTCTATCTATAGATCAGCCGCAAGGGGACTCCCCGACATTCAAAGGGATACCGCCACATACCGGCGCTTCCCAATCTACTATCTTTCCTTTTCCGGCATCTTAAAGCATGTTGTGAGTTCCTGATAGCGAGGCCTCGGCATCCTATAGTAACTCGGGGCTGCTAGACTATATATACCATAGTAAACTGTACACATAGCATCAGTTGGCATTTTATGGCATCCCGTCAACCTATGACGGTGACGGTATCTATAGATCAGTCGCCAGGGGATGGACCGGCATTCAAAGGAATTCCGCGACCTGCCAGCGCCTCCCAATCTAGGATCTCTCAGCATGCTTTTTGATACCGCAGGAATGATTTTATTTTTCCGGCATCTGAAAGCATGTTGTGAGGTCCTGATAGAGGGCGTCGGCATACCGCGGGATCTGGAGACTGCTAGACTATATATACCGTCGTAATCTGTCGACATAGCATTAGTGTGCATTCTGAGGAATTCTGCCAGTTTATGATGGTGATAGTATCTGTAGATCAGTGGTAAGGGGATGGCCCCTGTATTTAAAGGGATTCCGCGACATACCAACGCCTCCAAAGCTGGGATCTCTCAGCATGCTTTTCGATACCCAGGAAGCATTTTACTTTTCCGGCATCTAAAACCATGTTGTGAGGTCCTGATAGCGGGGCGTCGGCATACCGCGGGATCTGGAGACTGCTAGACTAGATATACCGTCGTAATCTGTCGACATAGCATTAGTGTGCATTCTGAGGAATTCTGCCAGTTTATGATGGTGATAGTATCTGTAGATCAGTGGTAAGGGGATGGCCCCTGTATTTAAAGGGATTCCGCGACATACCAGCGCCTCCAAATCTGCTTTTTCATACCCAAGAAGCATTATACTTTTCCGGCATCTGAAAGTATGCTGTGAGGCCCTGATAGCGAGGCGTTGGCATATGGCGGTATACTGCGGTATCCTGAGGCTGCTAGACTCTATATACCATAATCAACTATCAACATAGCATCAGATGGCATTCTATGGCATCCCGTCAGCTTATGACGGTGACGGTATCTATAGATCAGTCGTCAGGGGACGGCTCCGGCATTCAAAGGGATACCGCAACATACCGGCACCTCCCAATCTGGGATCTTTCAGCATGCTTCTCGATATCCCAAGAAGGATTATACTTTTCCGGCATTTGAAAGCATGTAGTGAAGTCCTAATGCCAACGCGTTGCCATACGCGGTATCTCGTGGTTGCTAGACTATAAATACCGTCGTTAACTGTCGTCACGACGATGTTGAGAGCTCCAGATATCAAGGCGTTGGCTTACGTCGGTATACTACGGTATCTTGAGGCTGCTAGACTATAAATAACGTCGTAAGCTGTTGACAGCATTAGTTGGCGTTCTGAGGTATCCCGCCAGTTTATGACGGGAAGGGTTTTACTTTTCCGGCATCTGAAAGCATGTTGTGAGGTCCTGATAGCGAGGCGTCCGCATATCGCGGTATCTCTCGAATACCGACGTCATACTTTAGGGTGGATTTTACTACATGGGCATGCTCTGAGATTCCAATAACGAGGAGTCGGTTCTTCTATACGTATACTCCGGCATCTCCTAGACTATAAATACCGTCGTAAAGTGTCGAAATGCCTTCTGAAGCCGTTAGGTGTCGCGGCATAGCATTTTTCTCATGATCAGCGTCCGCTACTGAGAATGTACTTCTTTTGGAAGCTGCTTACTATAATATCACGCTGCGCTATGTGTTTAGTCCGAGGCACATATTTGCTGTGTGGATAACTTTTAGCCTACATGTTTAATACACCATTTTTACTACTAATAAAATGTTTATCATTGCCATAGAAAATTCAGTAGACTCGGACCTTAAAGAGACATGCACCTTCTTACCATCGTTAGTCCACGAACAAGCATTTACTCTAGCTCCAGTTTTATGCTTCTGTACGGCTTTTTGTTCTGTGCTCCAAATCGCAAAGTCCGATAAAGATCCTGAGGCTAGCTGGTGAGATAGAGGGTTGAAAGCTAGACATTGTACACTGTCACTGTGGTTGTATTTTAGCAGTCCTTCTAAGCGACTCGAAAAGATAATCACCGTTTTGTCGGCACTGCCGCTAGCAAATCTTTCACCTAAAAATGAGATATTCTCAGAGAAAATCATTGTTTATTTAAAGTATACTCTTTGAGATACTTACCATTCTTTGCATAACACACTGCATGTACAGTATCTTTATGTTCTTTAAGTAGTTTCACTAGACTTCCGTCACTAGTATTGTACACTAGAACATGCTTTCCTCCTGCTACTATAAGTTGAGTGCCATCCGGGTTGAAGCAGAGATCGTGGATGCTGATAAAAAGTAGTTATTATAATTGAACATCAAAAGCTCTCCTACGGCTCTTCATGTTTTTTTGATGCTCGTGTACAAATTTAACTCTCGAAATTACCAAGTTTAAAAAGAGGATATGAAAACGAAAATTCTGCCGTACAAATGTACAAAGTTGGTGAGGTTATCAGCTGATTCATATTATATCCTTGAGCTGTCATATGTTGGTAAGTTACAGATAGCTGGCCCGGGAACTTTTTGATGCACACTTGTATATAAGAAAAAACATTTATTTTCCAAAAAGCTTCTATAAAAGCGCTATAAATGACATTTTTTCGAACATAAAAAAGTTCGGTATATCAATTGTCAGATGGCATGCTGTAAAGTATCTATGAAAAGTTTATCACAAACAGAAGCTTAGACAAAGCTTTATCACCGCTAAAATAAAACCATTTATCCTCACCTCTGCCCGACTTTCTCACTATCCTGTATCTTATCAACCCATGTAGGTATGAACCGCATTTTCTTTCAGTTTCTGTCTGAAGAAAAGCTCTTGCCGCTAGTTAACCTCTATCTACTTGTCAAAACGCGCGGCGTGTCTGTAACAAACGGTTACCATGACGACGACAGTTCGTTTGTTTGTGGCATTTAAAAGGCCTTGGCGCTCGCGTCTCGGCTTGCTAGATGAGAACAGGTGAACAACTTCAGACGGTGGGCAGGTAAAAGGTGCGTCGATTCGCGAGGTCACTGTTTGAAGACGAAGAGTCCAAGAGCGTGCGCCAGGGGCGTAGCCAAAAGGAAAGCTTTCAGGGATCCAAGATCACCGAGTACACGGAAAATTTGAGCTCGGCCCGGGTTTTATCGAGTTGAGAGGAATTCAAACAAACTGTTGAAACATACTTTGTGGAACTTGGAATTCGCGGTTTTTCTGAAAAATGCCACCACAAAGCATCTAAAATGATACAAAGAAAATACTGAAATACCTGGACTCATTTAACTATGAATACTTGTTGAATATTCCATATAAAAAAAACATGCGCACTTCAAACTAGAATTTTTTTGATAATGTACTTGAGTAAAATAAAAAAAAACCTTGAACAGATTGTTAAAGAAAATTGATAGAGTAAGAAAATACATGGATCTTATACAATGTACCCAAATAATAAACTTACCTTTCTATACAGGGTGTCCAGAAAAAAGTGTGCAATATTCTACCAGGGGTTTCTGGAGCTTAAAATAGGAAGAACACTTTATATAAACATAGATCGACAAGATGGTTTTTCCTTAATATTTCCGAAACGTGTTGAGATAAAGGCACTGGCAAAAAACATTCTAATAAATCAAAATGACCGATTTTTATCTAAAATGTTCACTTTGAATTCTCAATCTCACAGCCTGAAACACGTTGATGAATTTTGATATACGAGATGTGTCTAGATTTATCTTAAAAATATGATTTTTTTTCAAAATTTCTATTTAAGGGCTACAGTCCAAATAGATTTTGGCATTTGACTTCACAACCAAAACTTCATTCTTTTTACTTACAGCAGCAGGATGTTTTATTTTCTAAAAATGTCTTTCTTCGATTTCGTGTTGTAAAATTTAAGAATTATCGCTGAACACTCTGAGTTTGACCTTGTTATTTTGAAATACCGCCATATAGATGGCACAGACGGGAAAGGTCCAATTAGGGTCTCTAATTTGTATAATGAGGGACCGGATGCGGAGATTTCGGCAATATGAAAATACGGCAGAAACGAGGTTAATAGTTTTAAGGGATCAAAATGAATACTGTCTGTATAGCAATTTCGTTGCTTGGTAATGTCCACCCAAAGTTGTTGAGTCATAAGTTTTAAGTGGCTATAAATACGGTGTAACATTTATATGATTGGCCTAGAACTGAAAGGGTTTAACAATTAATACTTAACTAGGATATGTTGTGACGGAAGTTGAGTATATGTAATTTGTTTATGTATGAAGCCATATGAAATATTCATGAGCCCCTCATTTTAGAAGATTTATCATTAAATTGCGCTCCTTTATGTGTGTGTCCCAATATTCCGTACTGTGCATTTTTAGACTAAAAGTAAGTCGATTTGCATCTGCATTTCCCAACTCATGTTTATAATAACTTTTTTTTCATATCTTTTAACAAGGCATCACCCTCTAAAATATCTTTGACTATTCTTCGAATACTCTGACTTACTAGTTTATAGAGCTTTTTAACCAACACTTCTCCATCGCTGGTATAAAAGCGGTTGAACTTTTTGCCATATACGAACGGAATTTACCAACAGAGTTAAGATATAACGGATTAATAACTCCTATATACAAACGTTTATCTGAACATACTCAAAATTTATTGAGGAAATTATCCAACGTTAGTTGCGCACTCCATTGTTTTTCAGTACATCCTGCAGAAAACTTTGAGCACATAACCGTACTAAACACAATTATATACCGTTATCTACCAACATCAAATAGACCAGGGGCATCTCAATGATTTTTAAAAGAACCCTTTGAAGGATCATGTCCGGTTTAAGGTCTGGACTGTAGCTATCCGGTAGCGCCATCTATCGGACAGAAATATTAGAAATAAAAATAGACACACTTCTATCCTATGTCCTCCCAGAAAAGCTTTGAAGATTGCTGGCTGAATTTCTCTCTGGCTGCAAGACATCAGTTGCAATTGAAGGATTCTCCTCCTCATCCCGTAGGGTGGGCCAACATGGGTATTCCCCAGGGTCTCCGCTCTTACATATCAGCGATCTCCTTTCCGATTCATAGCTTTGCTGATGCAGCACTCTACATGCAGGAATTCAGGGTGATAGGTCGATTTCTGTCGGTGCAATTTGTGAAATGAAGAGAGAAAGATATAAAAAACAATCACTTGTAATTTAGGTATGAAATGTTTAATCAAATTTGCGTCAAGTAACATCATGGCAACTCGATTCAACAAATAAACATAAATAAAATTCGACTTGGATACTTTCTCTCACGATCGCGAGTCCTTCGCCTAGTCTATGTTGTAAAGACGGTTATCTAGCGTCGTTTCAAAAACTTCTCGATGCACTTTTCGTTTCGGCAAACGGCGAAACGGCTTCAAGATCGGCGTGTTCAGATATATGCACCGTTTATGGGGTGGTATGGCACCAAGAGAGGTTAAAGGCCGAACGATGCGACCTTCCGTTTTCCACTTATGAACGCAGCGATATGGCAAAGGAGATGAGATCTGCTGCTGATTCCGACGAAAGTGAAACTGCTATGGTTTGCAGTTTGGCCGCATATTTGGAACGACGGAGGGTGATTTTTTTCGGAGAAGTTTTCGGGAAAGAGGTGGTTGAAAAAACGCTATGACCTTTTTGTGTATTGCTAGGAAAAGGGGTCAAGTAAACCAATATATTTCTATTATTTATAATTTTATACACGGCGAGCAAAGGATAATGTTTTTTCAGCAAAGCTTGGGGCTATGTCAGATTCTCAGTTGTGGATCTTGGACATTTTTCTATGCATTGTTTTGATCTTTGGTCTAACCTAAAGAAAAAGATATCTAAAATTTTTCGAAAGTTGGCCATAACTCAAATCATCGAATTTTTAACCTCTCGCAATAAATGTCTTTCGGCTCGACCTCGTATTTTTTTACCCTCTCCCTGCAAATAGGACGATTTTCCGATTTCATCCTAACTACGAACCCCTTCTCACTTCAGTTGGCCCACTTCAAGATTTGTACCAAAATATGCCTTTATAAACCAAACATGACGAAACTATTTACTTCTAAAACAATTTATTTCCTCAAAAACATTTTAGATACACTCTAAAAAATACATATTTGAAATAACTTAGACCTATAACTAATAGGATATCTGAACAAATAAACAATGTGCGAATAAATGCGCGAAGTTAACAAAGCAACAATTGAAAGATTACCATTGGGTAACATCTTTTGCAGTGGAGTTAATAGTGGCTTTTCTTTGGCCTATAAACAAGTTGTGCAACTTCAGGGTTTTTACTTCACTTTTTTTTATAAGAAAACTTACCATGCAAGTGCTAAATCCCAGTTTGTGGGCCTCACTATGAGTTGTGGATCTCGAAATTCTCCTTCCAACCGCGTCACTCCACAGAGCACTTAATTATTCTTCTTAATGCTCTTCGGTCGGCATTTGTGATATTACTTTTTTTCACATATCCTGGCTTAATATTAACTGAAACAGTTACGTTATATCTTCTAAAAATATTTTTCACACTGTACCGCGACTAGGCAGATTGCTCAGTCAGTGCGGTGGATCATCGGGAGGATATAATCTGTAAAAGTGTATCTACCCTCAAAACGTTTGGAGTGTGGGGTGGCAGAGTTTTTCGGGGTTCGGCGAGAGGTTACTGTAAATGCAAAAATATTATAAATTCAGACAAAGGTTTTTTGTTTCGCGATGTATACAACACGTAAATCTATGTAGGCAATGCTGCCTAATTTTAAAAATCATTTAAATGGCTCTGGTGACTAAGAATTAAAATAGCTTTCAGATCATCCCAAAATTTAATTTGTGTGCTTTACGACTTTCCCACATTTTTACGGGTATTCAGACATCTTTTTGAAGACGTAAACATTTTTAAAAAATTCGAAAATTTGCTTTCATCGTTTCTGATTTCTCTAGGCTAGAGCATATTCAAAATCATAATGGAGCCTAAATATTTTATTTAATGATTTTAGTGTTTCGAGATTCCCAGGCTCTGAAGACAGTACCATGTTTTAATTACTTTTAATTTCGAAAAGTTTCTTTCAGCTTTTGCAGTTTTAATCTAGCTATATAATCTAGCTCAGCGCTGGACAATTTTTAATTTGAAGTTTTCGAGGCACATATAGTATAAAGTAGATTGACTCTATGCCTTGCATACCTTCTGATACAATTTTTCATGTAGTGGAATTTCACGCTCACACACCGGTATCTCAAAGTATGAAAACAGAAGAAATGTGTCGCCAAAGTGAGGTTAATTTCTATGAATGCTTCGGCATCTTTATAAACCGTTTGCACTCACAAATGCACGATTAGGTTACCGTCTCTTCCAATCTTCCATAAAATGGAGAGGATGTCATATACAGTGTATATGTAGTTATCTATTTTTGTCCAAAGTGGTTGAAATAGTAATTTGATAGTTATTGAAATAGGAACGGAGCTGATATTTCCTTTTGAAAATGAGTTTTTGATCGGACATTATCTGCAAAAAGCCTTACAATGATAAAAAAACGAAACTGTGGTGACCTATCGATTTCGTACTGCCAAGACCATCTAAAGACAATATTGAATAAATCACCCGAATGCTGTCTTCGCTTTTAATGGATTATCGCACTTTCACTTTAGACAAAAAATCCACGCCTGCTAAGATTGAAAATCAGAATGTAAATGTAAGCAATTTTTTGGTTAAACGAACTGCAGACGAATTCGTCTGTGGCCCCGCCTTCTTGATTTTATCGGTCGTAGATCTTTGTCAATGTCCCCCCCATTTTCACTACAAACCCCTGTCCTCCCAATTCGGCAAGCTTGGAGGCCGTTGACCGGTAGAACAGCTTTTTCAAGGCATTAATTTATTTAGACAGGGATAAAGAGGGCCTACCGCAAGAGATTGCAGTACGGTCTCTGTAGGACTTTAATGCGCCAGATTTTCTTTACATATTTCCGTTGATAGATGCGCTACAGAT